GGTACAATCACCAGTGGACCCGGGTTTGGCAATAGCGACTTGGCAACAATGCAGGCCCTGCAAGAGAAACGAGACAGGTACCTTGGCGAGGGCGCCATGTTCTTGGACAGGTTGAAGAAGCATATGGATATCACATTTGGTGCAGCTTTCCTGTCGACGAAAGATGCACTTTCGAGACTTGATCAAGGCTCTGAGCCATCTTTGAAGAAGAATGTCGAGGCACACGACGCAGGTCGAAGCGAGTTGTGGATGTTGAGCCCGGTCATGCTTTTCGCCAAAGAGATTGACAGGGCTGCATGGGACTCACTACTCCGAATGTACCAGACGCAAGCAGCGCAGTTGTACCAACAGGAAGTTCGCGACAATATTCTGGCATGGAGACGGTTCGCGAGGAAGCCGACTGGCGAAGAACAAGATCTACTCTTTACCGCGCAAGAAAAAGAGCCAGAAACAACCACTAGTACTTTGGGTGCGGCAAGGAAGCTGACCGTTAAGCGGAGTCAGACCCTAGCTCGTGGCCTGAGATCAGCTTCTGGGGAGAAGGAAGGCAAGGCAAAGCCAGCCGCTCAAGATGGCAAATTCTATGCTTTCAATGTTTTCGCTAGGGTGCTGGAAGACACTGGTCCCGTTCTTTTGACGGAGCAGAACTTCATCACCGAGTTCTTCCACGCCACTTCAACTGATTCGCTCGACTTCCCAGAGGCGGTGCAAGCCGCACCGCCAGAAGCCCGCCGTGGACCGAACCTCTGGATACGCAAGCAGTTTGAGGCGGACCGAGCCATGGCAAAGCATGTGACAGGAGTCATGGAGGAAATATTCTCCTTCTGGCCGGCTGAGATACAGAGTCTTGTTGATTGGGCTACAAAAGCCGATCCTTTGTAAGTTATAGCATTCATGACAATGTTTCAGCCCCACTAACCGTCTGCAGGCAAGGTGTAGGCATACTTTGTGCGGTCGACCGCAAACTCCTCGACATCGAAGAGACAAACCAAGATTTCCTAACAAGAAACCTACAAAAGATACATGAGCGGCTGCAAGGCCTATTCAACCGCTTCCTAGACGAGCAAATCCGCGCGATCGAAGACACAAAAGTCAAGATAAAGAAACGCAAGGGCGTAATCTCCTTCATGAAGACCTTCCCTCATTTTTCTATTGCAATCGAAAACATGCTGCCCTCTGCTGCTGAAGGTGGCGATCAGTTGGAGATCCGACGCATGGTCAACGACGCGTATAGCCGTATCAACAAAGCCATGTTTGAGAGCTTGAAGGTCATTGCGAAAGAATCCCCTACTGTCATGGCAAGTCAGGGCCAGGGTGACCCGGAAGACAAAGAAGCGCTCAACTACCACATCCTGCTTATCGAAAACATGAACCACTACATGGAAGAAGTGGACGCGCGAACCGTGGCTGTGTTAGACTTCTGGAAGAGCAAGGCGAATGAAGAGTACAGTGAGCATATGAGTCTCTATGTTGATGCGGTTATTCGGAGACCGCTTGGGAAACTTTTGGTAAGTAGTCCTTGTTGTCTCAATGCTGTGAGTATGTCTAATGAATGCAGGAATTTATCGAATCAACCGAAACCCTCTTGTCTCAACCCGGCGCCTCCCCACAGGCGATCGCCCAGCGCTCTTCGCACTCGCGCTCCGTCTTCAAAAAGCTAGTGCATTCGCATGACGCCAAGGAACTCCGCAAAGGTATCGAGGCCCTCAAGAAGCGCGTTGACAAGCACTTTGGCGACGCGGATGATCCCAATATTAGTAAAGATTTGGTGTTCAAGGTCCTCAAGGAGTGTGAGAGGTATTACGAGGGTGTTGTGGAGAGGATGGCGGCGATTAATCAAGATGTCTATGGTGGAGAGGTGGAGATTGATTGGGGGGTCAAGGAGGTCGAGACTGCGTTTCGGAGATAGAGTCTCAGAAAGAGCGGGAGTCGACACCTTTTGGGGATGATGGGGTGATTGGGAGGGGAAGAAGGGGGTTGGGTTCGTGTTGTGCTGTTGCTGGTTTTGTTGGCTTTCTTTGTTAAGGACCTTGTATATTGGTGGGGTTGGTGGATGCCGTTTATGATTGCATGGCTGGGTATAACACTTGCATGGCGTCTTTTCTTCACATGCAGCGCAAACCCATCAGCGAAGATCATCGATATGCCTCTGGGCTTCCTCACATGCACAATTCTTGCCAAGTCAGATCTTGCATCCGTTTTGAGACCACAACGATGCAGTACGTCAACACACGAATTCTTATGCACGTAAGCAGGATCTCGTATCTTGAACCCGAGTCCGCCGGCGTCCGATCGCACCGAGCTCTTATGCACTGTACGCGCTATCCGGGAGCTTGAGCTTCGTACCCCTGTCAAGGTGGAGAATAGGCGAGAAATGACGGCATCGATCCCAACTACGAGTCTAGATCGCCAGACATTTTGGTACAACGGTATGCGCCGGATGCACCGCCGAAGAGTGTATTTGTTGGTTAGGCTTCCAGGATGGCTAGATGCATAACGCAACAGATGTTTTGATCTGCGAGTATATATCAATGCTAGAGTCCCTTGAGTAACACGAGCTTCGTGTCTTTTTTTTAGTCCAACCGCCCACTATGACACTCCTCCAAACTCTCCTCCGGGCAACCGCATTCAAGAGCCCCCTCTTACGCACCCTCGTGCCCTCGGTCGCACTCGCATATGGTATCCAAGCTGCCGTCGCAGTCCCCTCGATTGCTGCGCAGACAGAACGTTACTATGACCTCTCTGGGAGCCTCACATACCTGTCCTGTACAGCGCTCAGTCTAGTCTTGCCTTATATGCGCGCAAGAGCCGCTGGGACGGTTACAGGAGGGATAACTGAGTATTTCAGTAGCCAAGGATTAGGACAGGGGACGTGGTGGTGGAGACAGGCGCTGTTGAGTGCTGCGGTGGGGATATGGGCAACGAGATGTGTGTGTTCTCTTGCTCTAAATGAGTAAATTAGGAAAAACGAAGAACAGAGTACTAATGATGATATGCAGTGGGTTCCTACCTCTACAAGCGCATCCAAAGCGATGAAGGAAAGGACAGCCGCTTTGATTCCATCCGCACCTCACCACCCAAATTCTTCGTCGCCTTCTTCGCGCAGGCAACTTGGGTCTCGCTGTGCACTCTCCCCGTCATCCTAGTCAATTCAGTTCCACGATCTGCATACGCAACTTCGCTGCTCGGCAAAGCCGTATCTTCAAAACCCTACTTGACCGACATCCTCGGCCTGGCCATCTTCGTCTTCGGTCTCACATTCGAAGTCGTCGCCGACCGCCAAAAAGACGCCTGGGTCCAAGGCAAGAAACAAAAGAAGCACTCGGAAGAGTTCTTGACACATGGCCTGTGGAGCAAGTCTCGGCATCCGAATTACTTTGGCGAGGCGACGTTGTGGAGCGGTATTGCGATTGCGGCGGCGGGGTTGCTGGTTAGGCAGCCGGCGCAGGCGGCGCTGGGATTGAGTGGGGGGTTGGGTGGACAGGTGCTGGTCGCGGGCATGTGTGCGGCTAGTCCGGCTTTTGTGAGTTTCTTGCTGCTCAAAGTTAGTGGGGTGCCGTTGAGTGAGAATAAGTATGATGAGAGGTATGGTGATCGGAAGGATTATCAAAAGTGGAAAAGGGAGACGCCCATGTTTGTGCCCAAGATTTGGTAAGCTGGGACTGTGGGAGCGGGTGTCTTTGAGAATGAACCAAGAGTGATGTATTCTCCGTTTCTGTTGAGTACAGATATGGTGGTTATGGCTCCACTGAAAGTTACAATACCAGCGCTTCATCTATGCCTGTCCTCCAGATCTCTTGTTCTTGCGCAGAGAAAGCTTTGAGAGCTTGTGTCGGAGACTCTTTCAACCTCCCTTTCCTTCGTCTCCGTCTCGGTCGTCCTTTTTCTTAGGTTCCTTCGCGATTAGCATAGCAGCCTTAGAGAGGTGCGGCGGGCTTAAGGACGTGGACAAACTCAATCGCGACCGTGAATTTGTACAAGCGGTTCAGCACATTAAGAGCTTTTCCGTCGAGCCAGCAGGTCCCTAGAAGGTTGCACTAAAAGCCGCTAAGGTCTCCTAAACATCTCTTTAGAACAAAGTACTTATACCTACTACAACAAAGCCTGTTAAGACCTTCTTAGGCATAGATAGGGAACCTAGAAGTCTACAATACTATAAGTCTTTCTAGAATTTTTTCTTAGAAGCTAACGTAGGCGGTAAACTATAGCATGTTGTTCATATACCGATTTGAGTTTTCTATTGTATACGGTGATGGTATACGCAACATCCCTACCCCCAACGACTTCGATTACTCAGCGTTGTAGAGCGACAACCGGATTGAATCGAGCAAACTGAATCCGAGCTAGGAGATATATCTATGAACCTCTAGCTTGGGCAATAGACGTGTCGGTGATCGATATAGGCATTGTGTCGACTGAATCCGCATCGCGCTTTCCATCGTAGCTAAATGACCACCGCTCCACAAGAGATACATCCCACAAGCCCCATCAATACTAGAATCTGCCTGCCTTCTCCTTCTGACCTGTCTCATCTCTCAACGAACTTTGAACCCCGACTCGGCTGGCGCGCTATTCGGTTTTCTATGTGAAAGGCATGGTTCCTTGTCGGCATGGGAGCAGCGCTTGAGCAAGACCAATGTACCCTTGCTAGAACCTGTACTCAAGATATTTTGCCCGAATTAAGCTTGAGCGCACCTCCAGAAAAGAATTGGTATCATTGTCAGTATGGGGGATATGTCAGACCTCATGGAACATGACATGGACCACGTGTAATGGCACGTGTCAAGCGTGCTCATGGTACATGAACGATAAGCCGAGTCATTCAAGTGCCAGCATTGTGCAGAGTGTTTTGGGAAACGAAGCTGCTACACAAAAGGCTGTGCGAGCTTATTTGATAATTCGTTGTCAGTCAAGGTCTAACTTAGGGAATCGCCGTGGACGACAAATAAAGTCAAACCCACGCCAAGGGTTCACTAAACCACCTGCTCTCCCCTCACGACTTAATCGAAAGCAAGCGGCAACAGGCCAGCGATGATGACCGTCAAGACTGGCATGTTGGCGAGGATCTTTGCCGCCATCTTCACTGGATCGTGGATCAATGCCGTCACAAAGACAACCACGAAAAGCCCTTCCACGAGCAAGAACGTGCACAAGTAGCGCATCCGGTGGCTCCTTGGAATGACGTAGGTGTTGGTCGCAACGAACATCACCGTTGTGACAACCCAGGCTGCAATCAGTCCCCACCAAAGGCCAGGACTGACAGTTTTGGGATCCATTGCGGCAATCGGGATACTGAGACCTCCGGTGACTGCGCCAGTAGTACGTATCCCCCATTCCCGTACAAGATCATGCCTTTGGGCTTGAGCACTTGAGATCAAATTGGCTGTCATGAGTAACGCAAGCACCTTCGGACCGAGGGAACATGCGCCCCGAAGGCCTTTACGAATGAAGCTTCGATATGCAGGAAGACACTGTGCCTTCTCGAAAACGACCCTTATGAGGTCGAGAGGACCATCGAATAGCGTCCAGATGTCATCGAGATAGCCACGCCATGTGCGCAGTTCGGCCTCTAGCTGGACACGGAGCTTTGCGTACTTGTCAGACAGATATCCATCGGGGTGCAGGTTGGCGAAGCACTCGGAGCCCGTGTTGTTGATTATGGATAAGGGGTCCATCCCGGGCATGGGATACATGAGCTTCAACCTCTGCAATTTGTCCAACAGAGTGTTGGGAATGCGATGATCGAAGGCGTCGCCTCCAGTATCGCGCTTTGAACTTGCGTCGAACCACGCGCACGGCGTTGCGCCAGCCCCGTCCGCGTCTTTCTTGACCCTGAATACCGCATGACAATCTTCTTGAGAGGTATGTTTCGGACCAGTGGAGTATGTGGTGTCGAGCATGGCCATGAGTTGGGCGTTGTAATGCGCAGCAAGCTCTTCATCTGTCGCCATGACCACCACCCCTGGGTCGTTGTCAAAGAGCGTGGCAGCAAAGGAGACTCGTTCCAGAATAAGGCGCAAGTCTTTGATACGGCTGCCTTCCTCTTCAAACTGCATGGAACCACTGTCGTCAATGTATAGAACGACGTCGTATAGTGCCAGCTTGACAATGTCATTGGAGATCTCCTTTTGGATACGCCAGCGCTGGATGACTTGGTTGATCTTTGAAGGGGCATCTTGGGCGATCCGGTCGAGGTTCTGGCAGATTGGGAAGTTCTGAAGACCCTTTTCTTGGATACAAGCTTCCAGCAGCTGTTTGTAGCCTGCAACTTCAGCTGGCCCAGCTTGAACCTGTTGAGGAGGAGGGGGACCGCCATACGGTCCCTGTAGAGGTGGAGCTCCATACTGTGCCTGTGAAGGCGGGGCCCCATACTGTGCCTGTGAAGGCGGGGCCCCATACTGTGCCTGTGGAGGCGGGGCTCCATACTGTGCCTGTGGCGGTGGAGCTCCATACTGTGCCTGTGGCGGTGGAGCTCCATACTGTGCCTGTGGAGGCAGGTATCCATATGGATTGTAGCGGGGCTCGTGGATGTTGCTCCCACAGGCCTGCGCCATCTTTGAGGCCAGTCCTATATTGGAACATTAGCCTGTGGTCAACCTTGCGGTGGAAGACGAGTCGCTAATCACGTACCCATCTTGGGTTGGTTGCGAGCGATTGGTTGTCTCTGTCGTTGATTGAGCTCGTACAAAGAGCCTGGGAGTAGGGTTCGTGATGGCAGTTCGCAGGAAAGGGGGATATGTTTTGGATGGTAGAGCTATGTCGATGTGCAGCCGCTTCTTCCTGATCTCAAGCTTCGAAGTTGGAGGCTGGAGGCAGTGCGGGAGCTTGGCAGTGACGTGCGCCTCAGCTCAACCTCTGCCTTGAACACCGCTTTGCGATCGCATATCCACAACTCTTCCTCAGCAATACTTGCACCTATACCAGCACTAGATGGATTCCCTGAGCCACGTCAAGAGCGGAAAAGACAAGGAGAAGTGAGTAGCTGCAAAGCCGGGCAAGCCACACACCATGCCGATTGTTGACACTCTTCCAGCGCTTGCTATCATGCTGATCGGAACACGCGAGTCCTCTCGAGGCGGTTTCAGAGACCGGCGACATACTTGCGACGGGTCACATGGGTCTTTGCTGTAGTCACAGCGACAGGGTCCAGTCTGGTCATAAACGCATGGCACGATGCGTCCATTGCACATAGATCCGCAGTCGAAGGATACTCGTTTGGAAACGTATCTACAGCCATGCCACGGTTGTCATTGCTATCCTATTCGTGGTCTGATGGTTCTCAGCAACGTGTTAGTATACTGCGCAAAATACTAGGACAACACTTACATATGACCAGCAGTGGGCTCGTCTCTCGCCTCTCTTCCACGACCCGAAGCCAATTCATCTCATAGTCGCCTGCCTAGTCTACAGCATCGCGATGAACGTCTTCTACCATATGCATAAGAGTGACAAGTACCAGCTCGGAATACTCGCATGCGGCGCAATGAGCGCGTGGGGCCTTGGCTTGGCATCAGGTGAGAATACACCAAGTGTGCTGACAGGTCTCGGTCCTTGGGCTGTCATGGTGTCGCTGGTCCTGAGTGCCGCCTTTCATCGAGCTCGGGGTTGCGGCGAGACGGTGAAGACGGAATTGTGATGGACGATCGAGCGACCAGATCGTCGTAGTCGGGATCGTCGTTGTGCCTTTGGTATCTGTCTAGATGTATGAACAGAAGATTTTCAGGCGGGGCATCGTAGTGGTCGATCATGTACCTGTAGGTGCTGGCAGCCATGCACTCATCTGCTGCCCTGGGCTGTTACTTGGTGAACGGGGCGAGCAAACTATTTTCGTTGTCGGGCTCTTGGTTATGAGCTAGACTAGGGTGACTTCCTTCAGTTGTCCCCACAATATCAACACCTCGGTTATCAGTGCAAGTTCTCAGTGGAAACCTATGCATCATGGTGTGACTCCTTCCAAGCGCTGCTATCCACTCGACAAGATTTGGAAGGGAGAACAACGGCAAAATAGAAGAGTGGGCGAGCGCGCGATCGAGAGAGGCGTGAAGCGAGCCACATGATGATCGCTTCACGACCATCATGTAACCAGCATTCAATGGTCGTCGCGGGGCGGCGATACAGTAGGTGATGGGGTTGTTGTCGTCCAAATATCGTCAAAGTCTTGGCTGGAAGCTAAATTAGGGCACCTTGCACCTTCCTGTGTTGCTGCATCAGCAATTTGAGCACTTTGGTCACTCATCCAGAAGTTCCAAGGTTCTTTTCACTGGGATAACTGCCTGATCATCCATTAGTACCATGAGCTGGTAGTGATCTAGAGCGCACTACGTTGAAGTCTCATCCTCCATTCCACTATCCACCCTGTCACCATTCTCATGTTTCCTCTTCACCTCGCACGTCGCGTTGTCATTCCACTTGAAACTCGCGCCATAATGATCTGATTGCAACTCCTTCGACCCCAGCAAATTCTCGCGAAAAGTGCCTCCGGCCACATCATAATCGTCCTAGTACAGCCCTCGTCTTTGAAGCTCCGGCACAAGCAGCTCCACCACGTCCGTCCAGCTGCCTGGATTCGTCACGCTGCCGATGTTGCAGCCATCAATATCTGAATTCTCAATACACTCTTGTATCACATCCGCCACTTCCGATGCCGTCCCTACAGGACATGGATGTAGACCGCCCAGCTCCGCATATTCCAGCGCGATCTCATGTTTCCTCTTCGCGTCTTCATTATCCTTGCCAATGATGGGCATGAAGCACGGGAAGAACTTGAGGTGAGTCGAACGTGCAGTAGTGGAAGGAGAGTGCGACACTGACATACCGTAGCCAAGCTGGCCAAAGTACTATCACCTTCTGGAGCCCTCGTCCAGTGAAATCGCCTCGACTATCTTGAAAGAAGGTGCGCAAGGATCCAAGCACGTACTTACACAGTAATACTGGAGTCTTAGGTCTCTGCGCGTCCGTCTCACATTCTCTGGATCAATTCTTAGGAGCGTTTTCTACGTTCTGCAAGGCTGTGTGGTCCATAACGCCAGCTTCCACAAGCGCTTTAACCGCATCATGTATCCAGGTCTGACAATTCCTTATCTCTACTCTCTTTCGTGGTCCCTCACCGGAAGTAGCTACGAGACTTGGTCCAGGCGGCTCTACTCCAAGCACAACTTCTTCAAGTCTATCTCTCGCAATCTTGTCAACAGACCAACTTCCATCCCCTTGCGTGTCAGTAACGTGCTCGTCTGCGACGTCGCCCAGAGGCAGCAGCTGATACCGCCGACCGTCAGCACCGACTTTGTAGTTGCGTTCGATTTCTACAGTGAAGCCAATTGCTGCGTCGCCGGTCGCGTTTAGGTAAGTTCCGGTACCGTGCAGATCGGATGAGAGGTGGGGGATCCATAGACCCCAATGCGCGGGGAAGAGGGGGGAGTTGAAGACGACAAGACTGATGGTTCGTGGCATCGTAGTGGTATGCATGTGGAGAGATGGAGAGATAAGACTGGTTTGACGTTTTGGTGGGGGTGGGGCGTTCCGTAGGCAGCCACATCAGTGGCACAGCATCAGTTTACCAAGGCTCCAACCTTCCCATCGACACTACAACCCCGATAGTCTACACGACCTGATTGTTCTATTGATACCAAATCCATGTTTTAACGTACATCAACCTCAGAACACTCAAGTATCTTCTTTTATTCATTTAGAGATCATGGACGCTAGCGCCTCCAATATCAATCCTTCGCAGCTCCCATTCGACCGGAACATCACTTTTCATGACTCTTCGTTCTTTCAAAACCACGGGAAATCGCGTACTCTTCCATCACCACAAAAAGTAAGAGAGATCGCCAAGGCAACTAACAAAAACGCGTGGTTGAGGAGTCGACCACCACCAGTAATATGCGAAGATCTCGGTTTGTTGGTGAAATATGGAGAGGAGATTACGATTGCAGAAGGCCAGTGTCTCTTAGCCTTACGTCAGTTGCTTCCTGATACTGTACCGGTTCCAGAGGTGTATGGATGGCGCGAAGACGATGGGCAGGTATTCATCTACATGGAGCTTGTGAACGGTACGACATTAGAAAGAAGTTGGGACAACATGAAAAAAGAGGACAGAATGGCGGTCTGTCATCAACTACGTCATATAATTGATGCATGGCGCAATTTGAAGTAAGATGCTAAGAGTCCATTCGTTGGTAAGCCAATATCTCCGCACTTAAAGCAAAACAAAGCCTACTTTGGCTCTGGGCTTTACTCTTGATGTGTATACTTGTAGAGCTCTTGGTTGAAAGGTTTTGACTTACCATGCAGGCCATATTGGCGGACAGCCGCTTTCAGATGTCATCTTCGATTCCAGTTTCGCAAAAACTCCTGGACCTTTCCAAAACGTATCAGCATTTCATGATTATTTCACAACTCATTTCGGGCTAAGCAAAGATTTCGGTGTTCAACCACCACATAAGTTTCGACAATACCTCCCAGACCAAGATCCTATCATCTTCACACATGCAGATCTCCATCCCAGTAACATACTAGTCTCCGCTGGACCTAACACTCGCGTCGTGTCGATTATAGATTGGCATCAGTCGGGTTGGTATCCTGCATACTGGGAGTACTGCAAGGCACGTTCGACGGCTCGTGTTGGCGAAGAATGGGAAGCCCAATACATGCCAATGTTCTTGGACCGACATGATGATTATTATTTCAACTATTTTTGTAGTTGTTGGTTCTAGGAAATCTCTCAAGCAAGGCGCATTCGTGCCTGCCTAGCGTGGCTGAGTCATTACAACCCTTGGTCCCCTAGCGATCTTGGTCGCATCCACCCAGCAATTATGATGACTGACCTGCTACTGAGTTTGGTATCCTGGAGTACTGGATTGGGTTTTCTATGGTGTTAATGGCAACAATCACACTAGCGCCCGGCAGAACCTGTATACGCCATAGACGCTCACATCGGCGCAATGTAGGCCGCCCCACCATCGTCCAGAACATGCAGTCATACGAAGATCTGCGCTTTTGACTCAACCTTTTAATTAGTATTTGAAAACAACTACTTCGCGAGCTCTCATCTCTTTAGTAGCTTGCCAAATACCTGGAAATAAAATGTCTGATTCTATGGATGACGAGCGCCTTGGGCGAGCAGTACCTACATCGCCTGCTAAACCCCCCAGCAACGACATCAAGCTCTCCGGCCAGTACGCAACCATCGTCCCAGTACATCCGGATCATGCGGCAGAGTTGTACGAGCTCATTAAAGGAGATGATAACGCATCGCTATTCGACTTCATCTTCGACAAGCATCCCAAGTCCCTCGAAGAACTCCAGGCTAGCCTCGCAGTGAAAGCAGCAACAACGCATCCTTGGACCTACACCATCCTTCGAAACAACCCGCAAGATGGAACATGCAGGCCAGTAGGAATGGTGGATCTGATGCGTATGGATCTTCCAAACCGCGTCATTGAGGTGGGCAATATACAATACACACCCGCGTTGCAGCGCACACCCGCCGCCACGGAGGCCATGTATTTGCTCGCCAAGTATGTGTTTGAAACTCTTGGGTTCAGAAGATATGAGTGGAAGTGCAATAGCCTCAATCATCCGTCGCGTCGAGCGGCAGAGCGATTAGGATTCAAGTACGAGGGTACGTTCCGGCAGCACATGATTGTCAGGGGACGCAATCGCGATACCAATTGGTACTCTATCCTGGATTCTGAGTGGGATCATGTCAAGAGCGGTTTGGAGAAATGGTTACATCCTGACAACTTCGACGAGGAAGGGAGACAGAAGAAGACGTTACAGCAGTTGAGGGAATCGTAACCCAACACTTTGTCTTGTAACAGAAGTCGTAAATATGAACCCATAGCAACCCCTTCGGACAACATTGGAACCTAAATGCGATCGTGAAATTCTTGTTGAGCCTATGTAGTGCCTTGTTCTGTGTCAGTGTTGTGTACCTGAAGCCTTTCCTAAAGGGACAAGTCCAGCCGAGCCGCCTATATCGGGAACTTTGCATAAACCATAACACCGCATGACTTTTTCAAGCGAATCTCCATACTGGGGAAATATGCCCCATAGGTGGGCCAAGCCGGATACTAACGGAAATGACTCACCGTCATACCTCAATAGTTCATGAATCCAATAGCCATCGCGCCACTTCTCAGGCAACAGTAAGACCTAGACGCGATATCACAGTCCTTGTTGACATGTCAATGGTCAAACAAGAGACGGCTAGTGCTAGTAAGCCCAGAAGAACCGGGCTCAAGAACACATCAAAAGTCGCCATTATCTGGATCAAACAACTTGACAATTAGTGCGACTTCTTTTCAAAACTTGCGCAAAGATCATCGCAGTCTTGCCAGCAGATAATCAGCATACCATGTCGTCTCAGCCACTAAACCCCCAAGCACAACGCCTCAGAGCCCTCCACACACCAGGCAAACCCCTTGTCTTGACCAACGTCTGGGACGCAATAAGTGCAAATGCCATCGCCGCTCTTCCCGGCACAAAAGCGCTCGCAACAGCCAGTGCCGCCATCGCCGCCGCATCTGGTCTATCCGACGACGATCTGACTCTCACCGTCAACATGCGTGCTGTGGAGTCGATTGCCAAAGTAGCAGCTGCACACAATCTCCCGCTGACCGTGGATCTGCAGGACGGGTTCGGCGACGAGCTAGAGGAGGCCGTGAGACGCGTTATCGAATTAGGTGGGGTGGGTATAAACCTTGAAGACTACGGACGTGAGATCGATGGGCTCTATGGTGTTGAGGAACAGTGCAGCCGTATACGTCGCGTGATGGCTGTTGCTCGCGATAGTGGCGTGCCTGATTTTGTAATCAACGCGCGGTCAGATGCGCTATTCGCGGGTGGCGGAATCGAAGATGTTATTAAGCGTGGGAAGGCGTATCTGGATGCTGGTGCCTGGAATGTTTTCGTTTGGGGTGGGCCGAGCAGGAAGGGCTGGGGTAGGGATGAAGTTGGAAAGGTATGCCGGGCTTTTGATGGGAGGTTGAATGTTATTCTGGACAGAATGAGTGGGAATGGTCTGGCGATCAGAGACTTGGAAGACATTGGGGTTGCGAGGATTAGCGTTGGTCCCCAGTTGATGCGTCGGACGGCGGTACTGTTGGCGGGTGAGGCTCAAGAGATACTTGATGGAAAGTCTAGCGCGGCTTAACTGAGACGATAGAGTGTTGATGTATCATTTTAGTTCGTAAATTGGCCTTTGTCCGTTGCACAGTCAAAGATACACAATACACCGCCGTGGAGTACTAAAGGCGTATTCCTGACTATCAGTCTCTGCTTATCACTCTGACCCCTATGAACTACTGTACCTCTAAGAGCCGTGAGGGAAGTCCCGGCCCGCCACCAGTCACCATAATTTTCTCCTCACTACTCTGTCTTCCCTTGCTCTGCCTTCCCCACTGCCGCCTTCACATCCGCTCTCTCCCCTAGAATCCCCATACACCAACACACAGCCTCCTTCCACTCCCTCTGCATCTCTCCATCATCCACCATCCGCTCTCCAATCATCTCAGGTAGTCCCTTCATAGCCCCCTCCCTGAAGAACCACCAGCTAGGTAAGAAATTCAACTTCGCCAACGCAGCCAACTTGAGCGGCGAAAACATGGCACTGTACTGACAGGCGCGGGCTAGTAGAGGGCCGTGGTTGAAGGCAACCTGCCACATTGTGTGCGCGATGGTGTCGATATTGGAGGAGAGTATAGGAGAAGGGGAGGTGGGAACGAGGTTGGGGTGAGTGGTGAGAACGTGATGGAGGAGCTGGATCGTTTGGGGTACGGGCGCGGCAGAAGGAGGTTGTGACGAAGTCGTTGTTGCAGGTTCTTGAGCGGGACTAACAATAGGTTTCGCCGAGGAGATTCTTCGTTTCTTTGGTGGTGGGAAGGATTGGGGGTGTGGGTGAGTGGTGCTGTTGTCTGCTGCCTCGGCGTTGCCCTGGGGGTATACTTTTGTTGGCGACTGTTCCTGTAGTAGTGTCAGTCCTGCTTTCAAACTTCTGGTATATTTGGTCTCACCTCATCCTTCCTCTTGTCGCCTGCCAGGATGGAACCTTTTGCAGCAGTACTCTCCCGCCGCTGCTGACCAACGACGTTTGGCGAATCCCGAGACGTCGAGTTCTTACGTTGTTGCTGTGCCGTGCTCGTAGCTTGAGAAACAGATACTTTCCGCTGTTGCTGTGCTTTCTCAGCGCCTTTTGAGCTTGGAGACGAAATTACAGAACCCTAGTTTTGTCAGTACATCGTTGCTTGCTCCTTTAGCATCCGAAAGCCCGGCTCACCTTCCTCGCTGTAGGGGTGTTCGGCCTAGGAGCCATAGCGATATCCGACATCCTGTTGCCTTGAAAAGCTTTTTGGGTGAGATGGTGAAACAGTCGACCAGAAGGTTGAAAAGGTGGACAGGCGTGTAGAAGACGAAAGAGATTGGTGTTTGCGAGAAGCAGTTTGAGTAAGAGGAGAGGTGAGATAGCGTAGTATCAAACGCGGAAACACAGAGTGGATGCTAGTACGAGCGACTAGTAAGATGGGATATCAAAGGACTTCTCAATAAATAAAGGAAGCTTCTCTGTGAGAGGGAGCCTTGTCGTCGTAATAGTATTGAGTACGATCTTGGTCGATTGCTCCACGTTGTCTCCAGCGCCTATATGTGAACCGGGTTAGGATCAAGGCAACGGCTGATTGTCGTGGAGAGAGGACGCGGACAAACACAGAAAAAGACGGTGAGGTGAAAGAGGTAGAAGTGTCCTTGACAAGGGGGATTCCAGTGCAAAAAAGGGTTCCCAGCGCATGAAGTGAGAGATAACGAGCATGAAGACATCGAATAGACTGGATGAGCCTTTGAAACGAGGACCCGAGACCCTATCAGACGCCGTAGGATATATCAGAGGATCGCCAGCCAGAGCAGACCCTATTTTTGACTCCCAAGACTGTGCTACGCAAGCGGTTATGGTATATCACTCCAATGAACGCCACCCATCCATCTCCGTATGCAAAAGCGTCTCAAGGTCAACTTCAACACTAAGCCCGTCCCCTTGCACGTGTTGCGCGTGCTTTAGGTTTCGCTTTCGCCTTCTTTGGCTTAGGCACCTCCTCTTCTTCCTCTTCCTCCTCAGAATCCCCAATATCCTCCTCGTCCAGGTCCATCTCCTCGTCTTCACTCTCTACCTTGGCCTTCTTCTTTGAGCTCGCGCTCTTCTTCTGTTTCTTGCGATTAGCTTCAAACGCCTCCTCTGATGGCTCCTCCATGGGTGTCGAGCGCTTTGAACCTCGCGACTTGGGCGCGTACTTGGCCTCTAGCGAATCGAAGAAGTTGCCTGCTCTTGCCTTCTGGCGTCCCTGTATCAGAGCTGCCAGACCTGCCATGTCGTCTGTGCCGCTCTTTTTGCCCTTTGGCTTCGCCTTGGTCTTGCCGTTTGTGGCCCCTGATGCTTCCTTCTTGGCTTGTTTCTTGTCAAAGTCTTCGCGCCGCTTCTTCTCCGCATCCTTGGCTTTCTGGCGGGTCTCGTCTGTCTCGGCTTCATACGCAGGGTACGAGCTGACGTTTCCGTTTTCGATCTCCTCGTCTAGGATCTGCCTGAACCGGTCGTCGTCTTCGAGGATGTCGGACAGCATTACGAGATCGTACACTTTGTTCAGGTTACCCTTGACCTTCTTGAATGCCTTGACTAGATCGCGGCGTTCCTCCTCGCTGCCCTTGTATTCATTTGCGACGTTGTTGATCGCCTCCTCATTGACGACGTTCTCGAACTGTTCCCGGTAAAACTTCAGCCAGTCAAAGTCATCGTCATCCTCCATTGTCTCGGCTGTGCTGCCCGTGAGGTCATATCGCTTGCGTCGGCGGTCGTCTGAGAGTACGGCATATGCGAATGCGATTTCTTGAAAGGCCTTATTGGCGGCTTCTTTCTCGTCAGGTGCGGCCTTGTCTGGGAAAAGTTCAGCGATGCCTTGTTGACCTGTCTAGTAAGAAAACCTACCCGGGTGGCACTTGAGCGCCATTTTGCGATATGCCTTCTTCACCTCGTCGGCGGTAGCTTCCACCTCGAGTCCCAGCACCTCGTACGGGTCGATTGCAGGCGGGCCATCTTCTTCATCCATGTCGTTCTCGCCTTCGCTCTCGTCATTGTTTACAAAGTCGTCCTCTGTGTGCTCCTCCGGCGTCTGTTCTTTCTTCTGTTTCCGTGCCATATTGTTGAGTTATGATGTAGATGTAAAGTTGGTGCAAGTACTGACGGTTGACGCCTGAGTGAGAACGCGACGCGACCAACCGCGATCACCGGACTTAACACGGAGCTAAACAGTCAGACCCACTTTCCGCCGTCACTTTTGGCCAGAACGCCAATTACATCACCTTCACTTTCTTCACCCTCCAAAATGCAAGCGCAAGTCGACTACGACACAGGTCCTGTGCGTACCTGGGACGGCCCAGTGCCTCCAGCTCAAGGCGCAGATCCCAACGACCATCTACAATACATGCGACTGGCCCTTGATCAAGCCCAAGAATCACCACCAAAACCATCAAACTTCCGTGTTGGCGCCTTGTTAGTCGATGCAGATACCGGGGCCATCCTTTCTCGCGGCTACACTCTAGAGTGCGAAGGAAACACGCATGCAGAGCAATGTTGTCTCCTGAAGCTCGCCCAAGCACATGGTCTGCCTGAAGAGCGAGTTGGCGAAGCTTTGCCGTCAAACACTGTCATCTACACTACCATGGAGCCTTGTAACCTTCGGTTAAGTGGCAACCTACCCTGTGCGGATCGTATCATTCGCACAAGGGGGACGAATGGAGAGCAGAAGATTAAAAAGGTGTATCTAGGGGTCAAAGAGCCGGAGAAGTTTGTTGGCGAGAACGAGGGGCGGAAGAAGCTGGAGGAGCATGGTATCGAATGTATACATGTACCTGGGTTGGAAGAGAGGATATTGAGTGTTGCTACTGCTGGCCATGAGCAGTAAGAGTGGCCGATTTGGGAATGGTATTAAAGATATAGACGTAGAACCTAACAATTGAAATAGGTGCAAACGACGCGCAGATTACACAGCATCGACCCTCAACTGTCGTTTTGCTTCTCTCTTTGATCTCTTGCTCCTACGCTCTCAAGTTCTCCAACTCCATATCCGCGACTTGTGCCCGTTGCCGTCGATCCTTCGCTTTCCCTCTCCCGGTACTTTTCATCTTCAACCCCATCTCGTATTTGAACCGCTTCCACCTAGTTTTACGGATCTCTGACGGCCTGACACTGCCTGATAGCCGGGCTTGCGTCTTCTTGGATGATGTTGGTTGCGTCGTCTTAGCAGGTGGTCTCTGCGCTGCCTCCATGGTCTGCTGATCAGCCGCATCGTATTCGATAGCCATGGGGCTGACAGCCAGCAGCGAGATGAACAGGGATGCGAAGCGACTTTGTTGCTTTGTAGCTGTTACTGGACTCGTAGGATCTGAGGTCGCTCGCTTGTTTGAGGTTGTTGATCTGGTTTTGAACGTGGTATGGTGCTTCGACTTCGTTTCATTCCATGTTCGCGACTTGAACACGACGCCTGATTTTGATGCGCTTGTCCTGCGTTTGTGCAATGTTGTCTGTGTCAAGACGCGCTGGTCTCTAAATTTGCCTGATGGCGACGAGCTGCTGGCCATTTCTGATGCTCGTGTGGATACTGGACGTAGTGCGGCCATGTTGGTCTTGGTCGCGGAGTAGGATGCCTGATTTGGAGAGTAGTTGTGTCAGGAAAGACGGACGAACAGAATGGATAGTAGCAATAGCAATCGAGAACGAGATTAGAACTGAATGAGTTTAGAAATGCGCTTCAAGAATGCGCTCAGATATCAGTAAGCTGTAGCTTAATCGCCGACTCCACGCGACAGGCCATCATGCTGTCTCATAAACCTTTCCAACTAGATAGCATCTTTCGTTTAGCACTTTACCAGGCGTCCAGTCAGACAGTAACGAAATGAGAATTTCCTTTTTCGGTAGCTTGGGGCTGAATATCCCTGTCCAAAAGGATCAGCCTTGTCGTAAGCAAGACATAGCTAAAGTGTAAAGGCGGACGAAGTTTAGCCCATTTTATGTTCATAGGAGCTGCTTCATCTAAGAAGCGTCTTGTGTGATGGCCAAGCGACGTTGGCTGGCTGGTCGCGACGCCTCATGTCATGATTGAGAGCGCAAAAATAGATTGTGGCTTCAGCTGTGCCGCGCGCTTTATGTTACATAGCTAGGCCTACCGATAGAGAAGCTCGACGGAGCTTTTGAAGACATTTATAACCCGCGCTCTGCGATGCGAAAGTATCGTATGCATCAAGCAAACGCGACCGCTAGGAAGAAGGTGCACATCAAGGTAGGGCAATCAAGCCGACGCGTATATCTGGGACACAGCTACCTAGTAACGCGAACGCGCTGCAAAGAATGGAATTACACAGAAAAGGGTTCAAAAGGTACTATCTCTAGAATTCAACGTTAACGGCCACCGGCACTCGGGACAACCCATCCCCTACCCCGCTAAAACCCGCGTACCTCAGCCCCCGACCCGAAACGATCGCCTGGCGCAAATCTCACCTAGTAGACCTATTGCGTCATGACTTTTTCGCATCGAACAAATGCCATCACCAGTATCGATCAACATCCAAATTGCGTAACCCAGACCACATTAGACCACTTTATAACCATCTGTCTCATAATGACGCAGTGCCAAAAACATGTGGTTGGCTAAAGCAGACAATAAGAAAACGCCTCATGTGCAGTACATAGCCAGAATACATGCCTATAATAACCGTTCCATCCAACTTGCTCTAAAACCTCTACAATGCTATCTTACATCCGCCCATTCGCAACACAAACCACAAGCCAAACCCTACGTACCATTTCCAAACCGACCTTCACATCCAGCATATCAAAAATCACAGCCGCAAAAATGTCCACCGGAAACCTCAACATCGAAACCAAAGACGTGAAAACCGCCCCGGGTGTCAAGCTCTCAGAAGAACAAAACAAAATCGTAGGCTCCGTCCTCGACCTCTTCGCCGGTCGCCCGTCCCTTCCTAAACTGCGCCTATGGCGTGACGACGCTACTTTCACAGACCCCATTACCATCGCTGAGGGCCGCGACAAGTACTCGGCACAATGGTATGGACTGCAATCGGCATTCAGCGAGATTGAGCGCTTGAACCACCAGGTCAAGGATGCGGGGAACCCTATTCTGATGGATTTGAGGACAAGATATGTGATCAAGGGACTGGGAAAAGAGCAGTTGATTCAGAGTGAGGTGGCTATCCATTTGGATGCAGAGGGCAAGATTGCAAAGGTTGAGGATAAGTGGGATGGCAAGTTGCCGGATAGCAGTATTGCTAACGTAAGTCACTCCACATGGAGTTCTTGTTGGGATAGTTATGCTAACGTTTTGTACAGGCTTTCCGACACTTGAACGCTGTTACTGTACCCAAGTTTGTTGGTGTACCGAAGAATGATGAGGAGGACAGGCAGAGGGGAAACCAGTAGTTATATCCTTGTGTAAATCGAGTAGTCTAGCGCCGAGTACATTAACGTACTGCGTAAACTCGTAATTCGTAAATCATTACAACATGTATCATGTCTTTTATCGTGCTCTTTTTACATCGTTCCTCTCCTCATGCGCCATGGAACATCCTGCCCAAGGCTAGGTGTAGGAACAGTCCGACAACGCCAGCGCCTACACCTAGCACTTTCAGACTCGGTGCTCCTGCAACGATCAATATTGTGCCGCATCCTCCTTGCTCCGCTCTGGGTAGATCAGGTCCGTCCATTGTGATTGTAGCGCAGAAGCCGCCTTGCACTGTAGCTGGGTTCTGGTATACGGTCGTTTGGGGAGGCGGTTGAGCGTACACGATTGCCGTTTGCTGCTGGGGGTACACAGTTACGGTCGTGACCTGTGCGACGTTTACCGCGCCTCCACATTGGTTTCCGCTTGGACAGCAGCCAATGAGTCCGTTGGAGTTGCCGGGTACGGCGCATTCGTAGCCTGATGGACAGCACCTGAGTCTGATCAGCAGGAGCTATGCCATCTTCAAGCAACCCTACTTACCAACTAGGCTGGTTGACATTGCTGCAGCTCACTGACGCGGATGAAGGACACCAGTTTGCATCTTGCGCTACGACTGATTGGCCTTCTGGGTTTACGATATATACGGCGCCGGAGAATGGCGCATTGTTCGAGATTTGCTGTGGTATAGCTTCAGGCTTTGCGATGGGTTCAGCGACACACAATGCCAACGTCGCGACGACCAGGCTCCATGGCGCAAAGGATATCATAGTGCTAGTAGTCGCAAAGGCTGGCGGAAAGAGCTATCGGGTGCGACCAAGGTCTCCAGTGACGAACAACAAGGAATAGAGAGATATGCTGCTGGATTAGTATTGCGACGAAAAGGCACAGCTTCAGAAAGACGAGAGATCAAAAATCAGCAGTCAGTCGGGCGCATACCGGGCTGCTACCCTGCCCTTAAGACTGACCGGATTACCTTGGAAGCTTCCTCTAGAGAGCTGGGATAGCTCCACAAGCTTGCTGCATGTTGGGCTAGCTCGTCATGGACAGCTTCATGCCGGCCTAGTGGGGAGGCGCACTATTGGTAGCCTCGACGGCACCGAGGTCTAGTTCGCGGTAAAGTGGTCCGACTTAGCTGCTTTTTGCAAAGGCTCACATTCGGGCATCATGGCAAAACGGCGGTGTTGAGGTGTGATGGGGCTGCAGTGGCCGGGTGGCCCTTGTGAACGATGCTTGCTGCCCATCTTCCGATCATGTTTGCTGGCAGTGGAGAGTAGGGCGAGGTTACTGGGCGTCAGCAGTGCGCAGCGAAAGCCTTGATTGCTTCCCTGCAATTGCACAAGCCACACTTCTTGGGAGCGGCTGCATCGGATGCCATCGCGTGTTGAGGTGCATGAGGATAGCTGCACATGCGCCGATCTTCCGAAGGACTGAGATCGGCTTAGTCAGACCTTTCATGGGCACGTGATCACGCAGTGGTGGCGATCTGTCGCGTCGCGTCTCTTATGCTTTCATCCCACCTTGTGCATTGGTAACACAATATGACATGTCAACGCAGGCATCATCGCGTCCTTATCGGTTATACCCCGCATATTGTTTTAAAGCATCACCTACATACAATACATGGGTGAAGCTTACAGCTGCAGATGTGCAGGCTCTTCGTTCTGAGAAGGAGTTCCAAGGTAGTAGTAGTTCTGATCAGTGTCATAGCTGTTGCTGAGATACTTGAGCAGCGCAGCGCGGCCTGTACTTCCACCTCAACCACCCCATCCGATATGTCCGCATCGTCGGGGTCGTAGTAGCCATCGACGAGATCAATCTCAGATACACAGCTCTCACCATCGATGACGGAAGCGGCGCGACCATCGAGCTGAAGATCGTGCGAATACCCCCCGTTGAGCAGAACCCCGTAGACACGTCCTCGAACACAAAGGTCAGCAATCTGAACATCGTCAGCCGATTGGGCATCTTCGAAGTCGTAGTAGACGATCAGCCACTAGATATAGGCTCTGTCGTCAAGGCAAAATGCACGATATCAGAGTTCAGAGGCAACAAGCAGCTTGAACTGCAGCGCATCTCAGTCATCACGACGACTGACGAAGAAGCACGAGCATGGGCCGAAACCGCTGCGTTTAAGCAGACGGTCCTGTCGCGCCCATGGCATATCTCGTCAGCCGAGCACAAGCAGATTAAGCACAAGATAAAGTCAGATGAGAAGAAGGAACGGGAATATGAAAGGCGCAAGGCGGAGTACGAGGTCAAGAAGGAGGAACATAGACTGGCGAGGGAGGCATATTATGCGCAAAGAGAAAAGAAGCTTGAGGCGCGACGCCGAAAGGAGGAGGTCATGCTGAATTCTGGTGCTTTGATATGAGATGCTGAGTGACCGCCAACACGCCGACGTTGCTGAATGGGTGCGGGGTTGTGGTGGCGCAGCGCGTCGCTTCAGCCTGATCAAGTACGCTGGACGTTTGTCGTCCATCTCATCTTCCCACCCTACGCATAGCTTCTCTACCGCTCCGAACAGACTGGAGCCGGCCAGGATCGAATGAGCGCCACACAGCTTGCACACTAAAGCCATGGATGACATCAGCGTAATCACGCAACGCTTCGATAACCTCTTACATGAATCTACCGATCAGGCTGAGAGCCCGTCAACATCACAAGATGCGCAACCACTGCAATATGACAGAATACCACGGGGTCGCAGCATCAGGGTCCTTGATCTGGCTCCCGGCACATGGGACGAACCTGTCAATTGTTCCCTAAGAACAGTTCATTTGGATGATGACGACCCTCGCTACGAAGCGATCTCATACGCCTGGGGCGATCACAACGATCGGAAGCCAGTTATCTGCAATGGATACGCCATCACCACAACACGCAGTCTGTTCGAGGCTCTTCAGCGCTTCCGACACGTCAATACCACAAGGACGCTCTGGGCCGATGCACTGTGTATAAACCAAGCCGATGGCGACGAAAAAACACTACAGGTGCGGCTGATGAGTTATATCTACACAAAAGCTGTTCGGGTACTTGTGTGGCTGCAACACGATGATGATCGAATAGTCCAGGATTCCTTAAATGCCATATGCCGATTTGTATCTGAAGAAAATGGCTTTGGTACATTTGGAGGCTCGGATAATGTACTGAAACCGACGCCCAATATAATGTATCGGTGGCTCGATGTAGACGTCACTACCGTTAGCGAAATGGAGTCCTCCGAAGTTACTGATGTCGCTATTGATGCTCTGCAACTTGTCTGCAGCTCACCTTGGTTTAGTCGGGGATGGGTAGTCCAGGAAGTGGCATTAAGCACTTCGGCGTCAGTGTTTTGGGGTCACAGTGAAATCGACTTTGATTGGCTGGGTATCGCGGTTTACTGTGTCATCGACATAGATGCTTCCAGGTTAAGCCTAGAAATGGGCTATTGCCAATCTCTCTCTTCGGTGTGGAGCAATGCACGTCGCTCCCGTGGTCTACGGCAATCTCTTTTCAATTTGATTGCATTAACCAGCGGCTTCATATTCGGTGAGCCAAAGGACAGAATCTACGGGCTACTGGGGTTGAAAACATTCGAGTGCGATCTCGCAGATGGTCAATCTTTCATTGACCCCGACTATAATATTACGACTATGGAATGCTATCGCAGGGTTGCAGCAAAACTTCTCACTGAGTGGCACGACTTTAGGCTACTTTCCTGGATGCGCTCCGTTCCACAGTCAGCTGAAGACTGGCCATCATGGGTGCCGGACTGGTATCAAGACTTCAAATCCTCGTTTGCGGGGTTTGAACATACGGACTATCAAAAGGAAGATATCTCGGATCATATTCAAGTATCAGAAACGAGTCTTGGTGGAGTTCAGTGCATCGAAATCTCAGGTTTCAAGGTTGACACGATAAACCGAGAAATCAAAGAATATGTCACCTTGTTAGATTTCGACGACGACGATGACGTTCGTTCCGTGTTGGAAGCATTTCAAGCCTTGCTTCGCCGCTTGGAGCACATATATGGCCAACAGTGTCTTGCGTTCACCTTTGGCAACTCCCAAAGGTATCTACCGCTAGATGCTGTCCGTATTATGAATCTTTCAAGCGAATACGGCGCATTCTTGAAGAGAGATTTTGTCCAAGACATCTATTCGCCGACTGGATCATGGGTAGATGACGAAGACGATTCCTTCGTACCGAGCGCGGACAGATTCGTTAGCAGGTGCTCTCGTGATGCAACTGATCGTTGCCTTTTCATTACTAGCACGGAAATGTTAGGCATTGGTCCTCACGCCATGATACCAGGCGACGTCGTGGTCATGTTACACGGTGCCGAGGTACCCTTCGTTCTCAGGCCTGTGGACAACGGTCTCTGGAGGCTTATAGGCGAATGCTACCTCTACGACGTCAACGAAGGTCGCGTTCATCGAGAATGGAAAGAGAAAGGTAGCGTGTCTGAGAAGTTCACTATCTGCTGAATCGCCGACACGTCAAGTACCGGATAATCGCCTTACTTTCCGTTCGCATCGACGGCTTCCAGCTTGCCTACTCGCGTATGCGTCGGGAAGTCCAGTCGACGCCTTGCGATAGGCAAATAATACGCAATCAGATACGAACAAACGATTTCATTGATCCGAAGTCGACATCTTCAAGCCGTAGATGATGTGCACGACCAGTAGTTTCGCTTGAAGGAGAGACCAACTGGCCTCTCTGGTAGCACCTGCTTTGTACGTTGGTCCACTACGGTCCCCCAAAATCAATTTCTGCTCCTTGGTTGTATGCTTATGTTACGTTGAAGAGGCATGAGTAATGTATCTCATCAACCCTTAAAGACTGTGATTGTGAGAGAGTGCGACATCACTGCATATCAAAGAGTTTGCTCGGTGTTTGAATCTAACGAGGCAGCAGACTCCAAGAGATGATTCACCATGTTCCAAGATTGCTTCTTTGGGCTTTGAAGATTGATGATAGCATGCGGAAAGCAAGGAAAACTGCGAATGACTATTTACAGCAAACACAAGCGTCCTTAAAAGCTACGCACATCATCTGGATCTAACACTGCACAAGCTTCCCATCTTTGAACCATGAGCGACACCAGAGCCGAATCGCTCACGAAGAAACTCAGGAAGGAATTTGGTTACGTACCAGCATGGAAAGTCTCGACAACACAGCAATGTCTTGACGCCCACCATACACACTGGCTCATCAAGCGAATTTATTGTGGGTCGGCCGACGACTACAACAGATTCCGTCCACTTGCTAAGATGGTACATCGAGCATGCAAGAAGGAAATTGGCGAGCTTCCAGAAGTCACAGAAGATATGATCAAACATTGGATTTCGGTGAATGTCATGGATGACACTGAAATCAAGGCAAAATACCAATTGCTTTATGATGAGGCGAATCCTAATATGCGGAAAGCGAAGAAGCTATTAGCCGAGCTGAGGCGGGACGAAGGAGGCTGCATCACGGTCGGTGAAGTGCAGGTAATGAGGTGGTTTGAGAGGGGGTTCGACAAGGAAGCTATCGTGCCCAAATACAAGAATCGCATAAAAGAGGCAACGCTTTTCAGTCGCGCGGAAGCTTTACGGTTTCGCTTACAAGAGGAGCTCAAGTCTACTGAGGTGGCATCAGTACCTGAACTGCTGGGCCATTTCCGTGAGAATCTCGATGATAACGCAATCATTCGTCACTATCAGGACATGATATCCCAAGACCCTGAAGGAGGAGTTGCACCGGCGGCAGTTTGATAGCCTGCTGGCGCAGCAAAGTGAACATACCTGGTGGAGATAAAACGCGTCTCGATGGAAGATGATTTATTTAGCATGGAAGTGAAAGTCAGGTAGTAAACATTGCATCCAATTCACTCGAGAAAAATATGATTATACCTTGATCAGGCTAGCGGCAGAGATCTATCACTTTCCCAATCCGCGCCCACATATATCCCACGAAGACTCCTCCAACCATTTGGCACAGAGTGTCTCTATATCACACTTCTTGATTAGAATTATACAAGTGCCCAAAGCCGACAAGTATATCCGCGAATTCCACCCCGCGCTGAAGTTCCAAGCTCAAGCCCAGACTGCGACTCTTGCGCTCGACCCTCTGCACAACTGCAGACTACCAAAAGACAAAATCGTCATGGCCGACCACGGCGCAGGTCCTGCAGCATCCCAGCTCAAACGCATCCCGCTGGGTGACTGGAGCCGTACCGAGTATCTTTACATCCAACTGCAGAGTGAACTGCTCCTTGCCGTTGCATGTCTGCCCGTCACCCCCCGCCATCTTATCGACGACGCGGCTCAGTTTATTGGTTACCGCAATTACTTCAAGTCCACCGACGCTGCGACCCGCGATTACCCGAGCGAGACAGGTAATGGTGTTGTGAAAGGCACCCAGGCCTTTTTCGACAAGCGCGACGAGCTATCTGGATCCGTCATGTGGGCCCTTCGACAGAAGAGTCTAGCAGTTGTCAACGAAGACTCTGTACCGAGTTTCGACAGCGTTCAAGTTACGCCTGATATGTTACAAGATTATCGTCAGATTCGCGAACGCCTTGGCTTCGACACATACTTGTATGATCCAAAGTTGTGGCCTGAACTCTGGGCATTCCTCCAAGACGCCGCTCGTAACCAGTTTCCTGAATTCAGCGGAGATGCTACCCAGGCTGGTTCCGCACAAGATGTCGGTAACAATGGCGACGTGGACGTCGACATGTATTCCAATCCCACCGTCGCACCCGGTCCTGTCAATGACACGGCAGCCACATCGGACCACGGCCCAGCAGATGGGGATGAGATGCCTGGTGCCGATGCTGACGCGGATGAGGAAGGGGACGCCGAAGACAACACTGAAGACGACGAAGACGACGAGGACTCGGGAGCGGCCCGGCCAGCAGCCCAGCCAGCGACCCGCCAAGGCCCAGATGACTTCGTACTAGAGACGGGAACTGTCCGGTGCACTGAGTGGTCGAAGGAGACAAACTCGCGATGCAAGCGACATGCAGACAACGAGAACGAAGACCGCCGGACGTGGAGATGTCACAACCATGATCCGGTGAGGAAGGCCAAAATCAAGGCTGATCGTTTGGCGAGGAACCGCGCGGCGAAGGCGGGAAAGAAAGGAAAGATGGCGAAGAAAGCTGGAGTAACGAAGCCAAAACAGCAGAAGAAGAATGCGGGCAAGAAATCAGCAAAGTGAGAGCGTACGAGAGCATGCGGGAGATGCACTTGGGAAGCTGATATTGGTGGACGAAGAAGAAATAGTTCGGCCACATAACAAGTCTTCAGAGTGAGCGTTTTGAAGGGAAGTACGACACGTGTGGGCAGAGCCAGCTTTCGAGCTACTTTGCACAATTCAGGACGGAAAAGTTTTTGAAGAAGGCAAATTTGGCCGGATAATACAACGTACAGGAAAGACATCGGCAGTGCCTGAAGACTGGAGTAAGGCATTACGGAGATGATTTAGTGAGGCGTTCATGGTGCATCAGGTGTTCTGCGGAAGGTATTTCAAGGTTACTGTGTTAACCAGCTTGCTGTTCCAGTAGCAGTCCCTGTATCATAGCTTAATGGCTTTAATGACTTGTCACTCATCGAATCTTCTGCCTATTTATCTGTGTGCATATGGACGAATTGCTGTCCGTTCAGGCGGGTGAATTTGCTTTTGCGCACAGTGCCCGGACGTAGGGATGAAAGGCTGAGAAGAAATGACGTTGACGTTTATAGCACGCTATGACATCATCCCGTGTTGCGGATGCGTCGAGCTATCAGCTATCGCGCTGCGCGTACCATACACCCGGAAGCTTACAAGTGGTCCAGACGGGCTTAGATGTGGCATTCTCTGTATCTTCGTACGAAGATATAATTCTTGCAGGTGCGATGCGACAGCAACTTTGATCCAAACCTATTAACAGCAGCAACGCTGGCAGACACAACATATAACTTCACGATGCTTGGAAGCAAACGGCCAGGATTCCTAATACACCAAGTCGTGCATCTCTAATAGGACGTTGACTCTGTTGACTTTGGTGGTATCTGTGATAGGTATGACTATCCAACGGAGACGATGCTCTAGTCGTAGTTCAGAAGCAACCAGATTCTTCCTAAATTTCTGCTTTTAAACGACTGCACGCAGCTTGTACTGTGACAAAAGAGGAAGCGAAGATGAGCGTTGAAATGTATCGAGGCGCAGTCGATGTGAGGCTCGGCACAAGCCAGTGTCCTGGTGCTATCGGAGCGAGGAAGGGCTAAGCGCGGCCAGTCTTGCTTGTAAGCGTAAGATTCAGGGTCATGGCTACCGTGTTGGCATCAGGTTATCAAGCTACCATGGTACCGTCAACTCCCTTACCGTAAGTACCCTTCGTCTTCGTTAGTCTCCTAATTATCCGCAAACTAACACCTTTTCTCCTCAGATACGTTTTTTTCACATCGTCTCGCAAACTCACCAGCTTCACATCGATTCAGTTACCAATAAAGTAAATGCGCGGAAAGCCCCACTCACCTACCGGCAATTCGGAGCTATGATGGACATGGAATGGGAACGAGTTTCATGGCGTCGCTACGCAGCGCACTTCTCGCTGTGCGTATTGACAGTCTACATCTCCAATCTCATTACGGAAACACCTTTCCCTACAGCCATGATCTGGGGCGGCGCGCCTTATATCGGTCTCATCGTTTCGCTCGCTACCCAGTTTGGGCCACCAGGTGTTCCCGCGTCGCAGATGTATTGCTCCATCACAGCTGTCATGCTATTGTATCTTGACAAAGCTGCGACCGCTCTCGGCAAGGCCGCTGAACCAAGTTTTGACAACACTGGAATTCAACATCATGCAGTTCACTTCGCGCTTGCTTTCTTCGTTCTGTCGGAGCTGGAGTACCGTCGGCAATATATTGTGGCGAAAGGCATGGAGCACTTTCGTAACTACCCGTTGGACTTGTTGCTTGCCGAGATTAATCTCACCTTCAATGTCTCTCGCCATCCAAGTGTATACTGTTATGCGGCATCTTACACCGAAACGGGTGGATTTAAACGAGGGCCCTGGCTAGGCTCGCTCTTTATGGTCCTGGATTTTTATTCATTTTCTTTGATTGGTGGCTGCTTCAACTATGGGATCATGCTCATGGTCAACCAAGGCCATACAACGGATTTACACTTCATGTTTGCGATCTTCAACTCCAATGTCTTCTTCAATACAAAAAACCTGTGGGTTCTCTCACTGGGCCATGGGGTTCTATCCAGATTCGTGCGTCAGGCCAACTTTATCACGGTTTGGGGATTTCTTCGGGCTTCGGCTCAAGCTCTTGACTGGTGGAACGGCAACGACACAGCTTCGTTGGACAGTCGATACCCATCATCGCAAAGCCTGGAGACTGACTATAGCCTCCTCCTTCCGGGCAAGACTGAAGAGAAGGTCTAATGCTTCCTTCGAAGAGTTTCCCAACGCCCTAGTCTCTACTCATAACTTGTACACACATCTCACTGCCAGTACCATTACCGATGTCGGACACGGAAACCCATCAGCAGCAACGCGCATCTCCCCAGCTCCTTGGCCTACCAATCCCTTACGCCCACGTCATGAGTACATATACGAGATACCTTCTATTACAGGAAACCGGGAACGATACCACCTTCATCGCCTATCGGTCAAAACGTCCCTCTTTTTGCCGGAGTTTATCATGGACCAGGCGACTAGCGCCTCACTTCACTTCAACTGTCTTTCAGTCTTGGGTATTTGTAGTCTCCTCGGTACGGGTGTGTAGGGCTCTGCCTCGTCTACTACTTGCCTCTTGTACTCTTCAATGTACGTGTCGAGACGATCACTCGAGACTCCGTTCTGTTGCAATTGATTCAACTGACAAGGGTTAGTGTCCGAGACGGCGAGCCGCACATGGAGGCAAATGCACGAGCGAACCATCGTCACCACCCACAAGATATCTCGCATCAAGAAGACCCTCTCGTTCGTACCGTTTTAGATATCTACCTCTGGCCGCGCCTTCGTACTATACCTTACAACTATAAACGTCTTCATCCGTCGCTCGATAGCACAACGTCTCTGTGTTGCGGCGCGCATGGGCTCCGTATCAGGGCCTCATGCTCTTCTTTTGCGGCTATAGATAATCTCTCCATCTACAAGCTTCTTACCCAAGGATATACAAGGTACGTGTTTAGCTCATGGTCTACTTGACAGTATGTATACTGATATGCTTGCTGAGATCTAAGACTGGTCTGGGTTATATGTTGACTGCCAGCGTGGCAGCTTGTTCTTAACACTTGTAACATGTGGCGACGGGTCAAACAAGATGTTGAGTAGTTCGATATTCGCATTGGATTCTTACAAGGCAACGCCATCTCAATACTACTATCCGTTTGCTTTCAGACATGACCCTGCTACTGTAAAAGCTCCTCCATCACCTCAGTAGGTGTTTTCTTCGGCGCAGCAATCTCCAGCACTTCCTTGCTTGTCGTCTCCGCCTTCGCCTTACCCTGCCACGCCGTGTCTGGAGCATGCTTGATAGTAAGAATCACGTTCTTGGAGTAGCTCGACGCAGCAGCCATATCGTCTACGAACCCGACATCTTTGAACGAGACATCTTCAACCTTGGCGCCAATGTGCTTCTCAACCATCGCCACTATCTGGTTTCCCGTAATATCTTCAGGGCCATTGAGAACATATCTGCGCTTGTTGTGCGCAGAAGTGTCGTCCTGGAGCAAGAGATGCGCAGCAAACGGACCAACCTCTGAGGGATCGATGATACCAACCGGACTATCAGCGTCTGCCATCAAGCGTAAAGTATGTTGCTTGCCGCCATTACGGACAGTCTTGATAAGCTCAGCAGCAGTGCCAAGGTAGAGTTGCGAGAACACATTTGGCTGCAAAGAAGACCAGTGCATGCTTTCAAAAGCTGGTGAATCGAGCATGGCCTCAATCGCCCAGTGCGCACGCGGGTAGTAAGCCTTGCAGTCTGGGGTAACGTTTGCGGCTGTCGTGGAGATGCGCACAACGTATTTGACGCCAGCACCGAGGGCTGCGATGTGGAATGTTGACTCGTCGGCGAAATGTGGTGGCTCGTTGTGTGATGCTATGAAGGCTCTAGTAACGTTGTGTTCGCGCAGCCACTCCGTAGTAATCTCCGTCCAAGTGTATTCGACAATCTCGACGTGAGGAAATTTGGCGAGTGATTTTGCTGACGAGCTGTTTGCAGAACGGGTCACAGCGAGGATGCGATAGTCGGAAAAGGTCTTGCTGGATTTGAGGTGGTTCGACAGGGTCTCAACGACGCTGCGACCGGTATTGCCTGTGGCACCGACAACGAGAAAAGAAGCAGCCATGATTTAACTAGGTAACACAGTAAATAATTGGTTTAGAAGATGAAGTTCAGAGTATTTTGAAGATCTAAGCCTATTGAAAACCATACTCGACTTTTGTACACCCCTGCGGAGTGTCATCAACTCCGTGGTGGCACTACTTGCAAGCTGTACCGCTCTACAACTAACCGCACTCCGCACCACGCATCCGTGTTTCGCCCGAACATCAAACCATTACGCGAGGGACTGCTGCGGAGAACAGCCAATCAGATCATTACAATACTATTGCCACACGCCGTTAGTAGGGTGGGGCAAGCACTAAGAGATGGTGCAGATCGTGCAACACCATGGATCCGAGCAAAAGTAAGAGCTGATATGACGCCATTGTTGTAAGATATTATGGCGTAACGTTCCTCCCTGAGTGCTGGGACACCCAAGATCGGCTCGCTGTGCTTCCAGTACTCCAAGGCCGTCAAGGACGCGAAAGACGATATCGAGCGCGTGCAGAGAAAAGTTGACGATATCGAGCGTATCCAAAAAGACATTAAGAAGCTATTAGAGGGACCGCATAAAGCACGGTTCTCCACTACTTATCGCCTATTCGACTCGTTAAGCCAATGTCTTCAGGAGCTCAAAGACCTGAAGGTAAAATTGGATCCAGGGAAGACTCGCAAGACCATGAGCCGGTTTGGCGTGCGAGCTCTACAATGGCCGTTCACTAGCAAGCAGGTGGACAAGATCGTTTCAAACTTAGAAGGGTATAAGCAGACCTTTAGTTTGGCGCTCCAGGTTGATCAGACGTAAGCTTCTGCACACGGAGCTGTTATGCGCAAGTAAAAGAAACTAACCAGCTCCTAGGGATTTAATGCTTGACGTTGACCAGAAGCTAGACCTGGTAACTCTAGATGCCCACAGTCTTCATCGAAAGCTAGACCTGGCCAGACTACCCATTGCCCAAGGCGCATGCTACAACTCCCGCAACGAAGAGCACAACGCACGATGCCTTCCGAACACACGTACTAAGCTGCTAGACGACATCACAACATAGGCGCAGAACAAGGATAGCAAACCTATATTCTGGCTGAGCGGCATGGCTGGCACAGAAAAATCTACTATTGCGCGGACGGTCGCTCAGTTGTTTGCTAATCGCGGCCAGCTAGGGGCAAGCTTCTTCTTTAAGAAAGGCGAGGGTGAGTGCGGCAACGCCTTACGGTTCTTTACTACTATCGCTATGACCTAGTGGCGCATAAGCTAGGCGTGGTACCTGGGATAAGGAAGGCGCTTAACGAAGACTCGAAAATTGCGGACAAGGCTCTGAAACACTAGTTTAAGAAGCTAATCCTGCAGCCACTCTTGGGAGTAAAGCAGGCTGGCTCCTAGGTCTTAGCGCGTGTTGTTGTGATCGACGCGCTAGACGAATGTGAGCGAGAAGCAGACATTCGGGCGATCCTCCAGCTCCTTGCTCGGACAAAAGACATCCATCCAATGCCACTACGGATCGTGGTGACTAGCCGGCCAGAGCTTCACATCCTCGCAGTCTGTTGTACCCCTGCGCTTTTTATCGTATGTGCCAACATTCGGTACATCTCATTCATAAGCCATATCACCGCGCTCTCAGCTGTATGCCCTTTGTTTCTCATCTCAACACCAAAGAAGATGTCATCCTTCTTATGCGCTCCAACATAACCTTAACCCCGCGAACAACGCTTTCGATGCTTCTCCAGTTCCTCCTCACTTCCCTCAATAAAAACGGCGTCATCCTCGATCTTGAATCCGTGCGACAGAAACCACGCCGGAAGTTCCTGCGAGCTCCGGTTGCGGTAAAGCGTTATCGTCCCGGGGGTACCAGGTGGACTTCTAAACTGATCAGGATGGCCAAACCTGAAATACCTATATTCCATCATCATCCTCATCATTCCGCCAAATACTGCCCCTGCCACACGACGCTCTCTCTCCCTTTCCTCCCAACCATCGTATGAACCGCTGTTCAAATCGTACAGTGCAGCTTCTGCTTCGTCGCTGGCTTCGGGTGTATTCCTATTCTTCCTGAACCAATCAAAGTCCCAGTGCTGGATTGCTGCCCGAAAGTTATCTTCGTTCCATTCCTTTTCTTTAGGGCATGTTGCCCGTGGTAACTCAGTTCCGGCGAAGTTTTTCACCATCTCCTGTTTTGCTTTGTGTTTCTTTTCTCTTGCCTTACGCAACGGAGAGTCGATGAGTACCGTAGGTACCCATCCTTTGGGAGGGTCTGAGTAGGGCTGCAGTCGTGGCGGACCAGACTCTGGCCTGATAGGCTGGCCTGTGGTGGGGGATGTGGTCGCTTTCTTGTATTGTGGGCACCACTGGTCGTGGATTGACTTGGCCGCGAGTTGAGCTTTCAGGATGGTAATCTCATCAGTGAGCCGCTGAATTTCAGCATCGTTCGCGTTCTCGGCGTTGTACTGCGTCGGTTTGCGTTTCGTCATGGCGAATTGTTGCAGGTCTTGAAATCGTGTTACGGTATCAAAGAAGTGGGTATGATTTTTGTGTGCGCGAAGCCTTCAGTGAGTCATTTAGTGAAAGCGGCATGTTGAACCAAGGTTCACGACTTCTGCTCGGCGAACCAAAACGTTAACATTACGACGCCAGCTTCCAGTGTCAGTCGTCCACCAGCCACATAAGTTCTTTGTAGTCTGGTCCGGTCGCCGTTCATTCGCGTCGATTGAAAACATTATCCCGCCGACAACACAGGCTGGACCTACTCGACTAAAGCTACTCGGCTATGGTACTTTCGCGCACAGAGTCGGAAAAACTTTGTCCGTTACTTTACTCGCCTCCAGCTGATTGCGTTTGATTCGAATAAGGCGCCCAGCTCCATGCGTCGTCCTCCTCCACAATTGCTTGGTATACCAAGCTTTCCAACATCGTACGACCATCTCCGTCTTCCTGTGCGACCTAGACGTCTTTCTCGGAGGGCCGCGCGCGCGTATACCAAGAAGAACTGGACTCGCTGTGCAAAGCTGGACGCTGCCTGGGTCGGTCGGTAGAACATATGACCCGACCATAGATTTTTGTAAGATCTGCAGGTCCGTCTCGTGGAGATACATCCTATACCGGTAAGACTCGCTTGGTTGTTGACATCCTTGCTCTCCGCTTCTTGTGGGGTCAATCCTTTCCGGATAAAGCAGGTCTCTCGTATTTGCAGCCTCGAACATCACGACTTTCTAGGCGTCCAACGTCTTTCAAATTCGGTTCTTCAAGAGACCGCTTTAATATAAGGCTATTGCTCCTAGAAATATCTCTCTTCTAGGGTCTGCAAGGGCAGGGCTTCAATTGTTCGCCATCATCTCTTAGGGCTTGGTCACTGATACGACCTAGAATTATTAACCTGAACTTCGCCCTTGATCGGGAAGGAGTCCCGCAGGGCGGAGCTTGATTTGATCCTACACTTTGACGTACGGAAGGATTTTACGCCCTGCATCTACTTGAGTTCTCAGTCATACGTTTCTATCCAAATATCCGTTACTAGCTTACTGGTAACTTGCACGCTATACACTTTGCACACAGGAAAGTTGTATCTCACGGCACAACCACACCATTCCGTACTAGAGTTTCCTACGCCCGACTTGCTCTTCCAATTATCGCTGTGTCTCTCTGTCGACGACTAGTCTCTTTCACACTGGTCGTTCGGAAGTCAGGCGTTTAACACTTCTTTCACCTCCCATTTACTGCGTAGGTGCATTACCGAACAGGATTACTCCACAGTCTCGATATGCGATCAGCCTGAATTGAGGTATGGCAAGGACGGCACGTCCTAGCAATAGTTAATCGTGAGAAGCATAAAAGAAGTCGCTCGCCTCCCCGATCTCATCCTTCTTTACTCCTTTCAAGCCTTAAGTCATCAACACCAGAGCCCTTAAACCTAACTCTTTCTCCACCCCGGTTCTCAACATGAAGTTTTCTACCTCCCTCATTATCTTGACTTCAGCAGTCACCGGCGCCATGGCCGAAGGCTGTTATTCCGGCGGCCAGGCATGGGCCACCGATGCCTGCCTGAATGACTTCAAAAATGCTATCAGAGACCTGTGTAACAACGGTGTTCTCGGTGGTTATTTCAACAATGGCGGTTACAAGTCAGCTTGCGCCAATTGCCGGAGCAGTGGTATTAGGGTGGATCTTGGTGTGGGCTGGAAGGGCCAAGGCGCATTAAGCCTAAACAACGGCGACTGCGCTAAGGAACTGAGCGGCCTGCTCGATCGCTGCTACCGTGGCGGCGAGCACACTAATGCTGACTGGTATTTCTAGTAAGTAGCTATACACACATCGCTAGCTGTGCAACGACAATGATTGCTAACGGCCTCTGTTTTTAGTGCGGACCCTAACACGACTAACAATGGTCGCTGCTGATTCGACCAGCTTGGCTGTTTGGGAAGGATGAGTTTGGGGTGATATAAATGATGGGCGGGCGCAAAAGAAGGGACGGAGAGAAGCTCGTGTGGGCTTTCGACGAGAAGGAAGAGCGTGTTGTAAGATACCGCAGGCGAAGAGCGATCTACCCTAAACAGAGCGTACCGATGCTGGAGTAGAAGATCAATTGTCGCAGGTCAAGTGCTGTCGTAAACCTTGTTACTAATAACGCCGTGTGATGACCTTCATATAAGTTGAGCTAGGATGCTACAATTAATACAACATACACTCTCTCTTGATTGTTCGGTCCACAATACCCGCACCTAACCGTGCGACATCAATGAACTACCATACTTGCCGACTTGACCTGTTCCTTTGCCAGTCTTCTCTTCCGTCGTTGAGGTTGTAATCGTAGCTTGTCTAGTTCGCGTTCTTAAAGTGACGTCGCAATCTGAGGGACTACGGTAAGAACCAATTCATGCAGGGAAAGCCTAGCTTGGGACCTTGGTCAGCACTGTCTCCCATTAGCTTATTCCTCTAACAGCACATCAACCTACATACCTCATCCGCACATCCACACCACGTCTTATGTGAACTCGCTTTCCTCGCATACGAACTAATGACGAAAACCACACCGCCCGTAACACTGTTAAGCTGATGTAATTCTTTCCCGATCCCGCTGAGATGTTCAAACACGAACGCTCTCCTTAAGGCCACACGATGCGCCACTAATAGCATGATTGTACTTGCCATCATCTTCCGGATGTCTTTGCGTTTGTGTCGCACAACGCAAGCGCATGGGGAGATACGTCTCACAAATGATCGAAGGCAAAGACAAGCGAAAGGTATAAGAGATGTAACACTTCCCACTGGAATGCTAACAAGCTTTATATAAGATCAGAAACATTTCATTGCTATACGCACTGTTACAAACTGCCGAGTTCACTGCGCGATCTATGCCACAATGATACGACGTAACGAGAGGACAAAATCCATGCCAGTAGTCCTCCTTTGAAGGGTCTCGAGATATTTGGGGAGACGGCGCTCGAGCGCGTTGATTCCTACCGAGACTTTTGGCTACAAGTCGTCGTCGTAGTTCTCATCTACCTCCATGTCGCGAGTAGCACGAAGGTCGGATTCGACCTGGGTCTCCGTATCATGGTACCTATCCGCCTCCTCAGCTTCCTTGGTATCCCTGTCTCCTTGTAGAGATGGAGAACCACCATCGTCATCGTAAGGTATGGCCAGCTCAAGAAGCTCTTCTTCGACATCGTCGAGCTTGTCCTGTCCGGCAAAGGGGTTGGCCTCGCCGGTTCTCGAGTACTTGGCAGGCCGCTCGTCCTCTTCAAGCTGATCTGAAGCATAGCGCTTGCCGCCGGGATGAAGATCAGACGCGTCTGACTTTTCATTGTCATCATCCAACCCTTCCACGTGCTTCGACGTCTTCTTGGATGTATCATCCTCATCATCGCTCTCATCGGCACCACCGTGTGCTTTGTCATGTGCAAGTTGGTCGGCCTTGCTAGGTTTGCCAAATTTACTCGCAATATGGTTCGATAGAGCAATACCCTCAGCCGACTTGTCGCCGCGCCATCTCACAATTGGTACCCTGCCACGATCGTAAAACGGCTTGTACGCTGTGTACTGGTAGCGAACGCTCTCCACTGTTCGACCAATAGACAAGCTTCCTCCCATCACCTTCATAAAACCGGTGCTCTCCTTATAGTCTTGGCCCATGAAGCGATCATTGTGGCGCTCGGCGAGGTCCAAAATGGATGCATCGGGGTCTTCGCGGATCAGTCGAGCCAGGTACTTTCGCTCAATCTCTGTCCAAGGTGCATCCATGGTCTCACGATCGATAGCCTGGTAGCGACGATCGTTGAGAGCCTTGATGCTTTGCTTGGAGTTCCAATCCCTGGGTCTCTTTCCATAACAGTAGACGTCTGGTGATCGCTTCGGCACGGAGGTTTTTCTATTCAGCCGCATATCGATGAGCCGAACTGCAAGCAGTTCTTCTTGGTCACGATCGATGGGAAGACTCGCCATGTTGGCCGGATCAATAGTATAATGGTGCTTTACCAACTGCGAACCACGCTTATATCGATAGCCACGATTCTCGAACAAGGGAGGATTAGTCTGTCCGTTGCTCGCACGAGCAGATGGTTGATCAGGAGCGGGCCGAGCACTACCGGTCACGGGCCTGTCACCCCAGAACTGATTAAAGGCTGGTATGACAATAGAGTGTTTGTAGGGCGTAAAGCCATCGCCAACAGGAGGCTTGCTCTCCTTTGCTTCGGGAACGATTGCACTGTCGCCCTTCTCCGAGTCAGAAGCTTCATCACCCTTCTTTTTCGAGGTCACAGCTTTTCCATCCTTCTTCTTTGGGGTGGAAGCTTTTACGCTTGACTTCTTTGACGTGGTGGCTTTTTTATTCTTCTTCTCTTTTGGGGAGAGGGCGTCCTCTTCAAGTGCCAGCGACGTATCCTCGACGTCATCTGTAGGCGATGTGACCCCCTCTTCAGCTGATGCGGGGGTATTCGAGGCACTGGACTGGCTGTTTGTGGTGATGGGCGCGTCTTCGATATCGGTGGGATTCTCCGCTACCTCAGACCTTTCCGTTGCCTCGAACTGTTTTGGTGGTGTCTCGGGGGCCAGCGGCGTTGTAGTGGGTCGTTTGGCCATGTCGAACAAGCACAGTCTCGTTTCGGTGTTTTGGCGTAAACTGGGTGTCTTAGTAGTGGTTATGAGAGGACCGACTGGGTTGAGTTGCGATCTCGTTTGGTTGTGCGTCGAACTCTTGGCGAAGTGTTTTGCGAGTGGTTTTGCTGTAGTCGAGCGTACCGTGGTTGAAGGTGCGTCCTGAATGGTAGCCAACGTGTGTTGGAATTTTCGAGACATTTTTAAAGGGATAGGACGTGGGCAATAAGTACGAGAACGCGTGGCCACCCTGAGACCCGAGGTGAAAGACTCATACGGCGCGCGGAGCTGGCGCTTTGACACATAAGTCGCACAGTGTGAAGTTGAAGTTGTCAGTCAGTGTTCTTTGTACAAGGCTTTCGTCCGCTCTCAAAGCGAGCAAGACGGTAAAGCGCAAGCCAAACTAACAATGTCACAATAAGACAAAGAAGATAAGATCAAAATCATGTTCTCGTGCACACAACTGGCAATCTGGCATGTTGTCGTTGTATCTAGATGAACGTTCGAACTTCATCTCTCCAGAGCTCAGGGTCCAGTGTGCGTAGCGCAGGGAAGGCGGACAAACAGCGTCCGACGCGTAATGTCGCTTTATGTCCCCTAGAGCTGAGACGTTGTCATGGGCACGCAATCTGTCGAGAGGTGCAAAATTGCAAGGACAAGGCAGTGAAGGTAGCACCCGTCGCTGCGGGTTGAACGAGGTGACGGTGACACATATCTCCTGTGGCTAGAGAGCACCCGCTTCAACACAAGCGGTCTCTTCAGTTCTTGTTGCGAGTCTCTTCAGTCGGGATCCGGAGCATTACCTAGGGTAACGGCTTGCACTGCAGCAAGCTGGGCTCGTCGTTCTCATTTTCTGCTTCTTAGAATGCAGCAGACATCCAGATTCATTGCGACGGGGCCTGAGACCGACGTATGAATCGCAAAATTCGATTCCAAGACTCAGGAAGCCTCGGGATGGCGCTGTTTGCAGTAGTTGTCGTTATACATTGCATGAACATCAGAGAAGCAGGAGAAAGTAGAGGGTACAAGTAGTTTCGAGATGCCAGACATTCTGGCGGCTTTCTCTGCATATATCTTCCAGGTATCAGATCAGGCTCTGTCATTTATGTGGGGGAAAGGTGCGGCCGAGAATCTAAGTAATGTAAGACGAGGAAAAAGCGTGAAGACGTGATGCTTGTCGATTGTTGGGCCGGGTTTAGCGTCTTGGCGTTTTATCGATGACCCACCTGCGGTCGTGACTTTCACTGCACTGAAGCTTCACGTGTCAGGAATGTCACAAAGTAAAGGCTACATGCATTCACCAGTTCCACCATGTGCAGCTCTGATCCTGCCATTGGCACGTACTTGTGGTACTGAAAGCGCTCCACTAATTCGCCCACCATTCAGTCGCCTATGCGTGTTGCCACCTGGACACTTGCACGATACGTCACGGATATCAAGCTCGACCTCCTACCACCGCCGCTGGAAGACGAAATGCGGTTCCTAAATATTGAGCCCTACAACACCAAACGATGGTCATTAGCTTCAAATCACCGTGTTAGGTCTCGATGGCAAAGTACTTGAGATGATGTGTCAAAATGTTCGATGCCCCTGAACATCAATGGGCATTCTTTGACAGTTGAATTAATATTAGACATTATTACACGATGCATGCTCAGTGCATAGCTAGGTGTCGTAGATGTACGACAAGGATATCATTGTTAACTCCTAAACCACTCGTTGGCTTTGTAGAGAGTCTGAGCTTTCAATATAGCATTGTGGTCATCCAAACATGGGCCAGGTGCTCGACTCCCTAGGTGAGCACCTGCCAAACGCAGGTCGATGCGCATTTCGTCGATCCTATAAAAACCAACGATGCCCGAGTCTAGGCTCAAGGGCATCTGTCAATCACAACTGAGGAAGATCAACATGTCGACGTCATTGATCCTCCATACGCGGCATTCTTGCACCCGAGCCGCGCGATCGTTATCGAGATCGCGGAACAGCCGACTAGCGGCGGCTGATGGCGAGGCTAAGGGTATGGGTCGAGGCAAGAAGTTCCAGATTGGCGACATCGTGGTGTGCATCCTATGCCTCAGTCTTTGCGTCGCGGCTTCCTTGTAGGCACTTGCCTAGGCCGCGACTTGATCAACTTGCGTCGTGTCGTTGATGCCGCCCGTACAACATTGTTCGATCCAGGAACAAGATTGTAGTGGTCATAGCGCACGGGGTTGATGGGCGGCCTAGAGCGAAGGACGATGACAGCGACTAGTGCGTACGATTATGCGAACGCTTGTACCTGCATGACGATATCATGTTTTGTTTTCAAAGACTGACGTCGCTACCCCGGCTGCTTCGTCGGGAGAGTCGTCGATACCAGGTCCTCATGGTGCCCCATATGGTGTAGTCGCTGGGTAATTCATCGTCGGGAAAAAATGTGATTTCTGATGGTTTTCTCGATGGTGATGGGACTTCGGGTACAGATGGGATTTCTGATGGTGATGGGACTTCGGGTGTAGATGGGGTTTCAGGTGTAGATGGGATTCCAGGTGTAGATGGCTTGCGATGCTTGAGATGTTCTTCGTCCATGCGCAAAAGGTCCGCAGTGAATTGCTCCATCGTGGTGAGAGCGGGAGAGTAACTAGGGCAGAGGTGGTTGGGAAGTGGAGGAGGGAAGGCTTCCTGGCCCGCAAAGTAGTGTTGTTGGTGCTCCATGTCGTTGAGAAGGTGATGCGATGCGTTGCTATGAATGAATGTGTGGCTATTGATGTGTTGTTGGCATATTTCTGAAGGACCGCGTCGCGTTTATATCACAACAGTACATGTCGTCATGCTCTCTGCTCATCCCACACGCGCTATGTCGCGTGGCAGGGACGACATCCCACTCGCTTCCCGTGGCCGTGCGCGGTTTCAATATAATAATAAAATAAGACGTTCCGATTACATGTTGTTCCCAGATCTACTGGTCACCAGCATCGTCATTCCCTTGTTGCAGACAGTACCCCTGAAACTTCCCGCTTTCCGGGGTCGATCGATCGGACCTAGGTGTCGGCGTCATCAGGGGTGTTGCATCGTCAGGGCTAGATCCAAGTTTGACCCTGGCAGGCGGTCCCTGCGCGCGATGCGAAATGAGTACAAGTTGTTGATGGCTTCTTGCGCGCGATCGTGAGTCTCATGAGAGATGTCTTGGTGTTGCAGGCTGCCATCGGCTCGCACATTCCGACAACACCCTACCTCGGCTCATCGGGCGAAGACGGCCAATGCAGTGACGTCCCTCACCAACACCTCAATGACCAGCCGTGAGCACCCTATCGTCATCGCAACGACACATAGAAATAATGCCCATCCCCACACCTTTCGGCGATTTTCTGCCCGCTGCTTGAGATCCACCATCTGCATTGCTTGCAGCTTACATAGCGAAAGTCTTTATAAGTGGACGTAGCTGCCCGAGATGCCTACCCCACCGTTCTCCCAAGACCGCCGAGATTGGTTGAGCGAAATTTCTGGACTGTTTTCGCAGCGCAAGACCAAGGACATTAAAAGCACAGCATCCACATCAACTGTAGACCTTAGATTTGGCGCCCCAAAAGCTCTTGACTCTACTTCGACATTCGGCGTGAAAGATGACGCCTCCACAAAAGATCAAGCAATGGCTCACGGGCCAGGACGGGCTCGATAAGCTCAGGATGGACGAGGCGGAATGCCCGGCTCCTGGAGAGGATGAAGTGCTGGTTGAAGTCCATTCTGTTAGTCTGAACTACAGGGATACCGAAGGTATGTACACCGTGATTTGATCGTGCCAACTCCAGCGGCAGGGTTAAGATGGTCATTAGAACAACGCTAAGAACGTGGACAGTCGCTATGGGCCTCTACAACCACCACTCGTCGGTAGATCATCCTCCCGCGATTGTTCCGGCTAGTGACATGTGCGGCGTGGTTGTTGCTGTTGGTCCAGTTTCCAACAACACTTCAGACCCTTACAAGAACCCAGCTTTCCAGCTCAAGGAAGGCGACAGGGTCATCAGCACATTTGCGCCGAAACATCTCAGCGGCCAAATCAAGGCTACAGACATTGCAAGTGGGCTTGGAGGGCCGGCCCCAGGAGTACTGACACAATACCGCGTCTTCCCCACCTATGGCGTTGTCAAAATTCCAGACTATCTCTCCGATGACGAAGCGGCTTGCTTACCAATCGCAGCCGTGACCGCTTGGATGAGCTTGAACTGCATGCGACCAAATGGCGAGATCATTGGAAAGGGCGAATCAGTCGTCTGCCAGGGTACTGGCGGTGTGAGCATTTCTGCAGCTCAAATCGCGTCCGCAGCAGGTGCCGATGCCATCGTCACCTCCTCCTCCGACGAGAAGCTCGAGCGCGCATCCAAACTTGGTGCGAAGACGACCATCAACTACCGCAATAACCCTGATTGGGAGAACGCAGTCCTTGCTGCCACCTCCGACGAGGGCGCTGACATCATCATTGAAGTTGGCGGCGCGCAGACACTACGCAAGTCGTTTGAGTGCGTACGCTTCGGTGGTTTGATCTCTTGCATCGGCTACCTTTCCGGTAAGCAAGACGAAGCTGGCGACAGGACCAACACGAACCTGTTGTGCTTGAAGAGGAATGTTACCCTCAAGGGCATCATGAATGGCCCTAGGACTGAGCTTGAAAGAATGCTCAAGTTTTATGATGAGAAGAAGATTAGACCAGTCGTCGATCGTGTTTGGAAATTTGAGGAGGCGGATCAAGCACTGAAGTATTTGTTTAGCGGAGGACATTTTGGAAAGGTTGTCATCAAGGTGAAGGAGTAGGTAGTTTTAGGGGTGCATCGTGGCTCGAAACAAATCATCGTCAAACACTTGCAGTGGACCGCTGAGTGAATCACAAGATATAAGTGTATACGAACTAAGATATTTGACGTTTATCTTACGTTGCTTCAACAACACCAAGTCAATAAGACTAGTTCTTTCTATCAGGTATGAACTCTCCATACGCGTCTTCTGAGTCGGACGCGTCTTCTAAGTCGGATGCGCTCGGCGTACTTAGGTGGCTTCCAAATCCTACTTCGTATCTGGCTTGCTTCGATGGGGGAAGGGGTGATTGCAGTGTTTCGGAGCGTTTTCTCTTGCTATCAGTCAGCTCTGGCGCGTTCTCGGTCTGCGCTCTGGTCTTGTCGCGTTGCTGTCGGCGAGCTTTTACGTGGCTTCTCCACTTGCGGCAAACTGCTCTGGCTAGCATAGTCGTCCTTACGGCTTCTCGAAAGCCTCCCGCATGCAGATCCTCACGGCTTATATATTTGAGCCATTCGATTCGTCTGAGTGGTACATTGGCGTCGATGCAAGCCTTGGGTAGTTGTCGGGCCAGTGCCTCTATCTGCTTGAGCGTAAGGCCATGTGTGGTATCCTTCAAGGAAAAACGGAGTATCAGTGCTCCAGTCTCTGGCTCTCCAGTTCGTAACGTGATAGCATTCTTCGACCTTCTCTCTTTGGGTATAGGCGCCAGATAAATAGAATGCCCAAAGGTGTGAAGGCGATCCCAGAGCATAGCAGGCGACTCGTGCCTTTCACTCTTCATGTTTATCGTTTCGAGCAGCTTTGTGAGCGGGAAGCCCTCCCTCTTAGATTCTTGGAGGAGCTCTTCCAGACTGTTGGCTAGAGAAGTTGAGAATGATTGTCGGCCTGGTCCACGAGCGGGTGACTGGACGGCTGAAGCTGCAATCAGCTGGTACGCCCTAGCCGACTTCTTTTCTGCCTTCATAGCGGCAGTGCTCGCGAAAGAACAATCTAGAATTGTTATGACATCGCTTTCAGTATCATCATCGAGAAGAAGAGCTTCTGCAATATCCCAACGAACCTCCAAAGCCCCTTCCCTCGTCCTGCCAGACTGCTGGTTTCTGGCTCATAGGTTAGGGCAAGTATCTCATAGCTGTGTGCACCACTTACGGGCAGAGTACCAATTGCGCCGGCTCGTCTTGTGAGACTTTCGAGACCCCGTGGCCTGTGTAATAGATGATCAAGAGGTTGTCCGGCCCGTCGTGGTTGACAATGAAATCGGAGATTGCGTGGTTGAATTGCAATTGAGGTTTACGTGATGTAGTGATTTCGACTACACTACAATCGTAATTGAATTGGTCGCGGAATATTGTCTGAAGTCGGTCAACCTGTGTGTGTCGTCAGCCACTACATTATTCGAGTTCGCATCTAGTTGCCATGACCATACCTCTTCGGTGTGTCCCGCGAAGTCGTCGATACTCTCATGCCAGCGAATCATCAAGACTGCAACGTGTAGATATCCATTAGCCTTTCCAATCACCGTGTCTACTTTGTCTTGAAACCAGCTTCGCCTCTGAAGGTCACCATCGTCTAGACCAGGTAATGGGGAGCCAAAACTGGCAACGAGGCTGCCTGATGTGTTAGTTTCTCTAGTTTCAGTGGTCGCGATCCCTCCTCGATCTCTATCATGTCGTGAATCGTCTGCCTCGGCATCATGTGCTTGTTCATGAGCTTCAGAGTATAAGTGACCACCTTCACTCTTTGATGCAGCAGGATTCAAATGTTCTTCGCTTAATTGAGAAGTTTCGTGCAAATCCTCCCCTTTCATGTCATGCACATCATCTTGTCGAGATCTCTCGCTCGAACCCTGTACATCAGCCTGGGGTTCGTTCGTCTTCGTCTTCTGACCTCCTTCCGCATCTCTAGATCCTTTTCCTTCCGATACGGTGACATCCTTGAGTTCAAGTTTGCTATCGTGTATTGGTTTACTAAAATCGGGACCTGGGGCCAAGATGATCGAGCGTTGATATGTGCCCAGGCGATCCCAATACATTGCTACAGGCTTCATTCGAATCATCAGAATGTGCTGTATCAAGGCACGAACAGCGAAACCTTCTTGGCCATGTTTATCAAGCAGGTGATTAAGAGCTGTGGTCAGTGCTGTTGTTAATGATGTTGGTGACGGTCCCCAGGTTTTCTCGTTGAAAGGGCATGCAGCTAAGAGTTCGTACACTCGTGGATCGTTCGTTACTGCCTTTACTGCGTTTGACGAATAACAGCAATCGAGTATGGTCAACACATCAGCATCGGCGGTCTTAATAAGAGGCCTCTCTGCATCATCCCATCGAGCTATTGGATCATGGAGCTCTGTCGCTGTCGTCATAAGCCCCAACCTAGCACGCTTCAGTAAGTTCCAAGGCATGATGAGACATCGTGCTTACGCTGCAAGGCCCAGTTTATCTTCCGCCAACCCCATACCATGCCCAGTGTAGTAGACAATCAGAAGGCTTCGAGAGCCATCATGGTCATCGATATGCTCGGAGATGGCTCTCTCGAGCTGCCCTTGAGGCTTTCTCTTATTCGTCAGACGGACGACTTTACAATGAAAGTCAGCAAACTTGAATCGCTCGAAAGCTTTAATAAGTTTATCAATCTGTAGGCTTGTTAGCATAGCAAAACGTCAAGCGTGGTGTTCGTGGATAGTCTACCTCGTTAGTGTGTCCCTCAGCCTGTAAATCTAGCTCTTCAGTCCAACGAATTATAAGTGCAGCTACCTTAGTATATCTGCTTGTTGCCATTTTAGCCCGTTGAATACGCGTTTATGTTGCTTCCGTCCCTGTATCATCGATTCCAGAAGATAATTTAGAAAAGATGGTAGTTGGGGTAGACTTCAGCAACAGGTGAAAGGCGAAACTACCCCGCTCTGGTCCTCGGAGTAAGCATGCTACAGCCTTTCCAGCCGTGCTCGTATAATGAATGAGACTCGAACGATTGGACTACAACTCTTTATTGGTGACCCACTTATGCCGGTGAAAGCTGCAGACTTATCGCTCCAGACCATACAGGCTGATTATCGCGCATGATGGGGCGCGGTTGCTTCCAACACACAAAAGCCACCAAACTTTGGTGTTCATTCGCCTCGCGAAGTCTTGCCTCATTCTACATTCTCCTGCCCACGTTGTCCTCGAATTCGAAACGCGCACTTCCCGACCCAAGAATTTAGAGGTTTTGACCCTAGAATGTCAGGTACAACGAAGGTGAACGGAAGCATTGATCATGTCGCCTTGCGGTGCAGACTTACAGGCATTAGGATGTCGACGAATACCCAGAGAAAGGCTGGGTGAAGCTGAGCAGCGGGTTGACCGTTGTAAGAAAAGACCACTTAAAGAACAGCACGCTTTCTGACGATAAGTTGAGAGAGAAAATCTGTATGCAGAAGGCGACACTGTTGCCATAGTGGTGCAAAGCAGTCGTGGTTCATGGTGGGACGATTTCAAGATTGACCGGAAAAGCTATGACAAGGAACAAGGAAGATGGGTGTATCAGCTATGCAGCCTCCAGAATGTACCTTACGGGAATGGGGCTTGGTTTTCCGAGAAGGATTTGCGATCTGAGAGGCCGTCAATCTGATTGGTCCTCGAGAGGTGCGCATGCAGCAGGTGTCTTACTGCCTGCCACAACGCGCTTGCATGCATAAAAGATGAACATCATGGCAACCCTCCGAGATTTAACTTACAGTCCTTCATTACACGATACAAAAATGGCTGTGCCTTGTTCATATGTCGCTGAGTCATTGTCGGCATCTGCCCAGACATATAGTCCTGGCTCACGTTCGCACATAGGCCCCATTGTACAGATAGACGAACCGACACAGTATGTAAGAACGTCTTACGAACAAAGTAAATCTTCTCCATAAGTTTGGTCGCATATGTAAGTACTGAGATTTTTCAGCTCAGTCGTCCATGGGAGCAAGCTTCAAGAAGTCATTTGTTACCGAAACCGAAACCAAAAAACGTAAGACCCAGTCTTTGCAAGTGGCACCCAATTCTAAAGTGGATTCTAGTCGAAGAGTATGTGCGAGGCTATCCACGACTTGCAGCTTTCGAGTCAAGCGAGCCCAGCTTTTCGCTTTATCGCAAATTCAAATATCTCCACTCACGAGTATTGTTGGAACTCCAACACGAGATACAATGCCTCGAAAGCGACTTGACATCGATGGATGAGATGGATTACAGCAATGGAAAACAAGATATATTGCAGTCTATCGAAATCGATCATCGTCAAGCCAAACAAGAAGGCATTCGCAGAAAGCGGACCAAACTAGTCAACTTGATCCGCGGGAAACTGGTACACTACGGTAAGTTCAAAGCAGCAGGTAGTGAATTAACCTGGCTGACTCAATAAGACGAGTTGCTGCTTAAGAGCCACGCATTGAACGCACTTCAACAACCCACTGATAGGGACTACATCAGTGTGAGAAATTGGTTCCACAACGAGAGACCGTTGGCCAGCGAGAAGGAGGAGTCATACATCAAGCAACGGGAAGATATCGTCAGTCTGCGACATGGCCGTCAATGGACAAGATTCCATGGATTCATCGAGCAGACGATTGAGATTCTCAACTGTCGTCCAATCCGCGTGAGTTTGACAATATCTTCCTCAAAGCTGGCTCCTTGTTGATTCACACTATTCCAGAACATCTTCCGTACAACTGAGCTACAGGATCGCACAGATGACAAGTTGATCTATTATTACTCGGCTCGACGCATCGAAATCCTCGTCAACATCATTACCACAGGCCTAATGCTTGCTCTTCTGGTCCTACCACCCGTTGTCTTGTACCGAACAAAAGTCGGCGCTGAGGAGCAATCAACGGTTAGTGTACCTGCTATTTTCGTCGGTTTCACTTGTTTGTTTGCAGTGGTAATGGTTCTTATCTTGGGAGTGAACCGTCACGAGCTCTTTGCTGCAATGGCGGTGTATTGTGCTGTCTTGGCTGCATTCGTGGGCAGTACTGGATCAGGACAGAATTGTGGCAATTGTTCGTGACGACAGTCGGCAGGGCGTTGTTGCTGTGACGGTGCTCTCTTTCAAAGTGCAGATTTCGCCTTCAAGTGTGATCTTGCCTTGAGGTGGAAGGCTACGAACATTCAGCCGATAGATGGCTTGGAGGGGTACTCATATGGCCATCTTGTGATATCGAATGATACCTAGTGTCAAGGCACACTGCTAGTCGCACCGGAGGGAAGGGATTTGTCGTATACTTCGTTTTATGCATTTTTTTGGCTGGTGCTGTGCTTAAGAGATTTACGGAATCATATTGTTTTTACGTATCATAATGTTTGTTAGTATGCGCGAGAAGAGCAAGGACGGATTCTGTGATTGATAGATGCTATCAAAGAGGACGAATATGCATTCTCCTGTTACACAATCAGCTGTATAACGCGCGACTTCAGAGTAGGCGTAGATGCAAATTAAGCTAACTCTCTTAGATAGTAAGAAATTTCTACTCTACCCTTTATTTTGCTGGCTGAAAGATCAAGTAGACTAACACAACAGTAAGGCGAGAGGGAGACATGATGGCCTGTCACGCTGGTGTGCATGTTGGATGGCTACAAGTCGTGGCAATTAGCTTGTTAGGAGATAATTACAAAGCAGAAGAACTCGACACTGGTGGCTCTCTCAGCCGAGACGATTGATGATATCGTGAAGTCTCAATACCCCCAAATTGCAGACAACTGAACCGGCAATCTTGCGCTACTTGGCGCCAAAGAATCCGGCCGCGTTCGTACCCCACTCCACGAATCCAGCAGCGAGCTGCAGCAGCGCCTTCTTGCTCTCTTCATAATTGACCGCGTTGCGGTTAGCAGCAATCCACGCCTCCTCCGCCTCCAGGAGTGTTTCAAGCTCCTTCTTTCCTTTTGACCGCCCCTGTGTCAGACCCCTGGGACCGATTTTGAACGCCCATACGACGGCTGATATCTCAAATTCCTCCTTCTCGACAACCTGGCGCTCGAAGCGCATCCAGTCAGTCGTCTTGAAGATGGCTGAAAGGACGATGAAAAGGGTGACCTGGTGTTGCGGCGATAGTTTGTAGTTGACATATCCGAACACTTTGGGCAGATCATGGATGGTGGCGTTTGAGAAAAGTTCGGAACAGATGCGTAGAGTATCGAGGCCCTCGACGAGCGCATCCCATTGTGGGCCGGTGTGGAGGTCTACTTTAGTTTCGACTGCGAGGATACTAGCGTAGTGAATGAGGAGGCCAGAGACGCCCAAGTCCTGTGCATGTTAGTTCCAGGGCGCGAAAAGCTCCAATTCTTAGTAAGCGGGTACACTCACATCGACAGCGGCAGCCATGGGGTCACTAACTAAGATGTATCCATCTTCGGGCTTTTTCGAGGGCGGGTCGTTGGGGAGGATGATCACCTTCTTTCCACTGACAAACTGGACGCAAGAATCCTCTTGGCTGGTATCGTCGGTTGTCTGAGTTTCCTTTAGGTGAGACATACTAGCTTCTGCTGACCAACTATAACTGTTGTCACTTCAAAGCGCTTTATTGTGCTAAGGTGGACAATCGGCTGGGTATATAGCAGTGAACAAGGAAACGAATGGGGTGAGATTCATGCCAAGGCCAAAGAAGGTACAGCAGCCTAATACTTTTAGATTTTCTCTGTCCTCTCCGCGGTGAAAACAGATCGCGCTGCTATGGTTCTGGGCCATGGCTGCCTACCATGAACCATGGTTATCGACACCTAACTCTGTAATGGAACCACCGAGTCGCAATCAATTTATCTAACTACACCGCAAGGTTTTGAAACACTATCTTTTTCTAACTTCGACATCAAGCGCTACTAGAACTCTCTGGAGCTGTATTAGACTTATAGCTTTGGTTGCACTTTCACAATCAAACAGGTAACAAGAGACCTGTGCTAATTTTCGCTACTGATGAAGTATTTGTCTCCGTCTCACTATAATCAACGCGAGATACTCCTGCTGGCCGCAGAAGACAAGCGCGAGCTTTGCGCCAGCCACTTCTTTACCGCGTGCAAGCGCAGTACCGGTAGATTAGACGTACGCCTTAGTTCTAGTGAAGAGCATATCAACGGCTTTGAAAACGGATTTTTTTCGTGGCGCGGAACAGTCGATGGTATCTTGATCTTGTTAAAACCAATGGTAGTTCATAAGTGTTGCTGTCGTGCAAAGCGTCACCTCTTAACGACTATAACCTCGATGATACCCCCTCGTACTCACTCAACTCCTTCTTATCGCAATTCCTTGGGCTCTCGCCAAATTCCTTACCCTTGCGACAGGATAGTTCCTCCGCGTTCTTCCACTTCCAAGCGGTATCCTTCTCTTCGCCATTACTCTTACCAGATAGCACATTGCACATGTAGTTGCCAGCGACGGGAAGGAACCTAACGAAGACGTCAGTATCGCAGTCTGCTGCGCGACACGAGACATAGGTCTAAAGTCACTTACTTGTATGAATGAAAGCTACCACCGACTGCAAGGTATAGATTAGCGAGCTGTTGATGAGGATGCTGGCACATGAGCCAGTCTTCTGTGGGTGTGACGGCATCGTAGCAAATTCGCCAGCGGTCTGGTTGTCTGCTGCGCGTCCACTCTGGCATGGCGTTGTGAATTATCTGTGCACTTTCGTGCTTTAGCTTCTCCGGAACATCGTTTTGGTTCCTCCGTGATGGCATGGTGATGGTATGTCCAGAAGGTGTTGTGACCCTGTTGACGATCTCCGTCTTGAGATCATTGATCTTCAGCGTCCGGTTCGGCTGCGAAGGTGGGATGATGTCGACTTCTCCACCAATGACGATCACGGGGACTTCTTCGTCGATCATGCCTTGGGTATCTTGTTCGTTCAGTGTGTAGTACGCAGAGACACGTCCGACAGCAGTGACTTGGCGCTCGATGCGATCCTGCTCTTGGATCTTCAAAGCGTCTTCAATTGGTGACATCAGAGAGCTGGTCCATGCTCCTGCTGCTAACACGATCTTGTCGGCTCTGAGAATCTGGCCATCTCTCAACTTGACACCAGCGACGCGGCTTTTGTCGGCACTAAGTAATAACTCTTGCACTTCCCCGGTTACTCGTTTGACACCAGACTCGAGTGCAACCTTCGTAAAGCTTTGGGTTGCTCTTTCAGCATCGCACCATCCAGCTTCGGGATTGAAGTAGCCTTTGCCATATTGTTCACTCTTGATCCCTTTGGTCACAGCGTACTTGTCCAGGTCTTTAGCTGGTAAGTCCCGCGTGCAATCGCCTCCTCGCTCGCAAAACGTCTTTTTGATCGCATCTCCAAAAGTACCATCTTTCTTGTCTAGAACAACCCAGCCAGTTTTGTGAAAGTGGCCTTGAACTGCAATGCTCCAAAACCAGAAATGAATAGCCTCATTTGCGAGATTGCAGTAAAGGTGCGATTCGTAGTCGGTACGGATGATGCGGTTGGTGTCGATGGCTGCCGCCTGCTTTTGACCAAGTGATGCATTGGTATTCCAGCGATCAACGATAGTTATCCGAGATGGATCCTTGTATTGTTTGCTCAAATGATACGCGGTAGACGCGCCGAAAGTACCTGCGCCTATGATAAGTACTGTGGGTTCGCTATATGACATGCTGGACGAGTGATGTTGAACAAATATTAAGGTTCGCAAAGCTGTCAGTGATGTATATGATAGCGATAACGATGAGGCTTCCTGGATGGTGGATGAGACTGCTCGCACTAGTGCTGCGGGGTCTTTTGCGGATCCGATGTACCTGCCTGGCCGAAAACGTGCATTGGCTCGCACGATCGGGAACCAGAGGGAACCCCTGATACAACATCAAAACTGTTGACATCTCAACGCCGATAGCCTTTGTTGATGAGTCCAAGCCTGTGGGCAAGCGACCATGGTAGAGAGCCGCAACGCTTGACGCAAAAGCTTGTCCACATCTCCTCTTTCTCCTGACGTAAAGTGCAGATGGCCCGTAGACTGCTGCTTCAAAGTCGTAAGTGCGTACCTATTTGTTTGGGCGACGGGAAGAAGCACAACAACACAATGAAGGAGGCAACCCAGTAGAAATAATCAAGACAAGTAGCTACCGGACTCAGGGACAGACGGTGTCTGTCGCGTGACGCTCGCTCTAAAAGACTGTGAGATCTGTCCGTTGAGTGATGAGGGCCTATACAATAGCTCAAAGGACAGCAACAAGTGCTGCATCGGTTATATTATCTCGAGAAAGAAGATGTATCGGTAACCGAGCCAGAAACGTACTCGTTCCCGTCGCGATGGGATAGTCTGTTGCGCGATACTGAAGTTACGATGAGGGAAGTGCTTGAGGTTTGTTGGATGTACTTCCCCTGGCAGGCGGGCGCTAAATAGACTATCGCTCCTGCCCAAATATAGCGACTTACTGAAAACACCAAACATCATCTATTGCGCGCATGCGAACTACCAGCAGCATTCTTGTGTATCATGGACGCCAGTGCGAGGCATATAGTACGAAGCGATTTTTTTCCCCTCACGCTCGATCTGAATTCCATCGCAATATCCGATTCTCGTGTTCTTTTCCTTCAAGTGGTTCACCGTCGCATTTCAACGACCAGCTTTACATATTAATCTGCTCATACGCTTCACTGCAACAAGCACTTGGGGGTGCGTGCATATAGCAGTTACTCGTTTTTTCTTAAAGGAAAAGAGCTTGGTCATGGCAAAAGGTTCGAGTAAGGAAGCCAACAGTCAACCATGGACATAGACCAGCGCATCCGTCAATCGCGCGTCGCGGGAGTCTGAGAACTCACTCCAAGCTATTCAATGCTTTGATTGCTGGACTTTTGCTGTTCAAAATGCATTCACAACCGTTACTTTGTCTCAAAGACACGGATTGCGACAACGAAATTCGACCCCGGAAGCGGCCTAGTGCGGGTGGCCGAATTGCTGTCACTCGGCTGACCTTCCTTGTGGGAGCGATCTCTGTTCCGTATAGAAGTACGAACACCGCGGACTGCAACCACGTAGTATAAAGTAAGAACCTGGAAGTCGGCATCGCAATCGTAGACTGAGTGTAGGAAGAGATTGAACATCATCCGTCAAACTATCCTCTCACCCATCAATCTCAGATTCGCCACTGCACGATAGCACCCTGGTGACTCAATCGGCAAGCCCCACCACCAAGCGTACAGTGCAGACTCAGCAACACTCAACACCAACACCACGATGCCTCCAAAGATTCATATTGTTCGCCACGCGCAAGGACAACACAACGCGACTGTAGGTGACAGTTCGGGAGGGATGATCTCTACGACATCGACGCTAATCGACCGCAGCGCGATTACAGCATTCGCGACGCTGTCCTGACCACGAAAGGCAAAGAGCAATGTCGCACACTCAGCTCGGCATTTCAGTATCACGAAGAGATAGAGACGGTGTTTGCGTCGCCCCTGCGCCGAACGATCCAGACCGCTGCGCTGAGTTTCGGGCCTGTGCTATCGCGGAAGGAGGTGCCGTTCGTGCTGTTGCCAGCCTTGCAAGAAGTCAGCAACATTGGGTGTGACGTTGGAATTGCAGATACTGCAGATGACGTGCAAAAGTTCCTACCAGAACTCTTCCCCGAAGGCGAGATCGACTTTGATATCAGCAAAGTCGACGCCTCTGCGGTGACAGCGGGCTGGAATTCCAAGGTTGGTCGATCTCCCGGTCTGACATCAACATGCATGCTTACTAACACGTCCTGCAGCAAGACTATTGGGCGTATGAGAAGCGCGCCATATCGAAGCGCGCTTCTGATCTAAGGAACTGGTTGTACCAACGGCCTGAAGCGCAGGTAAGTCGACCGTCGTCCTCTCAGGGATGGTGTGCTAACGGAACAGGTGATGGTCGTTACTCATGGCGCATTCGCACACTTCCTGACTGAGGACTGGGAAGTCGAAGACCCGATGCTAGGTACCGCGTGGAAGAACTGTCGGTCTGCCTCTATATCTGGGCCCGCATTATAGGCTAACTTTTGTCCAGGTGAGCATCGCGTATTTGTCTTCACACCAGAATCGACGGCGGAAGACGCCCACGTGAGCGAGACATGGGAGAGCAGGCGAAGCAGGGGAGCCCAGGAAGTCGAGACCGACCCGCATGTAGTGGACGAATTTCTAAAAACCGCGGCGTAGTCGAGTAGTGTATGTACAGAGGCCGCGGCCTCGATAGCTTCCGACAACGGCTGTAGTATGCCGTTTGTTCGGTTCCAGTGGCGGAAGGGTCCATGAAGAGATGGAGCATCCGATGCAGTCTGCAGTAACTTGCCCGAGTGTTTTTGCGCTCGTTGCGCGGCATCCTTGGCCAGTCTCTCCCAATCTGGAGGACCACGGCTGTTCGGCAAGAGCAGGACATCCCACGGTGTCCTTTGAGGCTTCTGAGATCCTGGGGTAAGACCATAGCTATCTCCAAGCAATTCTATTCATCCCCCATATCATTGGCCGGCGCAAAGTTCGGCAATGCACTCCACAAAACCCTTGCTCCAAAGATAAGCCGCGCGGTCACGCAACGCTTGCCATCACCCATTTAGAAGCCAAGAAGCAATCCGCGCCCAGGCTCAAATCACCGAGAAGTGTCGTGCATTACCACACTGGGCGTAGTCGACGGGAAGGTTCGGGGGGGCCTCGCTCAGAGTTTGCGCCCTGTACCTGTTCGGTTAAACTACTCAAGCCCCGCCGAGACCCGGGATGGCGCGGCCCTAAAGGCTTGTCCGCCGCTCCAATGCAGCCACACGGTCAGCCCTACGCGACGCCTCTGTCGCCATGGCACTCGTCACTGCAAACTCAGAATGCTTATCCCACATCTCCCGGTCGTCGCGTGAGCTGAGCGGCTCTCTTATCTGCAACCCTCATGCAGGTTCCGCCGTGATGTCACCTAGTAAGGATTGAGGCGATGTCACATCAAGCACGTCCCAACGCTCACCACTCAAACACGTAAAAAAGAGAAAATTTTACGTCAACTGCGACGCACCATGTGGACCGCGTTATTACCAACGCCACTAGAGAGCGACGCTGCTGGCTGCACGCACCATACACTGGTACGATACGAGAAATGGACCGAGAGTCGCTAAGGCCCTCGATAGCCAGCTTTCGGTCAACATCGGTCGTCCAGCATGCTGGGAGCGCGCGGGGGAAGGCCGCTTGGAACATTCTATTACACATGCAGAACGTGCGGAGAGATAAGGCTCGTTGATATAAGAAACAACTGTAGCCGCTGGCGTTAAGGAAACGGCTATTGTTGTGTTACTATACTAATCCACCTCTCCTTCGGTTCCACGGTACGTCACAGAGCGTCGACATCGACCGCCGTCCTCTTCCCGCTTCCGACGACTGGACCTGTGACCTACACTGCAACTGCTGCTTTTGGTGTACCGGGCAAACTAGCTCGTCAGCAGCGCCAAACACCAAAAAGTCGCGAGTGCCCTTGGACTTCCGACTTGACCACGACTCCACCCCACCGTCAAATTCAAAATATCAATATTTGAACACCCGACATCTTCCATCATGCAGGAAGTACCTCACGCAAACGGGTTGACGACGGGCAACCCTCAGCCACAATACGCCGCTGCAGGCTCCAACGGCGTCAACACCGGCATTCCCGCTAGGCATTACGCTGCTGCACCGCCAACCTACCGTTTGGACGACCTTTCATCTGAGGGCAAGAAAAGCGACCCAGAACTCATGATGCCCGTCGACAAGACTGCTACCGTCCAGGAGGGATCTGAAAAGTTCCACCGCCTTGGCTGGAAGCAACTTACAGTATGCTTGATCGTCGAAGCCATCGCTCTCGGTTCCCTCAGTATTCCCAGCGCGTTCGCGACCCTGGGAATGGTTCCCGGTGTCATCATGTGCGTTGGTCTTGGTCTTGTCGCAATTTACACATCGTACGTTGTCGGTCAGGTTAAGATGCGCTACCCGCATGTCAACCACTACTCGGACGCTGTCGAAATCATCTGGGGAAAATTCGGAAAGGAACTTACTGGTGTCATGTTCGCGCTCTTCTTGATTCTGCTCGTCGGATCGCACGCGCTTACTGGAACAATTGCCTGGATTAACATCATCGGAAACTACACCACATGCGCGCTTGTATGGGGTGTTGTATCCATGATTATCTTGTTGATCCTTGCTCTGCCACCCACCTTCCACGACTTCGCGTTCCTAGGTTACATCGACTTTATTAGTATCATTGCCGCTATCTTGATCACCATCATCGCGACTGGTATTCAGGCACACGATGCTCCTGGCGGACTTAGCGGAGTCAACTGGTCCGCGTGGCCTCAACCCGGAACTTCATTCTACGAAGCTTTCCTGGCTACCACCAACATCATCTTCGCCTACTCATTCGCCGTCTGCCAGTTCTCCTTCATGTCCGAGATGCACACACCCAAGGACTACGTCAAGTCCATCTGGGCCCTTGGTCTGATTGAGATTTTCATCTACACCATGACTGGTGCTCTCGTCTACGCTTTCGTTGGCCAGGAGGTCAAGTCACCTGCTCTTCTCTCCGCCGGTAACACTGTCTCCCGTATCGCCTTCGGTATCGCGCTCCCCGTCATCTTCATCTCCGGTTCCATCAACGGTACCGTGGTCTGCCGTTACATCATGGACCGCGTTTTCCCTACTTCGCCCATCCGATTCGTCAAGGACGCCAAGGGCTGGGGTGTCTGGGTCGGACTTATCACCGTCGTCACCGTCATTGGATGGATCATCGCTGAGGCCATTCCCTTCTTCAACGCGCTTCTTGGTCTCATCTCCTCGCTGTTCATCTCCGGTTTCACATTCTACTGGCCTGCGCTCTTCTGGTTCCAGCTGGTTAAGGAGGGCAAGTGGAATGCGAACGCCAAGAACATTTCTCTCAGTATCCTGAACGCTATCGTGTTCCTTATTGGACTTGTTGTCCTCGGTGCCGGTACCTACGCGTCTGTCGAGGATATTATTACACAGTACAACTCCGGTGCTGTAAGAAGTCCCTTCACCTGCTCCGCTCAGTCTTACGCATAGTTGCGGAGCGAAGAGGACGTGTACATCTAGCGAAAAGCCCTTAGACAGGTGCTTTGTTTTATTACGACTTATGAGTCTAGCGCCAGCATAGCGATGACCAAATCAATTCATACTTATTCAATACCATGTCTACCTTCATCATAGTGAAATGTGAACGCGCTTGAGTATGGGGTTGGAAACCACTTTTCGTCGCGGATGTCATGATGAAATGTGCTCGCGTCACGAAGAATCTTGTCGAAGTTGCACATCACAAAATTTCTGAAAGCGTTCACGATGTTCTATATTTATATACTTACGAGACCATCAGGTAACGTATTCGCATGCCTGAGTATTTTCTTTTTCACTTTAGAGGAAGCGAAATCTTCAGACTTTCCTTGGAAACTGGTACGCGCCCGCACTTTCACGAGCGTATACACAATCTAGTACCGATATGGACTAGTGCGCCTGCTGACACAGCCTGCGCGCACCTGATGCTTTCTACGGTCCTGCACCAGGCTACAATTTAAACTATTCACTTACAGTCTGCTACCTACGCAAGCTCTTAGGCATGGACAAAACTAATACTACACTTACTGCGCTTAGCCTCGCGACCACCGACGCTTTGTATACAACTACCACTAACGACACAATGTCTTTCAACTCCATCATCTCTGCTCTCCACAACTTCATCCAGAACGAGCGCAAGACCAATTTCTCGTTTTTGTCACGGTACAGCCACTTCTTCAAGCGTCAGGAAAACCTACTCGTGGTTTCTCGGGCAAACATCGACGATATCGAAGCCGTTCGTAGGGCCACTGTGTGCGATGCGACAACTGACTACGATGACTGGTATACCTTTATCGAGCCGCGGCGATCCGACGGATTTGCCCGCACCGTCGCGATTCTGAGACCGCCTGGAAGTAACGGACCAGTACACGTCGATGATCTTAGGGTCGTTGAGTTTGGTAAGAAGCACATGAACGAATGCGGAGCAGTAGCCTGGATACGTGATACATATTGTACTGCCGCCGACGACATGTACGTGATGAGATTCTCCCAGATGCAATACGACGAGCAGAATTTATGGTGGCAAGGTACCGATCAGGCTTTCCGGCTGTTGGCATTGCCTCTGGAGATGCGCGAAGCCATCTACCTGCAAGTAATCGGTCCAGTCGTTGTTCCCGATATGGTTGTACAGCCTGATATGCGGAAGAAGCTTGTTCTTGGAAAAGGCCATTCATTCGAGGATCCTAGTCGCGTAGGGCGCCGGGTCGACCCTGATATACAGCGCCCAAACATGACTATCATGCGCATCTGCAAACAAGTCAACGAAGAAGCGACGACAGTGGCCAATCGCGATACCATCAAGCGTTTCACACGGCTTCGCGCGCCGATCGGCCCTCAAACTTCGATGACTGATATCTGGCACAACCTCCCATTTGTGTCAATGCCGGTCAACTTCCTTCGAAAGATGCAGCTCGAGATGTGCGCAAAAGATTACCTAGAATTTTGCGGCATTCGTCCACTCCCAGGACAACCGCTGCGTCAATCTGTTACCTTCCCGTTCACTCTATCCTCTCTAAACTCACTCAGTAACCTCGACACAATCGATTTCCGCTTCATAGGTCCTGAGCACAGCCTCGCCGAATGTCCCTGGAAAGGTCCACACTCCTGCCAAAAGAAGTGGATAGACCTCTTCTTCGTCGCCGCCTGGGACGCTTTAAATATGCTCAAGGGCTCCAAGGGAGTTAAGTATAGCATGAGTGGATGTATAAAGAACTCTGCGCGGCATCATTGGACGCGGCTTCTCAACGACAGGAGCGTCGACCATACGGCTGGTGTCAAAGCGATGGAAAGACACATGCAAGCGACTATGACGGGCGACGCGAGTCTAGAGTGCAAATGCACGAATCCTTGTATAGGTGGGAGTGGGTTGTTCCAGGTTGAGCCGTTTGAATTGAGGTTGATTGAGGGGTTGCAGGCGGAGTTGGATAAGGCGTATTGGGATTTTGAGGATCAGGCGGTTGCGAAGGTGGATGAGACATGATGCGAGGCATTTCCTGTTATTGTTGTCATCTGGCACCCACTGCGATTAGATTTGACGCGTTTCAAGACGTTAGCAGTAAGACGAATGTGATGGGTATCGATTTTCGGACAAGAGCGCATTCATAAGGTGGTGATCTGCTACGTCATGCTCTAATCTCAACATAGTAAGTGCAATCACGCTGTCACGTGTGGCGTCGGAAGCTGCGGGTGGCCTAAACACTTCCGCTTTCGACTCTCATTCATCCTTCGCTCGTCTAAACAATAATTGTCTGTACACGAACTTCTTTCCTTTGGCGTCTTATTGCATATACTGATACCTTTTTTACACCAATAATCATGCTCTTTTGCTCGCGAAGCAAAATCTGGAGGACGAGCGGGTCGCCGTCTTTAACAGACAACAACGCGTTTTGTGAGCTCGAAAGCGCAGCAAAACTGAGAACCGCTAATCGGTAGACAATCCACAAAGCCATACGCAAGGTCTGATCGGATATCCCCATCAACCCTCCAATCTCTGCCTCGAGAGATGCGTTGCAATTTGCCGATGGCCAGACCAGCGCACAGCTCTCGGAGATGTTTACCTTCTAAGCTGCAGTCCTGATAGCCGCAGCATAACGGGTATATGGTGGTTGCACGAAGGCACCGTCAAGAAGCGTTACTGGCTGGTATGCTCAAGACGATTGTTGGTTTCGCCCTTTTATCCGATCTTGACGGCTTCGAGTGGTCGTCAAAGAACCATGGCCTTGAGAGCGCATCAATCAGCTCTCAGAGCCGCATGAAGGCTGTGCGTCTGCCATTCTGCGCTCTTGCCTTAACGAGACGGCCGCAGTCTGCATTAAACTTTGCTCGCATCCTTGCGGCATTGCCCTCATCGGACGTTGGAGTGTTGCGCAGGCGCACACACACAAACGACCAACAGTTGCGTTGGCGTTTCAGATGCTGTACTGTCCTGCGTTTTGCGGACCGGTCAACATCGCTTGCATGCCGGCGGAGGAGAATATCAGCCAATGACCGTCTACCCTTACCAATCACAGCCACACAGTAACTGGCTCACCGTTCCTGTAAAGCTCGTGCTTCCTTCTAGAAACAAGGATTGCACGCATCAATCACGCATGCGTACAAGGCGACGTGCCCGAGGCCAATCAGCTTGGGAGATGTGCAAGAGATGCGGCGACGGAGCTAGGTGGCAAATATGTGGGAAACTTACTTGAGTAAATGCTCAACAGGGACCGTGCAACATCACTACACTTGGAGAAGTGAAGACGATGCTTTGACCATCGTGCATGCGTCGACTGGGGACATCGGGCGTAGGGCCACACTGCGTTGTGCATGGAAGAAGCTACACAATGTTTTGTGGGTGAGAACCTTGCTGTGTCCGCTGCCGTCTGGGCTGTGTTCGCAGTAGAATCGGGACACCGAGCAGTAGGAAATTCAGACGACACCGCCGTGCCTGCGATGACTGCATGGTTCAAAGACGACACCAAACCGCTACCAGCGCTTGCAGCGCTCCACTACACATTTATCCAGATGATAGTTTTGTGGCGCTGTTCGCTAATTTGCTGACCGCAGCTCTTTCGTGGCGCCAGCCTGTGCAGTCTTGTACCACTTCGATAACGCAGGACCCTGATGGGAGTTTCTTATCGATTTGTAAGGGAAAAAAAGTCGCAAGACTGTGAGTTTACGGCGGCGGCTTCCGTACATCGCTTTCTGCTTCACATGTCGCCTCGGCTGTAAGAGATGGGCTGGATTCTTCTGACCACCGATGATGAGCCTAGGACAAGATGCCCATCTCTGTAGATATCTGCGGAGTATACTGTCCCGAAATGTTTTCATTCAGCAAACTTGAATCTAGGCCACGCGGCAAACGATCTTGCGCGTTGCCATATCCCGCCAACGCAGAACACCTTTTACCTTCTACTCTTGTCGCTGAGACCGTGTTGTTGGCTCGCTTAGAAATGAGAGAAGGCTCTGGCTAGCAAATTATTGCCAACTCCCAAGACACTAGTAAACCGTAGCACTACGCGTCCCCGGATGCTAGAATTCTGGGGGCTGCATACAATTGCGACGGTGTGAAGATACGTCGCACACGTCAGACCTATGCCATCGAAACTTTGCGTTTTAGCGTTATTTGGGGTGTTCTCTTTCCGCCTCAGCCTGCATTCATTCCAGGTACGCCTTGGCGCCAACCGGGAGGAATGCTTTATTGAAGCGTTGTCCCGAGGTAGCGACCAGATTGCGTATGCAAAGTGCATACGACGACCAACAAAGGTCTTGGTGCTGCAGAATGACGAGGAGAAAGTACGAGAAAAAAGAAAGCAAAAGCATAGATTGCTGAAGCGCATAGACCTACCACCAGGTGACAAAAGTCATCCCTGCCAGGCACACCCTCCGGACGTACAGCCAACAAATTCGCTTACATCGTTTGGCGCGCTTGTGTATTCCCGCCTCCTAGTATGAAAACGTTCAAAGAAAAACAGTAAGATTACAACTACTGCAGAACCTAGCGTGGTAGCAACAGGCAAACGAAACGAATCTTGTTGGTGGGCCCTGACTAGCGACGCTGTAAGACACCTGCAGAGAGCTGGAGGGCTGCAGCCCCGCGCTTGCCGCTACGTCCACCATCTGAGGCCCACGCGTTCTTTGCTCGAGCTTTTGTCAGCGCATGTAGTATGCACGTTCAAGGAGTAACAATGCCCAGCATCTGATGATGTAGAAGCAATGTAGGGAGAAATTTTAGCCCCGCGATCGCATGCGTTTCTCCTGCAGCGCTCCGCCGGTGAAGGTCTAAAACTGCAGCCACATTTTCGCCAGGCGCGGGTTCGGCAACATCACCACCTCCGGCTATGAGGACTGGCGGGCGTTCTCTATCGCGAAAGACCCCAGGTTCTATGCATGAGCCCTACCCATCGCAGCTGAAACGAAGCTCCGTCTTTACATCGGACGTAACGCTCCTGCCGATCGACTAGGCTCGGTAAGCAGCGACATAGGTCGCCAAAGGCCCACTACACGATACGCAATGGCCAAGCGCTCGTTCGGGAAAAGGGTATATGCCTTGGTCGTGAGGCTTCAACGAGGTCATGAAAACGGCCACTGGGATGCTCATAAGTGTGCCATGGACGCGTATGCGCATTTCCCTCTTGCTCATTCTGCGGATATACTGATTTGCATACGCAAGCTGAAAAGGTCTCTCGCCAACCACGTCCTCACCTTGCACATCAACTCTCCATCTACGCCTTGAACATCCGGCCACTACTCGACAGCTACTTTTCCTCAGCGCTTCCATCCGAACGATAAACCATATAAAGCGAGACACCCGCCACACGAAGCTCACCATCAAACGTTCACTCAGACTTCCTGATTCGCAACACCACACTTGATGACAGCCCAACTGCTTGACCTTTACGCCCAACCACGTCCAAGCTTCATACAAAGCATCTACCTCGGTGTAAGATGTCTCGCAATAGTAAGTCAGCCTATCATGCCGTCTCCACCTCCGATCTCACTCCTTCCCACTACCGAGTTGCTGCGCCTCACATGTGGCGCAACATACTTCCTGGAGCCTAGCGTCCCATCTCAGCCGCACCATCAACCAATGACGGTTTGGCTTCCTCGATTGCTCTGCTGACCCACCTGTTCCTAGCTCATCCTTACGCTGTCAAGCTCCCGTCCCGTCGCTCACTCGCTTCTATCGGCATCCCGAATCATCGCGACGCGCTTGCCGTATACTTTCGCTGGGTGCGACAACGATACTATCGTGCGGAAGGTGTAATGCGAGCAGATTTGGCTTCCTCTGTGGAGTCAGTGGCCAGCTCAAGCGATGCATCCAGTGGGGATGATGAAAGCGACTTTGCGCAGCCTCGCACGACGTTTCAACGCGATACCAGAATGCTTAGCATCGATCTACTAAGCATTGGTGTGAAGTTCGAAGACGAAGGTATCGCGCTCGCGTACCCCGGCGAGATCGATGTTCGTGGCTGAGGGGCACACGCTTAAGAAGCTCATTGAGGGGTACACGAGTATATGACGAGTCGGCGTTCTGGGCCCGCCAACTTTGGCAGTGATGGTGTTTCTTGTTTGAGTCGCGGGTAGACTCTGGCTGTTTGTATAACACTTGTACAATATCGAGATGAGGGAATAAAGTACTGCGGACATCGTCATTTGTAGCATGTAGGCCTTCGTCATAGTGGGAGGCAGTGCAAGAGAGGCGCTACTGTCTGAAGCAATGGATTGGCTCACACATGCTGCAGCCAGCTCCTGGATTTTGTCGCACGATTTAACCGGCTCTGTTTGTTTTTCTCTTCTACAACACTAACACCCAGCTCGAGCGACACTCGTTTGCCCTCTCCCGTCGATACAATCTCTCAGCATTGTTACCCAATATATTCTTGTGTTCAACGAACCTCCACGGAAGAGTTATGCGATAACTATCGGAAGCCAGAGGCATCTGTCTGCTGGAACAGCACTGTCATGAATGAAGCCACGCTCCTGGACGAGGCTATGCTAGCCTGGTTCCCTCCGGCCGGCACCACAGATTCGCCCATCATGAAAACCTTCACGGAAACTGATCTGAGAGACATATCTGACTTACTATGCCGGAGTGGAAGGCTTCAATGGAGCCGTATACCGCGAATATATACGATACTACGGCTCATTAATGAGGTGGAAGCCATCGATGCGTTTCTCGACTCTGGAATCACCGACTTGTCATTACCTTTCACACAAAAAACACCGCCAGGGCAACTCAGCGACCAGTCCTCAAGAATACGGTTTCTCGACGTTCAGTCCGGGGTTTTGACCAAAGCGCTGGACCTAGAGCAAGAGGGTAGCAGACACCGCCATTTTTCCGACCCTGATGATGTTCCGTTTAAGAAGATCGCTGAACTTGGAAAAGGAGGCTATGGCTATGTTGACAAGGTTCTTAGTACAGTCAGCTACCGGGAATATGCTCGCAAGCTCATTCCTAGGGGTCGTACATTCCGTCAAGACCGGGTTGTATTACGCGATTTTGAGAATGAGTTGCAAGCGTTGAAACGGCTTTCACACCGTCATATTGTAAGGTTAAATGGAAGCTACACTGATCCACAGTAAGACGCTACAAATGACGCTACCTGCAGTGTAGTTGACGTGCAGCAGATACGTGGGCATAATCATGACTCCTGTCGCCGACTGTAACCTCAAGACTATCATGACTACTCATCCTTTAACGCCTGAAACACATTCGCGCGTCAGAACCTTTTATGGCTGTCTTGCTTCCGCCTTGCGCTACCTACACGAGAATAGGCTGAGACACAAAGACATCAAACCCGAGGTGGGTGCCTTCGTTTAACTACCAACAATTAGCTGCTTACAATTTGATCAGAACGTATTAGTAAAGTCTCATGAAGTATACCTTACTGACTTTGGAACTACTCTCGACTGGTCCGACGTCGGCCATAGCACTACGACTGGTCTTGCCGCAAAGGGTACTCTACGCTATTGTGCCCCAGAGGTAGCCCAAAACCTGCCTCGGAAATCGTCTGCAGATATCTGGTCTTTGGGGTGTGTTTTCTTAGAGATGTGGACGACGCTTTGTGGTTACTCGACATCAGAACTCGATTCCTACATGCAGCTCAATGGCTCTAAATCAAGATTATACCACGCCAATATCTCCGGCGTGACAAGCTGGTGCTATATGTTGTCATCTGGATCCAGCGACGACGCCCGTGTACCAGGTCCATGGGTTAGATCAATGTTAGAAGTCGACGCCTCTACCCGCTGTAGTATCTAGTCGCTCGCAGAAGACATTCACGCGCTGAATTTCGAATATGATACGGCAGTCAGCTTTTCTGGGCTTTGTTGTAGTGACGGAGATGATGCCGCTGAAAGCGTGCATTGCTCAGATGACGAGACAGGTTCTCAGGATGCCATCGAGCGCCGGGTATCTCTGGAACAATCCTCCACAAATGAGCTTTCGAGTTCTGGTCCTACAAGCTTTCTTTCGTCGGCTGAAGAGACTAATCAAAGTCTCGATCATAAACGGCTTAAAACCGGCCAATTAAGAACACCATCAGAGACTGCTCTCCCAAAGGAACGCAGTGTGCCATCTGGGATGTGGGGACGTCTAACAGGAGGATCCGCTCATTAACAAGTCGAAGCTGTGCATCCCCTGGATCAATTACAGGACACGGACTGCAGGGATTACAAAGAAGACCATCACGGCTCGAATAGCTCGAGTGAAGCGAACCAGGTTGACCATGCGAAGAAGCTGGTAGAGACTGAACTCTCTCAGAACACGAAGCATGAAAAGTCAGCCGCCAGGGCTAGGAGAGTCGAAGATCAGGTACCTATTTCGCAGTTTCCATCAGCCGACGACAAGCGCACGATGAACGAGATACTACGTCAATGGTTGGCCAACTTCAATCCATTCACATACCGCGACATCATGACAATTCACCTAAATTCGGAGCACCGTAAGGCTGTTTCGGTGCATGCACTTGGGGGGTTTAGATCCGACGAAAGATTCTACGCTATCTTCGGACTCGCAAAAGAGATTCATAAAGAACTCGGCTTCTGGAGGAGATTACTCCAAGATTTTGGATACTCAAGCATCAGAGGTGTCTACTACAACGTAGGCGGAGATATTTTGCATGTGATGGACGCAATATGTGTTCCTTATGTTGAGTACTCAGATCGAATTCTCTGCTTTTACCCTGAAGGTATCCTACCAGTCTATGATGAGAGAGGCACTTTCAAGACACAGTGTATTCGGTCATTCGAACTCTTAAAAACGATGCGCTTCCAAGTCCTACAATGGTGGCAGAATCTTCTGGCCGCTCCCCAACATACTTGGGCCAAAAGGCCGAGGGAAATCAAGATGTTAATGGTTGAGATGGTGGTCCTGGCGCCAAAGAAGTACACGTTGAAAACAGAGGAGATAAGGCCTTCACTGAAATCTGAGGGCATGGGTTCTGGACCTAAACCAGAGCCTAAGGTTCATTCGGATGTTCATTGGCATATCAATGCAGCTCTGCACCACTCCTGTTGCTTGTGTCTCAAGCTTCATGCGAAGACAACGATATCAAGTCGGGCAAGAGCAAATCGTAAGTTGTGGACATACTGAGCTTATAACATACCTCGTGGCTAGCGACGATTACCTTCAAGAACACGTTGAAGACACGATGAACGTTAAGATCAGTATGGCAAGACCGAGATGATCCAAAGACCATGTATGACTTATGTTGACACCCTGGTTTGTGATTTTGGATAATGACCGCCTTTAGATCTTGACCTTTGCTCGTTCTGCATGCAGAAATCACCAGCTACCGGATGCACGATACACCATACCACCTCCTAGTCAACGACAATTAAATACGAAACCATAGTCAATTTTGCAATATTCCCCGTGAAAACTCCCGTCCCTGCCTGCGCGGTCTGCAAGTACAATCTGTTCGTGAAACACAGCATTTCCCAATTCTCTTCATGGGTTGTAATCGCGGATCGGCCATGAGTATGTGTTGTTTTCGCTTCGAAGAACGGTACCATTTGCTAAGGTGTAGAAGTATTTCAGCCACTCAATGTCCGTAGCTTGAATTGACCTTTGAAATAAGTAGCCCATGATCGACAACGGGTTCTTCACTCCTATAAGGATGGCTGGAGTCGGTTCGATGGAGGTGTTCGCATGCTCGTGTCGCAGGCCCATCACCTAAAACGGGAGGTCGAGATCAGCGTGGTTTTCAATAAGGAGAGAAAAAGGTAGGCACAAAATCCATGTGCAGGTTCTATGCGATACCACCTAGGCCGATCTCGCACCCACTTTGCAACAAGACTTTTGACCTTGCCCTCCAGTCTTGACTTACATGTCCCAATTCATGCTGAAAAGAGTTCCTCATTCTAGCCAGACCACTTGGTGTGAAAGTCTTATCATACACCAGCAATTGTCTGGGTTGTGCTCCTCGCGGCTGGTTTGGGAAGAACGCTGACGCCACGGCTGTCGCGTGTACGCCGCCATATACGACCTCGAAAGCCGCTTCTGCCCGAACGAGTGTCCATTGGAACTTCACCCCAGGATTCCTTGAGTTCCAATCTGTTGCTGCGGCCCACATGGTGTCGCTGATAAGTCGTCCTTGTCCTCCCGGCCATCCTGAATAATACGATATGTATTTGATGACGCTGCCAGGCTTGAACCGTGGGACCTGATTCGGAAGGCCAAGATTGATAGACTGTTCATCGCCGCTGGATTGAGTCTCACACTTGTATTCTGCTACGGTCTCGTTAGTAGGCGTTATTGGTACTGGTGTTGCCTCCTGGATTCCGGTTGTAGCGCATTCGGCGCCATCAGCCCCGTCGAGAACATTATGGCTTGCTATGTCTGATTGTTCGCCTGCTGGTACAGCAGCAGCTCCGAAAAAGGCGTTGTTACTGTCCATTTTGGTGTATGGAGCTGGCAGTGAGTAAGCGCGAAGACCTTGTTGTGTGGAACTGCGTTGGTAATAAGATATTTACACTTATTGAAAGGTTGATAGGTCACCAATAGTATAATATCAAGATAATTTCAGCAAAGAAGTGAGGTAGAGTAGGAGTCTGGCTCTGCGTGTATTTGCAGATCATAGAAAAGCGCGTTGGCGTGACTCGTACTTATAGACATCAAGTTACGACCGATATGTAAAGGTAATTTTCCCCACAGCTTCAGCTTCAGCTTCCTGCGCCTGCGGCTACAATGTCTTGCGATTGCTTTGCTCAGCTCCATAATGCAAGTATGACACGAAAGCTCAGCTCCGGAGGATCGAGATATATCACTCGACCACTTGTATCCCTCAATCCCTTCCCGACTCCAAGATATGCCTACCAATTGCCCTATGCGTGAAAGCCCAGGCCTCAGCTTGACGCACTAAAATTTCGACCTGTACAAGAACTAGTGGTCTTGAGCTCTCGATGAGGGTCATCTGATGGAAGAAAGTTCGCATGAGGTGATACCCTTCCAGTGAATGTAGCCCTCACACCACCAAGTTTACCTGCAACAGTGACGATCTGGTTCGATGTCTTTGTCTCATAGATGTGTCTTGTGCATTACAATGAGCTCTTTTGAATGGGTATACTTAGTATCTTTGGAATTTGACACATCGCCGCGTAATCTCCACCAAAAATAAATCGGAGCTCGCAGCACTTCGCAGAAAGCAACTCAATCGCTACACACTTCCAAAATCGATACACCATACTTGAAGAACACGTTATGAGGATTTTTAGTTAGTGAGCTGATAGCATACAAAAGTCTTTCTCAACCAATCAGTGGAAATATTGTTACTGATGGGCTGAAAAGACCTTTGGTATGCTGACGGCTGCTTAACCAGCCATCTTTATGACGTGTTGCCCAGGTATGTGGGGAACTCTAGCAGCATTCTGTCTCCGACATCAGGTGAGAAAAGTGACGATCAATAGGATGGGAAAAGCGTTGGTAGTATGCTGTGGGCTGCCGACGTTTCTCCCCATTTCATCTTGTTGGTTAGACCTAACAATTTCGTTTCGTTGTGGGCCAGTAAGTGACGTCCTGAGCATTAAATCCATACAAGACAAAGAGACACTGAAAGGACAACAGAGTAGAAGTACCCCATTCAGACGGTCAAGTGACTCCGCTATTTTCTTAGCTTACGTGCGTCAAATTTTGACACCCAAGGTTTGGCCAAGCAATATAGAGTTTCACCAGGCAAGCCAAGCGCAGCTAGAAAGGCGAAAGCTAAACATTCTCCGTTAGTGCTCAAGCGTGTAGGTATGTTTGCATTTATTCATGCAAAAGATGGTGTTGTGTGGTTTCTGCAACTCGTCAAATCAAGCTCGTTGGTTGGTTCGCCGATGCGGGGTGTTCCCCTCAACGTTTTGAAAAGCAATACTGGAAGAGCTGAAACCTTACCTAGGTAGCAACATGATGGCTTGATCATGCCATTCATAAACCTTCTTTCATGCCCTTCAGCTTTGCTGACAGGCGAATGCCCTGTTGGCTGAAGTGCACAAACCTTGTGCGGGGTTCGAAGTTGGAGGTATCTCAGATCGTGCATCGCCAAACATGTGGTGCTGAAGCGACATGCAGCCAGCTCAGCTGGAAATACCCACTGCAATACTCATACGAGAGTTGAGAGCTGATCCCTGTCTACACTGCATCACACATCCAAGCTTCCCAAGAACCGTAACATATAAGTCCTGCTATCCCTAAGCTATAGCGTCGTTCTCCTTCATCCAGAGACAATCGAATCCTTCAATTCTTTGTTCTTACTGAATAGACTTTATCTTTCGACGTCGTACTCAACCTCTATCATGGAAAAGGCCCAGCAGTATCCTATTTGCGGATTTGTACCTCCATACATTCTCTCGGCCATAGCCGACTCTGCTATCGCCGAATCTGATCATGTCGGAGAAAGTTCTCGTGCTGCCTGCAAACATACACTTGAACATGGAATTTCCTATGCCACTCAACGTCATGAGCTGTGCGCTAGAACTCAGGTTAGTCCTCCAGATGCTGGAAGAGGCTTCACCACTAAATGCGTTCATCGGACCATTGCTGACTCCAAGTAATCCAGCAAACTCTGGTGACAGCAGGAGCTACACAGCCAGGACCCATACAAAGAAAGATCTATGATTGCAACAGAACCGACAATCTCCCTGGAGTTATTGCTAGATCAGAAGGAGAGGACCGCACTGAAGACCGCCAAGTCACCAATGTCTACGACGGATTCAAAATCACGCATGACTTTTTTTCGGAGATCTTCGGGCGCAACTCCCTTGATGGCGAAGGGTTGCATCTTATTGGCAGCGTCCACTACAGACCGAAAAGCACGCCAAAAGGTTACAACAATGCCTTCTGGGATGGTGAAGCGCAGCAAATGGTTTTCGGCGATGGCGACCACATCACCTTTGACTTCCTTACTGACTCGCTGGATGTCATCGCCCACGAACTGAGCCATGGCTTTGTCCAGTTCTCCTCACCGCTCAAGTATAAAACCCAGTCAGGAGCCTTGAATGAGTCTTGCGCCGATATCTTCGGCTCCATGGTCGAGCAATGGCATATGCATCAGAGCGTGGATGATGCAGATTGGATTCTGGGTCAGACACTTTTCCCAGTGGCGTTTACAGGTTCTGCGCTACGAACCTTCAAGGCTGGGAAAGCATACACAGACGACCCTATCTTCGGAACTGACCCGCAGCCAAAGCATATGGACAATCTTTACAAAGGAACTGATGATGGTGGAGGCGTTCATATCAACTCCGGTATCCCGAATCATGCCTTCTATCTGGCTGCGAAATCTCTTGGTGGGTATTCCTGGGAAAAGGCTGGCAAGGTGTGGTACAAGACCATGATTTCGGGTAAGATTGAACCCACCTGCGATTTCAAGACTTTCGCGAAAGCCACAGTAGATGTCGCCGGAGAGGAATTTGACGATAAGTCGGTACAGAAGGCTATTAGTGATGCGTGGGTCAAGGTCGGAGTCCTTGCTCAAACCAAACTCTGAGCTCATGTTTGTTGATGAGATGAATGGTTTCATAACGTAAGCGGCAGCTAAGCTGCGCACCTTTGCTAAGAGGTAGCCTTATCCACCTTCTTTTTCTAATGTCTTAACCACATGATATTGAACTGCTTCCTCGTGAAAACAGGATGATTCTTGCTATTTGCTACGACGTTCTGGCGCCACAAGGCTGTTACGATTGAGGAACATGAACTTCTAGAAATGAAGATCTAAGCCATCGACATATTCAGAACGGTGACCAAATAGCAGTCAGCACTCAATTGAGAGTACCCAATTTAACCCCGCTGCATACACAGTACTCCACAGTCTAAGTGATGGCGATAGAATACGCACTCGTAGCTAACTTCGCATTACTTCCGGTAAACACTTCCGTCCCTGCCTGCACAGTCTGCAAGTACAAGCTATTGGTGAACCCGTTACTCGCGTAGTTAGCTACCAGAAACTTGAAGAATATATTCTGCATCGTAAAAGTCAGCGTCTTCAACAAACTTCACTAGGCTCACGCTGATGACTCACCAAGTCAGCGCTGAAGTTCGTTGCAGCACCCCCACGAGCGACGAAGCTATATACTTTGACAGAGCCATTTAGACCATAAGCGAGGTCGAAAGTCGTGCCACCGACAGTTACGGTGGCAATAGGTGTGAATGGATATCCATTCGAAGACAAGGGTGATACACCGCCGAATACACCAAGCCAGATCATGACTTCGAAGAGATTGGTGCCACTGGCTGATGTGCCGAGGAAGGTGTCATAAGCGACTACAAGATGTTACATCCACATTAGCTTGTGGTCGCTCGAAAGAGATCAGGAAGAGTGCGTGAGGAGCATACCATTGACTCGCAGATCTGTTCCAGTATAGCTCCACTTCCATGCCGTCGGCATGCTTGTGTAAGCACTTAGCTGCTTCTTCGTGAAAGTGGTCTCAACGTTCGTGTAGCTCTTCACCTGGTTGGGTGTGCCAGACCAGGACCACGTTGTTGAGTAGGCCAGAGTGGTACCAGTCAGACTGTCAATTTGCGAACACTGAGATCCGGTTCCAGAAGACCAGCCCCAACCATTGGTGTAAAGCGTGTATGGACCGGAGGCTTGGGATTGGTATTGACCGCATTGAGCAGTGGCGCGAGGAAGGAGGTCAGCGGGTGCGGCGAACGCGCTTGAAGAGAGAAGAAGAATGATAAAGTTGGAGAACAGCATGATGATAATCGAGGTGCAGTGTTGCGCTGGGTGGACGGGGATGATCTGGATGAACATAAGCAGATGCGAGCGCTTTATATACTTTTCTAGACGCTCTTTTCATCCTTCTCGAGCGATGTTGCCTCCACATTCCACAATCACTCATCCCGTTTCGTACGAGATCATCAAGCTTCAATGCGCAGTTCTTCCTTCCACATATTTCACACTGGTCATTGTCTACGCGCGGACATCGCCGTATGCAGCACAGCAGTAGTAACGACCAATCGCACGAACCAACCCACGACCCATCATCGCGAAAGTCCGTAAGCCACTGACATAGCGAATTTCCACCAGGCAGATATGACTTTCTGACAGGAGCTTGTTCGAAGTCAATGTAAGCCACACCTGCTGCACGACATCAGCCGGTCCAATGATTCGCCTTCAGGGTCCACCAATATAGCTCGCATACTGCACGCGCGTGACGAACCACGATTGAAGGATTGAGACCGCGGTGTGGCGTCGATGGATGACCGGGTAACGGGTACGAGGCCGGACCGGAAGACCAATAGACTTACTCCTATAGAAACGTCGGGGAGAATATGTGCATCGGTGGCGTGGACTTCGTGGTCGACGTGAAATATTGGATGAGAGGATGGGCCCATCAAGTGGTTTGCCCGGATGAGGGTATTGGAAGAGTGATACTAGAGGGGGTTAATTGGTAGAGAGCAAGTCTTTTGCAAGACGAAGAAAGATTTAGCTCGAAAACCCATCTGCGCGTCTTTGTCGTAGAGGGCGATCTAGACCCGAGATCTATGAAACCCACTATTCCGGCACAGAAGCTAGTAACACCTCACGAAGCTGTCTTCACTCAAAGATTATGCTGGCCATCATGCAGCATCTCAATGGCGCCTAGACGCGTCGTAATGATCATCTCTTCACACCCAACCTTTAGGACTGCACATCCCAAGGGTAATTCCTCTTAACCCACATGATATCCATCTGACTCGGCTTAGTCGCACGATTCAACAATGCAATTCCCTTCCCATGATGATTCCGATCGATATAATGCTGGACAGGACAGTCTTCGCCATCGTTGTTACAGTCTGGCTTCGCGTACCCACTCATGCTAGGATAGTGCATGATGCTTTCGAGGTCGTACCCGGAATCTGCTTTGATCGGCCAACCAGGCTCGACCATGTTCTTGATGAAGGAGGCGCAGGTGCATTGATACTTCAGAGCGCGGTACATGGAGAGGCAAAGGCCATCTTCGGTGATGCGGTCGCCTTCCCTCTGGCGGGCGCGAGCCCAACACTGCGTTGGTAATGTTAGCATGTGAGAGAGCTTTCTTTACATGTGGGTGCTACTTGCGTCCTCCCAGTCGGCAAGTTGCTTGTATTGGACTTTGACATAAGTGTCGCGATCTTCGCGGTTGTGTTCATGCGCCTGGCCTAGTAGCTGTCAGTGTTACCATCTGCGATCTTTGCCGAGGACGTCATACCTAGTACGTGGCCAAGTTCATGCAGGACGCCACCAAGCGTGAAGCCATCAGAAAGCCTGACGAGATTCTGCCAGGGCTTGCCGTTTTGCGTCAGTCCAACGGAACCACCCCAGCCACCGCCATCCATGAACTCGATCGCCACTGTGTCATAGGGTATACCTGCGTTCCAGCCATCGCGATACTTCTTGACGGGTGCACAGTACATTGGCTTTCCTTCGCTATCTAGGCGCTCTTTGAAGCTGATAGCGTGGCCGGAGTCTTTGCCTGCGGTACCACCGAGATACCTAAAGAAAAGGCGTTAGAGAGTCATCGCACCTCATATCGACTGGGCTTTTACATACCCGATCCATTTATCCATACCACTCTCGGTAATATGGCGGATATTTTTGCGATCCCACTCCTGCGTGAAGCAGTACGGGATGATGACCTTGTTCTCTGAGTTCCGCGGCCAAGGAATCGGTCCGGGGTTAGCATTCCAGGCGTCAGTGGCGCCCTGACCATTCTGACCAGAGATCTTTTCGAGCTCTTCGAAATACTGCGCCCAACTAGTGGCTTTGGTACCGTTATCGTAAACTGGAGAAGGAGTACCGCAAAAAGGACCGTAATTGAGTGAAGGGTCGTTGATAGCGACTGCGACCGCAAGGGCTGCGAGTTGTAAGAAGTAGAAGACAATCATCCTCGTAGATAATCAACTAAGAGTGAGTGGAGATGGTTCAGCTGGTAACGCGGCCAGGAAGAGAGTCGGTTATACCGTGAACTGGCCAAGGCAGAAAGATTATGAAAGACTGGTGGTACGTGCGGGTGGGTGCGTCACGACTGGTGAGAGTGAGAGTGAGTGTAGAAATGTGCAACGACGTAGCTGTAGATGTAGCGGAGAAGGCGAAAGCGGCTGGCAATGACAACATAAATGGTGACCACAACGTTCCTTCTGGTCAACTCGTAGCACTCTTAATGTAGAGAAGACCAGCAAACCCAACACGAACATCGCTGCCACGGCCTTATTTGTGATCCAGCTCTTTCTTCCTTAATACGGTGGTAAACTTCCTACGTCGAAGGCGCTCACCTGCTATATCTTCGATCGTCGTCGGCATTTGAAGCATCATTCATCAAGCCTGAAGCAAGCTTGGGGTTCAAGCAAGTGATCAGTAACATGAAGCACTGAGCTCCAAAACGAAGGCCGGTTTCTAGATCCTCGAATAGTGTTCGACGCCCGTACGTTTATACATCCATATAGACTTCAGGTGCAAGACGCTATCCAAGACTTTGGCTTTCTAGCACAGGACAAACGGCGTGAGCTGAGAACGCTGTCGACTGATGGGGAATGGGTCTTTCGAATCGGAGATATAGCTCAATGGAGGTGGAGAAGGTCGTCGCTCCGTATTGGCATCGAAATTTGCCAAGCCAATGACCCGCACACGTGAGCGGACCCTCTGCCTTCCCGATGCTCCGGTCCGCCGCACTGGAATATCTAACTTGTTCCTTCCACATCGCAACACGCGAACGGGATGTTATGGGTCACTGCAGTTTGTAGTGTGTGCAAGAGACACAAGATTTTGGAGTTTCCGCACCCAATAACTGCCCGTTTCCAATCGGCTGACAGGCAAAAAGAATCACAGAATAAGAATGAATTTGAAAGTGTGAAACGATAGTATTATTTTAAATCATCTTAGCGATGAGGGTATCTTGAACGGTGAGTTAGAGAGTTAGACTGACGCTCCTGGCGAGAGTTGCGCTCAGCATCTCACAAAACCAAGAAAGTAACTGCTTAGAAGACGGTACCCTTGGTCTGCTTGCCCTCCTCCTTCTCGAGCTTCTTGATGTTGGTGTTCTTCCACACCCAGATACAAGCCAAGCACAGTGGCACAAAGCAAGCACCCGTGATGACCATCTTCCGCTGTACATCGGCGTAAGCACCAACAACGGCATCGCGCTCTGGTGTGCCATCAGCGAACGAACTCTGGACCTCGATGGAGCCAAAGATAGTCCTGTAGTCCGCCTTACTAGACTCAGGCAGACGCTGGAGCAATTGTCCGGGAAGAATGTTGTTCCACATGGCACCAGCGATGGCGTATCCGATGGAAGAACCGAAACTACCGAAGAGACCCCAGATGGCGTTCACGACGGCGATTTCCTGGTGAGTGACGGGAACCATGACGGCGAGTTGACCACAGGTGGCGAAGAAGGCCGTTCCGAGACCAACAAGAATTTGAGTGAAAGCAAGCACACCAGGGTTAGTAGATGGGTTTCGGAATGGAATCAACAGAGCGGTACCGAGCAGGACAATCGGTACACCGGTGGCGGCCGTCCACTTGAAGTTACCGGAATGATGAATCCACCACGCGATAAGTGGGCTGAACGTGGAAGAAGTGAGCGAGAAGGCGTTGAGGATGTATCCAGCGTTTGTGATGCTCTGCCTGTGTACGACAATGAGGTAGGAATTGAAGTATCCGTTCCAGCAGAAGACGGAAAGGAACATGGCACCATAAAGTAGGCAAGAGCCGATAATGGTGGGGTTCCTGAGGTAGTGCCAGGGCAGGAATTGGAACGGCGCGAACTTGGCTTCCCAGATGTAGAATACAGGCATAAGGAAAAGACCGAGGACGATGCAGGCGATGATGTAAGGGGTCTTCCAGCCTTGCGGAGCGTAGGTGACGAGACTGAAAGGCAGCACAAAGAGGCACCATGCGCACATGAGGAGGATAATACCGAAGACTAGACAATATGTTAGCGGATGTGCAACTTGATTCTGGGACAGCGTGAGACTTACTGTCAAACTGCACAAAGTAGAACCAAAGTGATTGGAAAACATTGCGATCTGATGTGACCTTCTTGATCAAACCAGCTTTCTTGGCCCTGCGGTACATGACTATCATCAGGATCATCGCCGGAAGGGAGATTCCACAGAAGATGATGATAAAGGCACCGTATCCCCAACGCCAGTTAGGGCTGAACCAGAAGTTCTCGGCGATCCTAGGTCCAGCGAATGTAGCTGCAATGCGAGGGGTTCCGTTGATGGTGAAAATGATCATGCGGTTCTTCAGCGTAGTGATATCGGCAGCCATGATGTCGCAAACGAACAGAACACCAATGTGACCCGCCCAGTAGAGAATGTGACCAGCGAAGTATGTTTGTACGTTGAGGCAAGCGGCTTTCATAGCCATACCGACGACAATGATGATGAGCATCACGAAGAAACCCTCCACGCGACCGAACACATCGATGACCTTGGCGATAACGAGAGGGATGCAACCACTGAGTGCAGTCGCCATGATGCTCATGACTGTCAAGAGACCGTGTTTGCCGAATGTCGAAGTAACGAAAGCGCCGAGCGACGAGTCCATGGCATTCTGTAGGAAAGCGACAAATTCGATAAGGTACAAGCTATACGAATGGGTCAGTCTTTCAATCTCACCAATCTAGACTTTGATGATGCGACTTACAAGACGAACATGGTAATCAGGGTCTTCTTGTCCCAGATCTCTGTGATTGCGCGTACACGCTGAACACCGTTTTGGAAGGTTTCTGACTCGACAGACTTGGTTTCGGCATCGCTGCCAGCCTCGTGGGCGTGGGTATTGACACCCGTCTCATTCTTCTCCATATCGACAGTCAATGAAGGGCGTCCAAGGCCCTCTACGGGCCGCACCACATCGGTTGCGAGCAAGTTCGACATGACAAGACAAGGATGCCGAAGAAATGCCGGGTAAGGCAGGGTATGAAATTGGGACGTAGGTGGGTGACGATCGCAACATAGGCAGTCCTTCCATTCTTAAGTATCCCCACGGCCCACTCTCCGAGAACCGGACAGGGAATGTAAGCTGAGTTCCAGCGTATGAAAATTTTGCCATGTGTATCCCACCCGGCACCCGGTGGCTTGGGATCATCTCCCACCGTCCAGGTATCTTGGGATGCCCAGAAAGCATTAGTAGCGGGCTAGATGATCAGATAAGTGCTAGATGATCAGATAAGATCCAATCTCGCCTTGAGTGAATACCTGGCTTGTCTTGGCTGTGCCGCAACTCTGCATGGCCAAGGTCTTGGCCCGTATTGCCAGTGGCGGTCGTAGCTCCCGGCTCATCGAATCGAGCAGTGTGCGCCGAAGCTTCTTTCCCGTGCGGACCAGCCTGAGGGCCTCGCCTGATGCTGGAACCACACCATCTGCCAGGAAGAGCATCCTCGTTGAGCAAGCGCGCGGTGGTGTTGCATGATCGCGTGTACCGCCGTTCCTGGCGCCTTCTAGCTGGCTGCACGTATAGCCGGCGCGGAAACAACGTTGTGTTGGAGCCCGAGGCTGTCCACGGGCGCGGGCAGAAACTTCATCGCGGCTACTTGTATACCTGTGAGCTTCTCGATTGACACATGTGGCTTTTGGTAGTGTTGGTGCAAAGTCACAAAGGTGGAGTGTTGGGAAAGCGTTCAGCCACACGCGACGCGAAGTGCCCCTCATGACAGCCAAATGTCACCACTAGCCGGATTTGTTGGTCACGATGACATCTAATCTAATCAGATCATCGCATCAGGCTCGGTCGAAGTGGCCAATTTGCGGGAACTGGTCATCCTCTGGGTTAGTTGGTGGGGGCATCAATCGAATGATGGGTCGGTTTCTGCAGGGTCGCGAGCGGTCGCGGTGGTATTAGGGAAGCAGCCACTATCACTATTGCCCCACCATTTCCTGGTCGCCACGATGTCCTGCCGCGACAAGCTTCTCAATTCTACATGCAGTCCGAAATGCCTCAAACTACACTTGAGATGGTGCGTCCCTGGAAGAAGGGTTTTCCTGTAGAATAGCGGGTACCTGGTGTCCATCTGGATCATGGTGCGGGTGTCCTCGGGTTGTTCCGGACGCGCTTTCTTCTCGTTCCTTTCATCTAACATTGACTGACCCTTCACCAATATGACAATACCGACCGGTTTGGGAATCATGAAAAAACCCACTTCCTTCGAATTTCCACAGGCAGCTTATACGTTTCTCCCGAGCTGTGTCAAGGAAATACTGGAAATATAATGTCACCTGGTCCAAATGCGAGTTGTACACTGCATCACTTTGCTCAGGAAACGACACTTTTAGCGTTCGTTGATTACAGCTCTAGAACAGGAGAATCGTAAAGCGGAAAACAGAAAACATGCTTTGTCACGCAACTGGATGTGAAAGTCATCCAGTCATGGTATTGATGCGGCTGTAACCACAAAGGCCACATCGTGCTTTCATGATTTGCGGACGACCTGCTTTAGCTGGCAAGAATACCGAATTGTGCTAATTTTACGAATTCGTGTGTCGCAGTCTTTCTAAATGCACATCTCTGCTCTCATGCGGACTTTTCGGAAATATGGCCGACCTATAATCCACCTGGATACTTTGGCTATTGACTGTCATTGTTGTTGCGTGGGATGGCAGTCATCGGACCGTTTACGCAACGAATATGGAGGACCCATTGTTGTATCTTGGATAGTACGCGTCATTCTTGCTTCGTGTCTAGTCGTTTCAGGGGTTGATGGATATGACACGCTGCCTTTGCATCAGTACCAACTTGTGCTGTCTAAAGATCCTCGTCTAGACAACTAGATGGAGTTCATCTCTCTCTGTGATCGTCACTTACTCGTCATGAGAAGCAACAACTTCTGGTAATAGACCGGTCTAAGTCTTGTAGCCAGTAAAGAGGATTGAAGCTGAGTGGTCTGAGATCGGCGTCCGTGTTTGGATCAGAAGATGTGAGAGTTGTTACCTCGAAAGTGGTGACAACGTGGAAGAACAATGTTGGATTTGAGAATGCAACCTACTTCCTGTAGAGCCATTTCACAGATTTGGAGGACAATCTTACTATGGTTTGTATCTGATGCCTGCCTCTTCATCATGCTCTACTCACTCAAATGAGGCATGTAAGAAATGTCATTTCCGTCCCGCCTGGTGTTTGCGACCTTTGTTCAGGAATCGACGTCGATGCGATACAATCATATCGTAAAGTGACTGATCATGGAGAAAGTCTTCCGGGTACGACACTGCGTCATAGTATCGGCTTAGCCACAGTCCAGAGCAAAATCCGTATATATGACGAGAAGGGGATAGATAGAGCGGTAGGTGCAACTATGCAAGACTAGATGAACGCCGCAGTGAACAGAAATCGCAGCACCCATACAACCCAGGGCGTCAGTTATCTATAAGCCTCTCTCTAATTCAATCGTTACCTTCAAACCAAACAAAAAAAAAAGAATACTAAATCCACAAAGCTCATTCAGCATCAGTATCGTTCTCAGTCGAAGAAGGCGGACTCGAAAGCGACGACAAATTCGAGCCAAAAGAAACCATCAAGTCTCTCTCTCCGCCGCCTCTGCGCTTATTACCTTGCATGGGCCGTGGCTTCTTCCCATGTTGCATCTCCAGCACCTCGAGCAACCCCAACAGCCTCTCAGAAGACGTGTGCATGAGCTTCTTCGCTATATTCTCCTCTTCGGCGTTCCCTCTCTTGCCCTTGCCCGTCCCAAACACCTTGTTCCGCGCATCGATACCAGACTCTATAGCTTCCCTCAGAGCGTCCGTGGGCTTGAGGAGCTGCTGTTCCATCGTGCGCAGCACTATCTGTTCTAGAATCAAAGAGATCTTGGCGTTTGCCGCAAAGCTCTTTGTCGTTCCTCTCAAGGGTAAAAGTATCTCTTCAAAGTCCTCTTGTGTGGGTTGGCGGATGAAGTAGTTGGGTGGCTTGCCTGTGATCAGGGGATGGAGGAGGTTGACGGTAAACGCAAGACGAATCTTATGCGGTAGCTTCATTGTGGATAACAGGACTTGGAATATGACGGTCGGGAGAGCGTTGAAGTCTTCGAGGATGGTGTCGCAGAGGTCGAAGAGGGGTGTGAAGTGGGCTGGAAGGGCTTCGGCTACGCGGACGAGCTGAAGGTTTGTCAGATGGTGTGCATGCTGGAGTAGGGAGATACGTACGAGTGCTATGAGACGCTGGCGCAGCTCAATCGCGTCTTGCCCGCCAAGGTGCTCTATGGCTTCGCGTGTGTTTCTTGCGGCCTGTCCGCTGGTGTCCACAACGATGCCATCTGTGCTCTCACTGTCGCTGTCTTCCGGCGCGTCCTGCATGTCTTCATCGCTGCCATAGTCGGCCAGCTCCCCAGTCTCAAAGTCAATGTCCCGCACAGGTTGACCTTCATCCTTCTTACGTCTCAGCTCTACTGTCTCCTTGTCCCATATCTCCGGATACTCTTTGAGCGATTCGGATGTGGCCGTCGCAAGTATAGCCTTGACCATTCGGCGCCTCCTGGAGCGGTTCATTGAAGCTCCCTCATGTCCGATAATGTAATGCCAGACTAGACTCTGTTGTAGGGCTGCTGTGTCGATCGTCCCGTCTAGCAGCTTGCTTTGCTTGACGCAGACATCCCAATCTGCTTCTAGAAAGTCGAGCATATTCGCCAGCCATAGCTTCCACCGACTCCAGCGTTTCTTGTGTATTATTGCGCAGTTGAATGACCATCCTACGATATGCCAGAAGTCGTCTGCGCGATACCACAGGCTCTTCTGATTCGCAGCCTCGCCCGCTATTCGCTCGATGTCGCCAGCCGGCTCAGGCGACGAGCTGGCATCTGTTCTTTTGGCCGGCGCACGCCTTCTGTTGCGCTCGTCTGGGAATGTGAAGGCTTTCTTTATAGTTGAGTATGCGGGACCGTTTATCGTCGTGCGTACGCATTGCAGATATCGCAGCGCAGCATTGGAGCCTTTGACAGCGTCTTGCGATTGCGCTTTGGTGGTGAATTTAGGATCGACGACTGTGGAAGAGGCGAATGCGATGTATGCAGGCGGTGCGAGAAAGCCTATATACGGCTTTGCGGGCGTCGAGATGCTGGTGCCAGCTGCGAGTAGGCTGTAGAGGAAGTCATAACCGCTGGCGTCTACAGTCAGTGTAAGCTTGATAGTACAGAGGTCGTTGGTCTCATATACATTGGCCACCCTCAAGATAGGCTTTGGCGTGGTTGGCAAGCTCGTAGGACACTTGCTTCGTCGGCCGGTGTAGTTCTTGTCGTGGTAGAGTCCTCAATGCTGCCTCGTGCGCGGGAGACGGCGCATGCTGACCATTGTTACTTGCGGGCGGTTTTGGTGTCTTGGATTTGGTGGCTGGTGTCGAGAGCCTTGCCATTAATGCGACGCGACAGTTGATGGTGGTGGTGTGGGGAGTAGTAGTGTGTTTAGGCGCGTTCCCCGCCGCGTTCAAGCGCGCATTCACGTGGAAGGCGAGCTGCAGACGGAAAACACCATATCTAGTAACTTCTACACTGACCATCGATTGCTTGTCACCCAATGCTGTGTAACCACAGACCGCGTACTGCATGTACTGTAGCCTGCATCAGAGTACAAGATTTGCAGTTATTAAACTAACCCCGCCAAATTTACGCAATTAAGATACTTCCGGCGCTTCCAGACGCGATATATTGTATTCCAGTGCATCACTTGGTCCGTACGTACACGTCATTACTGCTTTATAGCAAGAGCACAAGGAGAAGATGAAGACAACTTTTGTACCATCACCAAAAGCCTGCAGGTAGTAATGATCAGTGCCACACCTGGATAGGTTCCAAAAAAGAGGTCTACCAGGTGCCACTGCCACCAAGAGATTTACCACTATCACCCACCTGAAGGCAAAAGAAAGACAAAAAAGTGATTTCCGAATCCGGGAATCGAACCCGGCTCTTCTCGGTGAAAGCGAGATATCCTAGCCGATGGACTAATTCGGATGATCTGATTGATGAAAACAAGGTAATTTGATGCATTTATATACTCAACAATAACAACGCTGTCTGCGGTCGGCGCGATATCAGCTGATCGCTTTTATCTTGCGTGTACGTTTTCATGATAATTCCATAGCTTTGTGGTGCGGGGCAGCTTGCATACCCCACTGTAGGCGTCACAAGCATGGACTAGCGCCTTCCAATGACATGGGAAGCTTCTTCCGCTCTGTCCCTATCGCATCTGTATTTCTGATTCAGTCCTCTAAACAGCCTGCCGTTCTCCTCCAACAGGTCCTTGAGTGCACTTTGGCTGTCCTGCTTTGGCGCAAGTCTTGTAGGGTATAAGCCAAAAACTGACTCATGCGAAGATCTCCGCTCAACTAGCTATCGATTCCAGCGAGCATGGCTTCCTATCATTGCCAGATATGCACAGTGGCCATGTCCATAGCACGAATTCGGACTCCGGAAGACCCTCCCGACGCGGCCTGGAACTATGAAGGTCACAGTTATGTGGGCTTTGACGAGTTCCGAGACATTTATGGAAATACTATCGCAGATCGACAATGCGAACAATGTACCACCCTAGATCGAACTCCAGCTAGCCTTGACAAAGACATCAAGAACGCAATCTTTGGCAGCCCTCTCTGGCCAGATGAAGACGATGAAGATGGCGAATGGCTACCGAAAGATGATTCGGACGCGGAAGGGGAAATGCTGGAATATGACAGCGAAGCCGATTGTGACGTGGAATCGTCAGACACATCGCAAAGCGACGACGAGAATGCAGATGGCGGAGACACTGATAATAACCTACGCAGCGCCTTGCGTGAGCTGCATGCGCCTCCACTGCCAAGGCATCTTCCGCACGGTACGTTGCGCAATGGTTATATGTATACCAGAGAGTGGGAGGGGCCGCGGTACCTTGGAGACCTTCTAGCAAAACAAGCATGTGGCTCGTATAGAATGCCCTTGGAACATATCGCGGCACCTTCTTGTCAAAGTCTCCAAGGCATCAACGGCCATTTTCTGAGCGTAGAACAAATGAAAGGCTGCCGTAACCATAGATTCCTGTTAGCAAAGCCACCGAACTGGCAAGCCGATGAGAGCGATAACATCTTCGAACGTGGCAGTTCGTTCGTCTTATCCGGCGAATCAAACGGGTCCTACTTGTCACCTGTGGCTCCTTACGTCTACCCGCCACGCTATGGTGTGGATAAGGTAGACTGCTGGACCCTGTATATAAATGACGGATGCAATGTATGTGAGATATGCTTTCTGCTCAAGTGCTTACTCCAAGTTTTGACACCAATCCAGAACTCTGATAGATGGCGGCCGTTGCCTGTTCATTCGTATTGCCTTGATATGTTTGCAAAGGCATCCTACCGCCAACTTGGACGAGTCGACTTAGACGGAATCTGGCATTGGCGGGAGATGCAGTCCTATCCAGAGTCATACAACCTTACCAGAGATGATGTGCTTCACCGTCCGGAAGTAGCTCAAGGGCGACACGATGATGGCAATCCATGGTGCCATAAGCCGGGCGATGAGTGGTTGGCTGCAAACCCCGTAGAGATTCCGGAGTCCTGCGGTTTAGCAGAAAGTTGCGTTACCTCCAGCACACTTGAATGTACGGTTCAAAACTCCCAAGCACGCCTTCTTGGGCTACCAGCCGAGCTTATCGACCATATCATATCCTTCCTCGGGGAAAACGAGTTGAGTGCAGTGGCAGCTACTTCCCGCAAACTCCGCTACCATACACAATCGTTCTTCAGAGCTCTTGCCGTTGAACACATGGACTGGTTGTGGGAAGTGTTCGAAGCCGAGCGATACCCAAACTCACCAGACTGGCCAGTGTCATGGGATCCCTGCAATCCCCCTGGCCTCGTTGTTCCTGACCTGCCATACAATCTTGAAACTGAGGAACAAGAGAATTCGCTCTGGGCGCAGATCATAGAAGAAGACCCAGAAATGGAATGTTTTGGAAATGCTGTCAAGACATCCAATTCATCACGTCGTGAGGCCATCCTTGCTCCATATAGGGCAAGAGCAGAACACTTGCTTCAGGAATGGCAAACATTCCGCGACGGCGTAACAGAATGGATATGTCGTCTACCTTTAGGTGGGGAACAAATAGGGCATGATCTGGACTGGGCACGTCTGTGGCGCCTATCCAATCCTGATACGACCCCAATACCGGGCATGCGAAACCGTGCGCGGATCTGGAAGGACTGTGAACGTATTCTAGATTACAATGTTCGTTTGCGCGCGCAAGGTGTAATGGATGGCAAGTGTGAAGTTGTGGGCGAGGTTTTATCGGAAAACAGACAGCAATGGTGGTCTCATGCAACGGCAGGGAGGCATGACAGTAGCCATAAGGGCTTTCTGAGGCAAATGTGGCATAATGACTAAATTGTGCCTTAATATCAAATTACATAGTATCTTACCAGGGTGGACATCGCAACGCCCGACCGCTAATGCTGGTGTCGTAAGCTCCACGATCTTGTTGGATCTGGTCCTTTTGTGGCGCCTTCCCCTGTTTTCCCCGCATCACACTAATGACGTAGCGCGAGATAGCGCGGCTCGGCAGTTACACAAGTCGCTCAAACCTCACTCACTATGATTGTACCATCACTCATTTGATCAAGTATCCGTGCGGTCGGCTCAATCTCAACTAATCCTGGTCAGCATGGCTGAATGAACTGCGACTGTACACCAGCTCATTTGCCGCACAATTCATCCGCCTCCGCTCGATCCTGAATCCGGGGTAGGAACACCAACCGTGCAGAGCTGCGAGCATGGGTACGTATCGATGTGCTGGGGCTAAAATCAGGCTATCACATACACGAGGCTTCTGAATGGACAGCATCCGCTGATATGAGCCGTCGATGATTAGCTACAAAGGATGAGACGGCACAACCGTCCACCACGTGTGAAGGATGCGGAGAACCTGGCGGCTGGGTGTCAAGCTTTCTCATAAATACTTAGACGCTCAGCCACGCGTCGGCCCTATTGCTGTGTATACACCAGCTCTTCGCCTTGAACACGACTCCGACTACAATTGCCGAACTATCGTGTCCGCTCGCGGCGCTATTCTACCGACTTTCGACGCTTGATAACAAGCCACCGCTGAGCTCTACCTCGGAATGAGGTGAGAAGTCACGTTATAGCAGCATCAGTACGCAGTTCGAGAGCTTTGCGTTGCGCGGTCTCGGCTATTGCAGACGACACATATACTCTGCCGCGTTCTGGAACTGACCACCATCCTCGCTACTCTCGCAGAGTAGTTGCTTGACTCACCATGAATGCTCACGACTACAATGAAGATGTAAGGTTCCGTCTTGATCTTCATTTGACAGTACTAAGAAATGCAGGAACGCCGACAGCTCGAAGAGGAGCTTCACACGGAGATCCTTCCTGGCACGGAGGTTATGACAGATGTTGGCTCACATCACTTCGTCAAGGGTACACATCGCGAGGTCCTCGTTCCACAACCTAGTGACGATCCAAATGATCCACTGAACTGGAGCACTGCGTGGAAGCTAGCATGTATCATCTCAGCATCCATGGTCACGTTTACGCAAGGATTTGGTCCGTTAGCTCTTGCACCTATGTTTCCCGCACTCATCGAAGCTTTCGAGACCGATCTGGCGGGAGCAGTGCAATTCACTGGCGTGTGTATCCTGGTACTCGGATTCAGCAATTTCATCTGGTGAGTACGAACATTGTATCATCCAGACTCAAGGCTGACAAGCAATCCCTAGGGTACCGATCAGCACATCTTTCGGTCGTCGCCCCGTCTATCTCGCGTCCCAGCTTATCAATATTGGTACATCAATATGGCGTGCCAAGTCCAACTCCTACAACTCCTTCATGGGCGCCTGCATCGTTAATGGTATCGGTGCTGGACCGGCTGAGACTATTATGCCAGAAGTCATCGCCGACGTCTTCTTCTTGCACGACCGCGGCAAGTGGAACACTCTGTACTGGGTCGTGTACATGGGCTCGCTCATGGTCGGTCCTATTGTGTCAGGATCGATGACCGAAACAGTCGGCTGGCGTAGTTTCTGGTGGCTCAACACTGGCATTTTGGTCCTTTCGTTCTTGATGGTAGTGTTCATGTTCCCTGAAACAAGGTTCAAGCGTGCTTTACCCGAGCACGTTGGGCAGAAGCAAGCCAACTCGCTCGAGAAGACGAAAGCGACCGCCAAGGAAGAAGTCAACAACTCTGATTCTGAGAAAGAGATAAATCAAATCCAACACATCAACACCGCCAACTCTGTTCTTCCTAGTACTGCCGGCCTGGAGATGTCCGAGACTGCACAGCGCGATCCCTTCCTGGGACGTGGCAAGCCTGGCAAATGGCAATGGAAGATGTTCCAATCGAACGCCCACCCGTTCCGTTCCATCTTTCTCGACCTTTGGATTCCTTGGAAGTTGTTCGCCTTCCCCATTGTCGAATTCGCCGCTTTTGTTGTCAGTTGGTCATGCTCCAGCTTTCTCACAATCAACCTTACACAGAGTCAAGTCCTCTCCTTGCCACCGTACAACTTCAAGCCTATGACTGTCGGATTCACCAACTTTGCTGTTATGGTCGGTGCCTTCATCGGACTATTCACAGCTGGTCCGCTCAGCGATTGGGTATCTGCGAGAAGTACCAGGAAGAACAACGGGATTCGCGAGCCTGAGATGCGCTTGCCGGCCATGATACCCTATGTCATCATAATGCTTATTGGTAACATCGTCGTCGCTATAGGCTACGAGCGCAAGTGGCCCTGGGAGGCCATCATCATCATCGGGTACACCTGTGCTGGAATCCAAGTCGCAGCTCTACCCGGTATCGTCAGTACATATGCCATCGACTCCTACAAGCCTGTAGCTGGGTCTTTGATGGTCGCTGTTACTGTCAACAAGAATGTTTGGGGCTATGGCTTTGGCAAGTTCATCACGCCTTGGAGCGAGGAGGCTGGGTAAGTTTTACCGTTTTCTACACGCAACCGATCACTGTTAACGAGACTAGATTTATCTCACCCATCATGACGAACGCGGCTTTGATCACGCTGTGGTGCTTATTTGGTATACTGTTCTGGAAGAAAGGTAAGACGTTCCGTCGCTGGAGCAAGAATAGCAGCGTACACCGACAAGGCGGTCTGTAGTGTGGGGTGCGTCATCCTATTTTCAGTTCTCTCAAAATATATTAGACATATATGCAGCCTCTTCACAAGAGAAAATCGGGCCTGTGGTTTAGTGGTATAATACTCCCTTAGCATGGGAGTGGTCCAGGGTTCGATTCCCTGCAAGTCCAACTTTTTGCGTCCGTCCAGGTCTGGTCGCCGTGGTTGTGGTGGACGACATCGTGGGTGAATTCCTCGTTTTTTTTTTCGTCGGATGTGGAGTCGTTCCCGGTCTAGACGCACCAACCTACATTTTTCAAACCTCATCTCATCATTCCTCCTCTCGAACCACCGCCCTCTCCCTCTTTCCTCCACCCACAATATTTCTCTTCACATCCTCAGCAATCCACTCCGACTCATCCGCCTTCCCTTCCAAATCTTCCCATCCGTGGACCTCCGTCTCATCCAGCACTGCATTGTTTTGCCTCAACCACTGCCAGTGCAGAAGGACTTGAATTACTGTATTCTGTAACCTAAAGCCCGTCCACCCGGCCACCTCTTCGTCCTCCAATAGAAGGTAGGCGTCTAAGTCTGTGACGTGGTGTTTCATTCGCTCGCGTACGCCATGTGTCGTGAAGCCGCCCGATGGAGCCGCGATCAAGGTGGGTATGATGTTCGGCAGGAGGGGACGTCGGAATGGGAATCTTCTCTTCACATACTCGCTCACGGCCGCGAGCGCTGGCGATTCAACTCGCTCTGGCGGTGGTTCCGATGCTACAGTGACCGCTTGGTCACGATGATACGTCCCAGCTTCCATCTTCCATTCCCTCAACATATCGTACCGCAGTGCCAGGCGCATGGCGAGCTGTTTCTTCGCATTGTAAAGGCGCGCCATCAGCCCTCTATTCTCAACGATCTGCTCTGGTAGAAGGGTGCGCGTGAGTAGGAAGAGCAGCTCCTCGATCAGGTCACGCCTATATTCGGGTGGGCCAGCGCAGATACTATAGACTACTACACACCAATTTGTTTTCGTATCCACTGGCTTGAGGAGCGTGTCGATGAGGTTTTGCATGCCTGAAGAGTTCAAATGACCAGGGTTAGTACTCACTTCGCATATAGTTCGTAGTAGGTGAGGGACGTTGACTTGCCTTGCGTAACCCCGTTGGCGGACATGTGGAGACGTCCCCAGTCTTGGATAGCATCTAAGCTCCTTTCCAAGCTTCCCTCGTACGGGCTGGGGTGTGTTGGTGGGAGGAGATAATGCGCTGGTAATAGCCTGACCCCAGATTTCTTCTCGTCTATCTCGTTTGTGGTGTCTGCTACAGAAGGTGAAGCAATTTCACTGACGATACTGTTGACGCGGACGCCGCGATCGAGTCGCTGTGGTGGTGGAGGTGGCGTTGGACGCGGTGTGGTGAAGGACGAGTCAGATTGTATGCTTTGGATACTTTGGGCGCGGGCAGGGCGTTGGGAGGTGCGGCGATTGGAGGTGGATGTCGCCATTTGAGGTCGGTCAGAAGAGGGTGTCAATCGAGTCGTTTGTGCAAGTGGGCTTAGGGTCAGCGTGGCAGAATGGACTTGGATTAGCGAGTACTGTGAGTAGGTGAGAGTGAGATGTTATGATGACGTGATTGTGGGAGGATGCAAGAAAGATGAAGGTGAAAGTGAAAGTGGAAAATGCCAATTGTTACTTGTGGTCAGCACGACAGGAAGTGAGTGTAGTCTGGCGGAGCAGCTGATGAGATGAACGAGTTTGTTGTTTTTTGCATGATCATTGTACTAATTTGCAATGATTCAACACCACCAGCATGGCGCATTTAGACCTTCAGAGCCTTTTCCTGCATCATCTTCCCACTCTCATCCGCAGGCTCCAGACCCATCTTCGACGGTCCACAAAGCTGCACGCCGTCCTTGCTAAACCTTGATCCATGCACTGGGCAATCCCAACTCTTTTCAGTAGTGTTCCAGCATACCACACCCTTAAGATGCGGGCACAGCGCTGAGAATTTGTGTATCTGACCGCCCTCATCTTTGTATACAGCCAGAGGCTTCGTAGGATTAGTGTTGAGAACACCACCCTCGCCAGGTACAAGATCTTCGATATCCTTGATATCCGACTGGGCGAAGCGCTTGTACTGTGCGTTGATTTGCAGGTCGTGGCTTATCATACTGGTAGCAGATTTTGCAATGGAAGCAAGACGCTTGGGATCGTAAGCCGAGATCCAGTCGTTGGGTTGCTCAGTGATGGAATCCGCGATAAGTTTACCCGCCAGGACGCCATGAGTGAGACCGTTGCCCGAGTCACCGGTGATTATGTAGATATGTTTGTTGCCTTGGTTCTTGCCGATGAAGGCCATGTGATCGACTGGCTCGAAGACCTGACCGCTCCACTTGTAGTCGATTGTGGTAGCTTGCGGGAAGCGGGCGCGGGTCCATTCTTCGAGTTCTTTGAGGGGTGCGACAGTGTCAGCTTGGCCGACTTTGTGGTCCCCGCCCCCTACCACCATATAGTCGTCGTTTGAGTCGCACTCAGTGAGGCGGACGTACTTGTAGATTTCGGCCGAATCGTAGAAGAGGGCGTCTTCGACTGAGCCCTTGGGTACGCGGATGGCGATGCAGTAGGTGCGGTAGTACTCCTCCTCGGCGATGACGGATAGCTTCTGTAGTGGAACGCAGGTTGCTTCGACAGCGTCGGCACACTTGATCGTGTTTCCGTCGGCGGTCTTAACGTATACGTCTTTGTGGCCCAGGCCCATGATCTCTATACCCTTCTCTTGCACATCAATGCATCGAGTGTTTGTGTAACACGAGAAGTTGGGCTGCTGCTTGAGGAAGTCGAGAACACCGACGACGTACTTAGTGGGGTGGAACGTCGCCTGTTGAGGGTAGATGACAGCGTCGCTCTGGTCGATGCTGCCCTCCCAGCCCTTGAGCTTGAACCCCTCCTTGTATTCCGTTACAATGCCAAGCTCCTTCGCCTTGTTGCCGTCCTCGATCAATTCCTTGATGTCGCTCGCATGGTCTTTCGAGTCCTTTGGGTATTGAGAGAAGTCGTAGCCGGGGAGATGGCGGTACTCGCACTCAATGCCCAGCTTCTTTGAGATCTCCCCGACGCGGTTCAACGCCCAAGTATGCGATTCTGCAGCAGCTTTTGCGCCCTTGTCTCCGTGCTTCTTCGCGATCGCCGTGTAGCCATCGTCAAGATCATTGGCGAGATGACCGCTCGTACGTCCAGTTTCACCTGACAGTACCTCACGGCCCTCGATCAAGACGACGTTTAGCCCACGAGTTACTAGCTCGTAGGCCACTGAGACGCCAGAGATACCAGCGCCAACAATGCAGACGTCTGTCTCGAGGTCCTTGTCAAGCTTGGGGAACTTGGGAATGTTCTTGTAAGGCAGGTGATGGATCCACACCGGATCAGTCTCTCCACTGGTATACATGAAGTGTTTTGGATCTGACGTCTTGGCCGTAGCTACTGACGCGTCACGGCTCATGGTCGCCATATTCGCTCGCTGTCTCGCAAATTGGTAGTTCGGCACTTGCTGTAGGCGGGGTGCAAGTCTGCTATATGAAGCTAGACGTATCGTGGATACACGAGTGGTGGTTCGTAGGAAGCTGGAATGAAGGAGACGAGGGGCAGACAACGACATGTCTTAACGAAAGGTGGGGAGAGAGGCGTAGGTAGTGAGCACGTGGAGGTACACGTTGCTGTATATTCCTGTATGTCAATAATCATGACGGTTTGATGTAATAGCCGGAAGATCATTGGCTGACCGCGTCGCGTGAGCCAGAAGGAAGCATTGGCGTTGTAGCTTTGACGATGCCATGACGTGTGCTTTGCGTCCTCCGAGGAACATCAAGTGTTCGGAGACAGGAACATCTTGGAGTGGGCAGGTAGACGGTCAAGAGGACACGGAGACATCGTAGTGATATGCGGGATCAACAAAAATGTAATTGATACAACAACGATGAAGGCGTCGCGATAGAACAGATAACGCTTGTCCGCGGGCGCTGAAGTTTGACACGCTAAATTTCGACCGTGCCGCGTCTGCACGTGACATTCTGACCTCGTGATCATCGCCCTTTCAACAAACCCTCTGCAACGTCTCTTAACACAAACTTTTTGATCTTACCACTACCTGTCAACGGCACTTCAGCGCCACAGTCCTCTCCTAGCCAGAAGATGTGTACAGGAGCTTTGTGCCTGCCGAGTACTTTCCGTACCCATGCCTGCACTTCTGCTAAATCTGGCTTGTCTGTATTCGGCTCGTGTAAGAGGAAGGCAGCAGGTACCTCGACGTAACGGGGATGTGAGACGCCGACGACGATGGCGCGGGTGATGGATGGGTGTGCGACGAGACGTTCTTCGATTTCTAGGGGGTAGATGTTTTCGCCTCCTGGTATGCTGTTAGTACAGAAGTAATGGGAGATGTACTAATTGTAGGGGAATTCCCACCTCGGATGATGATATCCTTGAACCTTCCGGTGATGGTACAGTATCCATCTACGTCTAAGACTGCCTCGTCACCAGTGTGTAGCCACGGCTCGCCATACTCATCGCGCACGATAAGTTCCGCCGTCTTCTCAGCATTTTCCCAGTATCCACGACAGACTTGGTATCCCGCGACGCAGAGCTCGCCCCTAACACCGATTGGCACGATGCGATCCTGATGGTCCACTATCTTTACCCGCGCATGAGGCAATACTGTTCCAACAGTAGTCAACCGCGCATGCAGCGAGTCGTTCGTATGCGCGTTGAACACAGTAGGGCTCGCTTCCGTGAGCCCGTACGAAGATGTAAAGTCCGACATGTTGAGCTCATTGACCATGCGCTCCATGAGCCACTTTGGCACCGGACTGCCCGCCACAATGCCCGTTCTGAGATCACTTGTCCATCCCTCCGGCCGTGGGACATCCATTATAGACTCCATCATGGCGGGTACACCATGTAGGGCTGTGCAGCGTTCTGCATCGATCGCCCGCATGCAAGCAACGGGATCGAAGGATTCGGCTGGGAAGACAATCTTGGCACCGTGTGTGAGACAAGCGAGGAGACCGAGTGTTAAACCGAAACAATGGAATAGGGGCGGCGGGCAGCAGAGGATATCGTTGGGTGTGAGATCCATGCGATCGCCTATGAAGCGCGAGTTGTTGATCAAATTGCTAAACGAAGTCAGACGCGCATTGGTTGAATAGAAGAGGAGACACTTACTGGTGTGTCAACATGGCAGCTTTTGGGTTTCCGGTGCTGCCACTTGTGAATTGGAGGTTTGCGACATCGTAGGGACTTATTATGCCGTCGAAGATGTCTAAGATGTGCTCGGGGATATATTGGGCTTCTTCGATGAGGGAGGAGTAGCTGATGAAGCTGTCGTGTTGGCCGCGGATCAGACATACAGTCTTGAGGTCTGGTAGTGTGGACGCGACATCGGGTTGGCTGAGCTTGTGCAGTAATGGTCCGTTGTCGAAGCGCGCGATCGTGGGTGTTGTGAAGAGTACTCTGCATTCTACCTTGGTCAGTCTCGCTCTCTCATACCACCCGTCAAGAACACTTACTTGTATGTTTTAGCGCGTACTCCATCTCTGTCGCCGTATACGTGTTGTTGAGCGTAACACAAATGCCCCCTACCCTTGCGCATGCAAAGAAGAGTGCAATATACTTTTCGCAATTACCGCTCATGATTCCTATCCTATCTCTCGGTCTTACACCCTCTTTCAGCAACGCTCTTGCTAGCAAGCTCGACTCGTCCCATAGCTGCTGGTACGTCCACCGCGCGCCAGTCCAGGGAATGACAACAGCTTCATTCTCCGGATAGCAATCGACTTGTTTCCGAAGTAGTTGCGACAGGGTCAATTGGAGTAGTGGGGGATCCAATGGTCCGGCGACGATAGAGAGGTTGGGATATGGAGGTAGGATATACGGGTCGATCTGGAGTAGTGTTTGGTTGAGACGTTGTAAGGCGTCATTCCGCGATTGATCATACAATTCCGCCATCTCGTTATCAGGTCTTGCGATCCAACGTCGAAAAGTTACTGAGTGAATACAGTATGCCGCCCGATGGATACACTATCTTGTGGTAATAGGTATAAATTGGCGACTTAGATGATGAAAAGCGTAGAAAGAGAACGATAGTGAAGCAACGGTATACAATAGTACCCAGAGACAGTCGAGCGCTTGACGATGAATCTTCGAGGTACCAACACTGGCCATAGCGATAGCAACAGCGATAATGACGGTGCCTTTCGCCGATGGCTCGGATCTAAGCTTAAGCACCAGCAGGACCAGGCCATCTTTGATCTCCAGTCCTGCCGTCTTCCGGAGATAGAGAGCGACGTACTTAGTGGGTCATCTCTCATCCTTTGGAATCGAAACGAAACAGGCCATGACATGGCTGGCTTGCTGGGCCTCCACGCGTAGCTCTACCTACTCTTTCCGGGCGCAACGCCGCGGTCAGTACTATGGTAGGTCTAGCAGACACCGTCAAGTGATGGGCATAATTTTTGTGCTCACAGCGGGAGAAGATCGGCACTGGCTGGTCGCCGTAGTGTAGAGAGCGAACAGCCCAGGACCGATGACAGCAAGCGGCGAAGCCATCATGGTCAGGGTAGTTAGCTGACAGGGGTCGGGCGTTCGATCTTGATCTGATAAGATTAAACCGGCCATCAAAGCCGACCTGCGCTGCTGCGACATCGGTGCATCACATGTCGTATGTTGTATACGAGGTGCGTGCATAGCATTCATGCAGGCTTGCAAATTTTTTATCAGATCAAAAAGAAAATTTAATCAGATGGAAGTACGAGTAAGGCGTCGGGACAAGATGGGTGTGGAGGTGGGAAGGAATCCTAGCGCCTGGGCAATAACTATCCCGTAAATTTCCTTGCATCCGCTGCGTGGTTTGTAGCAGCTGCCCCATCAGGCATCATGGTGTCATGCTGGTGCATCTGATAAAAATTCTTCTCGTCGCGTAGCGGTACTATCTGATTCGAGAAGATATGCCGCGGACTATTTCCAGGGTTGCGCCAGTCGTAGTGCTGCATCGCCGTTACGTGTTGCATCCACACACGCATCTCCACAAAGTGACCGATCCTAGTCGCAATCGAATACGCCTCAGGCCGCACGAAGGCACTGACACTCCACGCCCTTTCTGGGCGCCTGGTCTCTGCGCCCACCATGCAACGACGGATCAGATAAAAGAGTGCGGCTAATTATCAGATCCGCGTCCTGCATACACGAGCCGGGGTTGCTCCGGGCGTCATTGGACGGCTGGGGTGCGAGGTCATGTCATTCGTGACGTGCGTGCCATCGGTTAGCGTGGGATATACGAGCATACCGGAAGAACGCTACGCAGTGATTGTTCTTGTGAGAGCGATGCCGAAGCTGTCTAATGACTAGCGGTATGTTGCAGCCGTCTCGAGGCGAATCTCGGGAGATGGAGCTTGATCTGTAGGTAGATGATAATCAGTAATCACAAAATAGTCAGAAGAATATCCATGCCATGCTGAGTTAATGGTCAAAATTTGTTCGTATTTACATTAATGGAAATAATTGTAGTTGCGTGGTATTAGAAACAAAGTGCGAGATGGCAGTCTACAACTTTGACTTGGCGCCTGCATCCAGGCTTGGGCGAACCTTCTTCTCCCCATCCCAGGTGAAAGGACTCAATGTGAAGAATTTCTCTCGGTTGACCATCATCAAAGCACTACGCTTGTGTGGAAGGTCCATGATCTTCTCAACGTGGAAACCGTGGGCGAAGTCATATGCTAGCACAGTGCTGCTTGTTGCTGCTGGTTCACCTACCAGGTTCCAGGTGCGTGGCTCATCAAGGAACATGTAGTGCATAAGACCAGACCACCATGCAGAAACACGGTAAGGCCCTCTGAATCGAACGTCGCCGACGAGTGAGTGCCTGCCGCGGTCATAGGGCGAAGACTGGTAGTGAGCACCCATGTGGTCCTCCTGTGACATGTGTTAGTCAAAAGGTTACATTGGGTCGGACACGATCTCGACTTACCATTGCCCAATAAACTTCAAAGTAGGCAAACAGAATGTCGTCGAAAGCAGCGAACATGGTGAGTACGTGGGGGTCCTCATGCAGCTTTCGGAGATATTCACGGTGTTGATCCAGAGTGCCGGTTTCGTTCCAACCTGCAGCGACACGTGGGTCGTTTTGCCACTTGTTGAATAGTCGGAGATGCTCATCATTGGTGTAGTCAAGAGCCACCATTGTAAAATGCTCCTTCAGGTGTGGCACCCATCGGCTGTAAATGATCGAGCCAGGCTCAGGCTTTGGTTCACGGACAGGATGTTGCGTATGCCGTGGTACAGCCGGGAACTGAGTCGATGGTGCATTCTGGAATGGAAATGGAGGATATGGTCTCTGGATCGGCTTTCCAGAGGCGTGAAGGTGCGGTGCCCAGACTGGACGAGCTCCGAATGGAGATGCGGCGCCCTGCCAGAATGTTCCTCGGAAGAGGAGGTGACCATCGTGAGGCGCCGAAGCATTGGAAGCCTTTGGATGTGAGTGGAAAAGGCCGGTGGCATAAAGCTCATTGGCTAGTTCCTGCGAGTCTTTCCCAGAGAATAGCACGCGGAAATTCTCGATTAGCGGGTGCAGTGAGACCAACGCGTAGGCGATGAGCCAAAGTTGCGGGACGGTTGGCCGATCCTTGTTCCAAGAGACTGTTACATATGGGGATCTTCGAGTGCGAGCCCAAGAACTGTTGTCTCCCTTCGCTGGTACTGCATCTTGGCTCAAGGTGCTAATGTCGGTGAATGAAACAGTTTCGTTATGTAGAACTGCCGGCGGAGCAACCTCCTTGCCTGTGGTGTTCGCTGAAGAAAGCTGGACTTGGTAGCTTATGGGCTGTCCTTTCGGTGCCACATTAACGATAGTGTATGCGGTTAGATATGGGTGAGGAAGCTTGAGAACGAGCGGCTCTTGCGCGGTATTCTGCGTTTCCTGTTGCGCCATAATGAAGTTGGATGATGAAGAAGAAGATATGAGCAGAAGATAGCAGATGCAGTTGGTTGCGCGACAGCAATGGGCGAGCAGCTATAACCCTATTGTTTGAGGTCGTTCAAGATGCTCAGGACTCCAACGTGTGAACGTTTAACCGAGGTCGTCCCTAATATCCGGGATAGTTTAGTCCACCACATTACGCAGGCTTAGGCGATGGTGGATTTGTTACCCATCCTCCGGCAAGAAAAACTGGTCACAGGGCTGTCGTGCGGACGTGGCGTGAGGAAAGCTCCGACTGGGTGGCTGGCCACCCCATGTGGGCCTTGGGCTAGCACCCACATGCAAGCCGGCGTATGTGGACGCAAAGACTCGCGCACTTGTGCCGCTGACGCTAGCCATCGGTGACATCGTTGTTTTGAGTGTGGGCATCGACACATCTAGCTGATACTGGCCGGTGTGCAGGGTCTGCAAATTGTGCCTGAGTTGTGCGGTTGTGTTGTGGTGCTGTAGTACTATATTTTTAGCGTCGAAACACCTTCTTGATGTACACACCTAGAAGGCGATAATCGACATCTGCTTCAAACGAATCAATCCTTCATCCATAATGACTTCGACCGAGAGAACAACTCCTACGCCCATGGCAGATTCATCGCCATACTACGACCTCGTATGCGTCGGCTTTGGCGCAGCGCAATTGGCAACAGCCATCGCCAACCGCGAATCCAGCAAACCTTCGAAGATGCTTTTTGTTGAGAAGAAGAACTCCTTCTCATGGGCATCGGATTCGCAAATGTCGAGAACACGAATGGAAAGCCCATTCATGTACGATCTCGCAACACTCCGCAACCCAAGGACTGCTTTCAGCTATGTCAACTATCTGCTTGCTCGCAAGCGCCTCATTGAATTTGCAAACTCAGACCGACTCAACCCTCTGCGAGAAGAGTTCGAGGACTATATGAGGTGGTGCGCCGAGCACTTCAAGGATGAGGTACGCTATGGCAGCGAGGTTGTTGGCGTAGCTCCAGAGGTAGATTCGGATGCTGTACAAAGCTGGAAAGTGGCTGTCAAAGACAGCGCCGGCAAGACGCATGTAGTGCGAGCACGAAGCATAGTCGCTCCCTCACCATCAAGAATGAGCAGTCCAGCTGCGGAGCCGTTGCCCACCGTCGACTTCTTGTCTGGACAGCGAATAATATCGATGCACGACTACCCCAGCAGGCGGAACGAATTGCGAGGTGCAAACGAGCGACCATTGAACATTTCCCTCGTCGGATCCGGCGAAAAGACTACGGAGATTCTCGACGATTTGTTGTCGTGCCCCCGCCTGGGCAACATTACAGTCGTTACAGAAGACGAGTCGTTGGCGCCATTGACGGTTCTCAACGACAGCAAGCCATCGCAACCCCAACTTTGCTCCATTTGGGCGAAGCCAACCAGCAATCAGACAGCTTCTGTGACAGAAGCCTCAGAGCTCGTCCAGAAGATCTATGACCGCGCGTACGAGAAGCAAGTCCGATCCAAGGGCGAGTACAGACTACGCGTCATCATTGGAAAAGATGCCGCTGGCGCGTGCTCACAGTCCGACTTCATCATTAGGGATACGACAACAAACCCGCTCTCCAACATCGCACTGTTCCAGAGCATCGACACGCTCATCTTGGGCTGTCGGCCAAAGGGAGATAGTCTGGAGGAAGTGCAATTCAAGCGTGGCGCTGTCGCTGAGGGCTGTCGCTTGTGGCTGGTGTCCTCAAAGTCTGAGGGAGGACGTGCGTTAGCCAAGGACATCGCCTTGATGGCAGGTGAGATCGTGCGCAAGGTATCGACAGGGTCTGATGCTGTACGGGATGGCGCCGGACTACAAGTCCAGGCTAGGATATAGGGCGGGTGATGGTGTGCAGGTGTGGGTTCTTGTTTCCAAGGTTTAGGCGCTAGATGATGCAAATTTTTATCTAATCTGATGCAAGCTGAGCACAGACCATAATGCAAGTGACACGTCCTTCTCTCCACTCACAGGCCTGCACTCACGAACCACCAACCCACACTACTTTCCACTACACATCCTTCTTCACGTGACGCTATACCCCTTCACGCTATGCTAGCAAACTGCCCTGCTGCTGCACTATGTCGATCCTGGCCGTCGCCTCCTGGCGGGGCCAAAGCGCCCTGGCGAACCTCATGCAGGTGTCTTCGCGCGTCTTCATCACAGCATACAGCGAGGAATATTCTTTCTCAAGCTGCTAAACACATCTCATAGGCTCAATGCCTTTCAGCAAGCCCTCGGGGGCCTCTATCAGGCAGTTATTTAGCTTTCTCCATCTCCTCTTCTACGCAGACCCGACATGGCTCGACAAGATACTGGTGTTTGTTGGCGCTATAGCTGCCATCGCAGCAGGCGTACCGTTCCCGCTCATTGGAATCGTCTTTGGTCAATTGGTCGATGAGATCAATGTAGCAACATGCAACAATCGCGATGGTGGCTCGAATGGGGACGAAGAAGCCGATATCACGCCCAAGATTCTATTGCTTGTCTACATCGCTATCGGTAGCTTCGCTTGCATCTACATACATCTTGTATGCTGGAACTTGGCATCGCAGCGGCTAGCTCAACGCATCCGAGACCGCTACCTTAGGAACCTGCTACGACAAGACATGGCCTTCTTCGACAACCTACAAGCCGGAGAAGTATCATCTCGACTCAATGGCGACATTCAAGCCATCGAGAGCGGAACTGGCGAGAAGGTCGGTGTGGCATTGACTTGCCTCTCCTTCTGTGTTACTGCATATATCGTTGGCTTCATCAAGAACGCCGAGTTGGCTGGCATGCTCGTATCGTTAATCCCTGCATTCTTGCTTATGGCAGTGGTTGGTGGTCACTTTGTTGGCAAGTATAGTGCCAGGCTCGGCTCATGCTTTGGGTCTGCTAGCGCTATCGCGTCTGAAGCCCTCAGTCACGTCGGTCTCGTGCACGCGCTCGGGGCGAATGCAAGACTCGAAGAGAAGTTCGAGAGCCACCTAGGCAATGCTCGGGAAGCAGGCATCAAGAAATCCATGGCTGCTGCTGTACAAGCTGGTCTGCTCTACTTTATCGCCTTTTCAGCTAGTGCCCTGGGTTATTGGCAGGGTAGTCGTAGAGTCGCAGACTCTTTAGAGGGCAAGGGCAGTGCCACTATTGGAGAAATCTATACTGTCACCTTCATTCTTCTAGATGGTATGTACCTCTTCGAGCCTGTACATGGTCATTGGCTGACGTCTTTTCACCAGGTGCTATTGTTTTGAGTCAGATCGCGCCCATGTTGCCACTGTTCGGTGGTGCCATATCAGCATTTGGGCGCTTGCGCAAGGATATCGAAACTCAGCCTACCATCGATAACACGTCGTCATCTGCGGAAAAGCCTACTAACGTCGAGGGTACTGTTGAGTTCCGCAATGTTGCGTTCACATACTCTTCAAGGCCTGACCATCCCGTGCTGAACGGTATCAACTTGACATGCGAAGCCGGTAAAATGACTGCCATTGTTGGTCTCTCTGGTAGCGGCAAATCTACCGTCGCAAGCCTCATCAGCCGCTTCTATGACCCGCAATCCGGTGACGTACTTCTGGATGGGCGCAACGTCAAAGACATCAATATCAAGACTCTCCGAGGCTTCATCAGCCTTGTGCAACAAGAACCATCGCTTCTCGATCGCTCTATCCTGGAGAACATCGCTCTTGGTCTAGTCAATAGTCCACCTCACGCCCACCTCGAGAAGACACTGTTGAGTGGCATCCTCGCCCAAGTTGCAGAAGACGTTAGGGGCGGCCAAGAACTCAATCGTGTTGCCGAGAACGCTGGCCCAGAAGTGGTAGAGATCCTTCAGCTGGTGAGACAGGCTGCAGACCTTGCCGATGTTGCTGTATTCATTGACCGCCTGGAATTCGGCTTCGCGACCTCAGTCGGTTCAAGTGGCAGCCTTGTCAGTGGTGGGCAGAAGCAACGTGTTGCTCTTGCTCGAGCGCTTGTCCGCGACCCGCGTATCTTGATCCTCGACGAGGCCACTGCTGCCCTGGATTCTGCCAGTGAACAACGTATCCAAGCTGCCATAGACCGGGCTTCCCAAGGCCGAACAGTGGTCTCGATCGCGCATCGACTGTCTACCATCAGAGCTGCTTCGAAAATCATCGTCATGAAGAAGGGTGACATCATCGAGCAGGGCACTCACGATCAGCTAATGGAATTCGACGGATCATACGCGGACATGATTCGCCTACAATCTGTCAAAACCGAGGATGGCCCATCAAGCTCAAGGACCAGTGTAGATTCACGCGACACTATCTCTGACGAGAAGTTGGCACTGAGCGCTCAAGAGCCTGATGCTGTACCAGCAAACGATACGCAGGCAGTCGACCCCGTTGAGCATACCAAGGGTGTCGTTATTTCAGGTTCCATCAGGAAGACCATGTTTCCATTAACACGACCGTACATGGGTATCGTGGTGCTGGCTTTCTGCGGAGCACTGATAGTAGGAGGGCAATACTGCGGGTCTGGCCTCTTATTCGGTAACATCATGGGCACCATGTCCCCTTGCAACTCTCCAGACTACATTCGGTCTAGGGGTGAGTTACTGTCCGGAATGTGGTTCATGCTTGCCTGCGTTGCTTTCCTTGCCAACTTCACCAGCTGGGCATCATTCGGTCTCTTGTCTGAGCGACTTATCTACAAGGTCCGCAATCTGTCTCTGCACACGCTGCTCCAGCAGCCGCTGCAATGGCATGAATCCGAGGCGAGAAACCCATCGATGTTACTTGAGTTCATCACTAAGGACGGCAATTCGTTGGCAGGCTTTAGCGGCTCCATCATCGGCACACTTTTCTCCGTCGTTGTTAACTTCGTGGCCGCTATTATCCTATCTCACATCATCGCATGGCGAATCGCGATCGTATGTCTCGTTATCGTGCCGCTACTTTTGGGTGCTGGTTACATGCAGTTACGCGCCATCGGCCGCTTTGCTGTAAAGCATGCCGGCGCGTTCTCATCTTCCATCGGTGTTACTATCGAAGCCGTTTCGAACATCAAGACTGTGCATGCATTGTCGATTGAAGAAGAGATCATACAAACCTACCGGAGATCGTTGAAGGCTCCGCGCAAAGAGATGGTGAAGCAAAGCTTCAAGACCAACGTCTGGTTAGCTGTCGCCAATTCTTGTGGTAGCTTCATCTACGCCTTTGCCTACTGGTGGGGCTCGAAGAACATCATCGAAGGCAGATATACCCAGACCGAGTTCTTCGTCATCCTCATCGCCATGCTCGTCTCCGCACAATTGTGGGGTCAACTATTCACCCTCGCGCCTGAAATAGCCAAGGCCAAGAGCGCCATCGGGCGCATCTGTGGACTGATCGAGCTCGGCAAGGACACACCCTCTACAGGACACCAGAAGGCACTATCCGAAAAAGCACAGGACGATGTTGAGGCAAATGCTGAATCGCCATTGCCCGCCTCCTCACAAGGTGGTGCCAGAGTTGTCTTCCGAGATGTCGGCTTCGCGTATCCAGCGCGTCCCGGTGTTCCAGTGCTGACATCACTTTCATTGACCATCCAGCCAGGTCAATTCTGCGCCTTGGTTGGTCCTTCAGGTGCAGGCAAGAGTACTGTCCTGGCCCTTCTTGAGCGATTTTACTCTCCTTCCTCAGGCAGCATCTCCATCAATGGGTTCGATATATCGCGACACCATGGCGCGTCTTTCCGCGATGATATCGCCTATGTTCCCCAAGAGAACGTACTCTTCCAAGGAAGCATCAAGTTCAACATCGGGTTGGGAGCAAGACCCGGTCATGAACCATCCGACGAGGAGATTCAAGAAGCCTGTAAACTGGCAAATATACATGACACCATCGTCGATCTTCCCCAAGGCTACGATACCGAGTGTGGCTCGAACGGCAACCAGCTGTCTGGTGGTCAGCGTCAACGTTTATCTATCGCACGAGCTCTTGTACGGAAGCCAAAGTTGCTGCTACTAGATGAGAGTACGAGCGCACTCGACGCAGAGAGCGAGAAGGCTTTGGAGCAAGGCCTCGAGCGGGCTGTCAAGGGCCACGGCGTGACAGTTATTGCAATCGCCCATCGACTGAGGACGATCGCCAGAGCTGATGTTATTTTCCTCGTCGAAGCAGGTAAGGTAGTAGATCAAGGACGCCACGAGGAATTGGTGCAGCGTAGTGAGAGTTACCGTGTCAATGCTCTCCACCAGATGCTGGGTTGAGTCTTGTTCAGTTTAATAGACATTCTTAATTCGTCTTCAGCCATATTGGCATTATGCCAGCTCTACAGACTTTGGTAATCTCTTCTCTCCGCCTTCCGGTAACCAGACGTACAGTGGACATTCCTCGTTCTCCCCTGCGTCATTGGTCTCGTTGGATTTGACCAACTTCTCCTTCAGTTTTCGACTTCCCATTCTCTCGTAGAGCTTAACGCCTTCCTTGGAGCTCTCTATATACATGGGCAGACCAGTCTGCTGGGCGATGGTGATCCCACGTTTGAATAACAACTCACCAATACCTTTCCGTTGGTAGTCGGGATGTACAGCCATCACGTGGCAGTAGATGTACCTCTCATTAAGCCACAACTTCTCCCTCGTATCCCAAAGTGGCTTAACAAGGGCCTCGGCTCGTTCTCGTTCTTTCCCCTCCAACCATCCGATCTCACCCTTCTTCCAATCACTCGGCGTAATGTATACGTCACAAAGCGCCATCCCAACAATCTTGTTAGTCTCGGTGTCGATGCATTTGAACGTATATTGCGTTGCACTTGTCTTCCAATACTCCGTGACATGAGCGGTGTGAGCCTGCCTTCATACTAGTCAGTTCATGGATCAACGGCATCTAACGGTAGATCCAAACCAAAGATGGGTACTTACCGAAACTCCGAATTCGCGTCCGTCAAGTCCTTCTCGGTAGCCGAGGGGAACAATGCGCGCGTGAGTGCGTTGTCCTTGAAGGCTGCGAAGTATACATCGTACACGGCGCTAATGTCCGGTACCAGCGCGGGAAGGATCACGAACCCCATTTTGAGTGGCTCGTCACTTAGTAAAATTTTGATCTAGGACCTGAGCAGCGGGGAATGATCTAGACCGTTTGCTGGTGGAGGGTTCAACTCAAGGTACGAAAGGTTGGTAACGTTTGACAGCTGCAGTAAAACGCTCGACCCAGAGACATGAACTTGGTAGCATTTTGTCGCCCACTATGCTCAAAAATTGCACGATCCACCCAAAATGCCCAGCTTCCTGGTCGAAAGATCGTCGGTCACGCATACAGCATACTTTGAGTTCGACCTGGTGGAGGAACGCGCACCATAGCTGTGCCAATCTCTCGGCTGCCTGAGGAACCGCCTGCTTCGCAACGCTAGGGGAGAGGGCGCAAAACTAGTATACAAGACCCACACGTGTAGGAGCAAACACATCACGCCACCGACGACGACCAGACCTTCTCCATTGAGACGCTCGGTCGTTTCTACTGTGCCTCCCCCTCGCATGTGCCGATTAAAGTTATCTGATCCGTTCTTAGCGAGGCTTTCCCGTCGAACGACACATCATATCAGCATCGTTTCATAGCGCAAAAGTCCTATGGCTTTGTGCATATTCATCATTTACCGCGATCAGCGCGTGAAAAGGCACTGTACCGTAGCGGCAAGTTCACGCGTGGGATGACCGTATTTCGCGTATGTTGCATTTCCACTGCTCCGGGCCTTCTTCGTGCGACCAGCAATATCCCTAATTCAAAATGCACGACACTTAAAGCCGGCTTGTGTTGTCGATCGATGCAAAGAATGGCGCATGGATGCTGTTATTGGTCAGCAGCACTCCTCCGAACATCGGCCGTTATCAGATCAAAACGATTTGCGGCGCCAGCGACGTAACCCTGCATGACTCCTACTCCATCGGGCAATTCCGTGCATGCATCGGTAGCACACCATCAAATTTATCAGATGAAAGGCCATGACGCCGCCTTTCCCGCTAGAATTATCTGATCCGCTAAGTGTGGGGATGAGCATGCAGGGCGAAGAGGGTTTTTCTTACGGCTAAACCGTGGTACCTTACCCGATCCCACCATCCCCTCCGCGTTTACGTTAGGCGATGCGCAATACAGCCTGTATCGAGAAAGACACAATGGCGCGAAAAAGCGGACCCTGTTACTACGTCGTAAGAGAAAACTATGACGCCGACGGCTGTCCGACCGAGGATGATGGATCAGTCGGCGTGGGTTGGTGTGCTTGTGCCGGAGCCTTGTCCTAGCTCAATGTGTGGAGAGCTCAGTCCGTGTGTGAAGCGAAAGCTCGATGGGGAGGTTGATGAACTCGCGGCCTTGCGACACTTGGCCATTACTACAACAGTGTCTGGGGTTTGGATCATCCGGCACGGAAATATCTTCATCCCTTCATCACCGCCTCTCCTTCGAAAACAGATATTAACTTTGAAATGAAGAGACCACACAGCAGCTTGAACGGCGGCAAGATGCATCTACGTAACGGCGAGCATGCATCGCACTTTAGCGGCGCTCCAGACGAGCATATCGCGAAGAAGGTGCAAAGCAATGGCGCATCAACCAAAAATGGCAATCATGAAGCCCTAAATACGAACAGCCACAGCTCCAAGACGAACGAGGCTCGAGCAAAAATCCCAAATAACCTAACACCGGATGCTTTGCTGGACACTGTTCTTGCTGCTTGGGCGGCACTCATGCACAGATACCAAAGAGATGTCTTCCATCAATTCTCTTGGGGTGTGGTCAATGCCAATGGTCGAGCGACACAAACCATCAACACAGCTGACCTCAACTTGACAAGCCACAAGACGGCCGCGAGTTTGAGGTCACAGATCAGCAATGTGCGATCGAAGGAGTACGATGCACATAACGCCACTCTCTTTCTTAACGATGGTTCGACACACGAGGTATTAGTTCACTCATCCATCTTTACGACAAGACTGACCTGAATCAGTGGACTTTTGAGGTATCTCTTGACAGGGAAGGAGACTCTCTCCATGCCATCTCAAGATGGCAGACGAATACCATGTCTCGCCATCAAGCCGTCTCTGAACTTCATTTCTTTGTTTCAATTCTTGATACCCTATTTAGCGACCCTGATTGCCTGCTGTCCGCATTCGGCAATGTTTCCGAAGAAGAGCTCGATGAGTTGTGGAGCTGGAATAGTCCTCTACAGCCAGAGTTGAGATTCTGCATGCATGAGAAGGTCTCCGAGCAAGCTGCGCTACATCCGGAAAAGATCGCCATAGATGCATGGGACGGCACTTTGACATATCGTCAAGTGGAAGACTACTCTACTGATCTGGCTCAAACTCTACGACTACTGGACGATTCGCCGAACCAGATCATTCCCGTGCTCTTCGAGAAATCGCGATGGACTTCAGTGGCGGTGCTCGCAGTTATGAAGGCCGGAGCATGCTTCGCGCTGCTTGATCCAGCACAACCTGAAGGCCGACTACGAGCAGTAGTACAGCAAGTCAACGCTAAGCTCTTTGTTTCATCCAAAGCTCAAGCTACGCTAGCTGCACGTGTCGCTCCCGCGGCAACAATCATTCCAATCTCAGCATCCAAGTTCGACAAGGTGTACTCTCCATGCGCTGCGCAGCAACCAAAGACAACTCTCCCGCCAGTCTCACCAGATCAGCCCTTGTACATCCAGTTTACTAGTGGCAGTACTGGTCTTCCAAAAGGATGCATTCTTACGCACAGTCAGTATACGTCTGGTGCGATACCACGAGCTGATGCTGTGGGCTATCGATTGCATTCTCGCGTGCTGGACTTTGCGAGTTATGCCTTTGACGTATGCATTGACTCTATGTTGTGTACACTCGCTCACGGCGCGACGCTCTGTACACCTTCCGATGAGCGCCGTATGAACGACATGAGTGGCGCAATGCGCGATATGCGCGTGACCTTCGCTGGCATGACCCCTTCTGTCGCTCGGACGCTGGATGTAGACATCCTAGATCATCTAGAATCTATCGCTCTAGGTGGTGAAGGGGTGTCAACTAGCGATGCCATGTCGTGGGGTCAAAGGACAAGGGTTGTTAACGCCTATGGACCATCTGAAGCTACAGTTGGCGCGACCATCAATGATAATGTGGCTGCCAAACCATACATTACCATGGGCAAGCGCAAGGGTTGTGCGATCTGGCTTACTGAGCCTGAAGACCACAACAAGCTTGTACCTCCTGGTGCAGTTGGCGAACTGCTCATTGAGGGCCCTATAGTTGGTAACGGTTATCTCAACAACCCGGCAAAGACCAAGGAAGTTTTCATTGAAGACCCTGAATTCTTGATTAAAGGAAGTAAGAGCTACCCAGGTCGACATGGACGCATCTACAAGACTGGTGATCTAGTACGTTTCGATCCCGACGGCAACGGCGAGCCCATCTTTGTCGGACGGCAGGACCAGCAAGTCAAGCTCCGCGGCCAACGTATCGAGCTGGCCGAAATCGAGTTCAACATGCAGAAGCATCTTCCGGCAGATACTCAGCTCGCTGTTGAAGTTATCAAGCCCAGCGGAGGTGGTGAGCAGACGCTAGTTGCTTTCCTCGTGGAACAGAAAAAGAACGGCATGCGACATTTGGATGGAAACGTCTTCGGCAGCTTCACCACCAAATTCCAAGCAGCTCTCAAAGCTATGACTAAACAGCTCGCTATTGACCTTCCCGGATACATGGTACCGAGCGCTTACATCCCGCTTTGGAAGATGCCGCTACTTGTTTCTTGCAAAACCGACAGAAAGCGTCTCCGCGAAATCGGCACTTCAGTCACACGCCAGGATCTCAGACGCTTCAACTCGGTCATCTCGGAGAAGAAGGAGCCTACAACCGAGATGGAGCTCAAGTTGCGGTCGCTATGGGGGAAGCTGCTTGGTGGTGAGGAAGACTTCAGTGCCAATGATAACTTCTTTAGCATGGGTGGAGATTCACTAAGGGCCATGAGGCTGGTGGCTGCGGCGAGAGAGGCTGGACTCATATTGAACGTCCCGGATATCATGCTGAATCCAACACTGTCTGCCATGGCTGCCAAGGCGAAGCCTTTGTCGGAGGAAGCATCGAATGATGTACCACCTTTCTCTATGGTCGGCAAAGATTGGGATGAACAGTCAGCCAAGATCGAGACTGCCAGGCTCTGTGGTGTTGCTGATGACGACGTTGAGGACGTTTATCCTTGCACACCGCTTCAAGAAGGACTCATGGCTCTCTCAGCCAAGTTCCAGGATGCATATGTCGCTCAGCGAATTGCAACACTACCGTCGGCGACCGCTCAGCGTCTTAAGGAAGCCTTTGATACCGCCGTAGAGGGATCGCCAATCCTACGTACCCGAATCGTCAGCGTGTCTGGTCGGGGCTTGTTCCAGGTCGTCCTCAGAAATGGTCAGCTGCTGCGCGAGCATGGCTCTGACCCCGCAGAATATCTTCGACGTGACCGCGAAGAAGCCATGGATCTGGGAACCGCTCTGTTCCGCTATGGCTTGGTCCAAGAAGCTGGCAGCGACAAGACCCACTTTGTCATCACGATGCACCATGCTGTTTACGACGGCTGGTCAATGCCTCTGGTCTTTGATCGCATTAACCGTGCTTTTAACGGTCTACAGACTGAAAGGTCTGTATCTTTCAAGCACTTTATCAAGCACCTCACTAGCCTGGATCCAGCGGAGGCTCAAGATTATTGGAAGGAGCGGTTGAACGGTGTCAGCCCGCATCAGTTCCCTCCTCTGCCGCAGAAGGGGTACATCACTCAAGCCGATTCGTTGCTAGAGCACTACGTTACCGTCCCAACAACGGCACACAACAAACTTACTCTCGCAACTATCATCCGTGGAGCCTGGGCGCTGGTATCGTCATTGTATATGGGCCATCCAGATGTCGTCTTCGGTGAGACACTTACAGGTCGCTCCGCGCCTGTGAACGGAATTGAGGAGATCGAGGGTCCTATGATCACGACTGTTCCAATCCGCGTTCGATTGAGTCTTGACCGGCCAATTTCTGAATACCTCCAATCCGTTCACGCGCAAACTGTGAAGCAGATTCCTCACGAGCACTTGGGGTTGCAGAACATCCGCCGATTGAGCAAGAACGCCCGTGTAGCTTGCGACCTGCGTACTGGTCTTGTCTTGCATCCTAGGGAGGACGATGTCGGTGAAGTCGATATGGAGACTGTACCAGCTAACACGTTTCTCCCTGCTGATGATGCGGAAGCTGCACGCGAAGCACTCAAGTTCAACACCTACGCACTCATGCTCGTGTGCACACTAGATGAGAATGGTTTCTTGATTATGGCCAGTTTCGATTCGAAGTGCATTAGCAAGGATGCCATGGAGAGGGTGCTCGTTGTGATGAACCGTGTCGTCACGGCGTTCTTGGGTAACCCTGAAAGCAAGCTGGGCGACGTTGCTGTACTTGATCCTGCCGAAGCGCAAGATGCGGAGGCGATGAGACCGCGAAATATCATGAGTGACAGTGGTATTGGTACGTCGCCGGTCGATAGCCCGAAGCTGGATGCTGCGACGAAGGCATTGTCGCCAAACGAAGAGAAGCTGCGTAGTATTCTCGGCCGCATCTTGGGAATGCCTGAGACGGAGATCAAGCCTAGCGACAGCTTCTTTGAACTAGGTGGTGACTCGATTGGTGCCATGCGACTTGTTTCCGATGCACGCGCGCAAGGCTTGACCCTTACCGTGGCTCAAGTTTTCCAGAGCCAATCTTTGGCTGAGCTGGCGGCTTCAATCGGAAACGAGAAAGAGGACAAGCTGTTGGACATCTTGAGTCGCATTCTTGGTATGTCTAAGAGCGAGATCAACGGCAGTGACAGCTTCTTCGAACTAGGAGGAGATTCCATCGGCGCCATGCGCCTTGTTTCTGATGCACGCGCTCAAGGCCTCAACATCACCGTCGCGCAGGTCTTCCAAAGCCAATCACTTTCGGAACTCGCCTCGTCAGCCGAAGAGGCAAGCTCGTCGCAGACTGAGACTAAATCTAACGCACCTTACGCTGCGCTTGGCAAGGAAGCGTCACTTTACAGTCCCGACCGCATCGGCGCGTATCTTCAGGATCAGACTTGGGAGATTGCGGACATCTATCCGACAAGACCTCTTCAGCAGCTCGCTGTTGAGGGTACTGTTGACCTACCACGCTACTCACTGCGTTACGAGCTCATCAAGTTCGCGGCACCAGTCAACCGCGAAAAGCTGGAGCAAGCCTGCCAAGAGCTTGTTGCACGCAACGAAGTCTTGCGCACTGTCTTTGTGAAAGACGAGAACAAGGTGCTCGGTGTGGTTCTGTCTTCTCTACGAGTCCCCTACACCGAGATCGCAGTACCTGATGGTGAAGACATTAATGCATTCGCCCAAGCAAACATACAAAAGGACATCGAAGCACCGAAGCCACACGGTTCATCCTTTGTGTCGTTTATGCTCCTCACTGATGCCAAGTCCGGCGCTTCAACCCTCGTCTTCCGCATCTCCCACGCCCAATATGACGAAATCTGCCTACCCATCCTGTACGAGCAGCTTTCGGCGCTATACGCAGGTACCGGGGTACCAGAGACCATACCATTCAGCAGACACGTAAATCACGTGGTGCTAGACAACATGCCAAAAGCCATTCCATACTGGCAAAACCTCCTCTCCGGCTCCCAGATGTCTATCATGAAGCCTGACATCCCGCTCACACATCGCGGACCGGCAGATGTATACATGGAATTTGACATCTCAGCGCGTCCAGCAAACATCACCATTGGCTCACTGCCAACAGCTGCATGGGCACTCGTTCTCGCGCGCCGTCTTAGCCTCAAGGATGTAGTCTTTGGCGAAGTCGTTTCAGGCAGGAACATTGGCGCTTCAAACGCTGATCGTATCTTTGGACCTACGTGGCAGTACATTCCCTTCCGCGTGCCTTTCAACAACAGCTGGACATACCTCGACTTGTTAAACTTTGTGCAGCACCAGCATATTACTTCCGCGGCTTACGAATCCATGGGCTTTACTGAGATCGTAGAGAACTGCACAGATTGGGATGCGAAGAAGGTCAACTGGTTTGACACTGTTGTTCATCAGGCGCCTGCTTGGGTCGAGGAGATGCCGTTTGGTAATGGTGTTGAGGCGAAGTTCGAGACAACGTATCCACATGGTGAGCCATTGAGAGAGTGGAAGTGTCAGGCTTTTGTCAAGGATGGAGGAAAGAAGCTTGGGATTGAGATTGTTACTTTTGCGGAGTGGATCGACGTCGCCAAGGGGGTGCTGAAGGAGGTTGGTGAGGCGCTTGAGTGCTTGACGAAGAGCAGGGCGACGGAGAAGATATTCGAAGGTCAAGATTCGGGAGAGCAGAGTCTGGCGGACTTTGAAGGTGTAATGTAGGTCGATCGTATCATGGTGTTTGGGTCTATAGGTGTTGGAGCGAGGGAAATCATCTCATTTCCATGACATTTGGAACTTCGACTGTGTGAGACAGGTCAAATTCCAATGCTGCGCCATAATGCCGGGTCTAAGCTCAATCTCGCTGTCCCTTCCTCGACAAGGTTCTGTTGGGTAAAAGAATCATCTTGTGTCGTTCGTCGACTACCATGAATTCTGTTATCGTGCCATTTCCTCAGTCTTATCTTTGGTTGTCTCACTATGCTACGCTCAACCAAGTCTCGTCACGCCCAACGCCAGACTTGTTGAGTGTTGCAACAACCAGAAAATGACATTTGGTACATGGATACCTAAGCTCTTTCGAATGTATGGTGTCGAAGTGAGTGTCTTTAGTAACTCGTAACTCTTCCCAGCTAAGCACCGAACGAATATAACTTCCTTGGACGTTGTCTGATATGCCGACGTAGCGTCACACACGTGCTTGTCATGGAGTTCAGATGTAACGACGGTGCTTCCGGACGACGTTATGGTACCACATAGTCGCAAATCAATGCAGAAGCGGCGGCGATGACAGATGGTGGTTGCTAACAGACGATTCTGCTTCCTGTTTACATGTTGCTATTCCAATGGCGTTAGCTGAGGTTCATTCTATAGGTATATATCGACGCTCTCTTGCATACGATATGCCTTTCCAGATTATCACCGCCGCTGTCAACCATCTCTTGCCATCATCATATACCGATACTGTCTGTTTAACAATACGTCTTTTGGTCGTTCCTTTGCAGGAGTCATACCCGCACTATTACAATGAAGCTTCTGTCAGCAATTGTCTCTCTCGCCGCCTTGACCGCAGCAGCCCCTTCACCAGGCTTTAGCAAGAGACAAGAAGCTCTCACGGGCCCCATTCCGTCTCAAGAGACGGTCGCATGCGACGATGATCCCAATCGCACCTATTGCTTCGACGAAGTCGTATGGGGAAGGGGTATGTCAACATCCTGCTGGAAGCGCAGCGCTAATCCTTGCTAGGCCAAGATTACCAGACAACTCTGCACAACTACTGTCAATACCAGTACGCTGATGACGCGCTCAGCTGCCATGGATGCATGCGCCAGCCATTTCCGACTGATAATTGCGCCGCCGCGCCTGGCGCTTGGAATTCAGCGTTCTTCTGTACAGTGGGTGTTTACAAGTTTGCCTTTCGATGCGAGAACTGGTGTAAAGAAGGGAAGTGTATCTGATGGACGATGGTGTGGTTGACGCTGGGATTGTGGAGTGTTGCTTGGAAAGGTCGGGGGCAAGAACAAGGGGGTCTCGTCGCTCAAGTTGGTTAGCTTGATCTGCTCGTGCAGAGAGTTCGGCGTCTCACTCTCTGATAATCCATGACGATCCTTGGAAGCTTTCTTGGAACAATGGCAAAGTGTGGTTTTGCTAGCAGTTTCGTCGCTAATGTTGTGGATGGTGTGCAACAACCTCGGGAGGTCGCTCCTTGGTTCACGTGCTTTCATGATTAGTATCATATCTTGGCGTTCTTCCATGCCCCGCATCTCTCTCGCGGCACCCCAGCGTTCGCTCACTAACGACAAGTCGAAATCGCTTAGCTTTAGGGCGCGTGCCTGAAAATCACACTCATCGTCGCAGCTCCTAGCCTCCAGGTAGCGATAAGAAGTTGCAAAGCATAATCACCCCAGGGCTCTAAGGGACCCTCCAAAAACGCCAAAATGACAGCGTATATCCCGTACCTGCCCGCAGAAATCCATCGCATTATCGCGGAATACGTCCATCGCGAAGATCTGCCAAGCTACCGGCTCGTCAACAGACAACTGTGCGACATGGCCACCGAGGAATTATTCAGCACAATCGTTTTCCACTACAGTACTGCGAGCATTGATCGCCTGAAAAGGCTCGGTTGGAATGCACGTCTTCGAGGACAGGTGAAGAACATCTTCTGGGACGTCAACCAGTGGAGCGTAGGTAATGTGCGCGACTTTCACGAATGGGAGCAGTACTTCACACAGATAACACAGCTTGATCGGTGGCGCAACGCCAACTACGACTCATCAGGATACACTCAGCTATCGCAGAACCGACGAGAATGGGAAGCGTACCTTGATCGAGTTGCGGACGAGAGAAAGGCAAGAGTGGATCGGGACAGCCTGCAAGTATTGGAGCGCTTCTACAACCTACATTCAATCCACATCGTCAACGGCGACCTCTTTTTGGCCCACCGTGGTCTTCAAAAGGTTGCGGAAGATTGTCCGAACGCTTCATTTGGACCAGTCGTATTCCGTAGAGGATTCGAAACCTACAGCCTTCGCAATATGCCTGGAATTGAGACTCTCCTGATCCCAGAGGAATATTGCAAATCCTCTCTGAAAGAGCTCACGCTGAATACAGTACACTTCAAGTGTTTTGCGCCATTGACATCGAGTAATCTCGACAACTTATCAAGTTTGGATATCACGATCTTCCCGCGGACATTCCGCGACCGCTACCTTGACACGCAATGGGTAGTCTTAATGATCAAAGGTTTTAGGAGATTTTTGGCGTCTTCAACACGGCTCGAATGTCTTCGAATCGACCTCAATCACGAGAAAGCAGAACCAAATTCCTATGATGTTGTTTTATCCATCGATCAGGTATTTGACAATAAGCATACGTGGTCGACACTACGAACACTATCGTTGTATCACTTCTCTGCGACGCCAGATACACTGTTATCGTTTCTGGGTAGACACAGCTCAACATTAAAAGATCTCAGACTGCACAACATTAGCTGGATAGTGGACGATGGCGATGAACGCGGCGAACCAGAGCAGAGATTTTATGCTTCATCAGCGTCCGTTCGACACTGTGCATGGCCGAGAGTACTGCAAGAGATGAGAAAGTCTTTGTCTCTCGATCATGCAACTGTAACAGGAAAGCTTGGTGAAAACAGACATATGCGCGGATGGAGATTACACGAAAAAGACGACGAGCTTGCTGCAGCAGTCTCGGACTATCTAGTCAGGGGAGGGCAGTGCCCGTTAACAGCTGATAATGCTGATTTCGATCCTGAGTCTGACACTGATTCCAAGAGGGAAGGTAGCGCAGCCTAGTCTATCTCAAACGCATCACCACAGCGCTGAGACGAATCTATAATGTTTACATGTGGTTCTCTGTCAGGACTTGATTGCGCCAATTTCGCTATGCAGAGGGGGATATGACCCAATCATTCCAGACGCGCATACAGACACGAGTGCGACAATGTTCACAGTCCTACGATCAATGAAGAATATATCTTGGATACACATGGTATTATACTAGAGTATTTACAGAATGGTTTCTCACACCAAGCCTCTAAAACGGGCAGAACTAGCCAAATAATACTAGTCAAGAAGTCAAACAAGTTCTAGTAGTTGTACTTGTAGCACAGGGTCGATCCAGTGGTGTCAAGGATATCCCTAACCTTGACGTCTGGCCTGATGCCGTATACGTTGATGTTCGTGTCGAGGGTAAGCGGGTTGCCGGCTTTGTCGTTGCCGTTGATGCTGCTCAAACGGGCAGAATTCTTGTTTTGCCAGATGCGGAAGTTGCGGTCGACGAAACCATGGTGCAGCCAGAAGATGGGGTCGGCGGGCGAACCGTAGGTGTCTTGCATGACAGCTCCGATACCGTTGTGGCCCCAAGCGTGAGGACCACCCTCGGCGCAGGAAGCCATACCAGCAAAGTCGTTGTAAGCATTGCACTGAGCAACGTAGTCGGAGTTGCAGTATTGCGTCTTTGCGCCGTCGCCGTTGCGGGCAAGGCAATGAGGCTGGTTGCCTGAGCCAGGACCGATGTTGATGGCGAGGTTGGCGAATTGCTGCAGCAGGTTAATTTGTTGTTCACATGAGGCGCGTCGAAAAAGGATTTGTACTTACGCCATTGGTTACACAGTTACCGCCAAGGGCGATGCCTCCCAACCACTTAGCAGAGAAGATGGAAGATTGCGAGAATTTGCCAGCATAGCGTGTCTCGTCGAACCAGGGAAGAGGTACGCTCAAGCCACACTCTGAGCGCAGGACGTCCTCGAAGGTCCAGAGGTAGTAACGGTGCCAGAGCAAGAACTTGGAGCTTCCGTGCACGTTGGGTGTGAGAGTCTGATGCAGCGCGACGAGATCCTCGTACCGGCTCTTGGATGCGGGAAATCGGCCTGAGGGGGCGCGACCCATCAAGCACTTGACTGAATCAACAAACGCCTGCTTGCTGCTGTCGGGAAAGGAATCCCACTCGACACGGGTGCGGACGTTGGAGCATGTTGCAGCAGCGGCGAAGGTTGTGACGCGGAGTGATTGGGCTTCGGGTGCCTGCTCCTCTGGCTGTGTGGCGTTGTGCTCCTGGAAGATACGCTTGGCATCCTCGAGAGGAATTGGCTGGGCGAATTTTGGTGTGTCTGCGAAGATGTTGAGAGGAAGAGCCTTGATGAGCTTGGTGAGAGGGAGTTCCTGAGGAGATGGGAGCGCAGCAACGCTGGCTACGGTAGCCAAAGTGGCAGTGAAGAACGCGGTACGCATGATTAAGGTATAAGGGTATTATTAAAGTACGAAGGATCCCGATTGACAGTAGTTAGAGAGCGAAGGATAGCAACCCAGGAACGAATGCGGGTGCTTGGTGTTATGGTTGAGCGAGCTGTACGAAAGAAGAGGTCCCGACAATGCAGGACTACCAGACATCCTTATACCTGGGACCTGCATCTCGCGCCTAACCGCCGGATTGCCTGCAGCTTGCGCCTCGTTCTGCAGATCAATCTCAGTCCGCGCGACGAGCCGTCTCACCAGCGACACCTGATCATCCGCCATGGAAATACGAAGCGCGCATGTACCGTGGGTGTCGATACGGCCTAGGCCTGCAACGTTGTATTGGAAAGTAACTAAGCGTGCGCGAGCTACAACGGTAAGAACAAATGATAAGTGGAAAGCTAAACTGCTTTTGCGCTGTGGCTCATCAAAGAGAGCCGAACTTCCAGGTCAGGCCTACCTCGGTATTTGCTGGTTTACACACGGGGATGATGCTGCTTGCCATGGCTCTTGGACCTGCTTACTGGTACGAGGCGAACCCGAGTCGAGCGAAATTGTCAAAGGGCTGAGACGAACTACTGTGGAGCTTGTCTTTTTCCTGGGCTTCCCACGCTGCGTTCACGAGGCGGACCTGCCGACTGCCGGACGGCAGCGTCGTTCTGATTGGATGGCGCATCGTGTTTTTCTCTTCGCTTCCAAAGTTCTTCCCATCCAAAAATAGTGCCTCAGGAACGCCCTCGGTGCCTAACAATGTTCCGGTGGTGATGGCGTCTGCCAACGTGCCAATACTGTCATGCAGATTGTCACATCGCGCGTGGGCACATCATCAAAGGGGATACGGCTTCGTCATCTTCGTACAGTTACTGTGTTAGCATTCCCCTAATGTAGGATAAGCTCACACCGTTTTCTCCAGCCGTGTGATGGTGGAAAATGGCTGAAGTTACGAGGCTGGTGGCGGTGCTGGATGAAAGGGGGATCGACACCATGCATTTTGTTCCTTCGCTAGATTTGCACCCACCACTTGCATCGTCACACAAAATCGCTCCACACATATACGGGAATAACCTCGCACGAAAAATGTCCGCTATCACGACCTTATCATGCACTTCCATGACCGCAATCTCCCAGCGCACAGGCTATCAGCCCGCTATTTTGAGACGCAAACTCCACTCCCACTTTGCATGCCTCATCTTCCCGTCGTACGAGCGATTAATTCCACAGTACGAAGAAGGATTGGTGATGATGTTGGAAGGGTAGCCAGCCAAAGTGGTATACGGCCTACCCCGCCAACTACGCAGCGCTAGTCATCTCCTACACGAGAAAATCAATACCGCTACTGCTGGAGGGCTGAAGAAGGCTGAGCTTAGCACCATGGAGCTCGACAGAAACCATCCGGTGCCTTCTTTTTGGGTAACCGAGACTGACCCCGCGTGTGCTATACTTCTACACCGCCAGATGCGTTGGCAAGAGCTGCATACACGTACTGCTCGGCGGCGGATGAACGCCCAGACGGGTGTGTGTTACCAAGAGAAAAGAAAGTCAATCTATGTGTAGAACGCATGTTCGCGCTACTGATAGGGCGTGTCTCAGCCTCATGGCTACTTTTCTGGTCGTACATACCAAGGAAAACATATCAGCGCAAAGTCGCCAATCAGGAAAGTCACACCAATGCAAGATACCGGTCTACGGGTGGTGCTCACAATACGCGCACGTGGCGGATCGAGCATATGATGCTTTTGTGCGATTATTCATCTATTCCTCATGCTATGCATCCCAAGTCATCACATTCGACTCACGATGTGTTTTGGGAACCGGGTATAGGAAGTGTTTCTGACACCACCAGCGCATTCCTTTGCTGCCGCGCCATTGCAGATGGTGCCTTGGGCCGGTTTCGAGAAGCCGAGTCTAACACATGCTTCTTCCGTCTCTGACACGCTGTTTTTTTCTTCTTTCCGTTGCCACGCTGTGATCAGCGGTCTCGGTTGGCGCTGTGATGTTGAGTTCTAGGAGCCGCGTGTCGATGTATAGGGTGGTAAATGCTTCTCACTGCCACGCTCTGATCAGCAGTTTCGGTATGCGACAGCATTGACTCAGAAACGGAGCGGTCATAGACTAAGCGCACGGTATTGCTGCGGCACGTAGACTTCTCATTATATCTTGCTGTTGTCAGACGGCGCGTCGATTCAAATCGACCGCTCATGCGTTTGGAACTGCTTCGTCATCCGTCTTGACTAAGCGCTTCTACATGTGGTTACGTAGAACTGAAAGGGATAGAGGACCACTTGAAGTTGCACGAAACATCGACGACGGCAGTGAGGATAATCTATGAATCTCCAGTGACCCAAATTCGCTCAAGCAAGTTCGGTCGCGTCGGTATCGAAAGTGAAATGGCTACTTTTCATTACATCTGGATCACACGCTAGGACCGTGCATAGTACAGCTCTATCGAGGAAATTGAACGCACGGGTGTACAGGCTCATATGAACATCGTGGTAATGCTCTATTTCGTATGAAACGTCGTATCTCTTTGGCTTTAAATTGAGCGTTCGCGAGATGTCAGCCGCAACAAGATTTTGACAGGCGCTTCAGCGCTGTTGTAATTGGATGCGTAAGTGTAAGCAATTTGTTGTTGGAATACAATCCTAGCTCATTCTGTACGTCGTGTAACCCTCACAAAAAAGTCCTCCATGATCCATATTCCCGCACAACTCATCCTCGCCGCCATGTGCGGCTTCACGGTCGAGAAGTCAAACTTCCTCAGCAGCTCGACAAACACCTTGTTGAATTCCATCAATGCAACATTTTGACCCAAGCACTTGTACCTTCCGTTATGGAAGACAAGCTCTACTGTACTAGCCATGTTTGCAAGACGTGCAGGATCCTCCGAGGCTTCGATCCAGCGCTCTGGTCTAAAGAGCTCGGCGTCTGGTCCAAATGTTGCTGTCGAATGCTGGATGCTAAGGTGCGAAGACCCGATCTGAGTTCCTGCAGGGATGAATTTGCCTGCAAGAACATCGCCACCTGGAGGAACAGATTTGAAATTTCCGCCGGTGGCTGGGGGTAGGATGCGCAAGCCTTCTTTGATACATGCTTGGAGGTAGGGTAGACGTCTTGCTTCAGCGTCGGTGATTGGTGACGATATGGTACCGTTAGCGATGCCGTTGTCGATCTCAGCTTGCAGCTTTTTATAAGCAGACGCATTTGCCAGCAGATAGAGTATCACAGCACGGATCGTAGACGCCGAAGTATCACTCCCCGCGACAATCTGAAGAAGCGATTCGCTTGACGCTTCTTCCGGTGTAAGACCATGACGGATGAACGATCCTAACATGTCGGATTGCGACTTCGCCCCAGGTGCAAATCTTTCCGCAACTACATTCTTTGCGACATTGATGAAAGCTCCAAAACCAAGCTTGTCACTGTCTTTGGGAAGGAGACCTCTCATCAGCCGCGAATGCAACAGATCAGCCAGCCAAGGTAGACTTCCGAGAGTTACCATGAAGGGGATATATGCGGTGGTGATCTTGATGTAATCGTGAAGGTCCTCATCTTGCGTTAGGTACCCAAATGGCTTTCCGAATGCCAATGCGCTGATGACGTCGAGAGTGAAGTACTGCGCCTTGAGTGAGAAATCCATAGGCCGGTATTCAGTACCTGAAGAAATGTACTTTGTGTCAATCAGTTCGATGAATGCAGCAACCTGCTTATCAACAGTGCCTTCCATGGATTCATTCTCTTTTCCCGAGTACCCCGCGGCCATCTTAGCTCTCAGCTTCGTATGCCCAACCTCATCGCGCATCGAAAACAAGTTGTTCCGTCCGGGCTCGAATTTCATCGCATTGTACCATGGCCCTCGTGTGTATTCTGATCGCACGGCCGTTGTTCGGCGCACGATGTCTGTGTCGCTGGTAACCAGCTCGGTTGGGCTGACGCGCACCAACGGGCCATATTTATCTGTCAATTCTTTCGTCGAGTATGCTAATCGGCCGCTGAGCGACTCTTTCACCACCCAAAGACTAGAAATCGACGCAAAAAACGGCCCAGGGATGTGCGATAGGCGGTACCACTGCAACGCGACGCGCGCTATGTATGTTAGGAGCAAGACGGTTGGGAGGCCGATAGTCAATAGGCTGGCGTAGCCGCTGCGGGCGGAGCTCGGTCCGCTGGCGCCGTCAACAACGCTGCGCTCCATCTTGTGAAATGTCGTGAGGAGGAACGAATGCGCAACGCGCGTTTCTCTTGACGACACAACATGGCACTTTTGTACATTCATCCGCCGGGCGTAAGCATACTGCGTCGTGCGTTATCAGACGGCAGGCGTTTCCCGCTTGAGTTCCTTCCCGCGAAAGCGCTAGCTTCAAGACGGCAGGCAAGAGGTTGTACTTCAGGCGCCCAGTATTACTATGGATCAATCGCAGCAATTGGCATGGTAATGCGACAAATTTTCCCTGCGATGACCAAAGTGCCATTCCTTCAGCGCCTTTTGAGAGTAGTACTTGGAAGGACGTACACGTCATGCACAGAGTATAGCGGAAAGCAAGCATTGTTAACGTTACTTCATTCACGTACGTAGCTTAACCATGGCGATTACCCCGCGCACTATCAGGTTATATACCCTGGTACACGGGTCATAGTTGCATCCTCGTTCGCAGAACGTGGGTGATCGGTCGACCACGTTGCGATCTGGAACGCTACAAACGACTTCGTGGATGCCTATGCATTCAGGGACGAAAGTTGGCAGAGAGACCCTGTTGAAGCCTAAGAAATGTAAGGATGTGCGTTGCTCGGTCTGCTCAATTGAACTGACGTATGCGATACGCTGCCAATAGTATTGACACTAAGTCCATCTTTCAAGTCCCGAGAAAGTAAGCCTGCGTTGATCATTCAAGCCTAAATCGCCCTTGTTACATATTGCCAGCTCTTATAACAAGCAGGGAGATCGCGATGCCAGCTACAGTGATCATGTAAGAACTGACACCCGACGCAGCCGAGACATCTGATGTGTACTTTGACCAGCATACAAGGAAGATCAAACTGACGACGAACACCAGGCCGAAGAGCGTCATGATATCGTTCGGATCCCAACCCTCCTCAAAGTAGAGACCCCACGCATCTGCCAGTTCTGTCTTAGGATCCACATCTAATGTCGTGCCTTTTCGTTTTGGTACCCATCTATAGATGTGAGTTTGATCCTCATGGACGTCTCGTCTTGTGTGCTTTAGCATGTGTGCGAAGGCTCTTGGTGGTATTACTGGGTATGTGCTGTCCAGGGGGCATGCGAAGTCGTAATCTGGATGATCACGTGGAGGCAAGCAGTTGCAGCTGGCTTTGCAGCAATCTCTGTGATCACGCACTTCTAATCTGTTACCCATGCGAAGTCTGAACTGACGCAGTGTTAGCTGACTGGAAGAGTCTTTGAGCCGCTGCAAACCGACCATGGTGAAGTGAATCGCTTGAATCTTCCTGCAAGACAAAATGCGCATCACACGAGAACGCCGTTTCCGCACCTGCGTCTTCAAGAAAGTGAAGAATTCACGGTCGGTGTTAATGTGATCTACTCGATCTTGAAGCAAGATTCGATGCTCCCAATTGCGATGCACACAAGACATAAGTTGGAGCGACGATCTTTGGGGGGAGGGCGATTTTGCTCTACGAGGTTCACTTTCTAGCTGTGGACCGTTATGTTCAGGCAGTACCGGATCTGTCCGTGGTTTTCCCCGTCTGAATATTCTTTGGAGCCCACGAAGTGTGTTGTGTGCCAGTGCAGGGGAGTGCCAACGGCCGTGAGTAGAAGCAGCCTCTTCGTTGGGGTGGACGACTGTGATTGTGGCATTCAGGGCGCGTTCCATCCATTGCTTCAGCTGAGCTATACCGCCTTCGCAATGCTCTAGAACATCGTCAAAGGAGCGTTCACCACACGTCTAGAACTGCTATCAGTCTCTGTCATCAATTTGACACGAGTAGCCTGGATATGCAAGAAATCGACTCACGTGGCATTCGATCTTGATTCGAGTCCAATCAGTCTCCAAAGGAGGTTCCAGACATTCCAATGATACTAGGATATTTATTATCATGAACATAACTGTATCCTTGAATGTACGTATGAGTCCTTTTCCTGATCTACCGCCTTCTGTGTGCTCTGGGATGTCTTCTCCAAAGTGGGTTTCGGAACTCTCGGCGGCCGTTATGATAGGTTGATAGGAGAAGAACAATTGCGTATGATCTCGAAGTATCGCAAAAGCATTGCTCTGTGTCAAAAACGATCGGAAAGCATCTAGATCGTCATCGAACTGGCGCTCGTCGACGGGCTGTTCTTGAAACTCGTCATCGGAACTATCGTTCGAGTCTTTCATTGGTCCATGTGTGAACTTGTTGTCACTACTAACGCATCGAGCGGCGTGACCGGCTTGAACACGCACAAGCTTCGATGCAGTATGTTCCAGGTGGTCCTTGGCCTCGGTTTTAAGATTCTCCGCATACGCTTTAAGAGTTGCACGTACGTATGAACGTAACTTACTTGGCCCAACAGTGGGATCATTGCGGGCAGATTTGTATATTGGTCCTAGTATTTGGTCTGACTGTATAACGGATACGAATACTCGTGTTGCAGTCTGGACCTGCTCACGTGAGAATCCACTCGTACTCCCCTGAGAGAATACTGTCATTGAGGTCCCTGAAGATTCTGCAGAGAACACAGATTCCATAGGATCGGATGTTGTAGAGATCATAGATGAGCCATCGATCACATCTTCTACGCTCGGTCTTGTCGTCTTCCAGGTAGCTTTGCTCGGCGTCTGAAGTTCGCTCGTTCTTTTACCTTTGCCTTTCGAAGACTGGGAAGACTGAGGTTTTGAAGCATCTTGACTACCGACGCTTGTCCGTGACTCGGCCATTTTCCTTGCTCCCATCAAATAACTGCTCATGGCAGCCTGACGTATAGTTTGCATGGCGTCTTTGGTCTTAAAATCATCAGGGTGGGTGCCGGTGATCCATTGAAAGCCCCCATTGCTAGGTAACTGTGCCTTGGGCCATTGAATGTGTTCATCGAAATCGAACTCCTGCAGGGCGGAGCTTTCTTCATAGATTTGCTTGTCCTTGTTAGCAGCTGGAACTTTACCTCGGCCAGAGGGTTGTGTCGATGAAGCGCTTGGAGATGCGCGAGGGTTATTGTGATGGTAGCGCGAAGCAAGGCCGGTATCGATGTTGGCAACCTTGCGGACCTTGGGCACGGTAGAGGTGGTGTTGGACGAGGATGACAGAAGAGAAGGCCGTTCGGCGGGCAATGTAGGCTCGGACCTCCTAGGTTCATGACTTTCTTTATGCGCCTCAGTTTCAGCCATGTCGTAGTGAGATGTTTCGACTTCCTATAAATGAATGACGAAGGAGGCACTAGAGTAAGCCACAACTCATAAAGAAAGAATAGAGAGTGGAAGCAAGATGTAAAGAAGGAGATCAGCCCGCATCAGGCTGAAGACTCGTCGGATGACTGTGCAGCCACAGCCTTGCTGATAGGCAGTACATTCAGCCTTGTGCGGAGGCGCAACGTCAGTCTTCATGCATAGGTCACCATGCGACTAATCAATCCCTCTTGAATAGTCGTCCATCTGGATGGACTTTGTCCACAATGGAACTGAAAGTGTTGCGCCCATCATGATGACGTCGGTGAGCCATCTCAGCGGTATGTACAACCTTAGAGATGACGCCCTAAGTATCGAGTTTGATGGGCGATCTGATATCTCGGTGTTGCTGGTGGTTGGACGCGACAATGCCATGCCCGCAGCGTCAGCGCGCGTGTCAGCCGTTGAAGGTCGACCGGCCTGAGTGTCGCGTCGAGTAATCAGCTAACCGCATGTGCTCTACCTCGGCTCGATACCCCATCACAAGCTACCCCAGCCGAACGAGTCGCCCGCCCAGGTCATCAAAGCCGACGACGTCTCTCTCTTACTCTTCAATACATTTCTATACTTCGTTCCAGCAGTGAGCCCTCAACTCTAGCAGCCAGCTACCATACTTCTTACAAAGAGAAAGAGCAAGGAAACACGACGTCGCACGACAGGACGCGACTAATCAGCAAACAATGGCGGAAGCATACCAAAAAGAGTTCTTCAACGTTTCGTTCCCAGCGGAATATGTTGCGCACGTTGAGATCAACCGGCCGGAAAAGATGAACGCGTTCAAAGAAGTGTGAGTATAGAATATTGTTTCATTCGTACCCGATGATCAACGGCTCCGGCTACCTGTGAACATCATCTGTTTGAATGCAAGAGAAGGAGATATATCTGTTATACAGTTTGGTCATGGAAATATGCGGTTTTAATTCTCTTGCCAAAGATATCCGTTACATTCTCAGCCTCTATTACCACAGCATACGATAAATCGACCATACCTGCCCATAACCACACAACCAACTCACCACAACCACAACTAACGCCTGTCCAGCATGTGGCTCAACCTCTCCGCCATCTTCCGCCAACTCTCCCACGACCCCTCCGTCCGCGCCGTCATCTTAACCGGCGCAGGAGACCGCGCCTTTACAGCCGGCCTCGACGTAACCGCCGCCTCAGAATCCGGTCCCTTATCCTCCTCAGACGTAGCTCACCAGGACACTGCGCGCAAAGCAAACGCCGTGCGCCGACACATTCTAGAATTCCAATCCTGCATCACCGACATCGAAAAGTGCGAAAAGCCCGTCATTGCCGTGCTGCATGGGATTTCTTTTGGTTTAGCCCTCGACATGTGTCTCGCTTGTGACATTCGCATCTCTACCACTACCACCAAGTTCTCGGTCAAAGAGGTTGATATCGGGATTGCAGCAGATATTGGCACTTTATCCCGCTTACCTCACTCCGTTGGGAACTTGTCCTGGGTCAAAGATATTGCTTATTCTGCCCGCATCTTCGGTTCCGACGAGGCGCTCCAACATGGTCTCGTGTCGAGCGTGTATCAAGACAAGAAGGAGGCGGTAGGCAAGGCGTTAGAGTTGGCGAGCTTGATCGCATCAAAGTCACCAGTGGCTGTCCTAGGGACGAAAGAGATTATCAATTATTCAAGGGACAGACCGATCAGTGAGGGGCTAAACTATACAGCAGTGTGGAATGCGGCCATGTTGCAAACTGAGGATGTCAAGGGTGCCATGCTGAGTGGGTTGAAGAAGACGACACCCAAGTTCAGCAAGCTATAGATGGTCATCAGGTATATGTCTTGCAAGAAGGGAACCAGATAGAATACTTCAAAAGTTTAGCCTAACTTTTACCCACGTATCATAACCGAGTAATGTCTTGTATGGCACGCATCATAAGCGACGCCTCCAAAAGCATCATGAGAGCTTCCATAGTCGACATGAGCAACACCACGCACGGCAATCCAGTGTTGGACTTGAGAATTTTCATTGACTCTAAGCGCCTGGACGTGGTAATGCCGGAAGAGTCCCAAACCCATCCCGCATGAGCATCAATCATAACCCATGGCATGCTACAGAAGATGTGGAATCGTGATTTTCCCGTTTACGCCCCACCATTTGCACTACCCACAACTATGCAATACCGTTTATCCCCGTGCCATGACACCCCAGCAGCGGATCTTGTTGTCAGTGTATCCAGCGAACAGGGTCTGGCCGTCGGCGCTCCAGGCCAAGGAGACACACTCGGGCTCCCGGCTCTTCTTGCCAACCTCCAAGTACTCGGGCTTCAGCTCGTCAACCTTGCTCTTCTTCTCGAGGTCGAAGATGATGATGCTGGAGGCGGTGGCAGCGCACAGCCAGTAGCGGTTGGGGGAGAAGACGAGGGCGTGGATCTCGTCACCGGCGGAGAGAGAGTAGAGGTGCTTGGACTCGTTCAAGTCCCAGAGCATGGTGGTTCCGTCCTTACCACCGGAGGCGCACAGGGAGCCATCGGGCGAGATGGTGACGGTGTTGATGTATCCGGTGTGACCGATGTGGTCGGTCTGGATGCGGCAGGAAGCGAGTTCCCAGACCTGGATGATGTCAGTCTCGAGACACGCCAAAAATCCAAAACAAGTCGATTGTGGGAGTGTAAATCAGTACTAGGTGATAATTGTCTCATAGCCGAAGCTCTGAAGTAGCAAATACATAGAAAATCATCATATGAACGGGGGAGTGGTGGAAATGCAGCAGAATCAAAAGTACGCACCTTGACGAGCTTGTCCCAACCAGCGGAGACGATGACGGGGTTCTGGGGGTTGGGGGAGAAGCGCACGCACGAGACCCACTCGGTGTGGCCCTTGTCGGTGATAGTGTACTTGCAGTCACCGAGGGTGTTCCAGAGCTTGATGGTTCGGTCGCGCGATCCGGAGACGATCTGGCGGTTGTCGGCGGAGAAGGAGACGGAGAGAACGTCGTTGGTGTGGCCGACGAAGCGGCGGGTGGTGACACCGGTGGAGAGCTCCCAGAGGCGGAGGGTCTTGTCCCACGATGAGGACAGAGCGTAGGCGCCGTCAGAGGAGATGACCTGTGCAGCAATTGTCAGCTCAGCTGTCCCCGCTTCCTAGCCAGCCAATTGCTTGTGCTTCATTTTTCGGAATTCAACGTACACAGTCGGAGACAATGTGGGAGTGGCCGTGGAGGCTCCTCTTGGGGTAACCGTACGAGGTCTCGTCGCGGGTCAGGTTCCAGATGATCAGAGTCTTGTCGCGCGATCCGGAGAGGAGCATGTTGGGGCTGGTCGCATGTCAGTATTGCGCATTCTGCATATTTCCGCCCGCTCGTGTATACGCACTTCTCCAGAGAGGTGGCAAGGGAGGTGACCCAGCCAGAGTGGCCCTCGAGGGTACCACGGAGTACGAGTTGCTCGGCCATGATTGTGGTGGTGAGGATGGACGTAGGCGCACTCGGGTGTTAATGGACAGTCCTGAGGATGTTCGTCGAGGAGACGCACAGCAAGACTTCAAAATTCAAGCGAGGCACTAGTCCACGTTGGCGCTAGCGCGGAGCCGGCCAGCCCTACCTTCGCAGTGGACCACGAGCCGGATGCTGCCAGCCTCACCAATGGAGTTGGATTCATATAAACTCAAGTGACGTGGTGTATGATGTCTGATGGGCAGTGGTGTTTGCACCCTACCCGTTGCATATCGACCATCACTTCAACTGATCAGACCTCCCTACCAGTCGACACCAGGAAGCACACCTGATAGACATCAACAACAACATTCCCAGATCGCCCGACTCTATCATTTCCGTCTTGTCACAAATCCATACCAATGATGAGCGCCACGTCTCTACCAATACCCTTCAACATGTCCCTAGTTTGCACTCTCAGTCTGTCCTACAACAAGACCGTCTAACTCCGCTCCAGTCTTATCTCCGCTCTCCTCCCCCACCACATGGAAGCTTATACATATCCATCGGACAACATTATTCATATACGAGAACCAATCGCGAGATTTCCTCTTTCGTTTGAAGTGTGAACTCAAGTCTACAAGCGGATACATGCACATATAAGAACTCCAGTTCCATCTGCCGTGAATCCACTACAATAACCCTCGATGTAAGCTCCGAGGAGATCAAGTCCAGAACATCTCACACACCAATCCACAAACATCCTGAATAAAAATGTCCCCATCCACAACATCCATCCTCCTCCTCGGCGCCGGCGAACTAGGCAAAGCTTTCCTCCCTCACCTCACAAAGCTCCCCAACACCCACATCACAATCGGCGTGCGCTCGCCCGCCAAGTACTCCAACCTGATATTATCCCCCAACCTCTCACTCACAACCATCGACCTCGCATCATCTCCTTCCAAAGACCTCGCAGACACTTTTTCCAACTACGACATCCTAATCTCCTGCACCGGCTTCGGCGCAGACCCCAGCTCCGTCCTCAAACTCGCCAACGAAGCCCTTCTAGCAGGCCAGATCCGCCACGTTCGAGGAAACTCCAAATTGTGGTTCTTCCCCTGGCAATGGGGCGTCGACTACGATGTCACCGGCGACGGGGACGGCCTGATGCCGTTGTTCGGCGCGCAGCGCGATGTGCGGACTTTGCTAAGGGAGAAAGCGCAGGAGAGTAACGTGTGCTGGACGGTTGTTAGTACAGGCATCTTCATGTCTTTCCTCTTCGAGCCGTTCTGGGGGATGGTAGATAGGAGTCAAGAAGGGGGCAAGGGGACGGAAGGAGAGGTAGTAGTGCGTTGTCTCCGAGACTGGACGCACAGAGTCACCGTTACAGACGTCCATGACATTGGACGCGTTCTGGCCAGGATTCTCGCACCGGATTCGACAGTGGAGGCGACGAATCGTGTGGTATATGTAGGGGGAGATACAGTTAGTTATGCGCAGTTGGCCGATGTCATCGAGAGGGTATCTGGCAAGCAAGTCAAACGGGAGATGTGGAGCATGGAGTATTTGAAGAGCGAACTTGCGGCGGACCCGGACGATGGAATCAAAAAGTATAGGCTAGTGTTCGCGAGGGACGGTGTGTGGTGGGACATGGATAAGACGGTGAATATGGCGCTGGGCATGGAGATGATGAACGTAGAGACGTATGCTCGGGGTTTGTTCAGCGGATGAGAGGAAGTTTGACAATTGCGGGAACTGAGCATGCATGGTGTCTTGATGGTTTTCTACTTGTGTACATTTCGTACGATTATGAATAGATTGTTCGACTAGTATTACTACGTGGCGTAAGCTCATAGTATTGCAACAGCCTATGAGCGGGACGTACTTGTTGCCGCAAAGAAGCTCGAATGCCTTCGCATCTGCATCAGCCTCCCTTGTAATTCGTGGCTAAGGGTATCCAGCACGCCGGATTATGCTCTGTTTATCCGCGTAGGAACCACAGCATTCGCGCCCGTGGCTGCTCCATGTCCTTCTCGGCCACTACCCCTCATAGAAACGCCGGGTATATCTTCGTCGCCCTCAATCTTCCTCTTCATCCCTAGATGACTAGTCGCAAGTCCGTAGTTGTCGTGACCGAAAGCAGGTATCATTCCCCTGTGTGCATCGGGTCGGTCCTAACGTCCCGGCGGTCCAGGAGGATATCTGCCTGGAGGTCCACCAGGTGGCATGCCCATACCGCCAGGTGGCGGGTACGGCATACCTCCAGGAGGCGATCCTGCATTCCCTGGTGGCGGGAAAGGAAATGGAGGCATCCCTTGAGGTGGGCCGCCGCCCATGTGTGGTGGAGGGAAGGGCGGCATGTTGGGCGGCATTCCGCCAGGACCCGGGGGCATGCCTTGCGGTGGGAAGGGTGGCATTCCGTTTGGTGGCATTGGGGCTGTAGCACTGTCAGCATAGAACTGTGAGGTGGTAACCATCAGGCGACTTACGACCTCCGCGGCCCATGAACTGCGGTGGCATTCCACCCATAGGCGGCATTCCTACGCCGGTTAGCACTCCTGATGTCATTTGTAGCTCTCGATACAACTCACCTGGTGGTGGGAATCCAGGCATACCCATGGGTGGCATTCCCATGGGAGGCATCCCGGCCATTGGTCCTCCAGGGAAGCCACCAGCCAAGTTCTGCTGGAACAGGGGGTTCGCCTGGCCTTCTGTGTTGTACGCGTCGGTGATACTGTTGATGACTTGCTGTGTCTGGTCGCTCGATATCTGCTCGTAGTAGGCCTGGACGTTGCGGAGGTGGTTGCGACCGTTGTTATGGGCCTTGCGCACGCTCATACTATCGTGCGTGAGGTAGACATCGCAATAGTCACAGAAGAACTTGGGCATCGTGTAGGGATTATTCGTCTAGTCGCCGTGATGGGAAATTCGTCGTAATGGGGTCGGCAGCGAAGTTGCGCGTGAAGTGCTGGGCGCGTCGCAAGAGCTCAGAACTGGAAGAATACCGTCGGCCATGGTTGCGCCGATGGCTTGGCAGCCACCCTTTCACGTGCTCTCGTTTTTAGAGGTCGCGCCCAGGCAGTCGCCTCTTCAGCATCATATCATCCTCTGCATCATTTTGTATCGATCGTCTACTTTCGAACATGGAAGTCATTACATGCCCCCCGATCATAATGCAAGATTCCACTTTTTCAATTCTAGGATTTGTAACAGACTCCATTCAGTAGATTCTTCGTCACGGGTCTCATCCAAATCCTCTTGTCGGATATCAGTCTACTATCATCCTAATTGGCATCATGCGCTGATACTTCGATCTCCACCCGCATGGCATCCTCGCCCAACTTCACAACACCAACACAAGTCCAAATAGGTTCGTGATCCGGCACCCATTTCTTGAAGTTCCGCACCATAGCGCTCAGCGCCTCATCATCCATGGGGATGTGGTAAGAGTTTACGCGGAATACTTGCGACCACCCCTTCCCCCCAGCATTCTTTAGAGCGAGCTCTACGTTTTCGAATGCTTGGTCGATTTGTGCGTTGATGTCTTCGGGTATGACTTTGGTTTGGGGATCCCATCCACCTGAGAGGGCGATTATTAGTTACCAAAGATTCTGTGGCATTGTGGTGTAGGTTACCTTGACCTGCACACTCGATGCGATCACCGACACGCACTGCTTGGCTGTACTTGAAGTTCTTCTTCGCTGATTCGCCCTTGCCGGGGTATGCGTAGTATTGGAGATGCGACATGACACTTGAGGTGAACGAGATTACCGTGATGTGCTCTCTAAGCGTTTGGGTTGATCGTGGCCAACCTTCAGAGCATCGCAGCACTTGTTATGTATCACCATCGGCATCTGCCGCAGGCGCTCGATGATGCCGAAGATAGCTTACCAATTTGACCGCGAACTATCCTTAGTCGCTTTGAAAGTTCTGTGGCTCTTTCCCCGCAGTTTTGCTAATCCAGTCCACGCCAACATACTTTTGCTCGACGTCCAAATTACTCTCACTGGGACTGTTCAACTTTCACGTGCTCTAGCGCGCTCTGCATCATGCCGGATGTGTAGTCAAATTCCGAACTAGCGTTGTGTATATGCACCATACGTGATAGCAAAGCAGAGAGTACGCTTGACGTCATGGCAACAAGAGTGCCAAGAGATTCTAGTACATCTTGGTCTTTCTAGTAGTACTATGATCTCCGCATTTGACCTGGGCAAAATACAGAAATCGGTTAATGTCGCGTCGCGGTCCTTTTATCTGCTGATGACGTCAAGTCGATGGTCGTGTTCGCGGCTTCTTGGGTTCGCGCCTCACCTGCCTCCCGACAACACGCGCGGAGAAGGTGCGGGTATGGCATTGTCGTCTCTGACGACCAACACCATGCAACTGCCACCCCAGAACGATATCCGTTCGACGAAGTGCGTTCGTCAAGGACATGCCGAGCACTGTGTAGGCAATACTGCGCTTGTACTCGCGGCGAGTCTCAAGGACAATGTCCATCCACACGCAGGACGTTTGTAGAGCTTGCTTTGAGGACTTTGGCGAATGATACTGTATGCAAGCCAAGCCTACGGATGTTCTCATCAACAATGAAGCCGGTGACTATTGTCATTTCCTCCGTCTGTGCAAGACGGCGATTTAATGTGGCATGGTGTCTTCGTGATCCAGCAGCAGAGAAGAATATGTGCTTGCACTGTCCACTCGGCAGGTCATCCAGTTGGCTGACTGATGTATAGAAATGCTCAACGTATCGCACACCAAGCCTGGTGTGGCTCCGGATTTCATGTCTCCGCGCAAGCTACATGCACGAACGTTAATGAGGCTGTGGCCGCGCAGTCACCTGACATATTCAGCCTGACGCGCACTTTTGCGTCACCCCGTGAACAGACACCTTAGTCTTCATCTCTTTCTCGCAAGTCATAAGCCATCGTGACATCTCGCTTCTTCCTTCCATTGATCTTGCCATCAATTAATTAATCGCAACGGAATTGGTGCTCATCCTGGGGTTCGGCAACATGGTCTTTACCGACATTTGGACTTGCTCTGAAACTGCAGGTGGTTGTGGGGCAGAAAATCCGGACTGGCATTCATTCTGTCCGGTGTGTGGCACATATCCAGGCAATCTTCAAACCCCCCATCCGACAGCCCAGGTCCCAGTGAACACCTTCGAAGAACAGCAGTCTCGTGAGCACACTAAACCTTCAGTGGAGCAGCCTATTTTAGCCAATGCAGAGCGGACCATCTTGGCCAGAACCACTGCAGCTCCTGCTCCTAGAGAGGATCCGACTCAACTTCAACAGCGAAACAGGCCGTCGTCCGATGTTGACGCGACGGTTCCAGTCTGTGATATGGCTGTATCTCGGGATAGCCTGGTCATAACATCGCCCACTACGAATGTTGTTGAAGGTTTTGACCATCAAATTTCAGGAAGTGCGTTGACGGAAGAACATGAACCCCTACCTAGGTCCACTCAAAACGAGTCGAGGGGTATAGGGTATGAGTGGGACCAGAAATCGAAAGTATCGGACACATCAGACTCTATATTCTCCATAGAATCCTCGGAGACGTCGGCAACAGCAATCTCTATGGACAGTGGATTTACCGTCGCTCAGATCCAGAACGCCACAAAAGCTTTCATCTCCATCCTAGTGGACGATGATATATTGGCGCCTTTGTATGAGAATGCTCGTAACGATATCAAGATTGGGCCAAAGAGATTGCGAAGGCATATCCGTGAGGCTGTCAAAATATATGCCGAAAATCTCGAAGAAGAAGCCGGCGACCGTCTCGAGTTTGCGGCTTGCCGTCTCGTTCAAACAAAGGCGGGCCATGCTGCTCGATATATCGCCAGCGGATGGGATGGGTACAACCAACCAGAAGAATCTGTCAATGATCGCAGCCGAGTACCCGGGAATCTAGAAGATAGCTCAGAAGAAGAAAGTGTCGAACGACCTGTACGCGAGACCCAATTTCGAGACCTGGAGGCCTTTCGTCGGTTCCTGACGGAGAGCAATGCCTATACGATACTGCGAGCGCAAATACAAGCTTTCTGTACGAAAACCCCGACCGCACTACTGAGTGTGCGTCCAATTGGTGAGCTGAAGTTGCCAACGGACGCGACGAGCCATTCGCAAGTTCTGCAATACGTGCAGTATCCTTACGAAGAGAGTTCGTCGAACCGATACTACCATAAGGGCAGGGAAGTGGGGTTGATACCTGCCACCGAAAACAGCACGAAGCTCACATGGCGTGTATGGCAGAAAGATGCACAGAACTTGGTGAATGGCCTCCACCTAGGTTTCGACTGGGCTTTCATGGTCAAAGCTGCTCTTTTGTCCCTGATAGACATTGTCTTTCTATTGACTGACGACTTTCTTATTGCGACAGGACATTTGGAATCTCCACTGGAAGTAGGCTGGACTCGGATAAGAACTGAATGTGTAAGTTCACATGAAGACATATCCGAAAAATGAACGCCACTGACCTTGACCATAGAGCTGTGGCGATCGATTTTTCGACGATTACAAGGGGCTAACGATGGGTGGTATGGGGACATTGGTACAAGAGATGAAGCAGCCTTCAGTCAATGCCAAGATCAAGGTCATTCCCTATCGCACGGGAATCAAGACACAGCAATACACGGCTCGACTTTCGATGTGGTTGCGTCGTATCGGTAGCAGTCTTTCGGCAGCATTCTCGTGGCACGACCGGACCCCTATAGATCTGCCGCACTTCAACGTTGGTGAAACAGCTTCTGTGACGAGTACCACTACTATAGGCAGCTCAAAGCAACATCGAGATCCAATTCATCTGATGACTTGCCTGGATCGTGGTCACAACGGACCCGTACTACTTCAAATTGACGTTCGCGCCATCACGAACGACCAAGCACTCTTTAGCCTTCTCAGACACCAGATAGCTCGAAGTCGTAATCGTTTGCTTCGTGCTTTATCCTGCCGTTGCATACAGGGGATATACTTCCGCAAAGTGAGTGGACCCATCGTGATCGGTCGTACTAAGTGAAAGCTTATCTGATATTAGTTTTGTCTATACAGCCGTAGTCACGTCGATATGCGTGACCACGACGAGTCTTGTCTTCCTGCAACGTCAACAGCGAGTCACTGCGAGTGCTTACATCCAGTACACATAGTTGAGCCTTTTCCCAACGCAGAGTACCGCTGCGACATCCCTTGCCCTCCGGATACCTGGCCACCTGTCGGTTCGAGCAGATTGGTTCACATGCTAAAATGCCCATCTACCATCAACGAGAAATGTACCCGAGTCCTGTACCAAGTACCCAAACGTGTCACAGGAGAGCTATCGGAATGTGATGACCAGCCAGCTGACGGATGGGGTTTTTACTTCAAAGACGGCTGGGATTTCGATACAATAATCACGATCAGCTTTGTCATCCTCATGTTAGCGAGTCTACTTTTTGGAGTTTGTTGGTCTGTGCTAAAGAAGGACATACAGGCCGCATTTGGGGTGAGTGCATATATGGTAACTGTTTGTGGTTTGTTCGTCGCTTTGATTGTGGGTAAGACAGGGAAAGCAGGGTGAGAGGATGGTAGTGTCATCGGCATTGAACTCATTTCCCGAGTTTGACTGATCTCTAAGTCTATGAGTTGATTAATCTTCACGAGATTTGGCACAGTCAGCCTTCACTCATACAAAACCTCCATATTTAGAATTAGAATTCCATTGCAAGTAGTCCTCCACGAGCTAGAAGTACGCGAAGTCTCTTTTCGTCAACAAGAGCGTTATATAGGTGTCATGTGGCTGTCCGCTATGCGCCTTCAGCGATCTTCTGCCTGCGGCCAGCGGAATTCCATTGGTCTCTAACACTTCCAGGTCTGCAATCTGGCGAATACACTGACCTGAGCTCTTCACGTGGATAGAGCCATGTGTTTGTACGCCAATGCCAACTGAACGGCGTGCGACAGCCACCCAGACCGCGATAAACGAGAACCTCGATGTTGAACCCTTTTTTCGGACCTTGCCATTTTGTTGTGATAGTATAGTCTGTCGAACAAAGAGTGCACGATCCGAATGCAGGTCCAGAGGCTAGGAATTGGCTTTGTCCGGTTCTTTTGGCCAGCTCGGGAAGCTGTATGGGGAAGCTATCGGGCAAATCTCGCCAAATTCTGACACTTCTGCAAAGCGCGTGACCAAAATCGTCGATGTGTCTTCTGAGGGATACCGAATCACCTCGCGAGTGAGTTATTGATATTGCCGACAGTACCAGAAGGTGATCATTGGAGATGCGTGCATGCTGGGTGACCGAGGTTACCACTCCGTTCGGGTGATGAGAGGATCGGGTTCGTTGATTGAGTACGCGAAGGGGCAGGCCGTGATTGGAGCCGTAAAGGTGTCGGTTCATGACCAAGCGCGTATGGTGGTAAGAAATGTGGCAAGTAAGTGGAAGCTAGAGGTGCTTGTCCAAACTTCGCTTGCATGGTAAACTCTCTTCGTTCCACGGAATAATGGCTCTACTCCAGCGTCTATGCCAACGATGCAGCTTCGTACAATGATGACAATAATAAAGAAATGGGATATCTTTCTCGAGCAAAAGTAAGAGCTTTTCTTTCTCTGCCAGTTGCAGGGGAATATTGCGTGGTTCCCAGAGACTGTGAAGACTCTTACAGGTCAACGCAAAGGACACCAGAGAGCATGCATCGAGATGTGTTGCAATCATCAAGATTATCTCTAGGGGGAAATTGAGGGTACACCGACCTGACGGATTGCGCATTTGTCGAAAAGATCTTGCTAAGCTTCCAATGGCTTCCTGGACGACCATGATTGGGTTTACCAGGCGGATCTGGTGTTCGGAGCTCCCAGTGTGGCGTAGATTCTGGATCTGGATCGCCAGCGCCATCCTGATGCGCAGGCGTGGCTAACTTCAAAGACTAGAAGGAGAAAGTTGGCTGAGTAAGGTGTCTGCTTGATGACGTCGTAGGCTTAAGTGATAACTAGAAGAATGTTCAGGTTTCGTCGTCATCTGCAATATATATAGTTGCGTGCGCATCGTGAAGCTATCCCGTGGTTAGTAACCACTCCAACCATGGTACTGCGACCCGTATTATTGATGCGAGAAGAAACCAAGTTTTTGATTGTCTTGTCGTACAATTTACTATACATTACAAAGAGCATGAGCGCTTCTTAGTTCACTTGGTGTATGGATTAGAGGCGATGAGTTCTATTATCCAATCAGCAAAGTACAATATCAAAACCACATCCTAGACATGTTGATTGCTTAGCGGCTTTGACTACAATTGTTGCCCATAACGTATTGGGATCCATCTATGTTATCCTCGAGTAAGCCGCCAACCATGCTCGGTAGGATTCAAGGCCACCTTGATACCTTCGGCGCATCGTATCATCTCGCTCTTCTTCTCCGGTGCTCCGCAGTCCCTTCTTGCTTGCTCGTTCAAGCCACTAAAGAGTACTGCTAAAACGGATGATTTCCAAACACCTTTGGCAGCCTCAAGCCCGTGAGCGCCTCTTGTCTTCCAGACTGTCAAGCTTAGAAATACCACGGTCAAAAGTACCAAACTAGCAGAGAATGACAGCCAAGCCCATTGGACAAGTATGCACGTTTCTGTCTTGTTTGCACTCCCCGTAGCGTAGATGGTTTTCGCTTCAAACGCTGCATCTACCGTCGAATTGTTGTTGCGCATGAATGTATTGATCGATTTTGCAAGCTGACGGAAGTTCGTTTCGACAGTGTCAACCGTCGCTGCGCCATTGTTGTACAATCTCTTGATCCATACGTCGCCCATTGTTGACATGGTTGCGGATGGCCCGTAAGCACCTGCCATAACCTTATCAAGATACAGTTCATCCAGAAACGAGGAGAAAGCGTTGCCAATACCTGTAGGCACCCAGAATATGCAATCACCCGCCCACCATCTCAAATCACTTGGCTCTGGTTCTACAGAAGAAAACCACAATGTATGATTGGAAATTGGTACGGGTGTGTCCGGAGTGTATGTCAGAGACGCAGTGCAGGGTTCCCATTCGCCATCTCGAAGAACCTTGTCAGGAATGCTCAGCCAGGAGTCGAGAGGGGACCTGGCACGACCGTAAGATGAATAAGGGACGAACTCCAACGGTTGAGAGTCTATGACGTGTTCTTGAAGCTCTGATAGATCAATACTTGCGGTTATAGTCCTGATCGTGGGCCATAGTCTACACTCTACTGCTAGAGGAGCCTGAGGACACGTCGACGAAGTTTCGTTGCTCATGGCCTGTTCACACTCTTCGTTCCTTATATAAATCAGGGACGCAAAACTGAACAAGACAATATCGCGTTCTGCAGGCCAATACTTGTTGAAAGGCGATCCCATGGAAGTGGGGCTCGTACGCACGAGAGCTCCCTGTCCGACAACCGTGGTAGAATTGCCAATGCCACGAAGGTACCACATTGTTGTCGGATCCGAATCGGCTTCAACGATCTCAGCCGAGATGTCTACACATGACACGTCTAGGGCAAGAGTTTGGAAAGATCCTCCAGATGGGCTGTTTGGAAAAGTGCAGTTACCAGTGGAGCACTGAATATCCAGCCTTGAATAGTCGTTCATCAGGCCTCCATATATGGCAGCTGCAACATCAGGGACCAACTGAAGCGGGATACCGGCACCAAACTTTGCAGCAATGCCGGTGAGATTGTTTGCGCGTGGGATTTGTGCTATTCCATTAGGAACGCTGTGGTGACATAAGACCGGGCGAATGATCTGCTGAGTAAAAGGATCGATGGCCAACGCCATTACTGTTATCCAAGCTCCGAGCGCGGCAATGCCACTATTCGTTGTGAGTATTTCCTGTCTTCGCTTCCTAAGCCGATCGGGCAAGCTTACCGACTACGCAGATACCAAACAAGCCGGGCAGCACCCCATGGTCCCCTGCTGGCGACATCAAAGCTTTCCAGATCCATCAAGTTTCTGCTTTTCGCGAACCATGTCCACTTCAGTTCGCTAATGCCTGTGACTGGTGAGTGCCTAACCCCGAGACATTGAACTCCTAGGAGGTTACTTACTTTCAGCCACTGGAAGCAGGATGGCAGCCTTCATCAGAGCGCCAAAAACAGCAATCAGAGTATTGATGTTGATCTTGAGAGGTATTGCGGTGATGATGTGTCCATCAAAGTAGCGAAGGGTGGCACAGAGACAGGTCAGGGTCATGACAGCCATAGCACAGCACAGCACCTCGATTGTCCAGCCATCTGTCCATATACGATATATCTTACTCGTTAGCGGCGGTTGCCATGCCGTGCCTGATTCTGCGTGCAGACTAGTGACTTCTACTGTCTCCACAGGCTTTCGTCCTGGATCACTGATATTACTTGAGAATGAGGCCATCTCAACTGGCGTGTAGCTGTAGTCGGTAGAAAGATCATCGGATCGGATTTGAGGCAGTAGCGACATCGCGTTCGTCTTTTGATAGCCATTGCCTGACGTGCTTTCCCTGGCTGATGTTAAATGCTGTGCAACTTCCCTCAGCATAAGTCCTTTAGCGTGAGACGAACCCTTCTCTCATGGAACAACCACCTTTCTCACGGGTATTCGTTTGGTTGGACATAGTAGAGGCTGGTTGTTGCTCCACAGAATCGATTGCGTTCGTCTCGTGACTCTCGAAGCCGAACAATGTGTTCGGACACAAATCAATAAAAACGGCTCCCTTTTACGTTATCAGTGAGACAGCTGTTAGCAAGAGGCCAAAAGTTACTTGTCAGGTTGTGATGGCGTTGTGCATGCGACCATATCTTTGTCTAGAACTGAGAAGCAGCGTGCGGCTGAAGCCTGCATGGATAGCGCGTCTACCGTGGAGATAGCGTAGTGCGCGACCAACAGCAAATCCCCGCTCTCATATGCTTTTGACTGACTATTTTGCTTCTTTAGTAGGCTTTTGAATGCGGAGGAAGATCGCACACCATAGCAGCCAAACTCTTACTCGACAGTCGGTCGGAGGTCTATGGTTCGAAGAGACACAACCACTTTCCAGACACAAGCAAGCACCGAGGATCATGACGTGGCACCTGTATCATGTGTTAATGATTCAGTAGACTTTATAATCTTCCTCTGGTATCTTGGTCGTATTCCATATGCGGCGCCGTGATGGTGAAAGTGAAGTTCGGAAAGTTCAAAGGTGACGAAGCGGGATAGCAGTAGTCGCTCCAACCAATCGCCGTCTTCCTATCCTAGTGACTAACTTAACTTTCTCTTTTCTCAACTCTCACAGACACTGTGTGTACTCTTGAATTCTTACTCAACTACTCTAAGAATTTACTCTTCTTGAAAGAGGGAGTAGACATCAGGAATTCCGGATTGCGGCTGAGGAATGTGGCGTGCATTAGCGGGCCTCGACCTCCGACTAACCTTGTGGGGCGCACATCCTCTCCACTAGGTCGTCTTAGCACACTGGATCCCCTCGATCTTCATGCGCACGCGGCTGGGCTAGGAACAGTACATCCTTCTACCTCCAGTATCGTCTGTTGAAAGCAGTGTATTCTAGCTATACACACCGAACGATGACCACGCCTCGATATCCTCGAGGGACGGAAGTCAGCTCACTAATGAAGGATGTCGCGCGAAAAATGAGATGCGGCTCATGCATAGGTCCCACGATCATTGCAGCCTTGGCCTATCGTGTTCACAACTAGAGACGCTTGCGTGCTCTACCCGCAAGTACTTATGGCTCAGATTCGCGGGTAAATCAGCTTATTAATCAAAGACAGCTAGCGATAGAAGGATTTATTCGTGGTATCTACGTCCAGTAGTAGCGGCACTCAGCTGTAGTCGATGGGTAAGGACCTCAGCATCGATTCCATCCTACGATCTATTATACTTGATGTACTTCACTGCCTTTTCATGATTGCTGGCACTCGCCTTGTCTGCTTCTCATTATTGCAGCTCTCTCTTGCACGACTCGCGGGATATTGTTTGGTTTCAGCTTCGGCTTCCACTCGATGCCCTAGCAAAATGCTCATCCTTGAACAACGAACTTTTGCCAAGGGAAGACGGCACTCGATGGAATTACCATTGCAACCGTAGTAACAGAGATTTCCGCCCTCCTAGCCGCTCTCACGATAGCCTGGATGTCTGAACGGAACGAGGACCAAAAGCAAGCCCATGTCAAGAAGACGGCGCTTTCGCTATGTCCGTCCAGTGCGAGATTGCGAGATGTAGCTGAACCGTAAAGCCATCCTCTGGAACGCCCATGAGGTGGGGCCACCATTACAATGCCCCAAATAGGGAGTCAAGTTCGAAACCAGGGTCCAGGATATTAAACAAGCAGTTGCTTCACCGGAAGCTTCCGTTACGTTTTCAACGACGAGCTTGTCCTTGAACAAGCACTAGCCCCAATTCTACCTTCTGTATCGATTTTTGTATACGTGCAATGAACTGTGAGGCGAAACAAGGCACTCGAATCGATAGTACCCCCAATAGAAAGTGCAAACAGAAAGGCTCAGACGGAAGGCTGAAGTCGAAGGCGCTGACTATGCGCGGCCAAGTTGAAAGGTGGTTAAGTGAGCTGACTGATAGGCACACCTCGAGCATCCAAGCTCCCTAAGTAACCTCAAGACCTAAGACTCGTAATCTCCCGATCTACATGGATCAAGACGAGCAATTGATGACGTCTAGTTTCACTACACCGTCTTTCTTTCGGACAAGCTCTTTAACCTCATGGAGAAGCTTGCCTCTTCTCAGCGATCAGCTGTTCAAAGACGTGCCCTGCTGTAAAAGTGTGATACGAAGCGAGAACATAATGTTCACAAGTTACGAGATGCTCTTGGAATAGGTGGTCAAAAACGTGAGGCGGATTTAGCAAGAAGAAATATTATCGTGTGGAGATTCTTTATACGAGAGAAAACCACTCCTCAATAGGTGGTACCCCTCCCTTACCTCTTGGTGTTGAAAATCATCTTGTGCCCCCGAAGTCTGGGTTGAGCACAGATCTCATCCCGCACCAGGGCGTACACCCTGTGCACCGGCACACTACAAGTTGCATTTTAGAACTTAGAAGACACAAGCTTTTTCATAGGCCGGAAACCTCCATTGAGAGAAAAGGTCGAACCACCCTGCAAGAGGAGTGCAAGACTCCGCTGCTCTGGAAACAAATATTATAAATACTCATGCTCTCCGCTGCATGTCATCCATTCCGGAATATCATCACAGCATATCTCATCAAAGTCCGCCACAACATTTCCCAATCTTTACAAAGAAGTACACTCTCCTCGTCTCGGTCTTCTTCGGTATGGCTATTGCCGGGCCAAATGTGTTAATCGCGGAGGATATTTTTGGATTGGAGAAGCGAGCTTGTGGTGTTGGCAATCGCTACACAACGTATGCAGTTTGAAAATCTGTCGGTTGCAAAGTTTGTGTTCCAAACCATACTTGCGATGTAAGTATACAATACATCTAGTAGTGTGACAGTAACACGCTGCTGCTTGACCTGGATTGCATGGCTAATATAATCGATATGGTGTAGGCTTGTTAAGAGGTCTACAGATTCGGATCCTGCAGACTCCTTCTTGCATGCCGCTGTATGGAGATATTTCTTGGGAATTCAAGTTCAGTCGAACTCACGAAGTGTTGAGTGCTTGTCGAGGAAAAATCGTCTCAATTGGTTGGCCAATGATGTCTTAGTCAAGGAGCTGAAGGCAGAGCTTTCGCAATAGTTAATAGCATGTCGATACCGCAATGAAGGCTTTGAAAGGTATTTTGACTTGACTGGCTGTTCTCCTTCCTTCCCTCCTGATTGTGAACAGTAGCAAGTGTCATTACCCCACTCGGCACTCCCGTAGCGCGTCCCACCACTGTGGCGACGATCTAGGTGGGTATCAACTTAAGTCATCACAAGGTATATTAGACCAGTCGTAGTCAAAGTTTATAGATAGAGTATGATGTAAGAACAAAGTTGAAAGATTACGCAAAGAATATAAGACTCTATACAGCATGATAAGTACAAATGAGAGACTTCGACTCCGTTACTTGCATGTATCGCAAATGCATGAACAATTCATAGACTGCGAGGCAAATACGGGTTGATTCTACGCAGTGGTGTTCATCAAAGGATATCGCAAATATCACTCATTGAACGAAAACACCCGGTAGGTCACGCACCGATACGTGTACTCACCACCGCGGAACTCATCGGGTATGGTGTTACAATCCTTGAACAACCTGTGCAGCGCGTACCGACAATAGTCCCTTCCCATGCGCCAGTTGTAGCCCCTGCAATACCATTAGTCATGCTGAACACGTTTGATAGGAACGTAAGAGACTCACTCGCACCACTTCATATCGTCATACGGTTTCGGCGCCCCATTCTCAACCGTCTCCATGCCGAGATGCAGATACTGTGGATTCCGACTCTCAGGATAAAACCCCGGCTGACCATTTGGCGGAAATTCCCATCCTTGGTCGCCATACTGACTGAAGCTTTTGATCTCCGAATCATCGATACACCAAGCGTCAATTGCTTGTTCGAGATCGTCCGGAGAAAGCTCCCTGCCTGTAGCGTACTTGGTTTCATCCCAACATTTGGGTGACTGGGGCTTGCTACTGCCTTTCGCGGTCAATTGTTCTGGTGCAGGAAAAGATGGATGTTCGTCCCAAGGAGGACTATTGTCAGGCCTGGCTGACGATATATACTATCCTGCACCATGATCAGTAGTTCACTGATCATACGTACCTTTTTGGTTGCATGGCGTAGTGGTGCAGGGCTGCGTCCTGACAACTATCGCCCTTCGTGACGCCGCTTAGATCAAGGCTGTAGTCGATAGTCCCAACGGTAGCGGTGAAGCCGTGCGACGTATCAGAGTCTGGATCGCACTTGCTCAGACCTTCCTTAAGGGCGGCGATGCATTCGTCTTTTACGAACGATGCTTGCTGATTGTCGCCATGCGGCTTGGCGCGGAGCCAAAATGAGCGGCGATCGGGTACGTCGAGTTGGGTGATACCCCAACGCCAGTACACGTTATCTGAGATCGAGTTGGAGGAAAATTGATGGCCATCGTTATCGTCACACCACGTTTGAATAGCCGACTCGACGCTCGTACCCCCAGAGGCTACATCGTCTCTCTTCGGTACATCAAGTGGGTGGTTCAAACACTCGACGGTAGACTGGATTTGATGGTGAATAGTGAAGGAATAAGTGCCACAGCCGATGTCGATGCCTCCATTACCTGCCATGAAGCCACCCTCATCGCCTACTTGACAAGATTTATTCTCTATAAGGCCTTCGAAAGCCTCTTCGCATGAGAAAGCACAGTCATTGGCATTTTCTCCAGTTTTGGGTCTCCACCACAAGGCGAACTTGTAGTCGCTAAACGTGTTCGAGCTTTCCCGTATCCAGAAACGCCGACGTTTGAACTGTACTTGCTCACCCTTAGCGTTGACCATCCAGGTAACGTCTTCGGCTGAGCCGTCTGCTTTCTCGCAGAAGTTGGCGTAAGTCGCATTGAATGCTGAGCTTGGAAACATGGTAACCTCGTTAGGCATACAGTAGCTGAGCAAGTCTGTGATTGGAATCTGAGGCTCGATTGGCACGACCCAGGGCTCCACGGTCATTGTTCTCACAGCATACTCGGTAGGAACCGCAGTTGGTAGACCGGTCATCGTTGGACATTCCGTCGTGCATCTCTTGATCGCGCCAGCCATACGGCAATATGCTGAACACTCCTGCGTACTAGAAGAGCTCGAGCTACTAACAGTAGAGGTCGCCGACATTGTCGAGCTAAAAGTCGTTATCGAGGGCGTTACCGATATCGTCGCCTTTCCTTGAAGCTCAGTGCCAGGAATGCGGATCGAAGGATATATAGGTTTACCAGTTATCGATCTCTCGTAGATTAACATGAATACGAAGGCGGCCATAGTCAGTGCTACTGACGGATTCATGTTGATGAATTGGTACGAGATCTCGGCGAATTGCATCACCACTTCCATTGCTTCTTGCACTTCTGGTATCGTCCAAGATGGTATCCAACTTGAAGTTGTCGCCAAAGAGCCAAGATCTTCGAAAGCAGCACCGGGTGAGGCATTGAGAACGACCTGCTTGGTAGCGCATATTGCTCCAGTTAGGTGCTCATTGAAATCCAGACTACGGGCTTTTCGAGAACCGGAAAAGCTGTCGTCGATTGTACATTTCTGGCTTCTGTCGATAAGTTCAGTCATCCGCTGTCCGAGAGCCTCAGGAATATAGATCTCGATGTCCCCTGGCAGGTTTTGGCCTACCGAACTGCTGAACGTTGTTTGATGCGGTGTGTTGGAGCTGAGTATGGTTAGTACGCCGATCGAGGATAAAGACACGAGTACCTACGCCGTGGTTGAGGCTACATCAGGCTTCCGCGTGATTGTAACCATTGCTGTCCCAATTCCGGTAGCGAAGGCAAGCGTGGATGCCTGCGCTGCGGAAGCTATAGGACCTACTTGGTTTAAGGGAGCATGAATAGCAACCGGCACGACTTTCGAATTGATGAGCTTGTTCGCTATCGGAAAGTAGAGCGCTGCCAAGAACGCCAGAGAGTATCCAGCGATCAAGATCTGTCGTGCTTCTAGCTCAGTTTGCGGACTGACAAGAATGTTATTGATAGTCTCGAGACATGTGTCGTCAATGTTGGCACATGCATCGTCCAAGGCAGTTTCGATTTTCCCGCGCAACTCCTCAGACAAAATGAGGTCGAAACCATCTTTCGGACTTGGTGGATCGGTAAATACGATACGTGATCCCGTCAGAGTTGGCGTAGTAGCCTGTATATTTTCAGATAACAGGATAAGGTATTGAAGCAGTGTTGATTGTATACTAGAGTTGCCGAGTACTGATCGATATCACCCAAAGTGAGTGTAAAGATCTCAGCCATCGAGACTGATCGAAGTACGAACAAACCAATCAAAGTGAGATGTCGAACCATAATGCGGACCGAAGTAGGAACGTGATGCGGGAATGAAGAGTACAATACACGATTCGCAGTGCTCCGTTGATCTCTGGTATATTGATAACTGTAGGAGCGACCACTTATATACCCGCAGTCGCCTCGAGCAATACGCTGTTCTATGAATCCTTCGGAAATGTAAACATCACGAAGTGTCGCAAGTTTCTTACAATTTGGCCCTCTAGTCACCTGTCCGTCTCACTGAAGCGCGCCTCCTCCTGCGTCTGATCCTGTGCCGCTTCCTGCATTTTGTTGGCGTAGTTGCAATGGCATTATTCCTGAAGGTGAGTGAGTGGGGGGGCCGAAACTTCCTCCTGGATGCAGTCTCTGGTAGCATGACTATGGGTGCATGCGACCGACATGTGGCATTTTCTTACTCTTCTGTCGCGAAAACTACCAATTTGGCTCGAGAAGTCAATTGCGTCGCTCAATCATGCTCCCAATAGCTGACCCTGGTGTAACTAGTTAAACGATACGTCCGAAATGGCGAGATGCCGAGATGGCAAACAGTGAATGGCGCAAATTTCTACCTACGATCATGGCTTTTAGGTTTTCGTGATGGAGGTCTGTTCAACACCATTATTCGAACACCAGAAAGTGCCGAAATCATTGTACTTTCGACGATCTCAATAGGATGATGAGATGCTTCATCCTAACCAGCATTACATGACAGAAGATTGTTCCACCATATCCGCTACTGCGCATGTTCAACTTCGGCTGCCTTGAGAATCTCAAATAACTCTTGATCACCACGACGTTGCGCAGACTCGGCCGGCGTGTCCTTGCTTACCCTGCCTCTAATAGTGGGGTCTGCACCATGTTTCAGCAGATACAACAGTTTCTCTTTAGATCTGTAATGAACGGAGTGAAGGAGCGGCGTAGCCCAGTTCTTGGCCATATAGTTGACGTCAGCGCCATGATCGATCAAGACAGCCATCGTAGCAGTGCCGTTCTTGTGGCCGCGGACTTTTATGGCGTCAAACAATGCTAACGGATCCATCTCAGCCCCATGAGACAACAGAACTTGCAGCGCCGTTGGGTCTTTGAGTTGTGCCGCTGCGGCGAGCGCGGTGCCAGGCTGTAGGCAAGACCTACGCCTCACGGATCTGATATTTGGATTCGCGCCGTTATCAAGTAGCCAACGTAATAGGCTTTCATTATGCAGCGCTCGGCTATGACCATGTGAGTAAGACCGTGAGTGAACCCAAGTAGGTACTTACTGTGCAGGCGGCCTCTCAAATTCCGTGCTATTGATATCCCAGCCGTGGTCGATAAGTTGCTTGAACACAGCAGGCTCTGCTCTAGTAAACAACGCGTTGTATGACACGTTCGTGAGTGTAGCGCCGTGATCGAGGAGAGTCTTGATCACTTGCAGAGATCCTGTCGATATCGCTGTCTCTAGAGAGTCTTGTAGTTCTTCGTAGCTTCGTTCTGGATGTACGCGAAGCAATTTCAGGAGTTTGTCAATATCGTCGGAGCCGATAGCCTCCTGTATCTCTAGGGGCACGATGCTCATTTCGCTAGTGAAGGATACTCGGGGGATTCCATGTACGGTGCCATGATGTTGGGGCGGGTTTGGTGACTATGATATAGTCGAAACATGCGGCACAGCTGTGTGCGGGCCAGGCGGCAATGACCTTCGAGTGATTGTTAGGTAACTTGCATCATGCCAAGGCACTAGCTGCTTGTGATAGCCCCCGCTTCCAGTCACTCAACCAGGACTCTCTCGACGTCGTCAAACTTTACTAACAATCACGGTATCGCAGCAACTACCTGGTCCTTCAGTGAGACATCGCGAAAGTTATCATAGTTCCACCATGTTCTGATACATAGATCCATCGGCCATAACCCGACGGATTCTGCATCCTAGCTGCCTCAATTCCACCATCGATCATCCTACCACGGTCGTTCCAAGCCATTCGTGGTAGCATGGTATCAAGGGTCCACTTTTTTGTCGTTTCTCATCTATCAAACACAATTAGAGTCATCATAAGTCTGCTGCAAACCGGATCACAAGACCAATGATTGTTGCCCCACAGACCCCAAATCTTCATGACCTAGCGGACCGAGAGGCACCTTCCTACCTAGGTGTCCTTGTGGCCTCAAAAGCCCCAAAAGCGACACATCTGTTCCATTGAGCAGCCTGCGCTTCTCGAACAGCCCCAAATTCTCGGGAAAAGCACCGGTTGCCGGAGTGGCTATCAAGATCGTGCATGTCTTGGGTAGATGACTATATTCGCCCCATCCAACCGCAAAAGTGTTGTTTCATACGCCATGTAGTCACCACGCCTCATGTAGGCACGCCTCCAGGCCACATTGCCTGTCAGCGTCACCTACAAGGGCCATTGTCTCATCAGTTCCAAGTCATTCAGCAAACACCTATATTAGGTCCCATCTGTCTTCGACTGGTGGCAAGCATACAGGTCTACGTATGTGGTGTCTTGTGACTCGAAGTAATATCAACTCCCTCATACATAAAGTCTTTGAAGAAGGATATTCGAATACCTAAGAACTTTTCGAAAGGCAGAGATGAAGATCATCGTTTTGACGATTCTGGTTGTCATCTACTGTTCAACCGCCAATGTGATCCTACGTAAGTCGGATCAATTCCAAGACGATGTCGTGTCCCTCGTTTATTGACGACCACTCAGATTACTCGGCTATTATCAACGGAGCTCGTTCGAAAGACGGTCCTGTGGTCGGCCACGACAATGGGGAACGTTTTCTCCTCAATAGACAACTCGATTGACGCACTGGTCGTTTGAAATGCAGTGCACCCAAACGAGGTCCTGAGATCGCCAAGAGAGATTCTCTGGCCTCATCCCACAATTACACTGTTTACCGACGCATGATTCTACCCACTCCGCAAAACATAGATGATTACATCGTGAAAGAAACTGGAAAAGCTCAGCCAGTTGTTTGGCCCCAGACAGATCGGAATGAGGAAAAGACCGAGTACGACATCAACACTTCAGTCTTTGACGAGTTCAAGTTCTATCAGAACAACGAACTGAGTGAAATGGCTGTGGAATTGAAAGGCTGTACGATGTTGGTTATTGTCGGCCGTAGGGGTGTATGGTTAGGGCATTTTTGGGAGGACATTTCATTTGCTACAGACGATACCCATCAATTTTGGGAAAAATATAACAAAGACCAAGACAAGATTTTCGAAGAATCGGTCATCAAAGGCATGAGAAACGGTAAAGGAAGTGGCAAAAACAAAGAACAAGACTCTGTGCGACTAGCTGCACCAAAATTCGACGACGATCACATAAAGGCATATCTTGTTCATCCGAGTTCAAATTCGGAAGAAAATGGCGACTATCGAGAGTACTGGGATCGGATAAAGGCTGATGTCAGGACGCAGCCCTGCACCACTACGCCATGCAACCAAAAAGGTACGTATGATCAGTGAACTACTGATCATGGTGCAGGATAGTATATATCGTCAGCCAGGCCTGACAGCTGAAGCAGCCACTCACCTTCCTAAACTCGACCGTCCGGGTCGGTGGGTTGAGCATTCATACGAGCCTACAGACGACATGGAATTACTCGAAAATACAGCAAGAGGGAGACTGCTGTTCAAGTATGATGCGAATCATAGCCCACAAACCCCACGAAATCTGGCCAATTTGTGGAGTGAGACCACGGAGTTGCACAGAGATGCCTGGTAGATTGATACTATGGAGCAAATCTGCTTCATACTTGGGGCTTGTGGTGTCTGATCACCCCTTCTCGGTGTGTCTCATGGTGCTCAAGCAACACTTAGGTATCGAACGCAACTCTCTGCCGCTCCTGGCAGCAGATCGCAGACCCCGCATCCGAACTGGAATGGTGATTACACTACGTTCATTTTCTTCATTTCCTGGTAGCTTTCTTTCTTGTTAGTATGGCTCAATGCCTCGGAAAAATTCATATCCCGGTTTCAGCAAGATCCCGGCCATTGCTGGAGGCAACATCACGGTTGGGGTAAGGTCTGCGTCTGCAGTTGTGGCTTTGTAGCTGTTAGTGCCTTCCTACGCTAGGACCTCTCGTATAGTCATAATGTTACAGTCGATATCGAAGCAGTCTGGGCGCCTAATATCAAATCCTACATCCTCTTCAAGCAATATTAGCGGCCGGTCTTTGTTGGAACTATTCACATATGCCCTTTGAGAACGTGGGAATGTGTACAGTAACGAGATGAAGTCAAATGGCTAGATGATATTCAAGTCTTTGGAGACACGGCCAAGTTGATTTTACCGACTTCTGACGTTCCAAAATACACAGTAAATCAAGTTGCAATGAACGAGCTGCTTCATGGGTGGATCTCAACTAGCCAGCCCACACAAGAGGAAAATCGAACAGGTAGAGATAAGAAGCTCTACCTTACAGCTTACATTAGCTTATGACAACAGAGATTATTAATATTAATAGTATTATAGACTTCTAGCTTTTCTATAAGTTCTTATATACCTCTAATACAATTTGTTGTAGTAGGAAGGAGTACTCTGCTCTAACAAGATGTTTGGTTTCTCTCCTTTACGTAGTGGAGCAATAAGGTCGGAGCTGACGGACGACCACACCGCTTCGTCTCTGCCAACTAAGCCAGTGAAGCGATCATACGCAATGCAGTTAGAATAGTTAGGACTCGTTGAATGAATGAGAAGGCTGAATCGAGCGAAGCACACATGTGGAAAATCTGACGGGGCAACTTTAGCCGCACTCGGCCGTAACGGTCGTTCTGCGCAACAATCTCGGGATCCTTGGCACGATTTACTAATCTGATGGTTCTTGATGAACAATCACCTTGATGTGCTAAGCCAGCCGAATTATTTCCTTGGCAGCTCCTGTGCGCAAAATTGAGGCTGACATGAGCTGGCCGCATGTGCAAATGCTCATGTACATAAACAAGCCTTGTTCCTTCAACCATAACAACTTCCAAGATCAAAGGCGTATTCTGCTTTCTCGACTTCAGCTATGGTTTCCTTACTCAAAGCTCTTCTATTGACAAGCGGTCTGTTACTATCGTCAGGGGCAACACCAACACTACAACGTCGTGCAGAGGTACCAACAAATCCAACATGACCTGTGGCTGAAAATCAATGCTAACAATATACCAGAATTCGACATGTCAGTTCAATCTGAATCTTGAAACGGTATGTTTATCAGATCTCCAGAATAGTATCAGAAGCTGAGATTTACGAGGCGGATATCGCAAACACCAGTTATGTACGCATGATGAAAAGCGTCAAACTTCCTACTTCTGGAACAACATACCGCTACGCCATCAACTCTCCTAGCGAGAGTGGTAAGCCATACCTCTTGTTCCTTCATGGCTTTCCAGAGTCTTCGTACAGTTGGGTCAATCAGATCGAATATTTCACCAGACGCGGCTATGGCATTATAGCGCCAGATCTTCTGGGTACTGGTGGTACAGATAAGCCCGTAGAACTGGAAGCTTACAGTCTGAAGACGATGGCATCTGAAGTTGCTCAATTGCTCGATTGTGAGGGCATTGAGAACGTAGTCGCGGTTTCGCATGACCTGTAAGCAAACCCACGGTGAAGCCTATGTCTTCCAAGGATTTTTGACTGACGTGTCTCAGAGGATCTTTCTTACTTTCCCGCTTTCACACGTATCAATCTAAGTATCTCTCAGCTCTTGCGTTCTTGGATATCGGGTACTTCGCCCCCGGCGTAGATGTCAATATGACCTACGTCGAGACTTACAATAACATCTCACAAGCCGAAGTCGGTTACCCCGCTCTCGGATACTGGTACTACTATAATCAACCAGACGGGCACGTCCTCATGGACGAACATGCAAGTGTACCATCACGACCCAGTTTTCATACAAGCTGACAATAGCGAAGTTGGATTCGTTCTACTCCCTTCATTACTCTTCCAACACGCCAACGGATTGGATTGAGCACATCGCCAAGATCGGCGCATTCCAGGAATGGCTAGCAGCAGATAGAATGGCAGAATACGGCAACGATTACATCACGAACTCCACTCGAGAGCAATGGAAAACCATTACCCGAGCACAGGGTGGTATTGAGGCAGCTCAGAAATGGTATAAAGCGCTTTTGCAAGGTGTCAACTCGAAAAACGAAGACGATGTTCGATCGATGTCAGGAATAATTGAGCAACCATCGCTCTTCATCGCGGCGGACAGGGATGCTGTTGGTCTTCCGGCACGGCAGCTGATGGCGACTTTGCCTTATGCTCCGGGGATGCGAATTAGGTCTGTGGATTCCGGGCATTTTCTTCACATTGAGCAGGCGGATGAAGTCAACGAGCATCTCTACGAGTTCATCCAAAGTCTTTAAGGCGTTGGTACAAGCTTTGTGTATACAAGAATACTACATTATAAACAATGGGAAGAGATACACCGATTTGAATCCACTCAGTCACTACTCCAACCTCGCTGGCAGGAAAAGTCGTTTTCTTTCATCTTTCTCGCTGTTGAAAAAGGAAATTGGGAATTTTTGTCACATTAATGAGAGAGCAAGATACACAGTGCCAGAATGTCTTGTAGACGGGAATCACATGACATGAAGCAATCGCAGAGACGCACCCTAGATGTCGTTATAGCTCGTTAATGAGCATCAAAGAAGTTTATCATTTTGACATCAACGCACTTTCAAGTGATACCACATTCGGAGACTAAAAGAAGGAGAAATAGGTAAGAAAAGGAACCGCGTTCATGCAGGCCTGACCGCAACATGCTCCCGGGTCTGTAAGATCACAGCGCCCACCGTTCGTCGTGCATACCGGCACAGCACATGCTGTAGTTGTAGCTACAACATTAACAGTATATCACTAGGAGTAAGTATGAGAAAAATCATGTGCAGGAATGTTGTGACGCTTGACAAATTCACCCTTTGCAACATTCGTCGGCGGATCGCTACTTTGATCGTTGCTCAACTGACCAGGGCTTCGGCGCTTCGGCGCTTCGGCGCTTCGGCGCTTCGGCGCTTCGGCGCTTCACAAACAGGGCTTATGACGGTGACGGTCGATATGGAGGTCGTCACGGTACTGTAGAACTATATCGTTGGTGCATGGAATCAGCACGATGTTTCTGTCGTCACTTACGTCACTGATGTAGTTGTTGTTATAGACATTGTCTTGGTGGTAGAGACTTTGGGGTACGGACTACAGAAAGATGTAGCCGGCGGTCCCAATTTCTTGAGTACTGTAAGTGCCAAGTTTACGGCTTTGCAATCAACACCTTTTGGTGACTGAGGTGGTGTGGGTTCTGCTAAGACTGCAGAGATGCTGAGGACTCCGGCGACAGCGATGAATGATAGGAAATGCATGATGAAGAGACCAGATAGATGTGTTCGAAATTGTGTCGAAGTGATGATGGGCTTGTGAGAGAAGTCTGTTTCTGCTTGAACAACACGGTATTTATACACTCTTCAGCGAAAACCTCTACTGCATGGCGCTATTGTCAATGCTCTCCAAGCTCCATACTTCTTCTCAAATCAGACATGGCCGCTCTTCCTAGTTGGAACCGGGTACGTCGACGCGAACAGGTCCAAATGTCCGTCAGATTATAGCGAAGCCCAAATCGAGTTAAGTTTATTTTGATACGCTTCCCGATGGCAAAGCTGAGAGAAGGCGTAATCTAGGGCGTTTCTCGAAAGCTGAATCGCTTAGAGAGTTGCGGTAAGGCTAAGTACATTTGGCTATGTATCTCTAGCCCCCTACACTTCATGCAGCCAACTATGGAGAATAGTCGATAGTAGTCTTCCCCTTGATCGTGTGATCACTCAACCCACTTCTACCAGTAATAGTAGCACCTGAAGTCCAGTTCATTTTCATTTGACCATTCCCAAATTCACCAGTAAACTCGCCCTCAAAGTCCTGAGGATGGTTGAGAGTGAACACTAGAGGGTCATTTAAGAAGTCCTCGACTGGGAAGTCATCTGCGAGCTCCCCCTTAATTCTCCAGAAAGTGTTGCCATGAATGCGTCCCATGAAGTGTTTCCCCTCGAAGAAAACCCATCCTGGAATTCTCTCAGCCTATAGGTTGACACTATTAGCCCAATGATAAATAGTACGCTACAGAAGGTTGCTTACCATCGTTGCTGCAGGTTGGGTGGATACGTCCACATGGATTTTGATTTCAAAGTCTTTACTCTCAGATGCATGAACTTGAGTTTCAATGGTCTGCAGAGTATTCTTGTGCGCAGACTTGTCCACCACAGTCTCAGGGGTTACCACGAGTTGCATATCGGCGTCATTGGTCTGGTGGTAAGGGACCGCAGCGGTCAACTGAAGAACGGCAAGTAGAACTGTTGCTGAAAGATGCATCTTGGTGTTGAAAAATCGAGCTCTTAGTGAGATTTGCTTGATTGTTTGGTGTAGATAGTAATGTCAAGCTTATTCGCTCTGTAGGGGGGAAACAGTGAAGGTACTTATACCTTTGCCATCCAGTGCAGAATGCATCTTTCAATTAGTAATAACATATTTGTAACACAAGACGGCAAGACAGGCGGTACGGTCCGCGAGTCCCAACATGTTTACTTCTCTCTTGGCGTCTTAGCTAGACTGGTAAATAGGTATACTATACCCATTTACCAGTCTAGTCTTAGCTTAGAGACTTGCTTTTCACACGCGCTTCGAGCGCGAGGCGATATGCAAGAATTATTCTCAGGACAACCTACTATCTGTTGTACTAATACAGAGCTATCCCCGACTATTTCTTGTAGCGTAAAGCCAGTACTATTGCCTACAACTACCCCGTACAATATTGCTGCTTCATGATTAGGTATTGTAGTATCACTCAATCATCTAGTGCATGTAGTGTTCGGTACGGATCGCTGCATCGCTGCAACCCTCTGCACCGCATCGGTCTTAGTCTACCGCGTTTCTATCCATCGCATTTCTACTAACCCACTATTGGCTGTCAACACTACACCTTGCGGTACACCTTCTCGATCCTGTGGCTGACCTTACGGGGAGCTGGCCATAGGGCTCGTGGACCTCTGGCCGATCGCGTGGCTGGTAGTCTTTAGTCCGCTACAGCCATAATACTGGTAAGGCCTGCAGCGGAGGACACTAATCAGAACTAATCTATCACAGATTTACTTGAGCTTGAAGAGGCCAAGCTCTCAAATGGAGGAGGTATGCTATCCTAAGGTGGTAACTTTAAGATAGCTGCTTAACTGCAACTATCTCTCCATCCCGTTTTCGACTAATCACCTTCAAAGAACCCCGACCTAGCGTCCACCCTAATCACGGGTTGACCTCAACGAACTGGTTCATCGGGTGCACGGGCACTGTACCGTGTCCGTCACGCAATGCCCGGGCGTCCCGTCGCAGATCTTGTCTCAACCTCGGCATGTATGAGCAGTCCTCGCAGGATGGTCGACGAGGCACATCTTCATTTTGCACTTGAAGCTTCGAATCCAGCTTCGGATCCAGCTTCGTTAGTCGCTATGGACGTAACGATGGTCTATGTATCATTCTCCCGATTCTCTATGGAAGCATATCAAGGGTCTGGGGAGTGGTCTTATACTAGTTGAACAGACAGGCACTACTCGATGCAAACTAATGCTATCGATTAACCCCCGGAATAGCGATAATCGAACAGTATACTGAAATTGATATATACCACTTGGTAAACCGGATCAAGAAACTATCACTCGCTAGCTAAGAGAAGTCGTTCGAACATCGACAAGACTACAGCTAGGCAGTGGAGGCGATGGCAGTATCGTTCCTAACAATTTCTTCGAACTTATCGCAGAGAGCCCTGAGCTGGTCGGGAATACTAGCTTTATGCTTCGCAGCTTCTTCAGGATCTGTTGGTGGCGGACCCAGGGGGGAGAAATCGAGTCGAGAGCGTTCCACCCAAGCCATAAGCTTAGGTTCCTCGAACCACTTCAACCTGTTCTTGAGGTACACCAAAAAGGTATGTACGAAATCTGCCGGCTTGGCACAGTACGGGATGGGGTTACAAAGTTCATTCTTCTTTTCATCGCTGTCGTAGGTGGAGTCGATGAGTGCAAGGAGAGCAGAACTGAAAGAAGGCTGGGCGAACTTGATGTTTTGAACAGTAATGGTTCTGCCATTGAAGATGGGAACAACTGGTCGGTATGGGAAACCGGCTGCGCTGCAGTCGATATAGAGAGTGTCAGGCACGGGCGTGTAAGTGCCCTTGTCTAACGTGACCTTGTCTTCATCGATGCGTATGACATGTCCCAGACGTATAATGTTTTGTACAACCCTGACTCTTTCCATCTCAGCCTTTGCGAGAATCCCAATCTTCATCATTGTAGGCTGCACGTTCTTGTCTATACGCAAAGCGTACCCAGCTTCTTCCATGCGCTCAAACATCTCACTAGATGTTGCGGACTTCATGAAGATCTCGGCTTTTTTGGCTAGCTGCGCCTCAGGGTTGGGTGTTGCCTCTGGTGGCTGGAGGTATCCGCGCTCTAGGAACCAAGAGTCGCGCGGCATGATCCAGAAAATGTTCTTTGGGTCAATGCCCTGATTTAGCATCCACAGACAGGAGTCAAATGCGGTCTTTCCAGCTCCGACCAATGTATAGGCGGAATAAGGTCGTTTCGTTGTTGTCAAGCCGTTGGGCGTAGTAACAGTGACTTTGTCCGAGACCTCGTATTGAGGTGGGCGCATGGAAGGGACTGTCACCTTCGAATACGAAGTGTCCACAATACGTGTATTTGGCCCGACTTGGTAACGCTTACCCGTGGCAATCGAGTGAAACTGTCCGTCGTTGGTATATTTGTGCAGTGGGTAGTACGAAACCCGACCAGAGGGAAGAAGAGTACTGTGCATGACTCTGCCGTAATATCCAACAATTTCATCACCTGTTGCCAGCTCAAAGTAGCCCTTGTTTAGACCAGCTTGGTCGATCTTCCCATCCCCGAGCTTTCGAGAGTTGACGCCGTAGGCTTCGGACGGCTGATGGAGGGTGACGAATGGATACGCAATTGTCCAATGGCCTCCCGGACGGGCATAACTGTCGACAATGGCTATTGTAGCCTTCGTTTCAGCGACCAGGGAGTCAGCGAAACCCATGCCCACGCAGCCTGCACCGACGATGAGGTAGTCGGGGGATATAGTCTCTGTCATACTAATTTCTGGCATCTTTCCCGAGAAACGGAGGTTGAAAGGATATCAGGTGGTTTTTGAAGAATCTCCGGGGGATTGTTTGTATTTTTGAAGCGACAAGATGGCGGGTTTGTGGAGCAAGAATAGGGAGATCGCAGCGGGTTTATGTACCCAGGTGATAACCTTGTCCTGCCATGATTCTTGTACTTGATTCAAGATCGATGCATACAATCTTCGAGCCAGCATTGAACATCGCTCAACAGACTGCTTCTTCGGCATTATTTTTGCGCTGTCGGTGTTGGCAGTAGTCCGTGGTACCCTGGCTTTTCATGTAAGCCTCTTGTACACTGCCGCCGGGCCTGTTGTTGTGACAAGATTGCTCCGGTTGGTCGGAAGCCCAGATTACGGACGTAAAAACGGGGACAGGACTTTGATATTGTATCTTGGATTGAAAGTGTAAGCCTGCCAAGCGGTTCTTACGGACGTAACGAAGGAAAACACATCTACGATAATCAGGTATGCTACTGTAGCGTGGGAGTAAGCGCGCTAGCATCGTAACGTTGCGGACCGAGCCTCGTTATTCACCGATTCTCCGAGAGATCATCGTGATTTGCTGCGCCGACATGTCCAATCGAAATTTTGATCAATCTCTCCACGCTCACAAACACCGGTCGATCTCGCAATGGAGCTGTACGAAGCGGTTGTAGACACGAGTTTGGGGGCAAGTCCTCGCCTTGCCGGCGTGTAGCAGACAACGTTCGCACATGCCACCCTCCGATTAGATCAATTCCCAACACATGAAGCAACATCAGAGGTTTGCCCATGGCAAACTGCAATGCAAGCCTCCATCCTAACCGTACTTACAATCCTCGGGTATACATATTTGTCTACACTGCATGGAAAGAAACCACTTCGCTACTCAATTCCCCTTTCCTACCCACCAAAAACAACATAGCAACAGATCGCGGTAGTAGGCACACTTTTATGATATACCGGTAGTCGGCATTGCCGATTCTTTACAACCATGACTAATAAGACTTCTACCATCCTCCTTTCCGCCTCACCCACCTACCTAGCACTAGGATTGCGATGACGTGGTCCGAAGGTAGAAAACCTGGAGTGTTGTCGCAATTGGAAACACCAACGTGTTTCGTCGGCGTTTTGACGATGTCCGCGCCTAGGAGCACCAGTCGATCCTCTTAGGATAGAGAAAGTGTCTCGGGGTCTGCTAGAAGCACAAACACTATGAGGCAACGGTTTGTGGTTTGTGATCTAGTAAACAGGTGTGTGAAGTTCTTGGGGTACGAAGTAGATGACTAAGATCTAAAAATGGCCTCGGCTGCAGATCCAAACTTTTGGTGACATCAACGTGCGCCGCGTCTTCCAAGCACGAACATCAACCCAAACGTTGAATGCCGTGATGAAACCACAAAACGCAGCCAGAGCATTACGCTCAATACGAAGAATCCTCTTGCGACCCTCGAAAGGCCATGTAACTGCCACACAATCGCTACTCCGGATACCACCACCCTCACGAGGCTTGTCCACCACCGCGTCAAGGCACCACAACCCCACCCCGAATTCTACTTCGACGGTCGATCCAACAGAAGTATCGCACTTCAACGCCCTCGCATCATCATGGTGGGACCCCCACGGCCCTTCCCGCCTACTCCACCTCATGAACCCGCTACGCCACACCTTCATCTCCCAATGCCGCTCCTCCACCTCCGCTCCCAACCCACAGGAAAAGCTACGATACCTAGACATTGGCTGTGGCGGCGGCATCTTCGCTGAATCTGCCGCGCGCCTTCCCACGACTACATCTGTCACAGCCATCGACCCCACGCCGCAGGTCCTGTCCATCGCCGAAGCACACAAAAGGCGAGATCCCACCTTGACCTCGCCGGGGAAACTCACGTACCTGAATACATCGATCGAACAGCTGCCTCGGCCTGGCTCGCCCTCCGAAGCTTTCGACGTCGTAACGCTGTTCGAAGTCATCGAGCACGTCAATGCGCCCGGCCCGTTCCTCGAACACGTTTTACCACATGTGAAACCTGGTGGTTGGCTGATTATGAGCACGATTGCGAGGACGTGGACGAGCTGGGTTGTTACGAATGTCGTGGCCGAGGATGTGTTGGGGATTGTGCCCAAGGGGACACATGAGTGGAGCAAGTATGTCAACGAAGAAGAGTTGAGAGCTTGGTTTGGGAAACAGCCTGGCTGGGGGAGTGTTAAGGTCATGGGTACAGTTTACGTGCCCGGGTTGGGGTGGAAGGAGGTGGCAGGGAGTGAGGGGTGGGGCAACTACTTTTTTGGCGTCAGGAGAGAGAGCTGAATGGTACGGGGAAAGGGAATGAGGGGTCGGCATGTGTTATGAATAAATGGGACCATATGATACCCTAATGTACAGTATATACAACATCATAAGCCGCTTGGCGGTATGTCTGCGCCGTCTTCTGCCGAATCCTCTTGTTCCGGCATAGTAGCATCATACATGCCCAACGCCTTTCTTGTGTCCATGGCAATACAGCACCAGGTTGTCACACTGAACCATGTCCTGGTCTGGACGCTCTTGACATCACCCTATCATCGGCTTGGTATCGCATCTATCGCAAGTTTCCTCTTCCTGTCCTCCACCTTGTTCATGACTTGGTTGCAGGCCTCTCCTCAAACGGCGTTGGAATATTCCTGCCCGAATCGACCGCGCCACTTCCCGTCTCCACGATATCATGTCCACCCGCCATCTTCCACGCCCTCAGGTAGTCCTCGCCTGTAAACCGCTTCTCGTAATTCTCAACCTTGCCGGCGTCGATTTCGCGTACTTTTTCTAGACTGGCGTCGACGAAGGGTGTCAACTGTGGGGGGCATTAGTCTTGATTGAGCTTCTATCATCAATCTAGCCCGTCGCAGTCTTCTTGGACTATGAAGCATGGTACGCACCTCGCTATTCTTGGTACCGTGAATCGGGTATACGAATGTCCGTATCTTGCTCCAGTCTGGTGTGAAGTTTCCGAATCTGTTGATTGTGCCCATTGAGCCTACGCGGTTTCCCTTGTAGTATTCCTTGCCCGCCTGCTTGGGGGAGAGCGGCAGGCGCCGCAGATTGCCCTGGAGAGCGAGCGTGGGTCTCATGGCGGCGATCCGGTTGTGTGCTTTGGCTGTAGCGGGCGATGCGACGACGTCGTATAGCGATAATCAATCTTCGAGGAGTTTGCGGAGTTTGGAGCGGAGGTGGAGTGGTCCGTGCGGCAAAAAAGTGCGAACTTTCAAAGTCGAGATTGTCGCACCGCCACAATTATCTTCCAACCAACATCGCCCAAGATGCCGCCTCGAGTAGCACGCAGCTCGATACAGACCGGCGGCGCTTCGTCGTCCAAGGGGCAATCGAAACACCGAAACCCGAAGAAGGCGCAGAAGCGCGCCCTCGACGCCTTTTCCATTGCGCAGCACGAGAACCCAGACGATGCGAAAGTGCGCAAGAACCGGTTAGGCGAATTCGACCCGGCATTCAATCGCAAGCGCGCGCGCGATGACGACGACGAAGAAGACGAAGAAGACGAGGACGAGGACGATGGGCCTAAGAGACGCAAGAGAAGGTCCGGTGACGAGAGCTTCGATGAAGGAAGCGACTCAGAGGGCAACACTTGGCAGATGGGTCACGTAGACAACGATGATGATGACGAGAGCATCGACTCGGACGAAGCGTTTGGGGAGAGCGACGAAGAACGCTTTGAAGGCTACACGTTCAGAGGCAGCTCGAAGAACCAAAAGGGAAAAGCGAAAAAGTCGAAACGAGAACGACACATAGAGGACGAGGATGGCGATATCGACCTTGATGAGGGAGACAGCGCAGATGGAGAGGAGGAAGAGGATGACGATCTCGGCGAAGACGCCATCGATCTGGCTACCGCCTTGGATCAATACGAGGAGGACGAGGCTGAGGAGCGGAAAGAGAAAAAGAAGAAGAAACAGGCTTCCGCATTCGACGACAGCGACGAGGAACCGAGCGAGGGTGAAGATGTGGGGGCAGACGGCGCATCCGACCTTTCATCCGACGAGGAGGACGACGAGGAAGATCGCCAGACACAATTGCAGAACCTGATCTCTTCTTTGGCCTCACGGGAAGACGACAAATCCAAGGGCAGGAGAGTGGACGTCCACGAGTCCGCTGCACCAGATGAGTTTGGTGTTTCCAGGAAAGTCGATCTTCTCAGCTTCAAGCCCAAAGTTGCCGACGCAGAAAAGAAGAAGGCGCTCAAGCTGCTCCAAGACGACAAGTCGTCGAAACGTAACGACATCGCCAGGAAGCTAGACGCTCCCCTGCCGAAGCGACAACAAGACAAGCTCGACCGCGCTGCAGCAAACGCCAAGGCGAACGAGACTCTTGAGAGGTGGACGGACACCATCAAGCGTAATCGCCGCGCTGAACACCTGATGTTCCCTCTGCAGAATGCGAGTGGAGGCGAGCCGATGGGTGAGAAAACACTCCTACCTACGACGACTGCCGCGCCTACCAATGACCTCGAGAGCACCATCCAATCTATCCTCCAACAGAGTGGTCTCTCGAACGGCAAGGAAGACGAGGAGAAGATTGCGAAGTGGGAAGAGCTTCAAACAAACAAACTCCCAGTCGAGGAGGTGCTCAAGCGACGTGCCGAATTGCGCATGCAACGAGAGTTGCTGTTCCGCGAAGAGGTTCGCGCTAAGCGTATCAAGAAAATCAAGAGCAAGGCATATCGACGAGTGCACCGTAAGGAGCGTGAGAAGTTGTTGGAGAAGGAACGTGAGCAGCTCAAGGCTGATGGCGTCGATCTATCCGAAGAGGAACGCGAATACAATGATCGCCGAAGAGCAGAGGAACGCATGGGTGCTAAGCACCGAGAGAGCAAGTGGGCCAAGGGCATCAAGGCTACTGGGCGAGCGAACTGGGACCAGGATGCTCTTGACGGTGTAACTGAGATGGCAAAACGGAACGAGGAGCTTCGTCGTCGTGTCGAGGGCAAGACTATCCGCGATGACGACGAGGAGGCTTCTGATGTGCCAAGTGAGGAAGAGGAGAGCGATGATGACGACGAACAATCGGACAACGACGCTTTGCAACAGTCACTTGGCAAGCTCAAGCAGAACCCCTTCTCGACCAAGGAGTCAAAGCTTGGCCAGATGGCCTTCATGCAAAAGTCAGAAGCCGCGCGGCGCGCACAAAATGACGAAGCTGTCGAACAACTCAGACGCGAACTGGCTGGAGAGGACAGCGATAATGCTGAACTTGATGAGAACGCTACTAAAGCAGGTCGGAGAAAATACGGTCCTAATGCCAACGTTGCTGCTCCGGCTATACAGATGCGCAATGAGTTCGAGGAGCATGAGGGATCTGACGTAGAGAACGATGCCAACTCTGCCGAAGAAGGCGAGCCTGGTGCAGATGCATCGTCGGTTCGAGCGTCTGCTCAGAAGAAGAATGGCATGAACGGTCTCTCCAACGGCGCTCGGAAAGAGCGCAAGGCTGCTGTCCCGCCACCTGAAGAGAATGGGGCGTCCAACCCTTTCTTGACCAAGGCAAAGAAGGAGAAAAAGGCCGCAAAGGAGCCTGAACTCTTCCCTGTCAAAGGCGCTGCAAACTCTTCTACCCAAGAGAAGGCCGTCATTCAACCTAAGCCCACATCCAAGCCCAAGGCCCAGAAGAAAACGAAGCAAGACACGAAACCGCAAGAGACACAAGTCGACGACTTCCTGAAGCAGCGCGTCACTGTAGCCGACGACGATGGCTGGGCGACTGTACTAGGTGGCCAGGACGACGACGAAGAAGGTATCGAAGACGAGGGTATCGACCTCGACGTCATCACGCACAACCAGTCTCTCACAGCCAAAGCCTTCGCTGGCGACGACGTAGAAGCTGATTTCGCCGCTGAGAAGAAGGCTACGATTGCGGATGAAGAGGCTACGGAAGAGGTGTCAGTCCTTCCTGGTTGGGGCTCCTGGACCGGCGACGGCATGTCCAAGGCCGAGAAGAAACGCAACGTTGGACTTAAAACCGTTGTTCAGAAACCTGGTATCGACGCCAACAAACGGAAAGACAAGAAGATGGACAAGGTCATCATCAACGAGAAGAGAATGAAGCCCACTGTCAAATACATGGCTAGTCAACTGCCATTCCCATTCGAGAACAGGGAACAGTACGAGAGGAGTTTGAGGGTGCCGAAGGGAAAGGAATGGGTTACCAAGAAGACGCATCAGGATGTTACGAAGCCGAGGGTTATTGTTAAGCAGGGGGTTATTGCCCCGTTGAGAAAACCGCTGGCATAAGGAGAGAATTGAAGGTTTTGACTCGAGTATTTGTGCCACATATTGGACGTGTGCGAAAATCTGTTTTAGGTATGTTTACCACATGGCGTGCGTTGACCATTGTTGGGGAAGTCGCTATGGCGGTCGAGGTGCACATAGATTATGGCCCCCAGCTCTCTCACAGGTTTCCCCCAAAATTACATGCTACGGCTGCTACCACGCATATCTCTACTTCTTCGTCGTGTTCTTTCTTCAACTTCATTCGTGACACTTTGTAACATTGTGCGGGACACAGCGTGGTACTGACGTTTGACCGCGCAATTGCGCAAACATCGCGGTATCGATCAAACTGTGCAGTCGTCACTTCCTCACGATGAACATCACGGTAGCGGCATCGGGATCCCCATCGCCGCAAACGATATGCCACTGCTCATATTAAAGTCACAACCCTCTTGAGCGCCCTCGATCGTATCTATAAATGAGTTATAACCACTCCTACAAGCATACACTCACTCTTAGTCAACTCCGCCACCTATACTGACAGCTGCTCCAAACCCTCTCGCACACCTCTGCGATAACACTCATGGGTCCAGCGCAGTCCCGGCTACCCATCGCTCACGCACTTTCGAAACCTACGAAGAAAGACGGCTGGCTCGGATCATTGCGCGAAACCCGTCAGGGTATCAAGAGCACACTCGGCTACAACGCCTCCACCGTTCCCGACGAGATACCTCCCGACAACATCTTCACACCTATACAACAAGATGATATCCTTCCGCAGATTCCAATTGGACGTCATCACCCAGTGCCTAGGACGGGAGTGGAAGATGACGACAGAACCACCATGCATACCAATAGTTTCTACGTCAATGCATTCCTAGGACAACAGAATCAACCTATCTGGACGCACCCTTACTCGATCTGGTGGGGTAAAGGCACACTAGACGTGGGCATGGTGCAGACATGGGGTATGTGCATAAGCCATACCGAAGAGAAGGACCTGGTGTTTGAACCTGGAGATCCAGCTAAAGGTTACATTAATCCGCTCCACAAGCAGCATCTCGTCCTCAGTGCCGTCGAGCTCGATGCGAGAACGACTCTCACTACAGACACTCATCTCCCGTTCTCCGTCAATATTAACCTCAAACCACATGTGGAGGCCCAGGAACCAAAGATTACATTTCCTGTTGTGCAAGGCATGAGCTTCATCACGGCTGGCTACCGAGGTGCGACGCCCAGGATACAGACAGGCGGTCGTGGCTTTGTGGACTTGGCCGGGCCAATCGTCATATCACCACGAACGGTCAAGTATCGCCTCAAAGACAAAGCCGGGCATTGCTGGATCGTGTACGTCAATCCAGTAGCGAGTCTCGATTACGATGCCACGCGCTTCGTCCGACTAAACTCCAACACACTCCTCGGCCCTCCCGCCTTCAAAGGCACGATCCAGGTAGCCAAGAATCCGCTTGGCTTAGAGGGCGAAGCAATCTACGACAGAGCCTCCGGCGCCTTTGTATGCGAAGCCAAACTCACAGCTGTAGTCCTAGACGGCAAAGGCATCTACACTTTCCGCTACACCAAAATCGGTACTTCGCCGCTACTCATGTTCGCACTGCCCCATCACGTCCAATCCCTCGACCCAGAGATGAGGAATCAGGTCACGAACCTTTGTCTACGCACTACCACCAAAGGCATGGCAACAGCCATCTGGGGTGACAAACTCACCTTCATCGAACCAAACCTCCCCTTGACCATGCACTTCTCCCCTTGGAACCCAACCATGAATGCAAACGCTAAGATCCGGTATCCCCCCGAAGTCCTCGCCTTCATCGCCGCAGTCGCAGAGCGCGACCTCCGCCGCGCAATGACCGAACGCATACCCCAAGACTCTCTGTACTTTGCCGGCAAGTCCCTAGCAAAATTCGCAACAATCGTATGGATCATCAAAGACGTCCTGAGCCACGACGCCATTGCCACCGCGGGGCTCGAAAAGCTGAAAGTCGAATTGGCTAGGTATGTAGACAATGCGCAACGCCATCCACTCTACTACGACGACAGCTGGAAAGGCGTCGTGTCCTCGGCCGGCTTCTCGGACCCAGGCGCCGATTTTGGAAATACGTATTACAACGATCATCACCTTCAATACGCGTACTTTGTCTACATGGCCTCGGTCATTGGTGCTTTGGATCCTGCGTGGCTGACGCAGGGCGATAACAAGAGCTGGACGAATATGCTTGTCAAGGACTTTGCGGAGAGCGACTATAACGGTAGAGACTACCCTTTTTCGCGCAGCTTTGATTGGTGGCATGGACATAGTTGGGCGAAAGGGCTCTTCGAAGCAGCCGACGGCAAGGATGTGGAGAGTACGGGGGAAGATGCGTTTGCGAGTTATGCGGTGAAGATGTGGAGGAAGGTAGTGGGCGATGCGGATATGGAGAAGAGAGGTATGTGTGTGTTGAACGAACAGCGAGCAGTTGAGACGAATGTCGGGAAAGCACAAACTGGGAGTAGAGAGTTCGGGAGATGTGGATGATGGCTGACAAACCTATTCCAACAGGAAATCTTCAACTCGCGATCCAAGCCCGTTCCTTCAATCATTACATGTATATTCGCTCCACCAACACAAACCACCCGTTGCGATACACGCAGAACAAAGTCGCGGGGGTACTATTTGAGAATAAAGTCGATCACGCGAGTACGTATAGCCGTCAAGTCCTTGGTCTTTGACGCAGTAAACCTGCCACGGGGATCCGCAAGGTGTCTCTCTTTCACAACGCCAAGCCATGGCAAGGGGTCAGAGAGAAATCAGAGCTGTGAACTCGAGGCCAAAGCCAAGAAAAAAAAAGAACTACCCATAGCGATACACAAAGACTGGAGGAAAGAGGTAAAGCAGGTTTTGAAAGCGAAACATCATAACTGACATGGTGAGAAAAATAGCCTACTTTTCCCTTGCCCCAGCTTTAATTCACGGAATCCACATCGTCCCCATCAACCCATCCACATCGCTCATCCGACCCCGCAACTTCGTAAAAGAAGAATGGGAGACTTTCTTCACAGAGGTAAGAAACCCAACCAAAAAAGCTCCTCCCTCTTCTTCGCCCCGCCCCCACCGCTAACCTCACCAACCTCAACATTCTAGGGCCGAGCAAATGTCGAAGGCGGCTGGCGCGGTATCCTCTACGCCAACCTCGCACTCATCGATGCAAAGGCGAGTTACACCTTCTTCAGAGATGGCATCGATGGGTTTTGGGATGAGCGGTGGATTGATGGCGGGGCAAGTCGGACCTTGTATCTTGTTTGGGCGGCGGCATTGGGCGAGTTTGCCAAAGCGGGGAGATGAAGAAACGGGTGATGAGGAAGATGGACGGTATAGCATGGGTTAATGGGTTCGTAAGATGGAACTGATATGGGGGGGAGAGAGTCAAGTGAAGTGAGAAATCGTACCTCTCTCTCTTTGCGTACTACTTACCTTATTTTGGGAATCGGCATTGACACATATGGCACCCAGCCTTTTCGCCCATATAGAAACGAACATGTCGACTTTTTACCATTTGATTCAGTTCCTACATATACAAATCTTTCCCTTTGAATTGCTCCTCCCTTACTACATGAGGTCCGCCAACTGATCAAGGGATCCGAGCTCAGTCAGTGAACCTCATGTGCTTTAATGAAGTCTTAGATACATTTTTATTCAGCGTCTAAAAGCATGTTTGTAAAAGTAGAAGCCTTTAGACGCTAGAATAAAAACGTATCCAGGACTTCATAAAAGCATATGAGGTCCGCCGACTAAGCTCGGACCCCTTAGATCGTCAAGCCACACTCCACTTTTCGGCTGCCGCTCGTTCCGAATGCACTGCCACAAGTAGATATAACGCCAAGGCAAACTGCACCGCCCCACAGATAGAATACTCGTACAATGGGTAACCTCAACAGACAACACACAAAGGAAATACAACAATTAAGAAAACAGATATCCTTCCCTTCTGTACCAAAAGTATATTAAGGTAAAGAATAGTTTATACATAGGAAAATAGAACTCTCCCGTAGCGCCCGCTCAACGAGCGCGAATGGTTTGCACATGTGACGATTGCGCGCTTAGTTGACAGCGAAGAAACGCTTGACAACGTCGACGGTGATGTCACCAGCCGCATTGTCGGGGTAGATGTAAAACGCAAGCGCAATGATAGCGTAGATACCAATGCACATGGCGCCCTCGAGGTAGTTGCTCTTTCCATCCTGGATCAAGTAGTTGACAATCAACACGGAGATGAAGAAGATCATAGTCTCGAAGCCCTGGAAGTGGAGAGTCATGGGTTGTCCCATGATCCAGCCGAGGATGACGAGGAAGGGAGTGACGAAGAGCGCGATCTGCAGGGAAGATCCAATGGCGACGTTGATAGCGAGGTCCATCTTGCCCTTGTATGCGACGATGACGGCGGTGACATGCTCGGCAGCATTTCCGACAATAGGGATCAGGACCAGACCGACAAATGTTTTGCTGATGTGTGCGGATTCGACAATGGAATCGATGCTGTCGACAAGGAATTCGGCGCAGATGGCGACGAGGACGGTGACAACGACCAATGCAACACCGGCAGCGACGGGCGACAGGATCTGGGCTTCCTCCTCGTTGTCGCCACCTTCTTGGTTCTCAACGTCGGCGAAGAGGCTGTGGTGCGAGTAGAGCTGGAAGTAGAGGTATAGGATGTAGAGAATGAGCAGGATGATGGCAGTGCCGTGGGATAGAACGAGAATGTTCTTGTCAGTCTCGAGGTTGTCCTTCTTGTTGTCGCCGTGCATAACTGCGTAGAGGGTAGCAGGGACGATGAGCGAGGCGGATGCGACGGCCATGAGCGAAGACATGGTAGATGCGACGGTCTCGTTGAAACGGCTTTCGTGCTGGGTGAGGCCAGCAGCGAGGAAGCAGCATCCGAGCACCTGTTATAGTCAGCGCGCTGGAGTGTGGGTAGTCGCGTCATCTGAACTTACGAGAAGGATGTTGGACAAGATACTGCCTAGCATACTGGCTTGGACGATTCTGATTTCGCCCTGCTTGAGCGCAACGATGGAGACCTGTTTCGAGGTTAGCAAGTCACAGCGCATGTATACAGGTGTAAGCTTACAATAAGTTCGACGGCATTTCCAAAGGTCGCGTTCATCAACCCTCCCAGAGTTTGGCCAAGCTTAGCGGAGAGCTCCTCGGTCGCAAAACTCAAGAGTGCTGCAAGAGGGATGATGGCGATGAAGTTGAGGACGAAGACGACGGTTGGGTTCCAGTGCAATGCGCCGGCGATGATGCCGAGCGGTACAAAGATAAGGAAGACGTTGACATAGTTGCTTGCGAGTGTCGCATAGATGAGATGCAAGACGTGCTTGGGGATAGTCTTGACGCGCGACTCGTCCTCGTAGTTCTGAGTGCGGCCGATGAGCGGGGTGTGCTCATCATGGAGCCTGCCGTTGGCGGGCTGCGGCATCTCTCTCTGCTGGTTGTAGTGATAACTGCCTGCTCGACCGTGACGGTGAAAAGACTGCTTGATGTTTTCTGCCAAGCGCACAGGTTAGCTATATATCCGTAGTCGAGATGCGTGATGCGGGTTGATGATGATGTTGTGCTGCGCCCCCGGACCGTCGGCGGGCAATGGAATGTTTGGTCAGGAAAGCCGAACAACGATGGTGTTGAAAGACGATGCGCAATACCAAGACTGCGAAGCGACTACGACAAGGCCGGCTAACTGCCGCGTGCGGGAAAATGAATCAAAGGGCTACTCACTCATTGCTGTTTTGGAGAAGAGTCAGATGCGCACGGCGCGGGAGAACTAGCAGTATATTATGACCTGGGCAAGCCAAGCTCTCTGGTCTGTTAGGTAGCTGCTGAGGCAAGCTCTGCAATTGGCGGGATGCAGGCTAGAGGAATTGGCAAATGATGGGAGGGTAGAGTATCGCAGCGAGAGCCCGGCGAAAGAGGTTTAGTTATCGAGAGGGGGAGGAGGGCAGTGCTGGCTTGCTTCTCTCGCGCGTCTGGTCGAGATGACGAGGTGGTTGGTAAGGTAGGCTGTGTAGACGCCAAGCGGGACACCGCGCATGGATTAGCTCGGGAACTGCCAGGGAAGCCCAGGGGAAGTGGAGCATATCGTCACATATTTCCCTCACGTATCGCCACGCTGTCTCACAACTGCAAGATACTCGGCTTGCGACAGCAAATTCATCTTTCCGCCGGCTCTGTATGCAGCGCGTACCGTGGCTGCTGTGTTCACAACTTGCAAGGCTGATGATGTCATCTTCCAATTGCGCCTGCCCGCCAAGTCAAATCTGAGTCTGGAGTGGCCCATGCGCGTCAAAACAACCACTTGCAGATCATCCACCGACCCGCTGCTTAATCAAACAAGGTCGTCTTGAGCGCTTCACATGTCCTAGCCTGAGGCCAACATGGACTTGCCAAGTGCGCTACGAATTTGTTCCAAGGTTGATAACAACACCACTGCGCCGCCCTCAGTGTTTTTCGCCCAGTCTTTGTTGCCCAGTCTTTGTCGCTCATCCCGAACAGCCTCACCGCATGCGCCCGGCTGCCATGTAATAAGCCCGAGTCTCACACCGTGTGCTGTTGACCGAGTACAGCGTGGCAGGGGACACTTGGCGTGTCATCTCCTGTCAACGAGGATACACCACGGAAGTACGTGGCCCCGACTCCGCCTTCGTGGCTGACTGAGCTCTCTGATCAGTCTCAGTGGCGGAGCTGTGAGCGGACTTCTTGGATGAGCAGAGAGATTCCATTTGAAAGAAATGCTGAGATTGTTCTTCATAAGCCTAGCTTAGGATGCGGCTTTAATAGAGTCTAAGCCTATCTCTTGTGCCGCCACACGCTTACACAGCATCTGACGATACCTTCTACTATAGTATGTGACCTCTTCGGCGTCCAGTGTGCAATCCGCACCAGAGCATCTTCGCTCTCGTCTCTACCCGTGGTGGCTACCACACCATTGTAGTCATATGTCAGTTCCTCTCCTGGTCGCTTGAGCAGCTCCACATGAACGGTAGGCGGGAGCGACCATGGCGGGCCACCCGCAGATGCAGGTTTGTGCGTGGGAAATTCCATGCAGACGAGGATACCGGTAGGGGAAAGTAAAGACTTTGTTCGTGCTGCCCAGCGTGGACGGAGTGATGGCGGAAGGGCACACAAGAACTAGATAAGATATCAGCATACGCTCTCGACTGAGCATTTCGACGTGTAGAGGGCGTACCGTATGGTCATAGATGAGGTCGAATGCTTCTACACTGCCAGCTTCGCGCACCCACGCATCGTCGAAAAAATCTCCCAGTAAACACTGCACGCTACCCTGCCCAATCTTCTCGTCCTTGACACTATACTCCCCTTCTGACACTCTTTCCCTCGAATGCTTTAAATACGCATTCGCCTCATCAACCGCATGCTTTGAGATTTCCAAACCATACGCGTCATACCCCCAACTCGCCAGCAGCGCTACATCGTACCCCGTCCCACACCCAGGTACCAGCGCCTTCCGCCTAGTACCATCCTCTTTGACCGGTACCGGCAATCGCACCTCCTCCGTGTGTTCATAGACACCCGGTTCCGGCGCACCAGGCGTAGGATTGGCGTCGGATGAAAGTGGAGGGTTAGATGGTGCGCGCAGGAAATCCATGAATGCGGGATTGGAGCCTCCACGATCCCAGGTTGTATTTTTGCCTGCCCAGAAAGAGTCCCAGTCGGGCGCTTGAGAAGCTGGCGGCAGAGGGGAAGATTGGCTTAAAGTCGCCATTGGACGTTTCGGATTTCGTGATATGGCTTCGAAGCTTGAGGGTCGGGTGTGTGAGAACAAGGGAATAGAGATTTGAGGCGTTGAAATGTTGGGAGAAGAGAACACGTGGGTGGTTATGTGCTGCAAGCGATTATTTGAGCTTCGCTGTGTGGTTACCCGGCCAAGTAGCATTTCCCGCTAAACAACACTTTTAGCTGGCGAAGAGTGCTGGAGAATCTAGAAGATGGCCAGATGAGTGAGTACGCATGTGATCTGTCATTTGGGATCCTCGCTGATTACTAAACTACTAACAATAGGGCACGTTATGAAAGAATGGCTCGCTGAGCGAACTAGCTTACTTGATTGAGTGTAGCTTAACGCCGTAAACGCGAACTAGATCCTTACGCGCGTAAGGCATTCCAGGCGACAATTAACAGACCTCTAAAACCCAATGTGGCTTTTACTTATCTCTCCAATCGCACTTTAGAAGCACGGAACAGATATCATCTACGGTAGAACGCCCTCTCGAAACGAGCCGAGCCTTGGTTCACCGCCCAGTGGCACCCAGTGGCGAGTAAATTAAGTAGTCTATACTACACGAACCTAGGAAGCCATGTGCACAACTTGTTGTATGTTTCGCCTGATTTCACGACCAAAGCCTTCTCAGTAGTGCGATGGTTTTGTACCTGAAAACATGTTTGATGCCAACAGTTTCAGGTCGAGCCGTCACCACTTTCGTTTCTAGAAACCGTTCATCGATAGAGCGTCTGCCTCAAGACGCTCGAGGGCCATCGCGATTCGGTCAACTTAGTTTGCTTTCAGGTGTTTATATAGTCTACAGATCCTTCATTCCGAATACTCAAGGCTCACAGCCTATTCTTGTACAACCTCAGGAGCATCCACAACTCAGTCACATCGTGGTACCTCCATGTGGTCGGCATCGCTTCACGTTACGCATATATCAGTTTTAGCCCTAAATTGATAACATGGCCGGATCGATGGTTCCATACATAGGACCGTCGTCACAATAATTCGACTCCGCTTAGTCATATCCTACAAAGGCGTCATTGGTAAATTCCTTCATGAGTTCGGCCATGGGGTCCACGGGAGCAAGAGTTGGATCGAAGCTCGAATCCGTCGTTGTAGAGCAAGGTGCTTCGGAGAAGAGGGAAGTCGTCAGCGACTGGGTACTTTCGAGGTCCGAAGAGTCGAAGAATTGCTCACAGCCGTCCGTAGACAAGAAGCGTAACGTGTTAGACGGGACGTAAGCCCTACCGTACGAAGCGGTTGCAGGGCCTGGTGGATTCTTGGTTCCGGCGAGCGACATGTCGCTTTGGAGAACGGCGGGGAGATTACCGATACCTGACATTCCGGCATTTCCGTTCTGTCCCATGGGTCGGTTCATCGCACTGAAGTCGGTGGTCTGCCGACGAACGTCTCCAGCCTTCAGTTGAGTCTTGCGAGCCTGAAGTTTTTCGAACAGTTGCCAACCCAGGTACACCTCCACATCAGCGACCGGACTGTCGCCCTCCCAAATGAGCATGTCAACAGACATCGGGGGGATTGCAGGGTTCAAGGCTTTCAGGCTCAACTCGACAAACCTCTGGGGATTGACGATGATGCCAGCAGGGGTTGGATACCCTTGGCCCTGTCGCTGCGGTGGAGTCGTCTGCCGAATATCCAGGTTGGGATGAATTTCCGCCAGGCGAATCACACCTAATGCAGTCATGCATGAGTATTTGGCAGTGCCATCGAGGATAGCGCAAAATGGTTCAGTCGGTGAGTTAGCCCCAAGATCGACTGCGACCATACTTCGTCCGAAAGGTCGGCGCGGGGACGTGTCGGAAGCCATGGGTATTGCTCTGCCCGAGCTAGTATCCATGTTCTGCGTTGGGACAGAGGGACTGAAAGCGTCCCAAGCAGGTGAAATCTGATTCGGAAGTGAAGCGGTGCTGTTGTCATTCCTGATCCCTTCCGATCCCTCTGGCGTTGGTCCATATCCCGAGGGCTTCATGACAACCACATTCTGTAGGGCATCATGGGCGGAACCCGCATGATGACCAGGACCCATGTCGCGAGGAAGAATAACAATGAAGCCCGGCATGACTGCTCGCGCAGTCATCATTTGAACGTCTTCAAGAGCCATGTTGGAAGGAACACGGGCAATGGAGCCCGGAGCAACCGATTGCGCGATTCTCTCCGTAATGATTTCCGGTGGCATTTTCTGGGTCTGAGGCATGGTCGCTTGTCCCTGAGGTCGGGGCAGTATTGGAGTAAACGGCCCCGTCTTGAGTGGAACCTGCCTGGGCTGCTTGGAAGTTTTCGGCATGACAGCTGCGTTACAGTGATGGAATGAGGTCTAAGACTGCAAATTCCCTCGCTCTGTACAGACAGTGAAACAGAGCCCGACAACAATGAGGCTAGAATCAGCTCGCAGCATCGTGGTGGGGTGGCTTAAACAATAGGCTGTGAATGCACGTTGCTCAAGCCCTCGTATCGCCATTGGCTGCGATTTGAGCTGAGCACACGCCACCACATAAGCATTGGCTGGGATTGAACCTGCCATCAAACCACTACGAAATCATTGGCTATGATTGAACCTCCTGATCGCGGCGGTTGTGTTGGATTATTTCATGATTGCCATGTTATCATCGCAGAGCCGCATTGCTCACCACGTCCTCGCTGGGTAGAACTTTTCTGGATCTTCGAAACCGTTCCCTCTTCTTGACATCTTCATAGTGATATCAAGCTCTACATCGCAACCCGGCTACAGCAATGCGTCTTTTGCGATACAGTGACACCGGTGATCTAAGTCTCATTCAGTTTGACGACGAGGCCATTCCCACTTATGCGATACTTTCGCCTACATGGGGAGCAGACACCGAGGAGGTCACCTTCAAAGACCTGACAAACGGCACTGGCAAGGATAAGCCTGGCTACAAGAAGATTCGATTTTGCGCAGAACAAGCTTCAAGAGATGGACTAGAATACTTCTGGATCGATACTTGCTGCATCGACAAAGAAAACCAAGCTGAGCACTCGCTGGCCATCGCCTCTATGGCTCTCTGGTATCGCAACGCGAAACACTGCTACGTCTATCCATCGGGTCTTTTGACTACTGAGAGGACTGTAAGCGACCAGTTCACTTGGGAGCCCGATTTTCAGGGAAGCCAATGGTTTATCGCAGGCTGGACAATCCGGAAGCTTTTTGCCGAACACATATCCGTGCATGGCCTCGTCATGCATGATACTTGTGACTACCGAGTCTCAAAGAGCTTCATGAATTTTACAAAATTAGGCAGCGACGGGGAAAGCGTCGCCGTTCGGGATCCATCACCCATCAAAATGAAGAGTTTGTCTGCCTCGAACGTGCAGGTTCCGTCAAAGATACACCCTACGTATGTGACGTTTCAGGGCGCATATCAAGCACCGGAGCTACTACGCCATCGAGTTCATATCGCACCGACGTGGGGAGGCATAGGAGACATACCGTTCGTGCCGGGAGCAGAAGAGCAATGCGTGGTTGACTCCAATGTTACCTGTTCGACCGCTCTATCTGACAAGACGAGCGTGTTCTCTAAGCCATCAGAGAACGACTCAGCGGCCAGTAGGGAGATCTCAAACCACTACAATTCTTTACCGAGCACGTCGCAATCCTGGAAAGAGGTTCCGCTACTCCAAATGGGCCAAATCTTGCCAGCAAATGCCCATGAATCTTGCGAACCCGAGCTGCGGAACAGCGGACTAGTGACTCCTGGCTATGAGAATTCACACCTGAGCGCAGACGGCCGAGAAGATAGTGGTTATGGTGACCAAGAACTCCCAACCCTCGGCAAAGATACAGCACACTCGGAAGAGGCCATTCTTGCAAACTATGCGACCTCTACTCTCCGCGACTTCGTGGACGATCCCGGTCACCAGTATTGGACATGGTGCAAGGAACACCAAAACTGGTGGCATAAGGATAAGAAAACCAACGCCATGATCTGGGCACCGCTTGACTTCGACTAAAGGGTGAGATACGGATAAGGGTTTTCAAGGGACAACACGGCCAAGATTTGGAATGCGAGCAGCGGCGACTGCCTCCAGACGCTTAAGGGCCACAGCTATTCGGTCAAATCCGTGGCACCCTCGCCCGACTCGATCAGGCTGCCTTCGGGGTTACAATATTTTCCATTATTTCATTGAAACATTGTCATTCGTTACTGAATTCCATATGTCGCTTTGGCGCCTTTCGAGCCAGGCAGATAGGAATTATTGTTGCAGAACGCGCCCTCCAGAATACTTCCTCGGAATGCTCATTTTGAGCATTCTTCACACACAGACTTTGTAATCTGTTTTGTACGCACTAGCGAGAGGAATGCTTCTCAAATAACTGCACTCTTGCGGTACTTAAAATACAATGATCTATCTCGTATTCATTCCTATGCTCCTTAACTTGCAGCTGCATTAAAATAGCGGATAGATAGTCACAACGCGCACGATTGAAGATACTATTACGACTGAAGCACTAAGTATACAGGAGCATAGAGAGACTAAGCATTAAAATTGACAGCTCTGATCCTGCACTAAGGTCCGTGCAAACACATCCTAATTCATAGCTAGGCATACTGTATCTATTTACCGGCGTAAGTAGCGTCGTGTTTTGTATCTGAACCATGATCTTTTCAGGTCCCACAATAACGACTTCCATGTATCGAAAAAGCTAAATAACATCAACCAATCGTACCATCGCCATATGACATCTACACCGTGATCCAATTCAAGTCTTTTTTTCAACCAGACTCTGCGAGATTGGAAGCCAGCGATGAATGCCCATAGCACTACAGCAGATGCACACATTGCAAATGCTGTGATTACAAAGGCTCTGATCGAATGACCGGTACCGTTTATCTGCTGCACGTTCTGAAAGTATGGCTGGTTAGAATACATGCTAGAAGGTGACAAAGTGGTCTTACCATTCCATACACCGAAGAAGCGAGCGAGATTGGTAGGAAAATGAATGCTAAGGCCGTCACTTTGATCCAGTCAGCAGAAGCAATAAGAAAGGTAGTCCTGGTAACACACATAGCAAGACTCTTTTACTCTCGCGGATGCTCATCTCTGCCATGCCAATACTCTTATCTATACCTTTATTCGCTAGTTGATCTCTGAGTTGTAATTCAACTTGTTCGAGATCTTGTACTCGAAGCTTGAAGCGTTCCCTAATCTCTTTAAATGCTGCTTGAAGATCTTTGTTCCTATAATCGAAGTGTCTCTTGAAGAAGCGAGTCATCCACCGCAATGTATGACGCTGATGGTCGAGCTCCATTCTTAAACGGCTCCACCCCATATCTGGATAGTCACTAACAGGAAGGGGTTCATTGGCCGTGCCTCGGAGACTGTTGTTGTGGTACCTACGCATCAATCCCTGGTGTCCATCGAAAGATCTTAATTGAAAGACACTCGTGGGCGCAGTAGAGAGATGAAGCTCTAGCAAGGCAGCTAGACAAACATAAAGGAAGTTACCGGGTCCATATTGGTTGTTCGACTCGGTCACTTCAGTGATATATCGCTCAACAAGCGATTTACGATAATAACGGGGATGATGATAAGAATCCCGATTGGGTCTCTCCCGCACTTGTGACGGCCTCTTAGACGAAAACATCGTGGCGCCGAGAGAGTTTCGCGGTGGCAATTTTAACAGGTCATCGTCTCTCATGAATATGATCGCTGTATATATGGTTAGCGATTCGAATTGCAGAGGTTGTATCTTCGCGTGTACCAGTCTTGGATTTTCTCTCTGATGTTTTCTCCAAGATACACAAAACATTACTGCCTATACGTAAAGCAGGGGCATCTCTCAACCACGGTAGAGGGAACTCGTCCTTTGGTATGTATTCTGAAGGCTCTACAGTACTCTTTACGTAATCGAAAATCTCCGGCTCTAGATCTAGGCCAAGACCGAGGACGTCTTCTGTCATGCGGGAAGGTACCCAAAGACTCGTCGCTGCTATGACTATCCTGTAAGGCACGTTCTCGTCTGTCGTTTTCAACAAGGTTCTAAAGTCTGGAGAGGACAGAACTATAGTGTCAGGCCCGATGTCTTCCACGTCTACAAGTGGTAGATTCGTCGAATTGTTGTAATCTCGAAGGATGCAGGTATACCGTTTGATATAGCGACCGTCCTCGGTGAAGCTTGCTAGCCACAGTTGTTCCACATCATGCCGGTAGCGGGTCTGGAAAGGTGACCGATCCAGATGCGCCAGATACTCTGCGTATGACTGGAATCTTGCGGCGGGCTCAGGCTGTGCAGAAGGATGTGAGCCGCTCGGAAGGCTTTCTCCAGAGCTGGTATTGTCTGGCATCGTACGGGTTATTCTCTTCTGGGACCGGGAAGGCTGACAACTCTCATCGCAGAGAAGCCATGTATGCAGCACTTTACGTTGACAAGAGCTATATAGGTAAGTCGCTATGCGGTGAGGTGTAGGTTGATTCCGGTTGCAACCAGGCTTCTGTGGCGTCGCTATCTGCACAGCCTGACGCATGTGTTGCCTGAGCTGACATGCATCCGCGCTTTTCATTCGTCCGCTTCAAATCGCCTTACCCGAGCTGAAAACATCGCCCGTAATTTCAAGCGTCGATTAATGGGCCATCTTATAGTGATACGCCTAGAGTATGGCCATTGAAAGCGAGGAATAGTCAACGTTATGTGTGCGTCTAACAGCCTTGAGCGTGTGGTGGGTGTTTAATGCTGTAGGATAGGTCGTCCTGTGTCGTGATGGCACTTCGCGCAGGCGTATCCCGCCGGAAGGATGCGACAACAAGCATTTTGGGCTATTATGGAGATCCAGCGATTCGTGGAAGCAGACTGCAGGACTCATGGCAGCCTTGCCCACGATATGCGTCAAGTGAGCTTCTGGAAGTGTGCAGCGCAAAATGGAAAAGTGACCTGATCGTTGCAGTCGTTGCGGCGCGGCGGTTCTTTCGCATCCGCAGGCGCCCTGTAAGCACAATGCCACAAGACACAAGGCTACGATTTCGCTGTTCGCGATGTTCGATATGGGTCTGCATGAGAAAACAGGTGGCTGGGAAGGTACGTGTTTGGATTACTGAACCTCCAATGACAGGTTATGCTGGCGCTCGCTCGTATGACGTCATCAACACACCACAAAACTCCAACGTGGCTTCGCCTCGCGTTGTTGCGACGAGCACTAACGCTGGATATGTGACTATGTGGCTGTACAGCGCTTATGCCAAGTGCTCCAGGACACCGGAAGACTGGGGACAGGGCGAGGCGAAAGGCCCTGGCGTATAGCTCGTGTCAACGAACACACTCCGCATCGAAACCGCAATCAGCTTCCGAGGCAGCCGTCGTACGACTTCGAGACATCGTGAGATGTATGGCTATACCTAGCGCGAGCGCTCCATGCCTTAGAGAGAAAGCGTCGCACCGCCCTACAGTTTCGCGAACCCGCCGTCGACCCCTTCGTCCGACCTACCACGTCCTTGTACTTCTCGAGCACATCGCAACCGATAGAGCCTAACCTGTCAGCGTACTTCTTGGTTCAACCATCATTCGAGCTAAAGGACGCCTGCAATATGGACACTTGTGGTATTGGCCGGAGCCTGGTACAGAGCGTGGGCTGTCGCAATGAAACCTTGTATTCTACTCTCCCTGAATCGGGTGTCATACGGCTGGTGAAGATTCTTTCTGGAGATTGGGACGAAGAAATAGTTTGCGACATCTTCGAAACTTCGTTGGGAACAATAACGCCTTACAAGGCCCTTTCATATGCGTGGCGTTTGGACCGGAACGAACCTGATGCAACGATATTATGCAATGATGTGGGTGTAGAGATCAGCGCCAATCTTTTCGATGCTCTAAGGCAGTTGCGGAACGTTCACGTTCCAGTCGTTGTCTGGGTTGACTTTCTGTGCATAAATCAGCAAGATGTCGAGGAACGATCATTGCAAGTTGCCATGATGAGGGAAATCTATGAGAAGAGTCGCGAAGTCATCATCTGGCTGGGGGAAGGCAGCAAGTATGACCGATTCGAAGAACGAGGGCGGAGTCAGCACCCAGCGCAGCTCACGAAAAGAGCTCGCGTTATAGAGTGGTACGATGATGAGAGGGATTCAGCAAAGGTAGATTCATATCCTCATGCGTGCAAAAACACCTCTTTGTTTTCGTCTACCAGTGCGAAGGAAGTATATGGTGCCTTCTGTACCATCTACCTTTTATCGAGGGGCGTGGCACCAGTAAACATACACTTCCTAAAGCGCCTGCCTCTAGCAACAGACGTTATGTCGGGAATCAAGGCGTTGATGAGTGAAACGTGGGTAAGGAGTATTTCTCTCAATTTCCACGTATCTTACTCTTAGTTGATAATGTATGAGTTTCGCTAACAAGTTCTCGCCACATCTAGTGGCACAGAACCTGGGTGGTACAGGAAACAGTGGTTGCGCAAAAGGCAACAATCCGCTACAGCAACATCTCAGCGCCTTGGACAATGTTCTCGTATGCTGCCACGAACTACAGTCGGAGTCGACTTAAAGATAATCTCGACTCTACAATGATTCACCATACCCAAGACCCGTTAGCGGACTTCTATCGCATCATTACCAGCATTGATTCTACGAGGCAAGAGTGGCTGCAGTACCAGCCAATTTCCCTTCTGAGCCTTTTGCGCAAGTTTCGCCCCAGAAAGGCATCAGACGAGAGAGATAAAGTATTCGCTCTACTAAACCTCGTTCGCCACTGGGGACCAAATGGACCATTACGGGCCGATTATAGCCTCCAGCCAGGAGAAGTCTGGTTCCAAGTTACCAAGAATACAATCAAAAGCTCGGGCTGTTTGGATGTTCTCGCGGGGACTCATCAAGCCACTGGGGACTTAAAGAGATACCCATCTTGGATTACGGATTGGAATACCTCACCACAACCTCATGAGTCCGAAAGACTGTCTCGACTTACATTGTATGATGCCTCGGGTCGTTCGCGAGGTCTTGTCCGGTTACACAACAGATCAATATTGGAGGTTCAGGGGTTTTGCATCGATCAAATAAAGTGGCATGACGAGAATCCGTTAGAAGGTCCGATCAACCGTATGCGAGACACAACATTCAATTGGAGACGACAAGTCGGAGTACATACGACTGGGGAATATATATCAGGCGGGAGTCGACTGGGTGCATTCTGGAGGACGCTTTGTGCCGATATACTCTACTCGACGCAAGATGAGGCAGGAAGAACCTTTCAAAGATCTACACCTGCAGGAAAATCAAGCTACGTGAGCTGGAGCGATCCGCTGCTTGATACCTGGCGCCGCACCACCATGAATGGGGGTCTGCGAGACACCTTCCAGATGGGCGAGCGGAATGAGGACAAAAACGCCTTTCACTATGCTGTCGAATGCGCCAGTGAGGGTAGGAAATTTTTCATTACTTCTAAGGGTTATATGGGGGTTGGACCCGACTCGCTCACTAACGGGGATTTGGTCTTTGTTTTGTTGGGAAGCAGAGTGCCTCTGATTCTTCGGCAAGCAGCAGAAACCAGTGTATGTCACGGTGAAGAGGTTGAGATCCTTGTCTCGACGGGGCACGAGTCGGAAAACGAGACGCGATGCTGTAGCAACCATCGAACCTTTGAACTACTTGGAGACGCATATGTTCATGGTATTATGGATTACCAAACTGGAATGAGGGAAGACCCCTTGTGGGACAAAGTTTTTCTTACTTGATTTCTGAAGCTATAGGTTAGTAATCGTCACAGGGGTGTGCGGAAACGACCCCTGGCTTGAAGTAAGCTTCTTACGTCTCTGAACCCATCAGATGTCCTATAAGGAGTTATGAAGATGGATGGTTGTGTTGCACGTCACGGTGGCCAGACAGTTCGGAATGGATATCATGGCGGCTTTGCGCTCGTTTGTGGTGTAGTGGAAGGCAGTAAAATGATTGATGGACCCTACAGCATGCAATTAGCGCACTCGCGTTGTCTCAACATCCGGCCGCCACCTTGATGACCGGGTTAGCGCTTCTCGCAGTCTGGAAAGTTACTTCGTTTCGTTATCTGCACTCAGCACACCTGATACGAGATTCTATCGACGTCCAAAGATTAGAAACATAGCAGGACGCTCAACCTACCCGTACATATTGCTAAGCCATGGTAGACCCTATGTTGACGAACACTACAGCACCAATCCCGGGGTGAAGCGACCATTGAACTTGCAACCAAGTACAGCCCACCTTTTCCCTCGGCATAGAAATCATCAAAGCGAGTCGTGTTGCACGCTCGGGTATCCGGAAATTTTGGTTGTCATTTGACCTCTAAATACTGCAATAGCAACGCTAAGCATTGTGTACAGTCTCAGGATCTATAATGGTCCCTTTCACCCGGCCATTGCTGTGACGACGGTCCGACGACCAGTCCAGGAACGTGTATCGTCCCGGAGCGATCTCTCTGGTGGTAACAATCGTCGCCAACTCCTCGACTGTGCGTGTCTGTCCAATCAACCCCAGTTGGGCGTCCAGGATGAAGCCGAATCTGATTGCAGTCTGCATCCACTCGAACACACCGTCGAAAAAGCCGGACAAGTTGAATACAACTACCGGTTTCGCATGAATACCCAGCTGACTCCATGTTGTCATCTCGAGTAACTCCTCAAGCATTCCGAAACCACCAGGTAATGCCACGAAGGCATCTGCCTCTTCTGCCATCATCCGCTTCCGCTCGTGCATGCTAGCCACCACCGTTGTGCGCCCGAATTGATCAAACGCCGGCTCCGATCCACCTTGTAGAAGCGCCCGTGGGATAATGCCGTGCACCGCGTCAGGCCCCTGCAAGGCCACTACCTCTCTAGCAAGCACTCCCATCAGCCCCATGGTCCCGCCCCCGTACACTAGTGACCATGATCTCTTCGCCATCATGTTCGCTAGCGCTCTGGCAGCATCGCGAAACCTGGGGTCGTTTCCTTCACTCGATCCTGCCATTGATCAGTATGCGTTCACTCCTACGTGCTTATAGGGACATACCACAAAACACACACAGTGTGAATGGTTTTGAACCCGTGTCGCTTGGTGGTTCTGTGTGTACTTGCGCCACCCCCATGGTTTACTGATTCTTGTTTGAGTACCGAGGTGGTCCTGAGCAGAACAAGAGATAGGATGGTCGAGCCGTAAGATAGTCGAGTGATGATACCGTCTTTTGGAGTTTGTCTTGTATTATTTATACATGTTTTACTAAGTAGATCATCGTAGCGATTTCTCTCCATAAGCTGAAGGACAACAAGGGTGGTCTACTAGTGAAACTGCACCCCATGAGGTACTGTCTTACACATCTTCCCTTTTTAACCTAGGTTCTGTGCTACCCCTCGCTAAAATTAGGCTCCCATGCTTATGGCACCGCCCCATACGCTACTTCAGTACTAGGAAGATGTTGTGCCTTGGCACCATTGTGCCAATTCATGCCAAGTATAAACCTGAAGCTGTGAATAAGGTTCGGCTCTACGGGTAAACGGTTCAAATCAACGCTCGCCGCTGCCAACAAGACGTTGCAAGCCCGAAACAGGAGGCTTGGCCAATGCTTCATGATCGCCGGATTGTTCTTGTCTAACAGCAGATCGTGCTATTCGGTTGTTAAAAGCTTCCTATATTCCGGCAACACCGATATCTCGGTAGCACTACTGTGTATCTCAGTCTCCAATTAAGAGGCCTTCGCATTCCTGTAGTACCTCTCGGCCCACTGGTCTAGCCGTAATCAAAGCGAGATGCTAATCGGTCTCTTCTTCAAGCTTCTTTTGCCTCTTGGAGTTAGGCATGAAACAACAGTACTCAGGTACTACTGGGATCTGCCTTAAACGGATCTCAACCTGAGCTTTGTAGGTGACGTAGCATTTGCTTTGTGCAAGACGAAACAATGCTAAGTTTTAGTATCGCATCTTCACGGGCCGACAAGAGAGTTGACTTTGTCCTGAGAAGGGTTCGCCTGGTAAGAGAGATTCATGACAAGACCTCAAGCATGGCACTCAGGGAAGCGGCTCCAGCGAGAGTCTTTTGATGATTACAGCTACATATAGACAACACAGGGTATTTGGGAAATGAACCAGCAGTCAGATCATTATACTGAATTACTTGACGGCGTTGTGTTGCCCTGCCTCAGCATCAACACCTTTTTACGTGACTTAACTTTGTCTTGAAAGTGATACACAAGACATATCCTACGTAACATGAGTCTAGAATCGTTTTTGCATGCATATTCCTGGCCCGATCTGTGACATCATCTCGAGCCATCTTGCCTGCACTTCATGAGTAGCAACTCCTCTATTTAAGAAACTCCCTTATCGCGCATCATCATTTTAATTACTTCATATCCGTCAAACTCTCTCATATTTACAACATCTACCGCATCACACACATCTTAACCAATCTTTCTTTATCTAAACTATCTATACAATGGCAAACAGACCCATCATTGCGATTGTCGGCCCCACAGGCGTTGGGAAAACAAAGCTTGGAATTGCACTCGCCAAAGCCATGAACGGCGAGGTCATCTCCGTGGACAGTCTGCAAACATATCGTCATGGAGGTATTATGACGGCAAAGCCTACTATCCAGGAAATGGATGGTGTCAAGCACCATCTGATAGACTATCTGCAGCCCGACCAAGAACCATCTGCCTTTGTCGACCTTGCTATTTCAAGAATCCAGCAAATCCAGGACGGCGGGAAGATCCCTCTGCTGGTCAGTGGATCCATCTCGTTGACGGAGCCCCTCCTCTCGCACCATTTCATTCAGCGCAGCGATCTATCGGTCATCTTTCTCGATTCTAACATGTCACTTTTGAAACCTCGGCTGGACAAACGGGTAGATAAGATGGTGGAGGAAGGTCTCATTGAAGAAGTACGCGAACTTTACGAACTGGAACAGAGCATGCTGGGCTGCGCAGACTTTTCGAGAGGTGTCTGGAAAGCGATCGGATACCCGGAGTTACGACCAGCCGTTGTGGAGTGCAATGAAGGCAGTAACCAGACTTATGTCAAGAAAGAAATAGCAGAGATGAAGAAACACACGTCTTCGTATGCGCAAGATCAAATCAACAGGATACGGTGTAGGCTTATACCGGCAGTTTATGTGTGGGACATCAATTTCATGGTCCTCTTTGTAAAGGACGAGATGACGTTCGAGAAACGAGTTATCCAGCCTTCTATCTCAGCGTGCCTTGGCTGGCTCTCTGAGGATACAAAAGGACGTGTGACGATCGAGAATACAACGCGCTCTTGGCGAAGCGAGACCGGACTCTGTAGTCAGATTGTGTGAAGCTGGATTGGGTGTTCCTTGTCGCTGGCTGTGGCAATACTTGCGTAATCTATAGGTTTCACTTCATGTTTACGAAATCAACATTTCCCTCAATGTCTTTCGTGAACTGTAGGTAGAGCCCTTGACCACCATGTAAAATTTTGCGAAGTTTTCCCAGGCAGTGTCGCCGCATTTACGAGAATTGCATCGGTAACGATGCGCATAAACGAAGAATTCCTTTTTGATCTACGAGATATCCAAACGTGACATCATTTGTCGTCAGCTCTACATGTCCGTCGTGAATTGCATACTCAACCCACGGTTTCTAGCCTCACCTAACTGTACCACGTTACTATTTTCCTATCCACGCGACGTTTAAAAGCTTACGATTCGGCTGCCTGCCCACTATGGGTACCAGCCCCGGTTCACAGTACAATTGTTCCATGGTAGAATCCTCGCTTAATAGAAGAAGTTCAAAAGACTACCCTTCATTGGTTTATGGATCGCAACTGAACTGTGGAAAGACGAGCGGGTTATTCTCTGTATGTACCATGTGTATAAAACAATTTCCAGCTCCGATGGTGAAGATAAATATCTATTGGGATCTCCATCCCACATTTGACGCTACCGGCTCAAGGTCCGCACGACTTTACATCCTGACTACATTTCCCAAGCTGAATTCTATCTCTACTACCCGCACGCCTACCTCACTCACACTCTCGAGAAATGACCCACTTCGGTTTACATATGCCTTATATGACATCCGTGTTGTCGGATTTCCACCTTCGCGGTCCCCTATCAGGATCTGGGCTTATCAGAGGCGATGCAACTGATCCTGATACCAATCAGAATGCCATACGTTTACAGGATTATCATGCCTCTCGAAGAACCGCGATAAAATATATCATGAACGAAATCGACGCTCGCGTATCACAGGGTGAGCTCTCAACGCCGTTCGAGGAGCATTACCCAGAACCACCAGACTACTTTAGCCAGGAAGACTTCCATGCGGCCTACGACCATGAGGGTTTCTTAGAGATGCTTGCCAAATTACCGAAAAAGGACGTCGAAAGGTACTTCAAAAACCTGAAACGAAGAGAAAAGTGGGACTTGAGAGAAAAGGCGTCCAAGACGGGGAGGTTCTGGCGGCAGCATCCTGGTTCTCGCGCCCGCTACTTTCCCAATGCTGGGTCGAGCATCGAACAATATATCAGCTGTTTGCTTTCCGAGACGTTCGGAGACTATCCAACGCACATGTCACAGGAGGAATCCGTGACGCAAACCGAGCTGTGGCCTGACGTCGCAGAAGGTAGATCTTCAAGTCAGGATACAAAGCTCTGTACACCCGTTGAAGTCGACCCAGTTGGTACGCATACAGATTTCCTGAATGCTGGGGTATACTACAATTCTTATGATGCTGATTTACCCCTCTACGAACCGACGCCGCAGCGCAAACATAACATAGCTGCTGATCTCGAGGAACCAGTCAGACCTTCTACCGTCGATGAACCAACAACTACTGCCAGATATGAAACGTCTGACGTTACCTGGACACAACAAGATATCTACCAGTACCAGCAGAACCAGCAGAACCAGCAGAATACTTGGCAGATCTACGCTCATGACTACCACCGTCAGTATATGGAGGGTCATTACGCACCGCGCTACCGGAGTCTGCCCCAAACTCAAGCACTACCGTGGCACCAGGAGCAACAAGTTCTTGAGTTTTATATCTCTGAGCTGAATCCTCTGTATAGAGAGCTTTATTCGGAGCAGTGCATACAGTTTCCAGGACACGCTTCCAATGAGGTGCCTTCTCGACCACCTCCGACACCACATCTGCGTCCACTGCAGCTTTTCTGCAACGGGGGAGACTATCTGACTGACTGGAGATTGTGACATACGGGTTGAACACCATGGCATTGACAGAAGAATGATTTCAAGAGTCGTTTGAGGGTCGTGGGCTGGACCGTGAAGAAGCGAGTATGCGCGAGAAGGGATGAGAGAAGATGCAAGAGGATTTTGAGGGTGATGCAATCAGGGCTGTGGATACAATGTTACAAGGGAAAGATCACGGCTTGAAGTTTAGAACTTATCGCATACGCGTCTATGTAGAGTCGCAGAATAGGTGGTAAGGGTCTCGAGGAATAGAGACGAAGTTTGAACATGGCGATGACCAAATTAGAATAGCAATAGGGTGATAATAACGATGAAAATTTGATATCTCCCCCTCTGCATACCGTCAACACAAGCCAATGTCTTGCCCCGTACGCTCTCACAAACCCAACGCCTCACTAATCCCCGCAGTAAGATTCCCCAGGATATTCGACCCACCAGCCACAGCAATAAACACATCCTTGTACGAGTCCGCCACAATCTTCACTCCCTCGGGCAGAGGCTCCGGGCTACTCGCCTGCAACTCCACAACCATGGCTCCCAAACTAGGCAGCGTAATAGGCAGAACACTCGGCCTCCACCCAAGCTCAAACGGCAACTTCTCCTGCTCAAACAAGCTCCTCACATACTCTACCTTGGCTTTTCCCGACAACGGATCAGACCCCATAGTCTGCAAATAAAGCGCATTCTCGCCATAACTAAACACCGCTTCTCGCAACCCATACACGAATTCCGGATTCCGCTTCTGACTGTCTTGCGTCCTGGCGTACTTTGCTTTGGCAGCCGTAGGCATATCCGTCTGGTCCTTGCCAGCAAAAAAAGAAATGTACTGCTGCCAGTTTGGGTTGTAAAATGGCTGTGGGTTACCCAATGCGGCGTCTTGACGCGACATACTGGCGTCGTGCTCAATGGGAAAGTTATGCTGGCTCAAGTCATCGAGGTCGAAGGAGCCGCCGAGCGGATTGGGAGAGGAGAGCAGGCCGGCGCCGCTGATGGCAGTGGTGAAGTCGGCGCCGATGTTGAGGCCTGCAGCGAGGCCGGAGATGAGGTGCGGGATGGTCATGTTGCGGCCGTCGCGGTGGATGAAGCCGTGGTTCGCAAGGCTGTTTAGGGCTGGGCAGGGCGAGCGTACTGTTGGGGTCAGGATTATTAGTGACTTTGGTGGAGAACGTGGATAGCAGGGGTGCATGTACCATCGCTGCTTCCTGCTGGATGCCAGTCTGTCCACCGAGGGTCCGTTGGAGGTGCTGGGCCGAGCGAAGAAAGTAAACCGGCGATGTCGAGTGGAAGATCTAGGAGGCCTTCTGCTGATACAACAACTCCAGCAAGCAGTGAGATGGCGAATGTGGAACGCATTTTGAAGAAACGAGCGTATATTTTCCTTTCACCCAGATAACAACAATGTCTTGAGCGGAAACGAGATGCAAGTCCACAACCCACCACCAAAGGGTGCAACCATCCTGTCCTTAAAACATTCCAAGGTTTTGGCACCAATGATCCAATAACCATCGCCCGAAACTCGCTGACCCCTCTCTCCTCCCCTAGTTCTAGAGAAAGATGCCTCGGAGCCTTTTTCATAGCGTCACGTCGCTCGCGTAGTCACAACATAGTCCTGCGTAGTCGACGTGGTCCAACGACGGAAGAGGCTGCGACTCATGATGATCAGCCACTACTTGAACGAATGACACCAGATCGACAGCCTCCAGACCCACGCGGGACGATCATTGACGCACAACTCGGCAGGGGCAGTGTTTCTGCCGGTATTTGTCAAAGCTGGGGAAATCCGGCGCGAAAGGAGATGCGTGTTGCTATGTCTTGTGATGGTGATAGCTGTGGTCGCAGTGTTGTCTAGGTTATGAGAGGTGTTGGTCGGCTGGTGAAGTGAAGCTGTGACGTCATGATCGGAAGTGGTTCCGAGGATGAAAACTGGTACAATGGCTACCTCCGGGCTTGTGTGTTACACTAGACACTAGAACGACTTCCTTCGTGCCCCTTATGACTATTGTTATTAAAGAGTGTTACTTTGGGTGGATGCGAGCGAGGACCGGAAGCGTGGCAGACTTGCAGGTTCGTCTGGACTTCTAACATGAGTTTTATCGCCCCTCCGGTGACTGATGGATGTCACTTGGTAGTATGGCATGGAATTTACACATGGTGGGATAAGAATAGAACAGCTCTGCCTACAACTCAGAAAGAAAGAGCTCCCTAGTCCACAACAGGTCCCAGCTCAACGCCAACCATCCAATCACCCACCACCTCTGTCCCATACTGCTCAAAGTCTTCCCAAGTCTTCGCCTTTATCTCTTCCTCGATTTTGCCATTTTGTAGGCGCCAGCAACCAATCTCACATGTACATGGCGGCGGATAGTGATTTCTCGGCATCCATGCCTCGTCCTCCTCATCCTCCTCATCCTCCTCGCCATCATCAGTCATACCAATCATCTCCAACTCTATAGGATCAGGCTCATGTACAGCGAAAATACCAACGTGCTCTCCCGGATGCGCTTCGACGTAACCAGCGTGCCGTCGAAAAATATCATACCACTTCTCCCTGACCCATCCCTGCACATCCCCGCTCAACTCAATGTCCCGTATACGTTGAAGGTACCCAGCATACCACGCATACTCCAGTATCCAATCGACAACCATGCCGCTATCGCAGACATGAGGGCGGAGTCTAGCCTCGACGTAGGACCAAGCTGGATTTGGGGCGCACCATGCGGGTTCCGTGACGTTGTACCAGGGGTTGCTGGACTTGTAGGCTGAGCCGAAATGCAGCTCGAGGGCGTGAGTGTGTGCGAGGAAGAGGCCGGCGGAGTGGCAGTGGTCGTCGTGGTAGAGGTTGTCGCCCGTGACGGTGTCGTCGCGGTAGTGGAATGGCGGTACCTGCACGTCGAAGAGCGCAAAGTACTGTTCAGCTGTGAAGTCTAGTTTTATCTTCTCGAAGCCGTGAGTGGGGGGCAGGCAAGGGAAAAGTATGTTTCGGAGCTTGTGAATGTTATTGATGGGGGAGGTTGTTGAGAGTGTGAGGTTGGGATCCCGTGATATGGGGTTTAGAGAGTGCGAGGATACGTCGTAGGATGCTAGACGGTTGTCTGGCATTTTCAAGGATGTTAGGAGATGGCTTAGGTAGAAGGTTGGTGGGTCGTCAAATTCCTTGGTGTCTGTTGACCAAGCATGAATTCTTTGGCGGACATAATCTCTGAGAAGGGGTTTGGGGATGGTGAAAAGGAGGCTAGGGTTGTCGGGGTTGCTGTAGGACAAGGTATAATCCAAACTACCAATATTGCCTACCACGACACGCTGCGCACCAATCCATTCCTTCAGTACCATGAGGAGGAGTTCTATGGGTAGGTGTGCGGCAACCAGCTGAAAAGTCATCTGGGCTGATGGAATAAGTGCCATGGAGTTAGAAATCGATGAGGGAACCAGTTGGTTGTGAGTGTTGGGGTGGCACATGTCGTCTTGATGCTGCGAAAGGGATACCATATTTTGGAATAATGGACCTGGAGTCAACTCTGAATGACCTTTGCAACGGGACATGACAAGGATCAAGCGAGCACAGCACGTCCGACATTGTGCGCGCCGTGATCGTTAGTCGTACTTCGCAACCGTGGCACTGCAATCACGATGCTGACGGTGAACCACAGGCTGTTGGTCAGACTTCAATATGTACATATGGTTTGCTGATGTTTGCCAGTATTGAAACAAGTATTCGTACAGTCACTATCTCTTCATCATCGTCAACGTCGTTTGGCTGGTGCAGGGCTCCAACCTTGGGGTTGCCACTCTTGATTCTGAGCCGCCTGCTTCCATGGCGAGTCCTTGGGTTCCTTCTTCATCCTCTTCTTCGCTGTGAAGGCAGGCGCATCGTCTTGGGCGGCCGGTGCTGGTGGGTCGCGTGGCATCTGCTGAGGCTCTGCAGGTTGCTCGGGCTCTACTGGCGCTGGTCTTGCAGCTTCCTGGTCGAGTGGGCGAGGCGGTTCTATGCTGTCCCTTATCTCTTGGTCGGCATTCATCTGCGTGACGCCGCTGTCCGGGTCTCTCGACTGCAGCATCTGCACAGGTTGTTGCTTATCCGGCGCATCCAGCGATGACGGCTTTCCTGCCCATCTCGCATCCGCCTGCGCGGCAAGCTGCTTCATGCGCTCGATCCTCATCATGTCTTGGTGTTGTTCGGCGACAGTGGGCGGTTCGTAGCGCGTGTGCCGCAGCCATTGCATCCATGACGCTGCCACAGTCAGTTTCCATGCACGACGACATGTGGAAGGCACAAACGCGATATCTGCACGTCGCCATAATGTGTGCTACGGCTGTATTTTGCTATTCTCCGATTGCGCAGTGCGTGCAGTGCGTCCTTGAACTCCCAGAAGGTGTTGCCCTGGAGATCGAAGCCTGTGATGTTGTTAGAGGCGTGAAGCAAGGATACGCCAGAGACCTATGTCGAGCCTGTGTCGAGGCCAGCACTCACCCACAAGCCACTTCTTGCGCCATGGAAAGCGCTTCATCTTCCATTGGTACCATGCTTTTCGAATTGGGCCCACTGCGCCCGCCATGCTGAGTCTCGTGTTGCCACAGGATAATTTCCAGAGGGGAGACTTTTGCTTGGAGGCGACTCTGACGCGCAGCGGTGACGTTGGCCGCGGGTGGCTGGTGCGTAAGCACATGTGCAAGCCAGCAAGCATTCCCCCACCACCACAAGTCTTCTCCACACACACATGCCTCGACATCACAACAACACATAGCAGTCGAGCTTGTTACATAGCGATATATACATTATCATATCATATCCTACTGCAACTCGTGCACCTTCCATCCACAGTAACAACGACACCCACCCTCGTGCCCAACCCAAACAAACCTGATTTGCGCCCAAACCGCCTACCATGGCGTCTGTAACGTCTCTAGATCAGGACATGCGAAAGCTGCGCATGGACAGATATACCCCCCAGGCCGCCAACGAGGTCCGCAGCTGGATAGAAGGTACACTGGGAGAGCGACTGCCGGCGGGAGATCTGCTGGATGCGCTCAAGGACGGGACCGTATTATGCAGGTACAGTGATACCCGGCGGGTGACCAGGCAGCCGGGCCAGTCCAGCTAACCATGACAGACTCGTCAATCTCGCCATACCCACCCCCGTGAGGTTCAAAAAGTCGGCCATGCCTTTTATACAGATGGAGAACATCTCCCACTTCCTCCGAGCCTGCGAACAGCCGCCGCTGAACATGCCCGCACACGACCGCTTCCTCACTGTCGACCTGTACGAGTCCAAAGACCCAGCCCAGGTGCTGCAATGTCTCAGCGCCTTCAGCCGCGTCGCCAATTCAAGAAATCCCTCCAACTTTCCTACCACCATCGGCCCTAAGCGCGGCGGAGCTGGTGCATTGAGCCCCTCAGCGACCGGAGGAGGCATGACAAGTCCTGGCATGCCACCGCCGTCTCCCGGCTATACACGTAGCCGAGGGCCCAGCACAGCCAGCAATACCAGCGGCTCTAGCACATTCAATCCCCTTGCGCGGCCGCCTGCTGAGAGGACACTGAGTGCGGCGCGTACCGGAGGCTCAGACACATCCTATACTTCCAACGGTCTCCCCAAGTCACCTCCTGGCGGAGTCAGTAGCTGGAGCAAGAAGGTTGACGAAGGGAGCACAGCACCGGCATGGAACATTCACCAGTACGGCTACATGGGTGGCGCGAGTCAGGGCAACCAGGGCATCGCATTCGGCGCACGCCGGCAGATCACGAGCGCAGGTCCGCACGTGCCGAACATGGCTGAGAAGGAGCGCCTGCGACGTGAGAAGGCGGCCGAGGAAGAGAGGCTACGATTACTAGCTGAGGAGGCCGAAAACAAACGCCGCATTGAGCGCGAGGCTGAAGAAGAACGCATACGCCTCGAGGAAGAGCAGAAGTGGGAAGAGGAGACACGTAAGCAGCAAGAGGCCAAGCAAGCGCGCCTCGACCAGCAGAAGCGCGAGTGGGAAGAGCAGGAGCGTCAATGGAAGCTGGATGAAGAACTTCGGCAGCGAGAAGAACGAGAACAACAAGAGCGGATAGAGGCTGAGACGCGACGGAAGCGTGCTGGGAGCGACGCCAGACTCAAGGGACAATACCTTAGCCAGTACCAAGCCGAACAAGTCAGGTCACCGCGCAGTCGACGGGGAAGCAGCGAGGAGCCCAACGCCGAGCGCGAACGCATACGAGAGTTGGAGCGCCAGCTCGAAGAAGCCAAAGAGCGCGAGCGTCAATACCAAGCCGAGCGCGAAGGACGTCTCCAAGACAAGAAAGTGCGATCGAGGAGTAAGAGCCGTACGCGCGAGCGGTCCAAGAGTCGAGCCCGTCCACAACCTCCACCGCGCGCTCCAAGTCCGCAAGATAGCAATGTATCCTGGGCGCAAGCAGACGACCGCGAGTATCTACGCAAACAATGGGATCAGACACAACGACAACCCGCGCGCCCCCTGCCCGAACCCACACCACCATCGCTTCCCACCCGCCCACTCCCAGAGCCAACAACGACTCGTCCGCTTCCCGATCCAGCCGCATACACACAGCAGAAGCAAAGCCGAACGGACCGCTATCTTGCATCAAACCCTCCTCCTACAGCACCTAAGCCGCAGACGTACATTCCCCCTGAACTAACCTCGACCTCCGAGCAACGCGGCGAAGACTCACGTCGCGCCGCCGCGCAACAGAAGACTAAGAACGCGGGATGGGCGAGTAAATCTCTCCTCGAGCGTGAAATGGAGCGCGAGAGGGAGAGACAAAAGGAGTGGGAGGAGAGTCAACGCGCGCTGCAGGAGGCGGCCAAGGATCCCAATGCGGGCACAGGAGGAGGCCAAAGTTGGGATGTGAATCAGTATGGGTACATGGGTGGTGACAATCAGAACAGACTTGGAGGTATTGGCGCAGGGAAGAGGCAGATTGTTGGACCGAGGTTGGGGGGGCCTAGGCCTTTTGGGCGGAGGGCTGATTAGAGAGAGACTATTGGACGCGTTTTTTCGTTTGTTTGGATGGCAGAGGAGAAAAGTAGTGGTTAGAGGGGTTTTCATTTGTTCAGTGGGAGAGAGATATTTTCGAGGTGTTGCATGTTAGCGCTGCGTACTTGGAAGGCTGTACGCGGTTTAATATATTAATTTCTAAACATTTTGAAATCATGTCCATCTTCTTTGTGAGACTACCATGGAGATTCTAGTGGTAAGAGTGTCATGTAGATCACCACCAGAATAGCCCGAGGTGAGTATTATTGCACCGAGTTTCTCTAAATGGAAGGAGCTTTGTTGTTGTCGCTCGGAATGGCGGCAGTACCCGCGCAGGCAGGCGATGTCAGCACTGTAATTTCACCACTTCTTACCGGCTACAACACTACACATGCATGTGCCAGACATTGAACCGCAAGACCCGCCGACGTACGATTGAACGCTCTTGAATCGAATCTTCTATCGACAATCTGCTAGGGAAAGAGGCACGCATAGGGCAAATGAAAATAGAGCCGACTTGCGGGTTGGTGGCAAAAGGATTTGGCAAAACCTCGGGATGATGACGACCAAGTCAAGCAATGAGGAGGGTGGACTAAACAGGCAGCTTCTCCGCAGTTGGGAGAGGCGTTCTTGAAACGCTGCCTTGTAGAAGCCATAGCTTTTGATCTGCACAGATATGCGAGTTGCTGACAGTGTACGGGCCATTTCTTCAATCCGGGCTTGTATGCACAGTGCGATCGACCAGTGGGAAACACCGTTTGGTGTCTCCTTGTGCCGGTTCAATATGATGATACAGCAGGTGTGCTGCCATAAGTAGCAGCGATGAATCGCTCTGCTACGCTCTCCAGTAGACCGGCACGGCTTTTCAGTGCTCTTCTCGATCCATGTTCATGCCTGGCACCATGGTCTCTCTCAGCTTCTTCCTCATCGGTTCTGTCCTCAACCTCGTTTCTCTTGGATCCCCCACCAATCAATCTCGCGCCTCAAATGGCTTCTCCCAGCAATGCACTTCCGTAGCCACCAAACTCCACATTCCGCAGGCAAATATCTCATTCACCGAGTTCGTCGCTGCCAACACGACGTTACAATTTCCCAACGCCGACCCATCATGCACTCGTCCCTCACAAGCAGTCTCAGCCAACATCTGCCGCGTCGGCTTGAGCGTCAAAACCTCGGCTACCTCTGGCATCAGAATGGAAGTCTGGCTTCCCCAGAACTGGACTGGTCGCTTCTTGAGCACCGGGAATGGGGGCCTTGGTGGGTGTATCCAGTACGAGGATCTTGACTATGCAGCGTCACTGGGTTTCGCATCTGTGGGCACGAATAATGGACACGAGGGGATGACGGGCGAGTCGTTTCTCAACAACACTGGTGTGATTGAGGACTTTGCGTACCGTGCTGTGCACACTGGTGTGGTCGTTGGGAAGCAAGTGAGCGACACCTTTTATGGCAAAACACACTCGAAGAGCTACTATCTAGGCTGTTCCACGGGCGGAAGACAAGGTTTCAAAGCCGTTCAATCGTTCCCCAACGACTTTGACGGCGTCGTCGCTGGCGCGCCTGCATTCTCCTTCAACAATCTTACCTCCTGGAGTTCCGGATTCTTACCTCTTACCGGGAGTCCAGAGTCTGCGACCTTTGTTCCTCTCGAAATGTGGCCCATCATTCATCAGGACGTGCTGGCGCAATGCGACATGCTCGACGGCGCGGCAGACGGTATCCTCGAATCGCCCGATCTGTGTCATTACGACCCGGCCGGCCTTCTCTGCACATCGGGTCGAAACACGACATGTCTTACCGCAGCTCAGGTACAGACAGTCCGCAGGTCTTACGCGCCTCTCCTCGACGCCGACGGCAGTCTGATCTACCCACGCCTACAGCCCGGTGCCGAGGGCACAGAGGCGCCTTTCACGCTGTTCACTGGCCGCGTATTCGGCGCCTCGGATTGGTTCAAACATGCCGTCCTCAAAAACCCTTCGTGGGATCCTAGCACCCTCTCTCTAGCCGACATGCATCTTTCTGCGCATCTCAACCTAGCCGACATCGAAACGTGGAACGGCGACCTCTCGGCGTTCAAAGCAACAGGCGGGAAACTACTGCATTACCACGGTCTCGTAGACGGCGTCATCACGAGTGAAAACTCGCCGCGGTACTATGAACATGTTTCCAAGACGATGCAGCAGGCGCCTGCTCAGCTAGACGACTTCTACCGCTTCTTCCGTATCTCGGGTATGGCGCACTGCGATGGTGGACCGGGCGCGAGTCGTATTGGGAATCAAGCTAGGAACGCGGCGGGCTTGGATCCGGAGGAGAATGTTCTCATGGCGATGGTAAGGTGGGTGGAGGAGGGTGTTGCGCCAGAAGTCGTTGTGGGGACTAGGTTCAAGAATGGGACGACGGCTGGGAGTGGTGTGGATTATAAGAGGAGGCATTGTAAGTGGCCGGCGAGGAATGTGTACAGGGGGGTTGGTGATTACAAGGATCCGTTGAATTGGGAATGTATCTAAAGTTTTTCCCGATCTTACGACATACCCACAGCTACACCAACACCGACACATAACATAGCAATATCAGCTACCCGTACCGCGCCCGCACCGCCAGTCTCCCGCGCCGGCCCACTAATAGTGGGACTCGCACTCGCAGTAGCCGTAGGTATGACCGTAGCCTCCGTAGCTTCCGCACCCAACTTCTCCAACCCTGCCGTAAGAACAATTTGTTTCCGCTGCGTCGTATAGTCCTCCAGACTCTTTTGTCTCCAAGTAGCACTCTGCACCCCATTTTCATCACAGAACCAACTCGAACGCGTCGATTTCCTTATCCCCCAGGCCCCATCCCTGCATTTCTCTGACGAAAACGCTGCGCCCCATAGCGAAACCGTGCACGTGTTTGCTGCTACGTCAATGTATTCTGTCGCCCTGCTACCTGGTCCTGAACAGTCCACATCGTACGTCGTCTGCCACCAGTCGGGTTTCGCCATCCGCGCGGAGATGTAGTCGGGCGCAAAGGTAAACGTGAAGGAGTTTGAGTTGTTTGCGACGTGGTACTTGCTAGATAGGTCGCCGCTGTCCTGGTCGAATTGCGCGTGTATGGTTGTTTTGTTTTGGTCAATGTTTACGAGGGAGCCGCGGAAGCCAAAGGGGTGCTCGGTTGCGCGGCCGATGCTGTCTTCGCCGAGTAGCCAGTCTCTGAATTCCATGGTGGTTGTGAAGTCGGCGGCTGCTAGGGCTGTGAGAGAGGCGATGAGGAGTGGTCGCCACATGGTGGTGGTTGGATGGTGCGTGATAAGGCGAGTTCAAGCGTATAGCGCGAATACGAGGGATGGATATCCGGGGTAGATGTCTATGCAGAGTTTATAGCCATGGGATATAGTGGTGATGAATCAAAACACATGGTAGAGGCAGCACATTTTTATGTCTCGGAAAAGGCTCGGCAGAAACGGACACCCATTTACAGCTGGCATGTAGACGGATGGGTTAACCCAGTAGTTCTCGTTCGGGTGCTAGGTCAGCCTGGGATGTAGGCCTGAGTTGCTCATATAAGGCCTCCATCGTTTTGTTGCTCCTCTTGGCTTGTGCCGTCGCACCCGCGTTGATGGTATTATGTGGAGCCATGTCTAGATCAGTTAGCGCAACAGATCGCCTCATGACTTATGTCCATATGCTGGACTATCACATGTTGTTGAAATAGATTGCTTCGATGTAATCCATGTGAATGGTATCGGTCGCCTACTATCTCTATCTATCTCAACAGTCCTTATCGTTGTTGTCGTCTTTCATCGTTGTCACCCCACTACAAGCGACTTCGTCTTACTCAATGGTGCAGTAGATGATGCTATTCCTCGTCGTTGTCCCACCATTCGTCTTCTAGTAACTCTTCTGCGGTTGGGCGGTCTCTCCAATCCAGTTTCATCATCTTCGATATGAAGATGTTGTCTCTCCGGCTTACTTCTCTCTCGGTGGTTCGCCGAAATGGCGTCGTCTTCTCTTTTGGGATATTTTCCATGATCGTAATGATAGATTGGACCGTTTCTGGGTCTGCGATCTCTTCAATCTTGGCTGGAAAAGGTCCGAAATATTTGAATTGCTCTACAACAACCCCAACCACATACTCTTCGTCTTCACGTGTCAAACCTTTCGGCAGGAAAAGGTTGAAATTTCCACCGTAGATAAGACTGATGAGCTGTGAAGATGTTAGCTTCCATTTATACTTATGTTTCTAGTGGTATCATGACGGACCATAGCACCGAAAGACTATATGTCAGCTGCGGTGTTCCAAGGTAATTCCATAAGAATCTCTGGGCTTGTCCACATAGGTGTTCCTACTATGGTGCCTGATGTAGCCCACTCTGAGTCTGCCGGGTAGCATCCACCTAAGTCGCCTAGTTGGACGTCGGAAAATCGAACGTCGCCTTCTTGCAGATTGACGAATACGTTATTTGGCTTGACATCTATACCGTCTGTCAGTCACATAGAATTTATCGTTAAGCCCAGGTAGCAATGTACCTGTGTGCACAAAACCGTCCTCATGTAAGGTCTTCAATGCCTCTAGTACGGACCGCGAGACGTGTCTCACTTCTCGCCTATTCAAAGTTCTTGCAACGGACGCCTCTAGAAGATCCCCTTGCAAGTACTTAAGAGCGATGGTCACAGGAAAAGTCGGCTCGTCGATTTCATCGATCAAAGGTCGGAGGTACGGGTTGCGGTGCTGGAATCTTTTGAGTACTTCTCTTTCATTCTCCACTCGCGGGTGGTCCAGAACGCTCTTGATCACCACAAACTCTTGCAAATGATTTCTGGGAAGTATGAGATGTTGTCATGAATATTGAATGTATACTGTCTACTTCGCGAACCACACAGTATCTTGGATCTCTTTCGTGATCGTGTATTGGCTAGCACGCCCCTTCAAAACCTGCCCGATTCGAAAGAGCGACAGCATAGGATCAAGCTCGAACTCTATGATCAAGCACAGATAGTATTCTCAAAAACATGTAAAGGGTGGTGGTTTGCAAAATAGGAGGTGATAGGTACGAGGATGAATAGCAGTGATGGAGCGGGCTTTGATGCCAAGATGCTACCGTGCACAGCCCGCCCAGGAACGCGGAAGGCGGTACGGTAGGAGCTATGACCAGCCGCTGTCTTGCATAATGTCCCCGAACGGAACGCGCATGGACTATCTATCATTCTTGGACAACCTCTCAACTACAGCTCCAGCATTCTTGCTCCAAAGTCTACTTGACCTCAGCGCAAGCCCTCTCCCAGAAAAGCTGATCCGTGCCACTTGTAGCAATGAACTCTCCCTCCTTGAGCGAATTCTCAAGGTACGCGCAATTTCCAAGCTTCGGGTTGAACAAATAACTCTTGCATTCTGCTTCGGCCAAACATAGCGTCGCACAAGTCGAAACATCCTTCGCATCGACCAAATTGAACGAAGAAGCGTAGTATGCCTCAACATTAGCGAAGCCTTCGACGCCACAGGTGGTGCTTGGAACTGGACTGGTGGAAGGAGTATCGCACTTTCCGAACCCGGATTGGCAGCCTGTTGCACAGAATGCGGCGGTGCTTCCACTGCGAGTTGATGTCAGTATGAGAGGAGAGGGAGAGAGGATTGAGAACTTACCACCATCCGTAGGCGCTGCAGCAATCGCCGAATGAAGAGCCCAGGCATGTCACTCCGCTGCCACAACTTCCGTCGACGGAGACTTTTTGGGTGGGTGCTGGTGCAGCTCCCGAAGTTGCAGTCGGAACTGCAGTCGTGGGCAAGATCGATGAAGATGACGCCGCTCCGCAAATTCCGAAGGCTGCATTGCAGCTAGTGCCGCAATGGTCGGCGGACTTTCCACACCATCCATAGGCGCTACAGCAATTGCCAAATGAAGAACCGACGCAGGTGAAGCCAGAAGTTCCGCCGCAAGTTCCATCAGTGGAGATCTTTCCGCCAGCAACCGGGGCCGCTGATGCTGCGGGTACTTTCGATGATACTGCGGGTGCTGTGGACGATAGTACGGGTGCTGCTGATGAGACTGCAGGTACCGCCGATGGCACTACGAGTTTCGTCGAGGATACTGCAAGTGTTTTCGATGACGCCGCAGGTGTTTTGGAAACGATAACCGTGGGCGCTGAAGATACTGGCGATTTGCAGTCTCCAAATTTAGCCTGGCATCCAGTTCCGCAGTATTTTGCCGTGGAACCACAACGTCCATCCTTAGAGCAACAGTTTCCCCACGACGAACTCTTGCAAGTAAGCGTGTTCCAGGACTGTTTACCGCAAACACTCGAGGTGCTGACGCGCAACGCATTAACATTAAGGAATAGAAGGGCCGGAACGGCCAATAACATCGAAGAACGCATTGTGTAAAAGAACCGTCGGAACGAGTGACTTGGGTTAAGAAACGGTCGGCGAATGGGGACGCGTTACGACAATCGTGAACGGGAGCGACCAGAATATATTACATCGTGAATAGGAGACTTCCAAGCATGGGCTGACTCGTGAAGCGAAAGTGGTGTTAGAGTTCTCTCGGGCTAGACCTGATGAACACAACGCTAGGCTATAATTAAAACCGCCAAGGCTATTGCATCCCCACAAGGCTGAAGATGGCGTGCGTCTCGATGCGCAATACGAGCTCAACATTCGTCGCTTTGCACCTGGAGTTGCGGAGTTGCCGTAACGATGCATTCCGCGGGGAGACACGACGCCAGTGTATAGTCAGGCTATATCTATCGACCACCTGGCATGCAACTTGCTTATCATCTTCTGCTTATTGCTTACTGCTGAAGTAAGAGCTAGCCTAGAGAGAGGATATATATGCAGGGATTAGCATTATTTATATCGCCTTCAACATACATGGTATCGTAGTAACGTGCTAGCGTGCCAGTTCATGGATCGGCATGATATCAGAGTACATTTTGTATAAACTGCTACATACGACCATAGGACACTGAAAATTAGGCTTCCCGTCCGCTCAGCCATATACAAGCAGTGTACCGGCGGATTAGTAGTTAGGTGGGTGACCACTAGCGAATCCCCGCTGTTGTATGTTTTTTGTTTTTTGTTTCACATCTCTTCCAAACAGGAGGGTTTACCCGTGGCGTGTGCCTCCCTTGGGCAGAAGAACAGATGCACGATCACAGTTCATCGAGCCACTGATATTCAGCATGTCCAACCTTGGCCAACCCCGTATTGCTGTTCGAATATAACCAACTGGCCGCGGTTTTTGGATGGACTGTACCATTGTACACAGCTTTTGCAGGCTATCTGCAGAGCTTCCGTGTGGTTCTCTCATTAGCCTCATCTCTTGTGGCGCCGTCGATGCTGTCAGGCGCTTTACTTTTCTCAACCCAATCGACTACAGCAACCATAGGATCAATGGGGACTGGGCCAGTGCCCCCCAAAGCAATGAGCAACGCCAGGCACTAAGAACACTCGGCAGAACTTGTCATCCTCTCCAACACCTCCCATCCTGTGCTCCACCCGCTTTCGATATACGAGCTATTCTTGTAGGGAATGATGGCATCAGCGAGACCATGCCAGGTTATCATCTTAACACCCGAATCGCCGAGAGCAGCCGATTCGACTGTTTCAGCCTCCATAGACTATTGCCACTCGTGGAAGGCCTGTGTCCACATCGCAAAGTAGCGTTCTCGTTAGACCGCAGAAAAATCAGTTCCAGCTGGAAGGAGTGCATCGCGAACTAGTGGCCATTTGGGTTTATCGATCTTACGCCACCAGGGGATATGCTTATGTTTACCATGGACAAGTAACTCGCGCCAGGTGCAAGACCATGCCAGAACTTGGCACCAAGGGGACTTTTCGGACCTTCCCTGATCTGGCGTACAACATCAACCATTTGCGATGTAAATTTGACAGCAGCCTCTCCATCGCACTTGACCTGGCTCCCGACAAGCTGTTCAGGGTTGTGTTTGCAATCCTCTGGGTCGATAAGCACTCCATCCACGTATCCATCCAACGGAGTTGTGACGTATTCGTATCTCCGACGGAGTTATGTCCGGAGGTTGTTCGTTACACTCGATCTAGACGCCACGATACTTTGTTTAAGCGTCACAGTGCGTCAAATGAAGACAATAGTTCTTTTTCCTATTGTGGCCAGCACTTGTTCGTACCCGATATCAAGGGCTGATACGAAGTTTTCGCGCTTTTTGTAGGTTCCGGGACTCTGAATTACTTTGGACGGCGGTTCGCTGTTGAGAAAAGCATATTCCTCAGCGCTAAGCTTTGGTCTGTAATCCTCCATCAAGTTCCATGTTTGGCTACACATCATGCCATGTACGTATACTTCGCTGTAAAGCTCATACTGCAGCTGCCCCTTGGCATCTTGGCCAACTCTTCGGAATGCCAATGGCATCTGTAATCCACAAGCAACTCCGATGTAGTCGCCATTTTGGATCTCTTTTGGAACCAGACACATGTATCCTCTGGCAGTGATGCATAGTTGAGTTTCATCGAGAGCTGAGGATAAGCGAAAGTCTCTTGCGTAAGGAAGCTCGTGGTTGACCACGCCAGCCAGAAAGCTCTGCAGATATTTCTGGTACTCGGATTCTAGCTTGATTTCCGGTTCTATCAGAAGCTCCTTGTAGTCTCGACTACAGAGAAGGGTCTTTGCCAAAGCTTCTAGAATAGTCTCGCTACTAATGTATGTGGAAGGCGAAAGAGCAAGTAGTCGCTGTTCTGTTGACTTCACAAATTCTGCCAACTCGCAATGAAAGTCACTACCACGCTTCTCTGAATCCAAGCATCCACTGGTATAGATGACGACATCCTGCATAATGAACTGTAACGCAAGCGACTGGATAGGTAAGGTTTTACGCTTTCCGCTCGGAGTAAAATAAGTGTACAAGTCGTTATCAGTTCGCAACCGGCGTGGCGTCTGGGCAAATTTCAAGGTGTACGGATGGTATTCCACCTGCGGTCCCCCAGCACTGTAATGGTGATCAAGAAAAAGGCGTAGCTCTGTTGTGTAACGCCAGTCAGGCACCCATGAAGGTAAGGATATGTCGCGTTGTTTGGCTCTTCCTGCACGTAGAAGCATTTGATTCCAATCGAATAGTACGTTCTCGCAAAGTAATTTCGCGCACTGGATGTAGACGACTTGCCAAGGCAGCGAGTAATCGACTTTGGGTAATTTGTGCGCAAGGGAACCTCCAGATCTAAAGCGTGACTGCTGTAACAATCCATAAGTAGCAAATATTTTGTCGCGAGGATCGGTGGCCAGGCACGCCGACATCATCGACAAGGTTCCCCATATGGTATTACTTCTTCCGCCAGAGATAGCTTGACGAGTACTTTGAATATGGCTCAGAGCTCGCAGAGAATTTACCATCGAGTCGTATTCGATCCAATCAGGTATCTGCCAAGCCTTGGGGGCTGTGAGCATCCAGCTGACGGCGAAGAAGTGATCCCATGGTACTGAACGACTGCCGCACATGACAACAGTATCATTACACAAAGCGGCCTCTTGTTGAACCCAAGCACGTCTTGTCCACGGCCGTTGCACCAGAGAACATAGACTCTGTATTAGCTCGCGTCTATCGATTGATGGATTTGCTTCGTTGAGAAGATAAGTGTTCCGGGTATAGGAAGGATGATTAGAGGAAATCCTGCTCGAGTATTCGAACTCTTCTAAAGATTTCGAGATTTCGAGGTCCGCCGCAAAATCCATAGCCAAGTCGCTATCATTACAGGCTTCACCAAGCCAAATCACGACTCTACGTGCTTTTTGATAGAGATCCCCCATCATGGGAACCTGCTGGGCCTTTTCCTCATGATTTGCTTGGTTTATGCAAATGGAATCCATCCAGAGAAGTCGATCTTTATCTTCGAGACGGAGTCTCCACAGAAACTGGTATGCACTGATCGTTACCGTGAAGTTGCGACCGTTGCATGAGATGATGTGGGTGATCGTGGGGTCGCCCCACGTGTATGATGTTGCTTCGTACGTATTGGCGGCATCGACCAGATTGGTCGACACAAGCTTGACGTGTATTTTGTCGCTCGGGCGTCCTGCGAGGAGGCTGATAAGACGGACTGGGCCGGTCCCTTCCAAATGTGAATACAGGCCGTCGGTAGACTCGTACAAAGATAACACCGAAGTCATCTCAACTAAATGCGACTCGCGGCTCGCAGTATGATTTGTGTTCGTTGAAGATTTGCGAGAGCTTTCTGACGTCAGGCTGGGGCCAGAACATCAAATTGTTGCTGCACGGGACGGGCAAATGAGACTTACAAGACTTCCCATACAAGGCGTGATCAGCCGCCGTTGTTTTCAAATTAGAGCAAAGAGTTCATCAACAACGATTCCGGGAAGACTCATTAGCCCCTTGTGAACCGAATCAGGATGCAATAAGCGGTATCTTGCGAATGGCTATGAGGGATGGGGCAATGGAAGCTGCAAGAGCTGGCGAATTGCTAAGTGCATGGATTTGGTAAGCCACTGCAAGCCACCGGGGCTGAACACGGCTGGTGCCTACAAGGCTATACAGTCGTGTCGTCAGCCTTGTGTGTTCAGCCGTTGATAAGGCTCATCTGATGGAGTCTTGAGTCGAGTGAACATCGCGTATGTTCAAAAAGAAAGGTGTGTTCGAAACGTTTGACCCTGCCCCGATTTCCAACGTCCCTCACTCGTGCCGGTGCGGCTTCCCCGCGCCGCCCGGTGACGATCCCTCCCGCCAAAGCTCGGCTTGATCGCAAGACGACCAGCGACGATTCCGCAACACCCAGCTGATTGGATTCCTGATGGGTCAGCTTGAAGCTCGCCCTATGCAGAGAGTATTGCTTTTTGAGTCGATTGCAGCGAGAGGATCAGCCCACTGCACGCGTACACACGGGATTTGACCAACGAGCGGGCCGCGCCCCACCCCTCCTCGCATCGGCCAGCTGGGGACCTTGCATCAGATGACTAGCTGCAACACCAGCCGGTTTCTTGTTCAGTCTTCGAAAATCATCCTTTGGCGCCCATGGCGTTCGTCCTTCTGCGTGGTTGGTCTGGTAAAGACGACCTATGATTTACCCAGGACATGCGAACTGCTGTCGCTCGACCCCCATCGTCTCAACACACAGCTCGCAAACTGCTTTTGAACGCTCCGCATCGACATAGAAACCACCTTCCCCGTCCGTCACTGCGAACATTGAGATTTGCTGATGCTGAAGATGATTCACAACACGTTACCTCTGGTACTACATTTGCGGAAAGAGGGAGTTCTTCCATGACCGGCAATTAATCAGTTCAGCCTTGTGGTGATGGAAGTAGTGGCGGCTGTGGTGGCGGCGAAGACACAGTATGGCTTGTCTGCCGCAAGAGTGATAATCCTTATCGCAGCTGTCATTATAAAAAGGTACCAGGCTAGCCATGTGATTTAGCCGGTACGCAAGCATTCCTACATAAGACCTCATTTTTCCAAAGCGCCTTCTATCATACGTCTCTTTGTAGCCCTACTGAGGCGGATTGGCAAGAATCGCCTCTCTCACGCGATCACATGGCTAAACTTGACGAGTCCCTTCCTGAGAGGTTTGAATCCTGGGATCGAGTCAAAATCTGAGTGTACATCCTCCCTGACCTGTCGCATAGGGCCATTCGCTCCGAGATTCTGGAGTATAATCACAGAGCCTATGATAAGATCAAACCCTACGTCTTTGACCCTTTGCCCCCAGCCAAGAAGAGAATTCGTCTGTTGCAGCTCAATGGCGACACACTTTACTGCCCGTCCATATATTGTGAACTTATCGAAGCCGATTATGACAACACCTTCCACATCCCTACCAGAGCCATCGATGAAAGTTCCGCAGCCTTTCAGCGCTACCGTAGTGAACTTCAAGGAATCCAAGGCTCAAAAAGGAAGCTTAAAAGAGAATATGAATGGGTGCAAGAGAACAGAATGAAGTATGAAGCTTTATCATGGTGTTGGGGCAGAGACGACCCAAAGCATGCTGTAATCATAAACAAAGCTGGAACCTCTTACAAGATGAGGGTGAGGAAGGACTTGGCGCTAGCCTTGAAATATCTCCGTCATTCCGAAAAGACAAGGTTAGTCCTCATAGCATAAACTGCATACGTAACTTTCGCTAACACTGTACCTTTGGATCTGTAGAACACTCTGGATAGACGCCATATGTATTGATCAAGCTAATTCCGAAGAACGCAACCAGCAGGTGCAAATGATGTCCAGGATTTACACGAGATCATCGAACGTTTGCATATGGCTTGGGGAAGACGACAATGCAGACGAGCGTGCGATCAAATTCATACGCAAGAAGATCACGCATCTGAAGGATTTCGATACGATTAGTTCCAACGAAATCTATAGTGAAGATTGGCACGCATTGATGATGCTGATGCAGAAGGAGTGGTTTTCCCGTCGCTGGGTCGTTCAAGAGATTTCCCTCGCCAAAAACGCTCGGATTCACTGTGGCCCATACTCCATCCCCTGGAAAGAGTTCGCAGTTGCTGTGGAGCTATTTGTGGAGGTCGAGACCGCTACGCATCGATTGTCGGAGGTGATGTGGAAGGACAAGAAGTTTCTGCATGTACCTGGTATGTTCGAATACGTCTCAGAACTTGGAGCCAGTCTTCTTGTAGGAGCAACAGGCAAGATCTTTCGTACTCACAAAACCCCAATGGATGATGATCATGGCGATGACGAAACCGCTGAAGATATGGTGGCGTGGATGGAAGAGGTACACACGATTGATCCACTGGACCGAAGAAGCCTTCTCAGCTTGGAGTATCTGGTCACGACCATGTTCATCTTCAGAGCGACCGAATGTCGAGACTCGATCTACTCCATGTTGGCTATAGCCAGAGACGCTGCACCGTTCGCAGATCCGGACCGGTCTTATGATGATGTATCACTTACAATGACACTCTTCGATTCTTTCCTCGCAGAAAAGCCATTCCGAGTCGACTATGCCAGACCATACTCAGATGTTTGCCGGGATTTTGTCGAGTTTTGCATCCAGCGCACACACGCGCGTGAACCAGTGCAGGCACTGGATATTCTTTGTCGCCCCTGGGCATTGGAGCCGCCACAAGGTAGATCTATACGTCTGTCGCCGGAACGTTCAACTAGAAACCGAGGACAGGAGCGCCTGAAACCTGAACGCGAGGTACCATGGAAAAGATTAGTTTGCCAAGTGAAGTGGGAACCAAGGCAGCCCGAGTGGTCACTAGAAAAGCCCGAGTGGACGTATGAGAAGCCTAGAAAGATTGAGAGAAATGATTGGATCGAAGATGACCGTGAAATGGAAGAATACTGGGAAGAAAATAGGAAGAAGGAGATAGGAGATGTGACAGAATCTTGGACATATACTTCCTGGACACACACTCTTCTCATGTCCCATAAAGTTACTTGGAAGAAACCTGAGGGGTGGGACAAGGTCGAAGCGCTCGTTGCGGTGTCAGCCAAACGTGGACCAGCGAGGAAAACATCACCGGAAGATATCGATCGCGATCTAGACTTGCCGTCATGGGTGTGTCGCGCCAAAAAGGCACCATTCGAGCTTTATGCACATCCCGGTATGCACATCAAGAAGACTGGAAGAGCCAATGCAAACCCCCTGGTTGGAGAACCAGCGGATGGTCATCGAAACTACAGCGCTGCGCAAACCAAAGGCTTGACACTCAAATCTTCTGAGGGCTTCAAATTTCGAAAAAGACCGTGCGCAGGTCACTATAGCCTCTATGTTCGGGGGTTCGTCATCGACGCGGTGAAAACAGTAGTGGAAGCTTCACAGGGAGGAAACATCCCTAGATCTTGGCTTGATCTGGGTGGTTGGGAATCACCATATGACAACGATCCACCAGGCGAGCTCTGGAGAACGCTTGTCGCTGATAGAGGCAACGACAATCGAAATCCGCCCAACTACTATGCCAGAGCTTGTCGAGAATCAGTGAGTAGAGGAGGCATTGCCAGTGGCAGGGTCGATACCACAGCTCTGATCAACAACGAACGCAATTCCATTATCGCAGAATTTTGCCGAAGGGTACATGCTGTCATATGGGGTCGATCCATGTTCAGGACCGAATCTGGAAAACTTGGGATCGCATGTAGTGACGTGAAGGTTGGTGACAAGATCTGCATTCTCTATGGATGTACAGTGCCAGTCATCTTGAGCGTTCAACACAAGAAACCTGCACAGAGAGAGCAGGATGAATTCGAGGATCATTTTGAGGCATTTAAATCTTGCTACGAAAGGTTGGAGAGAATCATGGTGCGAAAATATCGGTATAACAAGAAGAAGTCGAAGGATCCAATGTGGGAGGCGCAGGTCAAATCAAGTACTGAAAGGCTCAAGAATGAACTGGATTTGTTGAGACGATACGCTAAAGAAGACCAGGAACGACAGAGGAAAAGGGCCATCACCAGGGAGATCATCAGGGCCGAGCTTAAAGGGAAAGAAAAGGTCATAGTCAGCGAGCAGGACAAAGAAGAAGATGAACAAAGCAAGAAAAAAAAGCAGGGTACTAAGCAGGAGACCGATATTTCGGTGGCGACCAGATTCCTTCATCTCTTCGTGGACATGGTCTGGATCATCATCTCCTGTGCCATCTATTTCGCATCAAGATACTTTGACCTCCCCAACTGGGCCGCCACCCTTGCTCCAGTCGTCATAACCACGCTAGCCAGTCTGTCCGAATACGTACCGCTTGATCTCAAAGCCAGCTTGAAGCATGATGCGTCTCCGGATGAAGATCCAGACCTCGATGCTAACAGATACTATATCTTTAAGGGTGAAAGCTATGTCCATGGTTTTATGGACGGGGAAGCATTGCGTGCTAAGTTCTACAAGGAAGGGACTGCAGAAGATCGAATTTTTGAGCTTAGATGACATTATGTTGTACCCTAAGTGTATCAAGCGTCAATCTCTAATGATCATTCCGAATGCGCGGTATACTGGAGGCCTTCATCCAACAAGATTTATGCGAGGAGACAGCGGATTCCAAATGTCCTGTTGTCGAGGGTATGTGCCGTTGCTTGCCTATCAATATCATTTCTCAACGTTCTTGTGTTAGGCGCTTTCCGCTGATGTGTATGTGTCTTGCTTAGAGACCGCAGCTCTCCGCGAATCTTCGAAGTCATTGGAAATTTCTCGGTAAAGTTTTTTGGGATCCTTTTGAGCGTCTTCCTTGATCTGCACTTTCCACCTGTCCCAGACCTCGGTTCTTGGAAGCATGTTGGATGCTTCTACCCATTCATGTACATCTTCAGCTTGGCAAAACCGCCTTATGAGTTTTGCGTATATGTGCGTTCTTGTAAGGTTTTGAGGATCGTTGATACTCTCAATCATGGATAACTTCGACAGCACGCACTGGCTATTTGCCCACTGACCAACAAGAACATTAGCCTGCGCTACGATATTGAGAATAACAAAAGCGACTTGGTCTGCCGTGCTTCCATTGGGTATACTCGTGAGGAACGAGAGCAGAACCATGAGGCTGCCCATCCTGGTGAAGAGCTGCCAAACTGAGGCGGGAATTCCCAGCGGACTTTCTCGGTAGATAAGACCACTGCTAGTCCAGCTCTTGACATCTTTGCGACTTCCTTCTAGAACAAACGCTGAGTTGCTGCGACCCATGATGAATACAGCGTCAAGCGCGTTCGGATCGTTGACATGATCTAGGCCGTTTGTTGAGGGAATAACATTGACGTGCTCAATGAGACGGATCATGATAGACCAACCAGTAAACGTAATGCAAGTCGCGAGCGAGACCCAGGTCGTCTGATCGCTCTTGCATATACCAAAAATCAAGCCGGCGAAAAAAGCCCACGTGGCACATGTCCAAAGTACCAGAAAGGTCTGGCTTTTCCTGTTGACGCTTTGTGACTTGGAACTACTGGTCGGTATCTGGTAAACGGTATATCGTCCATCTTCTAAGAGTTTGTTAAGCTTCAGAGCATTCGAGAGTTGGATGTTGCGCAGCGGGGCACTTTTGACTCCGTACGGTGAAAAGTATGTTTCAGCGCTCGTGTCGAGTAACATGGCGTAGGATCGAACATAATTCTGGAGACCGACAACTGGAGCAGCCACGAGGCATTGGAGAAGTGATCGCCGGCTCAGTCGGTAATTCCGCTCCTCGTCTTCACTGATCAGGACGATAAGCGAACTGACATCAAGTGTCCATGGTTGCAACTGTGGGGGTGCGGCCATTTAATACTGTGCGTAAATTGCAGGCAGATTTGGGAGTTTGAAGTATGTATGAATTGAAAACGCAAGTGTTCAACCCCGCATATGTATACATCATTCCATGCTGACCGGTGTGGACGCTGCGCCACCTTAGTCAAGAGCGCAATCCGCACAGCACTTTCTTAGGATGATTTCAATGATGTTAGCCTTATCCGCGCTGCTTTGGCTCACCGGGCATAGATGTCATTGTAGTTACTACGGCTGGTCTAAAGATCTCCTTGGTCGCTGACATCTTGAGTTGGGCCTTAGGGGAAGCGCCTCCAGCATCTTAGGCCCGCCAAGAGGCCTGGCCAGGTCAGAAAGGCAAACCACCAATCCTCGTTGTTGCGTCACTTCAGCTCATGTTGCAGTTGCATGATTGCGCATGACATTAGGCATCAGCTGTGAGGCAGGAATCTCGCCCAGATCGCTGGTTGGTGCTGGAAGCGAACGCCCCCTCTGACTGTGCATGACTGGCTTATATAGCTCAACACCCCTGCAGACATGGTATGCCATGGCTTTCGGCTTTCTTGATTTGTGAGCAGCCTTCCGATAGGCATTTAACAATATTTCCTGAACACTATTCACCTATCTGGCAATTTGTATAGCATTGGATTTAAGGTTCAGACCTATTTTGCTGGTATACGTAGCTTCGCTTCCTATCCTACTGGAACGAATGGGTAATTCTACAGGCGTGCCGCGGAGATTTTTGGCAAGGTACACGTGCAAAGATGCTGTCTAGATGATGTCGACTCATCAATTAAGGAATAAAGACTAGGCGTTCTCAGTCCTCGGTCAGACCAACTCGTATGCTGAGCCAAGCGATTGCGACTGTAGCAAGAACACTGGTACAGCCTCGATGAGTGGCCTAAGGCTGAGAAACCCACCATAACTAGGAATCCGTTGCTGTATGTGCTCATTTTCCTCATGTTGCATGCATATTTGTTCATCCAAGGTTGAGTAGTTGGAGAATGAAGTCACGCGATAACGAGCTCAAGCATGTATCAATTCCGATATCTCGTTGCCCAGACGAACATTATCGAGCAGCAAATGTATAGTTGCCGCGATCATAGAACGAGGTATAGCCACGTTGCAAGCCTAATTCCTTACATCACTCCTTACGTCTTGTGACCACTGTCGTTGTCGTAATCGTCACTGTGTCCTCAATACTCCCAGTTCTGCCATTATCACTCCTCCCAGATCCACCGCGCTCCGTTACTTCATTGTCCTTTTCCTCCTCTGGGGTATCAGGCTGCACAACCGCAGGATTGGGATTTTCTACGATGAATGTCCCTAGCGAGCACGGTTTTGGGGTAGTTGTACCGGACATTGCTGTTAGGCCGATAGATGAGTATAAGAAGATTTATGCGAGGAATTCGAAGATCAGATGTCGGCGTAAGATGGGGGAGATTTAAATATGTGCGAGAACTGATAGAGAGTGTCAGGAGTGTTTGAGAGGGGCGTTGGAAGTGACAGTTGGTCACAAACGTGCGAGAAGCAACGTAGCGTGCGCGAACGAGCCTTGCTGTTAGCTATCTGCTGCTGCTGACAAGCAAGGCTATCAGACGCTCGTCATAGCTCATATAGAGATTCTTTATCTGTTGTTCTATCTTGGCGCGCATGTGAACATGGTCAAATGACAGTTGTGATGTGGACAGTGTTTTCGAGGATAGGTAGGTTATGGCGTGGGTCAATAGACAGCAGAGCGCTTGTAAATTGAAAACAATGATAGTCAAAGTACTAATACAGTGATAAAGTCTTGCGAGTCTCTACCTTTATATTGTTTTCTGCGAGGTGCAACCCGCCGACCTCCAGCCGAGTAAAAGGCGTCTTTATCTCAAATGTACCATCGCACTGTAGTCTCCCACGAGCTACACAACTATCTATCTGCAGACGGGAAGGGATTCAACACTTCCTAGACCAGAGCAACCATTGTTGTTCTTCATGGGCGGACCATCCCTCCCCGCCTCCTTCTCAACGCCTAAGTAGTTCATGCAAACATCCTTATTGTTGCTACCACAAGTACCAGTAACAACAGCCGTATCGCCAAAGTTGTTGTTAATAGCAACAAGGTCCGAAGTCATACCGCTAGCGCGAACATTTTCAATCACGACGTGGCGAGGACTGTTTGCCCGGTTGTTGGAGCAGTTACCGCAGCTACGGTAGAGTTTACCCGAGTTGGTGACGGTGTAGTTGCGAATGGTCACGCGGCCTTTGCCGTTATGCTGGATGACCTTGTCGTTGGCGCCTGTGGCACCGCCGCCTTCGATGAGGACTTCGCCTGGCCCAAGAGCGGTGACGGCGTCTGCAAGATGTTAGTTCGTCATGGTTTCGTTTGTGAGTGAGGAGACTATTCGCACCTTCGCAGACGTTCCTGAACCAAACGTTCTTCAGGGTACAACGGCCGCGGCAATGGATACCTGCAAAGCGTTAGTGAGTTGTTTCCCAGAAGTAGGGTTGGAAGAATGTTACCGTCGATCTGGTTGGGACCGATGATCAAGTTTTCGATGGTTACGCCATCGTCGAGGATGAAGACTGGAGGTCCCTTCGTCTCGTCATCGCAGATGATGCCGCTGTCAAACTCTGCCATGCCGAAATCTCTGTTCGCAGAGACGCGAGCGTTGGAAGCACGCTGCACAGTGCCGACTCTAGCAGGGACATGGAGAACTTGAGCAGAAGCCAGGGAGGCGGCGAGAGCGGCAAGCGTGAAGGAAGTGAACTGCATGGTGGAAGAAGGTTGGGCTGTCTAGAAACTGAAGATATGGATGACCGTGGAGTATTTGAGCGGTGGGGTTGAAAAGATGGTCTGGAGACTTGAGAGACTTGGACTGTAACGAATGTGAAGATGCTGATGAAGTTGCTGGTGGAGATGCTGATGGAGATACTGATGGAGCTGATGATATTTTCAAGTGAGACAGCATGGAAGTTATATACTCGGCCATTCTCCTTGAGAAATTACTACAACACTTGATATCTTACGACTTGGAAGACTGCGAATGCGAGAGCGGTCAATCCATCTAGGGATGGCATGCGATACTCCTCTTGGTATCCAGTATCAAGTGAAAGCCAATACGAGATGCTTTGATCACGCAAAGAACAAACAGCAATCTAGCGTACTACATCTTGGACACCGTAGCTCAGTTGGTCCTGATCGATCAAGGATGCATTAAGATCTAGACAGATCTTGTACACGCGGCAGGTTCCGCTTGACCTGGCGTCACTGTAGTAGCTGTCTTGGTGTACTGTATTCATCTTCTAGAACAGCTGATTCTGCTTGGCGCCTAGCTAGACTATTCCTAGGCTGCTTTCCCACTCAGATGTTTGATGGTTGAAACCGGCGAGACTATATTCTCGGCTTTTATGCTGTCATGTTAGGGCGGGATAGTGGCGTAACTAGTAGTTTGGCGTTTACCCTGCGTTGGTTCTCTGTCTGTGCGCTCAATGCGTTGGAACTTCCCGATAAAGTGTCCGTGCACGTTTCGTGCTACGGACTATAAGGTCGAATTCCCTTGACATTTCCTATATTTACTAAGTAAATTTTGCTTCTATCGTACCTGGCCAATCATCTGTGATTAACGTTGATTCTAGAAAGGATTCAAGTACCCCTTTCAGGAGCCATCTTGTATGATCTTCTGCCCACTTTGAGCCGCACCTCAATTGGCAACTAGATCTTCGTCCGCACGGCGGTCTCAAAGCAAGACGTTGATATCAATGATAGAAATAGACGTGGTAGCGCAGCCTGAGAGCGTGGCGTGTCAAAAGTAGCCAGTAGAATCAACATAAACATCGGCTGCGATGTCGAATTCTTTCTTTAATGTTCAGCCAATAATAACATTCTGACAATCCTGTACTTCTGCACATTTCTCCTATCCATCACAGTCATCCAACTTCCCATCCATTCCAATGCACCACCCAGCCTTATTCATACGGTTTCATAACCTCGTTGCCCGCAACAGCCTCCGCAAACCCCGGAATCGCCGTCGAATGACACCAAGGCTTCTGCTCAATCTCCTTGCGAATCTGTTGTGAGAAGCAAGTCGACCAGCCCAGTCTGGGTAGTTGTCGTGTTACCGCTTCAATCACTTCACGGCTTATGAGATGGGGTTGCCAACCCATGTTATCTTTTAGTTTCAAGTCAGTAAGATGTGTATTCTTCGTTGGGAAACAACAACAAACTCTTCAACGAAAGAACAAAAAGGGAAAAACGTTCAAAAGCAGCAATAGTAGTCAAACATACCAAACTCAGTTGCAACCTGTATCAGCTGTCCCATGGCACTAATCGTGCCCGTCTCACCAGGATCCTGATGCCGGATAATAGCTTCCGCAACGCTCTCCGCCTGTATTTTGGCGGCACCAAACTCCTGCAACTTGGCCAGAGCGATGAAGCCGCCCTGGAAATCAAACGACATGTGCGTAGACGACATGTTCTGCGCTGTAGTCCCGATATCGTGGAGCAGGCATGTCAGCGCCCACGTTTCGAAAAACGTGCTCGACTTCCAGTCGGGCAGGTACTGCGTGACAATCTGGTGACCTGGTTTGCGGTGTTTGTTAGTTTCAGTTTGAATAGGGGCGGGCGTGTTAAGTGGGGATTTGCTGTTGTTGGTACACGGCGAGAAAGGTGTTGTTCTTGTTTGAAGCCGAATGAGATTTGGGGGAGTGGCTTACCGTAGGCGTACACTCGGAGACTGTGGTTGTACGTCTCTGTAGGCAACTCGCGCTTCGCGTATTCACGCGCTTTTTTCGTCAACTCGTTGTCTGGCCAGATGCCTGTGATGTCGACTGCGGCCGCGTTGGTTTGGGGAGCAGCAGCTTCCTTGGCAGAAGGGACGTTGGAACGGTCTCTTGGAACGGCAGTCCAGCCGTAAGATCTGATTTCGTCCGACATTGTATGATATTTGGACAGAGCTTTAGAGTGCGGGTGAACAGGAGAGATGGAAGTCGTCGTGGTTGTTGGATCTAGAGTTGAGTTGACGCAACTTTAAGTAGTCGCATGTATCATGATGCAGATACGCCTTCCGGCCTAAATAGGTTAGACTTGACATGATGCCACAACCGCACTAGCAAACACAACGTCGACTCGTTGAGTAAGCACGTCACATCGGTAAAATTGCAATTGACTATGCGCCTTGTTGTCGTCTTGGTTGAATTCATCAACTCCGGGCCACAGTCTTTTTGGTCAGAATGACATCATCTACGTCATACCTAGCCACGGCCAAAGTCGCAAGCAAGTCGATCTCTGGAAATGGAGTCTGTTATCATCGTTCTTTAAATGTATCCTCCATAACACGATACAGCTGAACCATTTCAACTCCTATTATCGGCGCACTAAAGACTTCAAACAGGTTGATAATCACTCATTTCTACTTCCTACTCACATTGTCAAGCCTATCCGTCCACCCAGCGCACCATCACCGCCTCAGCGGACTCCTGAATCCCATACTACCAAACTGACTCCCCCCTTTCTTCGGCGTCGTCAACGGATCATTCACTTCCCCACCACCCTGCGCACCACCACCACCAAAACTCCCGCTAACCACCCTACTCCCCCCTCCTCCAACCCCGCCACCTCCAATACGCCCCCCACTCCCCGGCGCCTTGAACCCCACCATACTACCCCTACTATAAACATCATTCAACATCGTCTCCACAACCCCCGCATCCTCATACTCCTGCCACTTTCTCCAAAGCTTCAACGCCGTCACCGCGTCCTCGATCGAATCATGCGTCTCCTGCTGAATACTCTCCTGCGAAAAAGAAGAACAACAAGTCAGCTTCGTACGTTGAACACAACAAATTGTGCTGTAATAAAAAGCCATACAAAACAACATACCTTGAGTACACACCACGCCAGAAACTTCAAATTCAACTTCCTCTTGAAATCCGGTTTAAACCACAGCTGACTCGTATCAACCACCTGCACTTTTGGCACATGAATATTAATGGTTCGGAAATCGTTGGCGAGGGAGTGTCCCACAAAGACACAACCGAGATTCAACAACAGCCACAACTTCTTGTACGCGTGTTTGAGTGACACGGGCGCGTGCGGCGAAGTCTCTCTGCTGAGATCTCCAGGCGAGATACCAGACCATTCAGTCAAGTAGTCGACCACTGTTTCGGTGACGGCGATGTAGTCGTCGATGAAGGGCAGGCCTGCTTGTTCGCCCTCGCCACGGCAGACAGACACGCGAGCAAGACCTTTGCGGTCCGGGCGAATGGTTTGTCGGGTACCGTCAGCTTTCATTTCGATTTCCTCAGCCTGGAGGCGGATGAATTCTGCATCGATCGCAACGGGATAACCCGGCCGCGGTTTCTCGGCTTCGGAATGCAAAAGCTTGAATTTCGTGTCCGGGGGTGGTGGATTGGACGACCACCATCTGTATAGGATGGAAGTGTCTAGATTCTCTTTCCAGGAGTCGTCAATCTTGTTGCGGGCGGATTTCAACTGGAAAGTCAACACAGAGGGCAGTTTCCAACTTGGTTCAAAACGGAGGGCTTCTTCTTTGGGGATGGGGCGGACTAGGAAGTCGTTGAAAAGGTGCCATCTGTCTTCCAGGTCTTCTTCTCGAGAGGAAGGTGCGGTGTTGATGGTCGCGACGAGATGAGGCTTCTGATGCTCGCCGCTGTTGATGTCTGCAACTATCCCGACAAGCTCATACACCATGATCTGGTGTACTCCGCGTTGCAAGTGTAGCTTCAGATCTTGGCCCTCAAAGCAGTAAAACTGACCTTGATCTACTATGATTCCGATCTCTTGTGGAAGCCAATTAGGTATAGACCACAATAGTTTTGCTTCGTGACTTTGTATAGCAGCGTTGAGCATTAGTACTCCAGGAACTGATTGAATCGTCTTCCGCTGCACCATCTGTTGGTACCGGTTGCACTTTGTGCACCAGCCTCTAGTCTGGTCTTGCCGCTCGACACTTGCCTTGAGGATTTGTGAGAAGGTGGGACGTGGTATCCGTGTGTTCTTCATAACGTGCTTCGCCGGATACACGAGCTCGTTCACGAAGTTCTTGCCTCCACGAATGGTTTCGTTGTTGCATTGTGCACATCTCATGCTTGCTTTCGCCTGGGTTTCCAGCACTTGGTCCATGGCTGACGGACCGGTATGACCAGGTAGCATCTGCCGGAACTCTTCCGAAACCTTTTCGAGCAAGAATCGATTGAGATTCTGGATCATACTGGTGAGCGCAACATTAGGCGCGAACTCTTCGAGTAGGTTCAGTGAGACTGCATTTGAAAGGCCACTGAAAGTCTTCAGGAAGTTGGATGCCTGGCAATTGAGTCCAGCCGCCTTTTCAAGCATGTCGATGAGGAAGCCTAGCTCGCAAAGGAGGCATGACTCGAAAAGACACGGTGAAGCAGTGTGCTGGAGCGCAAGATTACGCAGCAACGGTGTGAAGCGGAAGAGCTGCAAAAGAGGGTTAGCGTAGGAGTTAGTGATGTGTGTCTCCAGTCCGGAGTACGGTGTCTGGTTGTAGTATCTGGTACCAAGTTAGTGCAAGTGTAATTAGTGTGTACTTGAACACATACGCAAAGTCGAAATCATCAACACCAAACTTGCTGTACTTGATTTCTACGTTGCCATACATGGCAGGAACATCTTTGCGCGTGACGTCGTCGAGATGCAGATCAGTCAGAGTCTCCATGGTCTCCGATGCCAGGGCATCTGGTTCGGTGAATGATTGCGAGGCTCGAGTCTTCTCGCTCAAGAACTTGGGCGCCGACAACGACTCGCTTACTCTGTCCACCTGCCGTGTCGCTTCAGCCTGGTTTCTGCGTTTTGTTCTGGGATTCTTGGCAAAGAAGCCAATCTCGGTGCGAGTCATGTTGTTAAGTATGGCGCTATCAATCTTGGGCGGAGGGGCGCCGACTTCAAAAACCAGATGACTAGGCCAGCTCGACAGCAGCTGTTCCTTGTAATATGGCATTCCAACAGTGCTCAAAGGCCTAGGAAATGTCAGTGATCGGCATAGCGTCATGCCAAACAAAACCTACGTGTCTGGGCTCCAGTCCATTTGCGGCGGCGGTTGGGTATTGTGGTCGGCGGTCTCTGTAGGGTTACTGTATTCTGGAAAATGCACCTTGGTAGGAGAACCCCACAGGTGGATCTGAGAGTTGGAGTCTGCCAGCGCAATAGCCTCACCAGATGGTGCCATCTCGAAGCCAGTAAGGTAAGACTCATAGAAGTTCAGCTGCCGGAGGTTGGCCGAGTCCGGATTCATGAGATCAATGACCTGCATCTGGCCGTTTTGAGATGCTATAAAAGCAGTGGTGGACATGCGGGGGTGCATGCGTACAAAAGCTGCACCCGTGTGAAACGGAATGGGAGGCAGCTGTTTGAGCGTCTTCAAGGAAAAGACATTGGTGAATGGGTCGAGCATATACGCATACTGTTGTCGAGGAGACCAGCCACATGTTGCGAGGAAGTCGCCCTTAGCGTCCATATCGCTGATGCTACCAGTGTGTCCTTCGAAGACTTTGATGACGGAGAGCGAGTTTGAGTCCAAGATGTGAATGCCGCCGTTCTTAGTAGCGGCACAAAGGTACTGTCCAGCGCGCTTCATAATGGTATACTGTGCTTCGGCAGGGAGCTTCCACTGGTCAGCGAATGTCAGCTTCTCCAAGGGACACAGCATACCGTATGTGTAATCAAGCCCTTTTCCACATCCACTTTGAACATTTGCTCCTGACATCCTGCGACGAGGATCTCGCGCGTACCTTTCGAAGTAAAGTTCATACATTTCATGTCCTTGAACTCGGCGCTCCTATATGCTGATAGTCAGCCGCTGCCCGTGTGCGCCATTGATTCCCCTCCTGTAGCCAACGTACGTCAGATGCCATTGTGTGAGCCCGCGGCGATGGGAGTAGTGGACGCTGTTCCTAGAAATTGAGAGCACGCCCTTGTCGGTGAAGAGGAATTGTTTGACTGGGCCATCAGATGTTGCGTGTCCGCGGTATGAGGTATATCGTTCGAGATGAGGGCCGAAGAAGGACGTGACGCGCCCCTGTAGACTTGTAAGTCCCGCTGCACTCGGCACGGATTATGTGTGAACGTACTCACTTGGTTGTTTCCCGTCCATAGCAGTTCTTGCGTCGTGTCAAATGCGAATGTAGATATGGGCACATTAGGAAGATGTGGTCCTGGGGGCGGCAGTTGAGCAATGGCTAGCTGTGCAATCGTCAGTCGCGGTAGGCATAATTTTGAGCACAAACGGAGGCATACCTCATCCCAGTCCGCCTCCATACTTCAGTCGCGTAATGCAGTCCAGTAGCTCGACCGAGCAACTCCGACATGCCTTGTGCTTGTCTGTTGGCCGGCGCGTCGCGGTAGCTGAGGTCTTGCGGCGTGGGGTGAGGTCGGAGCTAAGAGACGCGAACGTGTGTCTTGGTGGGACCGCGGGGCATTCGGGAACAGAGCCGCACCCACCGCGCTGGAAGGCACGGCAGCATGCCGACAGGTTTATAGTCTCGCAGCACACTTTACAGTCACAAAATTATGCAGTCACACATCGCTTCTTCACGTGTTTCATTCCTACAGAAGATTTCCCAGCACGAAATGTGTAATGGACTACCTAAAACACTACGCAACCATAGTGCATAAAACAAGTGGCTAACATACGCCCACATGGAAGGGAACGTGAAGAATAGCATGTCTTACCTGACACCATGTCCGGCCATAGCCATGGAAGATGCTTGGCGAGCAATGTCAGATGAAATGGGTATAGAGCGCCTGTAGAGCGGTCGTGCTTAGTGAGATGGCTCAATAGACGGAGGTGTGCACCCAAGAGTCATACCGAAGATATGCAAATGCCGTAGACTTCGTCGAGGCACATGTAGGTTATCGTGACAAGCCGTGGCATGAGAGAAAACCTGTATCAGGTCAGCTCCGTGTTCTCCTGCAAAGCGAGTAGCTTTGATTCTTGGTCAGCCATGGATCACTCCATATAGCTGTATGACCGCGTATGCCTAGGTCTGAGGTTGGCCCAAGGGCAACGTAAGCAAGAGGTTCAAGTATCAAAATGATTTAATTTCACAATCACATACCACAAAGTGTCCGTTGGCCGTCTTTCAGTATACTCAAAAGCGCTTGCGGTCGGCAGAATACTCTTCGTCCTTCTCGGCATCACCCTTATGGTCGTAACGCTGACGCTTGTGGGTCTCGGTCATGCCCTTGCCAGAGCCTGTGAAGCCGACTGTGACATGTTAGTGGGAGGGTACAAACAAGGATGAAAACGGTTGCTCACCTCGGCTGCCGGCGTCAGTACTAGTGCGGAACATGGACTCCTTCTTGACAACGCCCTTCTTAGCACCCTTGCTCTGGAAATCTGCCCAATTCGACTGCCTCTTCTTCAAGATACCCTTGTTAGCTATGCGACTAGGCTTCTTGTCCTCGTTTACCTCTAGAGCAGCGTTCTTGCCAGCGTGTGCGTTCGGGTTCATGCTAGCAGGTCCTGAGATGACGTGGGCGCTCGAGACAACAGGCGCAGGCGGAGTTGCAACAGAAGCAGGCTCGGCATCTCGCTTGCGCTTGTTCGCAAGAGGACGTACGGCAGTGCGATCGACGGTCAGTGTATCATCGTACTCGAGGAAGCGAACAAGATACTTGGGTGCTGAGACGGAGCCGAGGATACTCTGGATCTTGGCCTTGTACCAAGACCTGTCAGTCCACTGGGCCTCGCAGATGTCGCCAATGCTAAATGAGACTGCCTTCTCGGGCTCCTGCTTCTCCATGGCCTTGCGCAGAACGGGGTGCTTTTCAGGATCAAATTTGGGACCAGCGGGCTCGGCGGGCGATTGGGGAAGCTGAGCTTCGAGAGCGGCGAGCTCAGGACGCAATCGCTCAAGTTTAGCATCGTGTTTGGCGATTTCGTTCAGCATGTCTGTGCGCATGACCGTCATTTCGTCGGAGCTGCCAGTGCTGGCAATGAGCTTGTCCATCTCTGCGAGCTATGCAATATTAGCCAAGTCAATGCGACAGCCTGGTGGCGCGCAACTCACACTCTCAGCCCATCCTGCGCGGAGTCCCTCCTCTTCGGCGATTGCCTGCCTTTTGGCGTTGATGGCGTTCTTTGTCTGCTTGATTTGGTCCGCCATGTTGTCGTGGAGTCTGGTGAGTCTGGTGGGTGTGGTGTTGTGGTGGGGTTGAGTTGTTGTACCTCGCGCCTGCGATTGAGGAAGTCGCGACTGGCAGTGACGCTGGACTTGGCAGGCGCTAGACTTGGCATCGACCCACATAGCCTAGACCCTTTTTTCTCCGCGCTTCAGCCCTACTAGTGATTGAGCGCGTTTCAATGCTGTAATGAACCATCACCACCTGGCTACATTTCCAAGGGTGTCATCTTGACACGCGCGAATCATGCGGATGTCCGTCGCGTGTATGATGGTCTCTCTACACTAACATGGTTCTTGGCATCCATGAGAGCCAGATGTCTTGGCACCATTTCGTGCGACTTCATCAACGCTAGTGGACGGAGAATTCCTACAAAGAAGCCCTGTCTATTAGAAAAAGAGTTTTGAAGCGCGAAGAAGCTTGGGTATTCCCTGTGCCAGACTTCAGAGGCAGATGACAATGACGCATCATGCGTAATGCTGAATCAGAACCTTGAAAGCATCTGTACGCCTCTCGCAGTGGACTTCCATAGAGGGCAACGTTTCCAAATGAGCAAACATGGATCGACATCTCCCTTGATGTTTCTGTGCGTTGAACATGACTTGGCCACAATCATAACATGATGGAGCACATCTCCAGAGTGTGGCCGCCACTGGAAGAGTAGCCACGGAGGCAACGGCAGTCGTCCAAGTCGAAATGAAACAGTACAAGCCACAACGTGTGCCTATGATATGGGTTAGCACGTTAATGTGCCTAGATGCGAAAACAGTATTTGAGGTAGTTTTGAGGAGCCATATTGGCTGCCTTGCCAGGAACAGGAAGGGGTGATCTGCATGTGCTGGTCCGTTCTGACTGTCTTCGATGGCGTTCTTCTCCTACCCCACCAAGCTTTGTGCTTATCAATCACCTCACAGGGAACCTCATGCTGAACCTGACGTGCAGCTGCGCCCTTCTCTAACGCCGTGCTTCTGCGAGAACAGTCACACCTTTTGATCCAACCTATCAGTGACGTCGCTCACCCGTTCATCTCCTGTCGGCCGCTTTGTGACAGGCCCAGCATTGTCGCTCCGAAAAGTCGCCCGAACCAAGGTGCTAGGGTGCCGCATTAGACCCGGCGTCCAGGCTGTGAGGCTGCGAATTGATCTGTTACGCCATTCCTCCTTCACCATCTGACCACCTTTCACACAAATTGTCTACTTTGCCCACTACCTGCTCGCATTCCCCTCCGCGGTCGTCAGAGTGAGTGCGCTACACCCTTGGACTGCTCTAGCCTGGTACAGGCCCCCATCCCCAGACCCGCCAAACATTCGTCCGCCCGCTGGCCTGTGTCGGACCGCCCACTGTAGACTCTTCGCATCTACGCCAAACGTCTTGCGTCACCAATACCAGCTTCGTATACCCCAGCGTGCCCGCGTCCTCCACATTTTGCGGCACTAGGGTGGCGAAAACGGTTATCGCACGTGTTTGACCGATAGCGCCAGCCCCTCCGAACTTCCGCATCACTGCGCGGCTCAGACGAGCGACACCACCCATAAGCTCTGCTCGGAGCTCCACACAACACCACAGTTCCCGCAACCCTTCAAGTGCAATTGCAATGGCAGGAACTACCAACGACTTCCAGAACGGTGCGCCCTTCTACCTCGATGCGACGCAGCAGGATCTCCTCCTTGCAGCTCTGGCCTCGAACAACCAGAACCCAAACGACCTCTTTTCCGCTGGCTTCGACAACGGCTCTAGCAATAAGCAGTCTATGAGCAATTCGCAGTTTCAGTATCCCCTCGATAGTCTCGATCCCGCATACTTCACCTCGCCGCAACAGCAGGCGCCCACGAACAACTTCAACAACAGCATGGACGAAAGCCCCTTTGTCGACTACCTCGACGGAGACAATAGCTTCGACTTCGACAACGCAGACGGCGACATGATTGGGTCGCTGCCCGGCGACACGCCCGGCGATTCAAGCGAAAAGCGGAAGAGCCCGGGTGACGAGGGCGACGACGATGACGAGGGCGGCGGCAAGCGAAGAGAGGGTGAAGACAAGCAAGCGAAGAAGCCGGGGCGTAAGCCGCTGACTTCGGAGCCTACGACTGTAGGTGAAATAGAGGATGCTCACTTGGTATAAACTGACAACAGCTATAGAAGAGGAAAGCCCAGAACCGCGCGGCCCAACGAGCTTTCCGAGAACGTAAGGAAAAGCACCTCAAGGACTTGGAGACCAAGGTACAAGAGCTCGAGAAAGCTTCTGATGCCACAAACCACGAGAATGGGCTCCTGCGGGCTCAAGTGCAACGGCTGCAGATGGAACTTCGCGAATACCGCAAACGACTCTCAATGAACAGCACCGGAGTGACACGCACTCCACCACTCGCTGGAGGCTTTAGCTCGATGCTGAACAACAATAGCAGCAATAACAACTTCTCTTTCGAATTCCCGCGTTTTGGCGGACTCCCTGGCGCCCAGCTCCTAGACAACGGTCCTTTGGCCAAGAAGAACGCATCAGTTTCGACAAATGCGTCAAGTCGGCACAACAGCACCGGACCTGCGCTTAGTCCGACCAGCAAGGCTAATGGCCAGCTCACAAACTCTCCAGGCGCTATGACAGGCAACGGGCAGCGTTCTGGCAGTCTGAACGGCTTCTTCGGTTTCGACAGCAGCAAATCGAACAACAATGACACTCCTCGCAGCAACACCGAGAGCTCTACTAGCTCACAATCACGCGTCTTCCAGTTCAACAGCGGCTCATCCAGCCATTCAGATTCCCCATCCAACTCCTCTACATCGCCCACCAATCAGGACTCGTCGTGCGGAACGACCCCAGAGCCAAGTCATACCTCGCCGAATCAGCAGGCGGACACAATCAAGGACGGATATGTGTGTCACGGAAACTCCGAAGGTGAGGTTCTCTTCTGCGAAAAGCTCAACATGGCCTGCGGCAACCCTCGTAATCCCATGCCCCGTGCGATGTCCACATCTGACGACAAACCTTCTCCTGCAGTCTTCTCACCCACCCTATCCAACGCCAACAACGCCAACAACAACAACAATAAATCTCCCACACCCGCATCGGCGGCGCTCAACGGCATCGATTACTTTGCGAACCAAAACGGCGGACAATTCGATCCGATGCTTTTCGGAGAATACCGCGATACGCAGAATGCAATCGTTGGGGACGGCAACGACTTTACGAATGGCTTCTTCAACGATGCTTTCCTCAACACTGGATACGGTTCTCCCTTCCACTTTGGCGATACACCGGCTGTGCAGAAGACAAATCCGCTCGAGGAGATTGAACGCATACAAGATGGGGAGGACGAGGTTGTTCCAGGCGAGGATGTCAATTCTTTGCTGAATTGCCACAAGATTTGGTACGTACTACATGCATGGAAAAAGACGAGATTTGAGAGGAGCTTTGGGTTGCTAACGTGTGTTTTTAATAGGGACAAATTGTCTAGTCGACCGGATTTCAAGGATGGCACCATTGACATTGACAACTTGTGCTCGGAGCTGCGTGCCAAGGCTCGTTGTTCGGAGAGCGGCGTCGTGGTGGATCACAAGGATGTTGAGGCAGCGCTTAAGCGTTTACCGAAAGATAAGCTCCTCGGATAAAGTTTGTACTCTTCCTTCTCGCGGGATGTTCACCTTGCATCGGGATATATGGCGATTATAAGGCGTATATAACACCACTTGTTTCGGGAAGGGAATGGAGTGAGGGAGAGGACAGGAAGGAGTTTTGGTTTTGTTGGTTTTCTTTCCAATCTTTTGTTATCTTTCATGTTTCACAACGGCACAGTCACTCGTTGAGCTTTATTGCTTCTAGGCAAAAGCTCGCAAATCACGATGATGATATTTGCAAAGCAAGGGAGGGCATATTGGCGTTTATGATGACTACGAAAGATGGCTATGTGAAATACACTGGTCTGGCAAATCGATTCTTGAGGGAGGCGGGGGGTTGTTGTTGCTTGGTTGGTGCTTTGTGGTTCAGACAATCTCAGCTTCCTTCTAGGTTGTATGTTCAATGAAAGTAACACTTTTTTTCATATTTTGCAACGTCATGGGTTTGGTGCATGTGGGTTTTTGAAAGTTGTGGTGGTGATGGTGGCGGTGGTGCCTTGGGGACGTGCGTGTAGTCGTGTGCATATAAAAGCTTCCTCTGCGATGTTTCTTTCCTTGTTTCTTATACTTCACGACCTGACTGTATGTGTCAAAAAAGGTGGTAGTACAGTTCATGGTGCTTGCTTCTCTTCCAAATCAGCACAGCATCAACGCATGGTGCTTGCTCTCGTGTGTCGTTGAGCTTCACCCAAGATCCTCTTTCATAATCTTTTCCCAAAATCTACTGAGCTCCTGATTCTCTCTGGAGACTTCAAATAGGGAACAGAACGAGCTATGGTGCCTGCTCGTTTCCAACGAAACACTACAACATTCACTACATGGGTTCCGCCGCCGCTGTATTTCCAACTCCATCGACTCAAAGACGGATACCGATCGATTTTGGCTCTTACAAATGGCTCAACGCACGTTTTCATGAGCTGCTGGCTCGCTGGATCTGCTCTCAAAAAGGGAAAGAAAAACGAGGATGGACGGAGTGGAGTCCATATAAAAGCCAACTTCTGGAGCTTTGGGGTTCATCCTTCTATACTTCCCAGGCTTTCCTGTTTTCTCCAAAAACCAACGGGAACTGCCTTTATGGTGCTGGGCTTTTCTCAAAACACTCGTTACGGTAATCTATGGTCCTGTTGCTCTGTCCCGCTCCCCTCCAAAATCCGAAGAGTATACGGTCGATGGCGCCTGCTGTCTTACGAAAATCACACCTCGAGCTTTCATGAGCTCCACTGCTCTTCCTTGCCCAGCCTTCTCGAAAAGAGACCAAGCCGATGAAACGAAACACTACGCGACAACAAAAGATACTCATCTCTGCTCGATGAGAGAGACGTGTGCTCGTCTCCCTTGCAAGAACGAAAAATATGCCTGCGCATTAAACATGCAGTCTGACGGGTTGATATTACATTCTCAATTCGGTACTGAGGAGGCTCATGGTGCTTCTGGCTCATTGGACCTGCCGGCAGGGACGAACGTGTGTCGTGCATCGCATATAAAAGCCTGTTGCCGGAGGGGTCGACTTCTTTTCCTATTCCCAACTATTCCTCCACCTTCTCCAAAACATAGGGCGACCTGTGGCATGGTGTCTGCTTCTCCGAAAATTCCAAACGTTTCAAACATATTTGTTTTTGCCAGATTCTTTCCAGCTCCATCAATGCAAAAAAAAATCGAAAAGTGTTTAGTCGATGTCGGCCTTTCCATGACGTACTCAAACTCCTACCGGATTGACGGAGAAAACACCTCATTAGCAGATATTCAAAAACAGGAAAAGAAAGGTTCATGTCGCTGGTCTGAGTGAGCACTACTCGACTCACAGCACATTCTCAAATCAAAATGACGATGACGAGTACATGGTGTGCTCGCTTGTCGGAGGTACTAATGGCGGGAGATGTGTATAAAAGCTAGTCTTCTGGCTTGCTATTCTTCTATATCGCCTGTTTCCCGCTGTATCAACAAAAGACATCGGGAAGATTACATGTGGTTCTGTGAGCCCAGACCCTAGGACGATGTCCAATATATGGACGTGTGTCAAAAGCATGTATACAGGAACCCATGGGAGCCGAATCAGCTTTTTGTACATGCTATGTTCAACGAAGCGCTCCATGTTAGCACTGAACAGAAAGTTGGTGGCTTCTTCGAATTGATACAGCCAAGGACGCATGAACCAATAGTAGGTTCTGCAGGCCAGCACGTGGAGGTGTGTATAAAAGCTTATCTCACTCTGCAAGATCTTCTTTCCATGCACATTCGATTTCAAGCTTACCAAAACTCAAGGCGAGGAAAGCCATGTTGCGTTGAGATCCAAAAGCCAAAACCTCTTTGCTGATGTCGCGGTGTCTCTACGGTAGGCAACTAAGTGGGCGCTCCACCGTGCGTGTACTCTGGATGCATGTCTGCAACACCTGAAAATTTGTACATGGTCAAGACATGCTTGTTTTGCATTCCAAGGTTAACACCATTTCATCGATGTTTAGCCACTGCGCCGCTATATACATGGGTCAGGACCATATGCCTTTCGGTGTCGAAGTAGTGTGTTTAGGTACGACGATGACTTTCACATGTTCCACATGGTAGAAAACAAAGCTACCCAATCTAACTCTATGAATGAGAACTGAAACATCCATTAACTAGTGTTATCCTTGCTCACCCCGTCGTGAATCTTGTCAAACACCAAATCTCCTCCAATCCGCCAGATCATACCCATTCCTTGCGTCATGTCTCGATCGCATCCTCTGCCTCTTTTACTCTTCCTCTGCAACACTAATTTCAGTCGTCTTTCTGATTCCTCCATCGCCCAAGATATTTTCTTCACTCGAATTTCTAGCTCCGCATGGACTGAGGTGACTCCGACTTGTCCTCTTTCCTGTTGACAGGATAAAGAATAGCTCTATCTCGTCGCGCGTGGTCTTCTTTCTAGCGTACATGGCGCCGCCGCTATTAAATGTGGGATACCCTTCTGTAAGCTGGTTTGACGGGGCGGAGGACGAAGACGAGAAAAGCTTCACGAAGAGTGGACGGTAGGCTGGGACGCAGGCAGACATCATGGCGACGTTTGCTTCGATTTGAGAAAGGAGGAGGATCTGAGATGGTGTTAGTCGATTGTCGATGGTAATGCGCATGATCTAGAGCAGACTCACGAAAATGCCATCATATCCAGCATCTTCAGTCACGGTATAGTTATAGAGAGCATGGAGACGCAGGATGGAGGCCAATGCGGCAATGCATCCCACCATGAAGATTCCCATGAGCGCAACTGTATCTCACGGTTAGCATTTACTCGTTTCCGTCAATCAATGCCGTATAGGTTGACGTACGGCACTTTCGTAAGTTCATGTTCAGTTGTTTGAACACTTTGAGCGGCATCACCAAGATGACTACGTCGGTGACGATGTTTACAGATGCATTGGCGAAGTACATCTTTGACATGTTGATGCAGCCCTCGGGGAAACTGCTGTCCCACGCTCGTGAAGGGTCGGCGCCGCATTCGAATATATTAACGAAGGTGACGGTGACAGTTTGTATGAGGATGAAGCATGCCGCACAATACACCCAGCGTCGAAAATTGTGGTGTGTAAAGATGCGATGGTAAAGAGCTAGAATGCTGGCTTTGACGAAGAAGAGGGCCCATGGATAGAATAGCTGGTACACGTACCTGTTCAGAAGTAGGGTTAGCAAACCCGGGCATCGGGTAGCAGCATGAGTCTTCTTACCAGTGTTTGAGGGTCGGTATTAAAGCTTCGTCAAGGTTGAGATCTTTGCTTTTCCGTCTGTTTGTGTCAGTCTGTGGTTATCTCGACAGCATGATCAACTGCGACTTACCCAGTACCATAACTAATTTGGAGGCCACTCTGGATACTCAGCCCAACAGTGACCACCAGGGCAGCCAACATGAAGTAATCGTCCAAACCCACATGGCGGACTAGTATCGCGCGGCAATACAGCCTGAGTGAGATTGCTATCAATGAGAAGAAGAGGAGCACAGTGATAGTGATAAGTACTGGTAGCTGGCGTGAACCATTGTCCCACGTGATATGGGTACCGTCGGCTCCCATGGCGAGGTCTATTGTGTACGTCTATCTGTGTAGTACTGCTAGAAAACATCGCCAGGCATATGGTTATAAGACACAATGAATTGTCAACTGCGCCGCAAATGGCCTTGTCTACCGTGAGTCGTGCGCATCCCATGAGAACGGAAGCGAAAGGAGATCGATCTAACGAGATGAGCGATGAACCAATCTTATCAGGTTGCGACAGCCATGATGTGCAGCTAGGCTACAGCTTGCATCGATGGCAGCCGTAGGGCTCAGCGAACTGCCACGCCATAAAGGTTATTTGTCGTGCGATTCTTGTTCAGCGAACTTCACGAGATTTCAAGGTTTCTGGTACCCATAGCACGATGCGTGGTGATCGAGGACATGACACATTGGCAGAAATATGGATAGCTTTGCTAAAACGAAGATTATGTTTGATCATTTAGGATGAATCGAGCGGTGTTGACTGTGGGCGTCTTCGCAGACCTGATCGAAGAGGAAGGGATGATCTGCCAACGCTATCGACATGGTCTAATCCTAATTAGGTCACGCGAACCGCCCTAAAGCCTTGCCTTCCCCTTCCCCACCGTAGCGCATCATCGGATTTCCCATCGACACAGATGGAGCTCAGGTCAAACACATCACCTCCTGTCTGTTGTCGAAATATCTCATCAATTAACACTTTAGCCATCAATTTCTAGAAGGCCTCATCGATCCGCTGATGTTATCTGTGACGATCGAGTTTAACGAGTCACTGCGAGAGCGGGCGACCCCAGTCTATCTAGCGATCTGGTGGAGTATCACCTTTGTTTCGCCCCGCAAATGTATAGCCGCCCTTTGGTATCTATCCAGATATCTAAGACATTCAGCACGTGTTCTTCATTCAGCCGTTCCAGTCAGTCGCGAGTTTCATAACTTTCTTTTGCCGCATGCGCGGCATCGGCACATATGGCCTGAGGAGATACCGGCTCCGGTTATGCCTGACATCCTGCAGGATGCAGTTGCTTGCATCCCTTGCTTTTGCCGGCCGATTGCATGCGACCAAATTCGTCCCGTTCTCGAAGATCCAATCAGGCAGGAGATGTACCAGCCTGGAGGCGGACAAGCAACCCAACGGTTCCTCCAAATTTAACCCGGGATCGAATGTTTGCAACACCTCGGCACGACACCTCTCTTTGCGCAAGGGAGAGCCGCATGCAATGCATTCTCAGGTTCAGTATCGCAGCTCAAATCACCACGTGTTTACTGAATCATGCAAATGGTCGGTTCCTATATTCCGGTGTTCAAATTGCATCCCTTGGACTCAACATGTGCTGTGCCACATTGGCGCATAGACCTGAATCGCCGTACAGATGTGGAGCCCCCCGGACCCTGGCATTCCCACCACAGTGCGAACGTCTAAATCCAAGACAAGTCCTATGCTTGCCGCACTTATACCCACATCGCAGCGCCGTACATTAGCTTGTCGTGTTCCAAGGCCTGGAAGAGGCTGGATGCACGTTGAGCAGCATTATTGGATCGATGGACGGACGCATAAGAAGCTCGAAGCCCATCGTTCTTAACATGATCGTGTAAAATCACTCTGCTCGCCTCGCCTATAGCTAGTGGTTTGGATCGATATAGCAACTCCACCAGGCACCATGGTCCAGCTTCAGCTCATCGTTTCGTGGCTTTGCTTGGCATCACTTCCATTTGCAGCTGCGCTTCCTGCGACCGATTCAGCCGTGTGCAAAAACCCTATTAAGCGGCTGGAATGGTAAGGTATCCCAGCTTTAACACACGATCGCTACTCGCTAATCAAGATGTCATCACAGGAGACAATTGTCAGACCCACAGAAACGCAGTTACATTAATGCCGTCCTCTGCTTAACGACTAAGAAGGCCAAGTCAGGAATTTCAGGGACTATCAATCGATTCGATGATCACCACGCTGTACATGTCAGTCAGAGTGACAGCATTCATTTTGTAGGACACTTCTTGCTGTGGCATCGTTACTTTGTCGACACATACGAGAAAGCTCTTCGCGAGTGTGGTTATACGGGCGGTCAGCCGTACTGGGACTACACGTTGGACGCAGATCCCCAGAACCTTAGCTCTACCCGCGTTTACGATTCTGAAATCTTCCAACCGGATACCGGCTTTGGCGGCAATGGTGTCAAGGTCGAGCCTACCCCCGAGCAGAACTTTCTGAACCTCACTGGAGGGACTGGCGGAGGATGCGTTCAGACCGGCCCTTTTACCCCCGATAAGTTCATGGTGAACTATCCTGGCCCGCCGTCCTGCCTACGTCGAGACTTCATGCCCCCTCTCCTCAACACCTGGGCAGATCCAAAACTAGAGAAGGCGCAACTTGAAGCACCAGATTTTGTAACCTTCGACCGCACGATGCAAGGCTCAAAGACAGTCTTTGCCCCAAATATTCATGGCAGTGGTCATTTTGGTGTTGGTGGCGTATTAGGACAGGCTGGCGACCCTGCCAATTCTCCTGGAGAGCCATTGTTTTATCTGCATCACGCCAATCTAGATCGCATCTACTGGAGATGGCAGCAGCAGGATTTGGAGACTCGACTTCGGGAGGTTGGTGGACCTATCGTCGCGGAGGACTACCTTGGCAAGAACGTTACGCTGGATTTTGAGGTCAACATCGGAAAGCTGGCGCCCAGCAGAAAATTGGAAGACTTGATGCATATTCAAGAAGGGCCATTTTGCTACACCTATTAGGACTATCTAAACTCACTTTCCCTTGTTCTAGACCCTGCAATGTATGTTATCTGGGATGTTGACAACAACAAGATTCCAACCTTACAGCATGTACACAGATGGTCTCTTTTGCTCACTCGACAGTGATGAGTACCAATTATCTGAAGCATACCTGTAGTTTGCAACATTATACTAACTACGTGTTTCGCAATCAGCTACATCTCCGCCTCGAGCAGTATGTCGAGAACAGTTTCGAAGACATTCTCGATTCCTAGGTACCTTTTCGCTGAGCATTCGAAGTATGCCGACGCGCCGATCTTCTCCGCTATTGCTTCGCCCTATATCAGCAATCAGTAGTGAAACAATTTGGCAAGAGTGTAACTTAGGGAATGACCGATAAATATCGAGGTAGCTTTACTCACTTCTGCCCTAGTTATCGGTGCCCTGCCCTGTTCTCCCAGTTTCAAGATTGTTTCGGGATCATATCGCAGATCTTGCTTTAGTCCCAATAAGCAGACAGGATTCCATTCCCGTATGGACGGCTCAATTTCAGGAAGCCACTGACCAGGTTTAGCACAGGGTGGCAAGAGGAAGGGGCTGCAAGATAATCCTCTTACCTTTTGTACAACGTTGTCAAGCGACTCCCAATTGTCAATAGAGAAACATATGCAAAAGATCTCTGTCGACTTGTAGCTTATTGAGCGGACCTGATGAGCTTGTCTTGTTGGCGGTAAAAAAGCATTATGCAAATCATCATTGCCCACTGTATCCCACAGGGTGCATTTGAAGTCCACTTCGGGTCGAAACTGGAAATTCGCGAGGCGGCTTTCGAAAATTGTTGGCTTATAACGCTGTTACAAGCTTAGCATGGAGTAGGAATATCAGTGCTTCGGTGCACATCACCTCAGGAAAAGACCCATAGGGACCCTCGATTGCAGAACTACAGATATGTGTTAATCTCGAGAAGGTCTAAGCACCATATCTTCCTAGTTACTTACTTTATGAACCATGTCTTTCCACACTCCCCATCGCCAACGAATGTCCAGATGCGCTTCACTTCCGAACAGATCGCTTTAGGGACTCTATTCTCATGCACCTTAGTCTTGTCTTCGCCAGGCAGACTCTTTTGAATGATCATATCACCGGGCTCGCCCGTTTCCGCTTTGTGTATGGTAGGCGATTCGAGAGGAGATTGTGCGAGACCATTTCCGCTTGTAATTTCCTGCTGAGCATTACTAGAGGCAGGGCTGAGAGTCATTGGCGAACCCGGCGTTATAGTATGTTGCGAGGCTGGAGGATCATCCGCAACGCCGCTACTAAGATCTGGTAAGCGGGTCAGGCAATCTGGGGAGACATCCGGCTCATTCTGGAGTGAAGCAAACCAGTCTGACATCAGCTTGTTTGGCGCTAAGCCGTTCACTTTCCAACCAAACTCAGACACGATATCAGACCCATCCCCACACTCTTCAACGAAATCGTCTCCAACTACTGTCGATGCAGATGCCACGACAGTTGCTGCGGTTCTGACGCAATGTTTGAGATGGCTTGCACTCGCGTTATTAGTGTCCTGTCGACTAAAGTATTCATAGAGATCACGGGATTTCTCGAGCAATTCTGTGACATCTCGTGCGATAGTGCGCTGTTGGGAACTGGAAGATATTAGACAGAAACAATCGTATGAGTTACATAACTCACAACATCACAGACTGAAGCGAAAGCTGGAGAACGTCCTTGTAATCCTGGATGCTTTGCCTGTACATGCCGATCTGATCATTTGCATCCTTGAGCCGAATTGCACGTCGCGTCGAGCTCATCCACCTCACGTCTTTATTGGTAGATACAAGTAGTGCTTCCAGCTTCTTCAGAGAGTCGCATCCATCATCTAGGTTTGTCTTCAACGATACCCAGTGTTCACCGATATGGCCAGTCAGAGGCGCTCTGCTGTCCAAGTCCTCTAAATCATCTTTGATTGTATTGAGAACAGTCTCGAGAAGTTTGAGGTCTGCTAGCATTGCATTGATGTTATCTTTTGCCTCGGCTGCGCCATTTTGAAGCTTTTTGAGCTCGATGGCTGTTTTGCCAGCTAAGTGAATCAATGGAAGGACACCCAAAGATATCGAGAAAGGATCCATGGCGGACGGGGAAAAAGTACATGAGCAGACCGTAAGACAGTTTGGCGAACAAGATTGCTGTGATCAATTATCTATAAGCTCGAGTTGCTGGGCGCGGGGTACTGAACGTGCAGCATAAGGCAGCCTTCGACCTGGCGAGACGCCTCCCCATGGGCAGTGCAGTCCCAATCAGGGTGCTGGTTCATCTACTAGCACAGTAACATGGCCCCTGATAGGACACTCCACTCCCATCTTGCAGGAAACCGGTCAGGTTGGGTTGTGAAAGACGCAGTGGTAGTAGCACAAAGCCAGCACATTGTACATACGACTCATGATCGTAGGCTCCTGGAATATTTTGCGCAGCTAAGAGAGCAAGCGCATGGATAAGAAATACAAAAGAAGAAAGTGAGAGAATCTGACAGGGCCATCTCGACATAGAAGCAACACTCCGCCAGTAGCTCCGCTTAATCATCTCTGAATCAGCCCCGCGCGCCAACTTAGCCGAATCTTCAAAGCTTCACACACCAGCAATTCCTCTAGCCCACCCTCTCTTATTCCCTTCTAGAGACAACCTACACTATACGGCGTCGCACGACGCGCGCCACAGTGACACCAAGGATACATGCCGAACGTTTCCAACACCGGGCTTTGCAGCCGGACTTGAAGTCAACTTGACTTTCAAGTTCGGCTGCCCGATGTTTTCAACCACCTTGCTCGTTCACAGAACAATTGATCGCCTTTCTAGCTCAACTAACCTCTTATCATTCAGTTCATAGATCAGCCAGCGAACGTACTACTTACCGTTCACACCCTCTCTCATATACCAATATTCAGTACATAGTCACCAAAGCAAACGAGAATGGGAAACACTCTATCCAATACCCACAAGTCTTCATTACCACCACCACCACCGTCCATCTATTCATCGTCCTCTTCCTCCTCCTGCTCCTCATCCACACCCGGTGGCATCGCCGGAATGCTAAAATCCTCCAAGCTAGCCCACTGACTACTCTTCCCCCACCCACTCCCAACACCCGTCGCCTGCGTCATCCCAACACCCCCATCCAACAATGGACTACTACTCCCCCACGCCTTCTCTGGACTAGGAAAACTACTCGGTATAAACAACGGCGGCGGCTTATTCGGCGACGAAAAAAGCGCAGGTTGAGAGCTCGGTATGCGATGGGGCGTTGTATGTGTGCTGCCAAACTGCTGAGTGCGCTTGTGGCGGGGTGTGGTATGAGTGCGTTGTGTGATTTCGTCGACGGTAGTTGCTTGGCTGGGGTGGTATGCCGATGGTTGTTGTTGTTGTTGACGCGAAGGTGGCGCTGTGGTCTGAGTTTGATGGGGAAGCCGAGGCGTCGCGTTGTAACTGAATGCATCGGGTGCTGCGCGCATGCTGGACGATTCGGGCGGGCGTGCGTGTACGTATTGCGAGTAGGAGAACCATTCGTTTTGGAGCTGTTGCTCTGCTTTGCTGGAGTGCGACTCTTGCGTTTCATGTTCGGGAGAACGAGGAACTTGGATGGCTAGGTCGTCGAGATCGGTCGACGGCTGGATTGAAGTTGAGGGAGGTGGGGTTAGTTGTCGCCTGCTTGATTGCGGTGGCGTTGGATTGGGTGATGTATAGGGTTCCTCCCACGATGAATCATCGTTGATGACCATGGGTGTAGATGGACACGTGTACTGGGGGTATCCTTCGATGACTGGAGGCGTCGATCGGAGCTGCTCTGTTTCCTGAGGTAGTCCTCCTTCAGGACTCGTGGTAATGTCGCTTGCGATTCGGCTTTCGTCATTTGGTAGGTTTGACTGGGTTGTGGGTAGTATTGTCGCATCTTCATCTTCATCGTCGTCGTCGTCGTCGTCATACTCAAGTTCTTGCTTGACAGTAACTGACTCCATGGAGTGCGACGAGCTTCTTCCAGTTGAGGATTTGTTTGGCTCACCGAGCTCAGGAGAAGGTTGGTTGTGACCTCTTAGCGTGGGCAGATCATTCGATTCTTGTGATGACCGAGATTCACCCACGGCATCCTCCTCATTTGCATCAGCGCATGCCTGATCGATCTGATTAAGTATTGCTTGGGTGTCAGCGCCAATAAGCTTGCCAGACGCAGTCTCAGGCCGGCTAAAGAACAGTCGTGTACCCTCATCCTTGCGATGTTTGTTCGCAGGTAGATCTTCCTCAATCAAGCCCTCGTCCTCGTCTTCAGAGTCTTGGATCGTGCTTTCAAACTTCCTCAGTGTCGGCGGAGGTATCGGCGTCTTTGACGGCATTTTAAATGTCACCTGCTTGCGTTTCGAGGGCGTGTCCGGTGCCAATATCGGGTTGCTCGAGCATGCCTTGAGGGGTGATCGATGTAGTTTCTGTGGGGAAACTTGAGTCGACAGGGGTGAATCAGCTGGCGATTGGGAAGAAGGAATCACGCGAACACGTCGCTTTTCTGGAGTTGATAAAAGGCTGAAACGGGCTTTGCGGGTCTTGTGCTGCTTCTGCGGGCCGTAAGAAGCGTCTCCAGTCGCCGTGGCTGGCGGTACATTTCTACGTCTAGTTGCCCGGGTTGTTCGTGTGACAGGAGCCTCGATAAACTGTGTCGGTTTGTAGCTGTCTTCGCAGTCTTCACCCACCTCTTCTTCCACTGACTGTACCACCACGTCAGGAGTGTCTTGCGAGTCTGCTGTAGGCTCTTTCTTGATATATTGATCTTCCGAATTCTGTTGTATATCCCCTACAATATCATCTGCAGCCTCCTGTTCTTTGATGCTATTGCCTTCGATACGATGAAGTCCTTGTTGTGCGAGTCGCTGCGCTACAGCATCCCCATAGGTCTGACTATCCCGCTGTTCTGCCTCATCGTCGCTCAGTGCCTCATCCAAGTCCTCATCCGACATGACTTCTTGTGCTCGCATGCGCGGTATCATCTGCGTCAACGTGCGCTGTTTCCTGTCGTTTTCGCTCTTGCCACGTCCCCAGCTCAAGCGCGAGCTCTGTTTGACAGGCTTGAACTCAGGTCCCTCGGAGTCTGGCAGTGGCTTCCTCCCATCTACCAGCTGTGTCATTGTAGATTGCCGACGCAATGTACGTTCTCGGTTGGTTTTGATCGCTGTCGCATCGTTCGCATCATCGGCATCGATTGCCACGCGTTTCGAGCGACGATGATTCTTGGGCGAGACAACTGTTCGTCTGCGCTTTGACGTAGGTTCGACCGGCTCTTCGTCTCCATCACTATCTTGCGGCAATACATCACTACTCCTCTTCTTGCTCTTCCCCTTCGCCTTTCTTGCCGAAGGCTGCTCTTCTTCCTCTTTCACCTGCGGCTCGATTGGAACTCCTCCATCCTCTAGGTCTTCTTCTAAATCTTCATCACTGTCCTCATCCGAGTCTGCGACTACAGGAATATCCCTTGTCTTCATCTTCTCTGGCAAAAAGATCATTTGCCGCTTTGCGTCATCTCGAACTGGCGACGAGGGCCGACGCACTATCTTGCGCTTGTGTGGAAATTGGACCTGCTGCGGCACTTTCTTCGAGTAGTAGACTTTGTAGTCGGCATCTCTATTGCTCGAACGCGTTCGTGGTGTCATTGTGGGTAGAGTATCGATAAGGTAGGGAAGTTGGTGCGTTGGTGACGCGACAGCGACGCGTTGAGGGGACTAGCGCGATGACAGGGGCACGCGTCATCGCCACCTACCCTCAACCCATACACGCTCGTGATCGAAGCTAGACATCAATGTGAGCATGCGCAGTCATGTTTTGAATGTCTGGGTCTGCTATGGCTGTCAAGCATGGCTTGTTCGTTGTTTGCTTGAATCTGAACAGACTTCAGATATCGACGTCATAGACGCCAAAACTAATATTCTCGCCATGTCGCTATGTGAATCCCTGTCCCGACCTTGGCTTATCGAACCCCTCACAAATCACGCATCTCAATGTTTGGAAGCAAGTGTGAATGTGCACCGCCTCCGTTGTTTTCGCGATCCCATGCCCACCGCTTTGCAAGAGAAGGGTCCAGTGTGCCGTCCAGCATCGCGACAACATAGCGGCCGATTGTAGGCATAAATTTCCAACCATGAAACGAACCTCCTGTTGCGAGATACAGACCCTAGCAGTGTGGTTGTGGAGTGATGGTGAAGTCTTGGGTAGGGGTTACAGCATCCCTAGATGGGTTAGTCTGTCATATTGCGGAGAACGTGGTTGCACGGGAAGGACGGTCGTCATGGGGTGAAACGTTGGAAAGAGGTGCAACTTACCAGCAGACACGATATTCGTCAAACTTGACTTCTTTCCCTGGCTCGCCCAGTATACCGTCTTTAACGAGATCGAGACGTTTCTTTAGACCTTCGTTTGGTCGCCTTTGTGCCTGGTTAGGTTCACTCGGTGGAGAAGAGAACTCTTGGCCCGATGCCTCGTGTTTGATTGTGTTTTTGTAGGCTTCGTCTCTGCAAAATTTGACTGTATATGGCTCTTTCTCGGATAAAGGTGCTGTCAATGGCATTACCTCTCCTGGAAGTCGTCAGCATCATGCTATGTGAGAGTTCCAGGTGTCTTACCACGTGTGGGTGGGACCCCATGTACAGTCACTGGTGTTTTGGTATACTGTTGGCCGTTTTTTGGATCGAGGTTGACGATACCAGTGATCACGGCTCCAGCAACGAGGCGGCCGTTGACTTGCAATTCCTTTCTGCTAGGCGCACTGTCGGCGAGCAGTTTTGCTGTTCCTGCACCAGTGGCTAGGACGATGCGGTCTGCTGTAATGTTGGTACCATCCTTGGTCAGAACTCCAGTGCATCCGCCGTCAGTACCGAACGTCAAGACATCGATCTCCTTTGCAGTGTATTTGACACCAGAATTTATTGCTGCATCAGTATAAGCGGTAAGTGCTTTGGCAGCTTCAGCCCATCCGCTGTCTTCATTCACAAACACATCCTTGGCCTCCGAGAAGTCGGTATGCTCGAAAAAGGAACCGTACTCCTCCTTGAAGCGATCTGGGCTGACGATCTTTGCATTGACCTTCACACCGAGCTTCTTGTAGTTTTCCAATGTGTTTCTGCCCAGATCGGAATTGTTGATTTTGATTATGCCGCTCTGGTAATAGAACGGTTTGAAGAGTGGGTCTTCTCGCCATAACTGTATAGCCTCCAATGCTTTCTCCATGTAGAAGAGATCCCCATAGTCAGCACGGACGACTTTGTTCCAGTCCCAAGATGCGGCGAGTTGGCAGGGGTACGGTGTTCGGTCCACTAGATGTACGGAAGCTTCGGGGTATTTCTTGATCAAATGATAGGCAGTGGAAACACTAAATACTCCAGCCCCAATGATCAGATAAGATGGCTGTGAGCTCATTGCGTGTGGTGGTTCTGGAGGTCGTTGCCTAGCCCGATGTTGGTGGCTGAATGGGTGGAACGGGGCGAAGCGAGAGAGGTTTTGGTATGACGAAATCGAGGACTTGGCTATCTTGGATAAGGCAATCATGAGGCGGTCAACACGAACCTGAAGGCAACGCGGCATGAACTATAGGAGGCAACCACTGTGGGCGAGTCTGGCATCAATCGGATCGATCAAAATGCAGAGCCGTGGTCGGAAGATCTGGTAGCTGAGATCCACAAGCGCGAAGGTGCGCTAAATCTAGCGTAACTATCTTCATTCGACGACGTCTTCACTAGGGAGAAAGATAGACACGTGCGTATAAACATTAGGATTTATTAAGACGGATGCTAGATATATGCACCTTTCTAGTAGGTGTAGCACAGGGTGCTTCCCTGAGTATCCAACAAATCCTTAAGCTGAACGGTAGGCGCAAGCTTACCAAGGTCAACTTCAAAGTCAAGGGTGACATTTTTACCACTGTAGTCGAAAGGAATGATCGGGCCACCGACCTGGTGCAGGCGGGTTTTGAGATCCTTCTGCTGCCACATCCAGAAGATGTGGTCGATGTTACCATGGTGGAGGTAGAATACCGGCTCGCCGGGGCTGTTGTTCGCATCACCAGCCTGTCCGAGAGCACCTCCGACACCGAAGTGACCGCTTCCGTGGATGTTGGGAACGGCGAAGCTGGCCTCGCCTTCAACGGCCCTGGCAAAGCCAGTGTAGTCCTTCTGGGCGAGGACGTTGTTGACGAGCTTCTGATCGGCCCAGACGTTGATCAGAGTAGGGACAAAATCGCGCTTGAGACAGTGGGGAGTGGGGAAGTTGACTGAGAACTTGTCGGCTGTGAAAGGTCCATTTTGTACGCAGCCACCTCCTGTTCCGCCAACGATACCGAATGGGTTTGTCTCGTTAGTTGGCTCAACCTTGTTGCCGTTGCCACCGAATCCAGTGTCTGCTTGCCAGATCTCTGAGTCGAAGATGCGTGTTGAGGTGGGATTTTGAGGTTCAGCATCTAGAGACCAGTTCCAGTAGGGTTGAGCACCAGTGTAACCGCACTCTTCCCTAAGAGCCTTTTCATAGGTATAGATGAAATAGCGGTGCCAGAGGGTGAAGTGACCGACCCAGTGGATCTCGGGTGTCTGGCTGCTGTGCACGGCTTGGAAGTCGTCGAAACGGTTTATGGCTCCCTCGATGCCAGAGATGGCTGGCTTTGATGCTAGGCAGAGGACTGCATCAATATACGCTCTCTTCTGGGGAATAGAGAGTTGCTTCCTGCAGAAGGAAAATGGTCAGCACAGTCCGAGATGATGGTTCATTTGTATGATAGGCTTACCATTCTTTTCGTACAATGGGGTTCTTGCACGTCTTTGGTGCAGAGGCAGGGAGAGCCGCGGCTACTGCTGACGAAGCCAAGCAGAGCGAAGAAACAAGAATGGAAAGGTTGACCATTTTGGCGGCTAAGGATGAGGTTGGCAGCTTTGTGTTTCGGATTGATTGAAGGCGAAAGCTTATTGTCCCTGGCTGGTGATTGTGACTGTGGAAGGCATCAAGCTTTATGTGTGCCTCACTTCAGGCCTTATCATACCCACTTTACCCGTCTGAGCCTCATCGAAAGATGACCATGCAACTAAAGTCCGAGCCACGAAGGAATGAGTAACGAACGGAAATAAGTGTTGAGGCATTAGACCACTTGCCGTAGTATTTGGGGCGAGATCCGGGTCTGGAAAAAGCTTGTATGCATGGCGATTCAGGAGAGATGCGGTCGTGTGGCACAGCTGCATGGTCTTTCGAGGTGCCTTGGGTCCGAAGGATTGAGTTCGGGGATGCAACACGTGCGAAGCGCTTCGGTATGCATATTCCGGTAGACGCAGGCTTACCGGCGATTTTGGTAATAAGCCATGGCTTCTATGTGGCGCACATGCAACGGTAATTGGTCTGCGAGTATTCCATGCGCATGAAGCTAATTCGCATCGAAGTTTTCCTTGCATGCTTACCTGCGTATTCTGCTGTGCCACGGTGATGATATGACCAAACGCGTATTGATCTCCGTAGCAATAGCCTGCACAATTTTCGCATGGCTGGTGATTAGAGGATAGGATGATTTCGGATGATTGCGCCCGGTGGGCCGGTCTAGAGATTCCTGTAGGATTTACCTTGCATGGCTAAGAATGGATTGCTCGCGATCCTAGAGCATGGCATGTAAACATTACCTTTCATATGAGCTTCCTTCCTTCAGTCATCGTGAATAAAGCGTCGCAATGACCATGAAATCTGATTGGCCGGAATAAAACTCCCCCACACCGCTCTGGTGAGCAATGCAGAAGGTGAGGCTGTGAGATATTTGTCGTGGGGACGGGAGAGCTTGCGGGACAGGTTGACCCGCTTTCGCGCCAAGATCCTGCTCGTTTCTGGGCCGTGTCTAACGCGTTCCTGATGGTCTAAACCAGCGATTGACGGGAAAACACAGGGTCAACTGTGGCGAATAGGATGAGATGGGAGGAGAGGCAAACACGGCACATAGCTCCTGCGGGATCATGGCGCAGTGGACACCGGAGCGTTCCTTCATTGCGGAGCTGTCGGTTTACCGAATTTGCGTTCATCGTGTGTGCGCATGACCGCGAAGCCATACCTAGGTACTCTGATTTCAAGCATCCTATGATATGGTGACGCGATAATTCACATAGAACTAACGACTCGAGACTTCGAAGAAATTTCTCCTATGTTCGCGCAAAAGATCGAGTCTAGGAGCTGGCTTTGTCCGTCTGGGTGCCGGCTCGGCTGGGGAACGGGGGAGTTGTCGAGCCGTCCAGGCGATAACCGAGGGAAACTAGACTACTCAAAGCGAAGAGCCGCACCAACTCCAACACTTCGCGACCCAACCAGGACGACTGCACCGAACGCGCGAATCCTTCGCCCTTCCTCAGCGTTTAGCCCGTGTTGGTTATCCAATGATGGCTCGGAGATGCCAGCCGTCCCCAGGAGACTTTACCCACGCATTTGCGGTCCTGTTGGACACACGGCAGGATAATAACAAGAAGGATTCACAAGATGAAGCTGCCCAAAGTGCTGGATCATGATGCTATGCGGCGCGGAGGGTCAAGCTTCAAGGAGGAGCAAGAATCATTCATAGCCAAGAGGTTGCCATGATCTCTTTGTGAATCCCTTGTGATCCTGATGTGAGTGTATTCCGACAGTATGACAAGCAGCACGGGTGGCTATGGTATCACCTGGGACAATGGTTCGCGACAGCCTATGTTTCTGATCGTCACTGGAGTTCTCCTATTCTTCTCGACAATCGCTGTAGCGCTAAGGTACGACCTTTCGAAACCTTGATCTGTTTACTCACCGCAAGACTTGCTCACTATCTGCTAGGCTGTACTGTCGCCTCACCTTCATACGATATGTAGGATTAGACGACAAGTTCATGATTTGTGCATGGGTGGTCGCCATCTCACTCGGTATTCAGAATGGTTTTCTTGTCAGCTGGGGAACTGGGTATGTATACATGTGGTAGAAAGACTGACAGCGACTGACGGAAGACGAAGGCGACACAATGCCGATTTAGATCATTCGATCATTATGGTCCCTACGTTCAAACACTGGTATGCATATCAGCTAGTTTACCCTTGGGCGTTGTTATTCGTCAAAGCTAGCATACTGGCACTCTACTACCGGATCTTCACGCAAACGAATTTTCGCTACGCTGTATACGCCGTTAGTGTGTTCGTCACTGTTCAGACCATCGTAGTCACTTTCGTCAACGTATGTCATACGCGAAACCCCAGCATTCCCTCGAGCTCGAAGCTGACTGATCCAGGCTTTCGAATGCGGCGCGAAAGAGCCATGGAGAGCATGGGTCCCTACCTTTCCCAAAGGATGCAACGACCTTCCTAAGACGTATTTCTCAATGGCCTCTGTCAATATCCTCACAGACATTTTCATCCTAGCCCTGCCAATGCGAGCTTTTGGGCAGCTAAAACTCCAACGAACAAAGCGTATTGCGCTCTTCGGTGTCTTCATGGTCGGAGGTATAGCAGTCATCGCGTCTATTGTCCGTCTCTACGCCCTCTGGGTATACGCTGTAACAGACGACCCACCTTACGACGACATATTTATCCTCCTTCTCTCCCAAATCGAGATAAACGCTGCTATAATATCCGCTTCAGCACCCGCCCTCCGCCCACTCCTCAACAAAGCCTTTACTTCGTCCTCGCATGACCGCTCCGGCCCAGGCTACCCAGCTTCTTACGGACATGGCGGCCAAAACAGCAAGATGTTTAGTCGCACAGCTAGAACACGTTCGAACGGACAAATGGAGCTCTACTCGTTCGGTGGGGGCAACAGGACTAGCAAGGTACCAGTAGGCGGTACGCGCAATACGAGTGAGGAATCGATATTAGGTGTGGACGGTATTACAAAGACGGTGGACATGACAATCGAAGAAGACTACGTGAGGGAATCTGTACATGGGAAGAGCGGAGAGACGCAGGGGTATGATGGTGTTAGACGTAGCGATGTATGATCAGAGTAGACAAGAAACCTTAATGATTTTGCAAACATGACTAGAAGAGGTCAGCAAGTTCGCGTGTTGATGAAAAGCCGTCTCTAGTTCTCCCCAAGCACCCTCTCGAATACTTCCGTTACTTGCACCTCAAGCTCATCCGCCTCCTTCCATAGCCCTTGATTCCTGTACGTCGATGCCAGGCTGCCTATGCTGGCCAGCGTGTAGAATCGCATTAGTCCCCTTAGACTAGTCTGAAAATATTCTCTTCGAAGGCGTGGCCTTCCGAAGCAAACGCCTCGCCTTTCATGAAACCTTCAAGGTAACATTCTCCTACAAACGTGTAGAAACTTGGGGAATCTGTCGGTCTAAGTAAAAATGGCACTGCTCCTCCATACAATATCACTACTAGATCACCTCTGCGTGCCGGCGCAGGGCATAGCCCTTTCCCTCCGCTTTCTGTTTCGAATACGCATTCCTGGATGCATGGTAGCATGACTGGATCTTGCAGGTCCTTGTCCAAATGTATTCTTACATGTGGACGTAAGTACTCATCAAGCAACTCAGCCCAGGAGATATCAAGTGCTTCTTTGGGAGCCCCTGTAGAGTTATTCCACGTCAATTGATGACCTGTGGGATCGAATACTCGTAAGTAAGCCTTGAGCATATCGCGTGATCGAGCTAAGACCGAGTCTGATAACAAGACCGGCGCAAATAAGGCGATTGAGCTGATCTGAATCCCTTTGAATGCAGGAATAGACCATTCGATGTCGTCTCGATTCTCAATAGTCATGTCGACTTGATGATTGCCACATGCGCTGTAATCAGCTGTTTCACCTAATGCAAGTGTTCCGCGCTCCCAACGGCTATTTCCATCAGTCCATAGAGTTCATGACGGCCGACGCGGAGTACCAAGCCAGCTATTTGAGTGCGTATCGTGCGAGGCGACATCAGAAAGGTCCATCTAGGTTCGATGACGCAATGTATGAACCGCTGAAAGGATCCTCAAAGAGTGATTCTGTTTGATCCACCATATGGTGAAATTGGTATAAACTTGCTCAACGGTCTTTGCGTAATCAGGCCTCAATAGTTCATCCAGTTCTGCAATGCGATATGTCTCCCGACCGAAAATCAACAGCGCAAATATGCGATCTCGCGGATCTGTTGCCTTCATGTCTAAGCCTTTTATCACAATCGAAAGTATGTCCAGACGGGGTCCAGCTGCAACGTGGTGTGGAGTATGCCTGTCTCTGGTAACATTTAAAAGCTCTGTCCATAACACTGGCATCGACCAATTCCTTCGTGACGGGAAGTTATGAAACAGGCAGATGTCGGCCTGAACAACCAACCACCATGGCAGCTTTAAGTGACCGCAAAGAACGGATATAGGGCCATACTTGTCGTTATCCTGATTCAAACGAGATGATAACGTATTCCACACCTCTTGGACTACCCAGACACGCTTGAACCAGGGCCGAAGAAAGACTCGATCGTGCCAGAGACCGGCATTACCATGCGATTCAGCCGGATTCTTTTCGGATGTTGTAGCAATGGTCTGCCAAACAGCCAAATCGCTTTGCGTATGAAAGTGGTCGTCCTCTAGTTCACCCAGCCAGACCGATAACGATTTCGCAGAAGCGTATATCTCACCCATAAGCGCAACTTGGTGTCTCCTTTCTTCTGGGTCGAGTTGGTTGATACACAGTAAGTCTATTCAAAATGTGCGAGTCTGATCAGGTTGTCTCAAACGTTTTAGTGCATTTCGTAAGTCCGTGCCAATTTGAACTTCTCTTGGAGGAGACTCTTCAGAGCTCCTTAAAAAGATAGAACTTGTACTCAGACGGTCTCCCCAGCAGTATGAGAGCGTCTCATACTGGTCATGATTTGGGCCCCCCAGATTGGTATATTTCAATGTCAAATGCGGCGGCTCCTCTTCATCTAAGCCGGAGTGATTGTTACTTGGCTCGATGTTGACCAAACGGATTTCCTTTGACGCAATCTGCAGTGGCCTGCATGCTTCGCAGGTGTTCGTTGCATGTACAGCTCCTGAATGTGATCTCTCTGGGAATAGCTCGATCCAGATTTCAATGCGAGCTTCAACTATGTTGTTGACCCAAGCTAGAAACTCAGCTCTGGGCACGGTCTGAATAATGTCACCAGCCTGGAGTGCAGCCAACCACTTCGAAGGAGTGATCCCGGAATGAGAGGCAGGGGCTTCTTTGTGTTCTTCGCTGAGTAGCCAATACTTGTCATCGCGAAAATCCCAGCAGACGACATGTTTCTTGGGCTCAGAAGACGCCCTTACATTTTGAGTCGTGACCTCGCGTGGAATCCGATCTCGACCTGTGCTGACGACAACCCGCACTTCGAAGTAGGTCCACGTATCTTTGTATGTACCGTTCAACTCAGGGCGGAAAGTAGCCCATCCCTGATCGTGCGATATCGTAGTGAATACGGCTCTACGGACAACTACACGGTTACCAGGAATATAGGGGACGCTCAAAAAGATATATGGCCGCTGAGGGCAATCTTTACATACAGCTTTGTGAGTTGTATGGAAAGCGGTGAAATACTGCCACTCTGACAAACTGTCATACTGTGAAGCCATTACCCGGTGGAAACACCGTAGAGGATGCCGAGATGACAGCAGAGAGTGGGATTTGTCGAATGGAAGGTCTGTAGCTTCACTTAATATTCTCGTTATGTTTTTCGAGTTCTTCTGGAATTATTGAGCAAACAACGTCCGTCCTGGAGTACCGTTTGTGCAGGGTAAACGGATACTTGATAGAGCAAGAGAATGAAGATCAGAAGATGCTGTCAGCCAGGCTGAGGTAGCTGAGATAACATTTAGTTTAAGTATATGTGCCTGGGTAGTTGCCTACATAGGTTGTACTGCGCCACATTGCGGGGTTTGCAGCCAGCCTCGTCAGCTGAACTTGTTCAGCTTTTCCTACCTACCCACTTTGCAAGACGACGAACAGTACACTCTACTACGGCCAAACTCCTTCAAAGGGCCATGTGACTTGGAAGGGTGGCATCCGCATATATCGAATACTTCCAGTTCATTGTCGCCTGGAAAAGAAAAAGTCGATACGGCGATGTCTAACGGCAATGATCATATGGACGCGGCGACATCTTCTTACGAGAGATGTAATGCAGGGCCATCTAATGATGAAACTTATACGACAACATCTTCACGAAGTCCCTCAGAGTTGTTGTAAAGCGACATGGACCCTGTAGCCAGCCGCGCTAATTTTGTGCAGATCCGTTGCTAAGAGACATTATCCAAGATCTAGCGAGGACAAAATCGCTGAACAGGCGGAAATACTCGCTTCGAAGTCTGATACCGAGTATGGTTTGGCCAAAATCAGTTGTGAGGCATGTTATCTCCGACGATCCTTTGATAACTCCGTGCGCTGGTTTTCCGTTACATCTTTGAGCAAAGATTGTGACTTATGCGGTATCCTACGCAAATGTCAGCAACACTTCGCCAATGGTTGCGATGCCATTGAGCTTCATGCTCGCGGGTCTTCGAACAATCTCCAGATCTGTTTTCCAAAGTCGGACTGTGAATCGAATCATGTTCAGTTGTACTGCAAAGGTTTGTCTTGCACCTTGGTATAGAAAAGTGTCTAATTCTGGCAACAGAATCGTGTATGCCTCAGACGCCTTTCCGATATGCAGAAGACGTTCATGAATTTGCCGAGTCGGAAGCCTCGATGAGTGTCATGAAGAAATGGATCAGTGACTGCTGTACGTTCCATCAGCATGCTTCACCAAAACGCAATTCAAATCCCACGCGCCTGATAAAGCTGGGACGTTACGAAGATGACGGTGCTCGACTATACTCTCCGAAACATCCGGTGGTATTCACCGCACTCTCTTACCGTTGGGGACTGGGCAAGCAGTCCGGAACGACGAAAGATAATGTTACCAAACGTTACCAAGAGCTGAACACGTCAGACTTCCCAAAGACTCTCCAGGATGCTATTCACATCACTAGGAGACTGGGTCTGGAATACATCTGGATTGATCGTGTCTGCATCATTCAAGACGACAAAGAAGACTGGGCAAACGAGGCATCTCTTATGGCCGGTATATACGCAAGTGCGTATGTCGTCTTGTCAGCGACAGCCACCGAAGACTGTGAAAATGGCTTTTTACACAAAAGACAGAAGCCCCTTCTTATTCGATACGCGCAACACGGCCAGAGATCTCAAAAAGTATATGCAAGACGAATCGAAAGCCACCTCTGTCACCGTATGAAGCCGAGGACCGATTATATATTGCACGGACGGGGCTGGTGTATGCAAGAAAGGTTTCTAGCCCGTCGAATCATCCACTTTCTGCCGGATGAGATCCTATTTGAGTGCCAGGCTAGAAGAGAATGCGAGTGTGGCGCTGCTAGCAATGAAGACGGAGACGAATTCTCACAGCACGGAGGATCCCCAGAGTACGGAGGATACAGCAACTTTGCAAGAATGCAAGCTGCTAAGAGTATGGAAGAACGAGAACTTACAATAAACTGGGCGAGGATCGTGGACCGATACAGCCGGATGAAGCTCACGTATGGGAAAGATTCCCTTCCCGCGCTTTCAGGTATAGCAGCATGCGTGCAACATCTGGACCCTGGAAAATACATTGCAGGCCTTTGGGAGAAAGATATCGCGATTCAACTTGGATGGTTTATCTACCCGAAAGATGATCTGACGAGACGTTGGGAAGACCCGAAGGATATCAACATTCTGGGTCCCACATTCTCCTGGAGCTCACACGCGATAAGTCCTGTTCGATATGCGTACTACCATACAGCTCGATCTTTCTGTGCTTTGGAAAGCTTCAACATCGAGCTAGCTACATCCAATCCTTACGGTCAAGTTCGCGATGCAACCATCTGTCTCAGCGGATGGTCAGTATCCAGATACGATATGATTACATTGTTCAGGACGCCTGTCGTTGGCTTTTACGACCCGTGTGTATATTTCGACTTTGGCCTTCAATTTGAGTTTGATCGGCATAAGAAGTCTTTGCCAAGGGATAAGATGATAGAAGAGCTGGAAAACACCATAGGGTGGGAATCTGTCATGTGTTTTGGGTTGTATGAGTACCATAATCCTATAATGAACACGGATCAAGTCGACGCTCTTTTAGTGCAGCCCAGTAAGACAGAGGTGGGAAAGTACGTCAGGATTGGAGTTGTTCTGAACTTGAAAAAGTCTTGGTTCAAGAAGACAGCGGTAGCAAGAACGATTAATCTAGTCTAGGTAGTCAGTAGTAACATCATTCAAATCTCATCCTAAACCCCTCTTCCTGCTCCTCTCCCCCTGCCTCCTCTTCCACGCCCACGACCACCACCCGTCCTCGGTCCACGCGGCGCCTCCCTTCTTGGTACAACCTCACCTCTAGCCCATCTCTCCCCCTCGTCCCTGAGATCAATCCAGCGCTCATCCAACCCTTTAGCCTTCGCCGCATCACGACGTTCCTCCCGCACCGCGCTATCCGTAACACCGTCTTGCACCAACAGCTGCATGCCGATCCCCTCTTCAGTACCTTGTTCATACATGCCCAGATTCAACGCGCCGCCATCTGGGTTGTAAGATGCGCGGACATCAACCGCAGTCTTGTTGTGGCGTTGGATGAGGGAGTGCGACATCATAGGATCTGGGTGCACATCCGCGATGCCGTGGAACGTAAGAGACTCAACCGCGCCTTCGAGACCAGCGTATAGATTCTGCGATGTAGATGACGGGATAGAGAGACTGTACACGGGGGAATCTTCTCGCACGCGCGAGTAATCTTGCCGGTATGCAGTACGTGGAGGTGGTGTACGGGGGTTGAGGTAAAGGTTCCAACCACCGCTCTTTATAGGGACATGTTTCTTGGTCTCATTGACTATGACATTGGTCGCTGAATCCGAAGATGTCGTCTTTCCTTTCGGACTGGGCTTGTTTCTGGATATAGACATGCTGTGGTAAGCATGAGATCCAGAGAAGCGCACGTCGAATACTTTGATCATGCTGTGGAGAGCTACACCTGCGACAATACGCTCTAGACCCTGCGCAGCCAGGGAATAGATCGGCGAGTCGTTTGTTGGGTCCCAGAAGATCTGCTCGAAACCGCGAGGTGAACGCATGTCGTGGAGTCTAATGATGCCGTCGTAGCCGCCGGAGAGGAAAGTGTGGCCTGCTTCCGATGCGCCTTGTGCTGTACTCGGCATTGGCAATATGGGGTATATCGAAGTCGGACGTGAATGTGCATGGAGTGCATGAGCGACATCGAATCGACGGAGGGGTGTGGGATTTAGGCCATCGGGACCGATGTTGTAGACTTCGATGGGCTCGGTGTGCGGTCCCCAGCCTACAGCGACTGTGTCGGAAGAAAGGAACTCACATGACCATAGTCTACCAAACGATGCGCCATCGGATGTTGTTTTTACTTCCGAAGAGGGCCTGATGGCTTCATCCGAAGAGTTGTCGCGGTCGATGGGATAGAGCGCTAGTGAGGAGTCCGCAAGAGCGGTGGCCAGCATGGGCGAGCTCGAAGATGACACTGACAGATCATTGATGCCACGCCGATTGGTGTCATATTGCTGCACCTTGGTTTCAGCAAGGTCAGGGCTGACACTAAGCAACGAAAGCTGGCCCGATGCGGTTCCGAAAACAATTTCCTCAAACGCCAAATCTCTCTGATGCGGTCGGAGCAACTTCATCTTGGTGATGTCGTCGCGACCCTCAAAGCTGTCCGGGATCTTATACGTGAACCACGTATTTAAGTGCTTAAAAGCGTTGTACGCCCACGTCTGATCAGATGTCGGATCAAGGCCCTCTTCGCGTTTTCTTATCTTCTCAATATCCGCGCCCGTTTCTTTAGTCCGTAAAACAACCTGCGTACCAGCAGACCATGCCAGTACTTCTCTTCGTTCTCCCCACGATCCATACATCTCTTCATAGCTGTCGATGCTAGGTTGATACCCCATTGTCTGACCTTGCGGCCCCTTCCATCTTTCGGCTTGCCAAGTATTCATGCTCATCGTCTTCTCCGTTGGTTCCAGGTATCTTGCGATTAGGCCTCTTCGATCCCAGTTCCGGCATAGTGTTGTTAGACCGTGGACGGCGTTGTAGGCATCCGGATCCAATCCACCAACGCCGAAGCGGCCTTTGAGAAGAGCTTTCCATCCATCGAGCTTTGCAAATTCTCTCAACCGGCGGCTTACTAGAGATAGGTAGAGTAGGTCTCGTGGCCGTTCAAGATGGCTGGTTATCAGCGAGAGTATCTCGTTTGGCAGCGTATCGAGGGCTGCCATTTTGTTATGATCGTCTTTCCTAGGCTATGACAGTGGCATAGAGGGTTCAGATATTTGAAATGTTTGTTGTACAGATTTCGAAACCCAAAGTGACTGTGTGGCGTTTATAGGGCACATGTTTGCGGGTGAGGAAAACTGAACGTCCCAAACGATGACGACAGAGTTCTCGCTTGGTGGCCTGGGGCTTTTGCACTAGCCACATCAACTGGAGGGAGTCATCCGTCATAGCAAAGACGAGGCCACCCTCTGTGACTCTTCCTCGTATACGCCTAGACAATGTAAGCTCGACTCACAGTTATCATGCAGCTAGGAGAGAAATGTTGTCGTACCTGATATCGAACCGCGCCGCTCAGCTCACGCGCCCCCCAATTAGCCGGCCTCTTCCACGCGGAACCGCCACGCTACTCGGTCGCTGTCGTTCCCCTGCATCGAAACGCGCTATCGCGCCGTTGAGATCACCGTGACCGACAGCTTGTTTTTCTGTTTCCACGATGAGGCTGAGCCGCTGTTCTTGGGTTCATCTCGCTATCAGCC